ACTCCGTCTTTATAGTGGGGGTCACTAGTCAAGATTTTAGTTGTATCGGAAGTGGCTGACTTACTCAAATGGCAACTTGAACACCTTTCGCCGAATACGTATGTTGGGGCGCGGAGATGGAGGAGATGGAGAAGAATAAGGAAAAACGACCCGATCTTAACCGAATATTTTCCGTTGAAGGGTACCTTTTGGTTGACCGCTAGTCAGAATTCACTTCATGAATGTCAAATTGACGGTAGAGACCTCCACTATTATCCCAGCCGAAAGGTACCACGCGGGAGAGCGAAAAAAAGCCTTCTGGTTGTTGTTCCACGTGGCGATCGACAAGAAAATCATAGACATTGAGAAGTTTTTCTTTCTTTTGATTTTGTAATAGGTGTTTTGGACTCCGCAGTGTTGAGCGGTTAAAAGGTACAAAAGTCATGCGACCGTCTGCAGCTAGTGGTGCTGGTCGACGATCGTGATTTCATTAGACGCAATGACTTGCATACAGAAACGTGTTGGATCACCTAATCCATGTGGCTCCTAAGTTACAGCGTATGTATTTTGTCGTACTTTGTCACCTTTTTAGGTGCATGAGGCAAATGCTACTGCTGTAGGAAATTGATGTCACTCAATATGCATACTCAAAATTGTATAGAGTTCGGCCAGGAATTCTCGATATCACTCCCAATCCTCCTCGTCTGAAACTCGTCTCAAGTTTGTTTGAGGTTCATCTCCACATCTTCTCTATGAAGACTACATCTTTATGTGGCCCTTTGTTGACCCTTAGCCACCCCCCCTGTAGGGCGGTCGGGGTTTCGGCGCTGCAGGTCGGAATTAATGCTGACACTCGGGCTTGATTCAGAACTATGCCCCCGAAAAGTCATCTTGGGGGCCAACTGGATAGGTGCAATGACGATAACTCCGCCAATCTTCCTGGGGAAGAAACGTCATATTCGGGTTTACTGTTTTCAGGTTTCAAGCCACCAAGAATGTCAATTGGTCTATACTATAACGGCGTCATTGAGTTGCAGAGCTAATAACAGACTGCAGAACTGAAACGCCCCCTCGTGGCACGTTATGTACTCTGTCTACCACTAATACTTCGTGCGTGGATTGGCTTTCATGCACTTTCCCTGGACATACATCGGTTATCTTCTTATTCCGCCACAATGGTTTTCTTTTGGTAATCTCAGCTAATTAGCACAGGCTTCAGACTTGTACAAGGCAGTGCATCAATTTGATCGACTTGCGCTAAAAAGCGCCATTACATGGTGGCGAGCAGCACAGGATCACTTTGATGATGGTGATCAACACCACAAATCGAATCAAGTGGCAGTATCAGCGATCTGACACCCAAGCTATATTCTAAATTCAAACCTTTACCCCCTCCCTCTCCCTCTTTCAGGTCCCTCCTCGGCAGTCGATCATTCAACAGAACCCGAAATGATCTAATTCAGCCATTAAGTCCGGAAACCCCATGCAACAGTATATCGGTCGCTGATTCGAAGGCATGTGGTCCCGCTTTTACTATTATCCTCCGAGGCCGCAGTCGCCGCAATCAACTCCTTCTGTCCCAATGTGGAGATCTACACTTCCTGTAATATGATTCCTGCAGAAAGATACTAGAGCGGAGTGATAATTTCTCTCTGCAGGTCGCACACAACCATTTTTACTTTCTGTGTTCTTCCCTGTCGCGATTGCAGATTGGCCCCATGCCAGTGACGTCTTCACGATAATTTTCTTCTCCTCCCCGAGGGAAACACAAAGAGATCGGAAGATCAAAGGGGAAACGAACAGGGGTAAAAGGGTAAATCCTCACAAGCGAGAATGAAAACGGCTCGTCTGCAACATCAAAGCGGGGTTGAGATGCATCCACCCTGGTAGCTTACATTAGTAGTGTCTTTTGGTTTCTCGTTCTTCCCGTCAACACGCGGTTTTAATAGGTGACGAGACAAGCTTGGAAAAGGCTCCACCTAACTGATCCTGGAAGAAGGTTTCATCGCAAGATTGGGACTTTTGATTCTGCAGAACACTATCGATGACCAAGTGTTGACTTCTGTTCCTGGGTACAAAGGAGAGAGATACATTACTACATGTCGGACGGGGCGGGATCCGCTGATCATCAACAAGGACTTGTGGTCTGAATCCCTGTCACTTCATCTATTCTAGCACCAGATCCCCGGAGCCTTGCTCTGTTCTTGGACTAAAACACCTCTATTGTTCTCATCCTGTACGAAGGACCATAGAGGCCTGGTGACATTACTAGAAAAGCCTACGCCAATATAATCTGTTCCCTACACCTTGCAATTCCTCAAGGCTCTAGTTCAGTCTAGTCTCTTTTCCAAGAGCGAGAAGGATGCTTGACTTGTACGGCCAAGCTAAGACTTTCGGGTTACTGCAGTTCAACGATCGGGCCATTTCAACCAATTTAATTGTAGTCCATTACACAGCGTAAAATCAATTCGGAAACCCCCCAAAATACCACCAACAATATCATAAAAATAGGTATCTAATATACTGTACGCAGAAAAAAAAAAAACAGAACAAAACAGACTCTAGACTTAAAATAGGTTAAGAACCGGAAACCAGAATATTGATCTGCACTCTGCATCATACTATACCATGCGCCTAATCCCTAGATGGATTCGCAACGGCACGGCGACCTTTTCCAAGATTCCGTCCCTTCCTTCAAGCCCTTTCCCCTCCCCGAGCTGGATCCAACTCGGATTAAATGTTCGAGCACAATGCATAAATTCCACTAAAAAACCAGCCCGATTCCTTGCATTGGGCATCTGTGGATTCCCATGAGGAGCACCATGCGAGTCCTGCAGAATTGTGGAGTCCTGCACCTCGACGAAAACTGATACCAGCCACGCACTGAATGGGTCCTTTTCCTCCCCGCTTTCTTTACCTCCCAACAGATCTGCTTCAATGAGCCATGTTCAACTAGCTAGCTGCATGGCCATGCGAGGAGCTCCGCTGCCTTGCTGAAATCGAGATCCATCGGGTCGGGTCGTAACGCACTTATTGTAGCTACGTTTTTGAGGTTTGAGGTTTGAGGTTTTAGAAGGACTGAAGATAGTCGACTAGGTACTTAGCTTCGGAATCGGAAATAATACTGTAGCTAGCTACATGGTGCAGATTTCACATGGTACCCCGCGGCCCAGTTCCCGGTTCATATGAGTGGAATTATGCAGAATTGTAAAGACTACAGGAAATAATGAAGCTGATTTTGCTTATATGCAGTGAGTATTATAGTTATCTTCTCTTCTTGTTTTTGCTCTTTTTTTTTCCTGAATAGGGTCCAAAGGGGCAGTTTGTTTGCTATGGTCGCCTGAAATCACGTTATGTAGTTATACCAATAACCGCTTGAGTGAACCTATCTATCGTGTCCTAGGTAAATTATCGGTATTTCTACATCTCAAATGATCGTCCCACACAGACTCCTCCCCGTCGCCACTTTTACCCTTTATGGACAATATTTTGAGAAGGCCCTGCGACATGTCACTTTTGACACATGGTGAGCACGCTTGCATGCCGCGTGCTTCCATAAACTTAGCCTCGAACCAATCAATCCGTCTTAGCTGTAATCCGGTCTCTGGCAAAAAGAAAAAAGAAAAGAAAAAAGAAAAAAAAAGTAAATGGGGGTTTCCTGAATAACTAAAGTTCCTTCATGGGAAGATACCGTGTAACAATCCTTAGCGACTTGTAGATCTTATCCACGTTATCCTTTCTTTGTACAATGTGAGTAAATTATCACTAAAATATTTAATTCTTTTTCAGAAAGTCAAGATATGCATATCAAAGTCGCAGTGTTAAGATTTCATGATGTAAATATCCATCCTGCGATCATGATCGACCTCGTACGAAATACGAAAATCCTTCTTGCTTATTCTCGGTTTTGTTTGCTATACCTCTGTCCCATGTGGGCAGCATAGTACAGGCATAGGTTTATGCTTGTCTATTTTCGTCTTGACTGGAACTACATGCCTCGTGGCTGAAGCTATTTGCCGGTCGACTGGGCGTAGCTCTGCCGATACATCCACCGACGAACCATCTAGTCAGGCAGGGTTATAATCCGGACTTCTATCTCCATGGCTACCTAGATTCCTCTTATTCCGCTCATCCAGTCCTCTGTGTTCTTAGCACGTTGTACTCCGTGTCGAGCGGCAGGATGCATACTCTAGCAAGGATGGCCTGGGTCAATTCATGGAGAGAAAATTCTACTAGCTAGTACTAGTCGCAGGCAATGAAGTGAGAAAATGGATCTAGTTACGATATACTACATATTCCGAAGCAGGTTGCAGGTATTGCAGAGAAGACCTTCATGATATTTAAGTGAACAAGTTCAATGTTCAACTCCATAGGTACATGTAAGAGGTGCGAGCTTAGGATCTCTCGCTACCTGATAGGCGTATGGCCCATTATACATATTCGAGTTGTGATATGTCATATCCACACTGACATTTACCGATATGAGCACGCGCATAGTCCGACAATGCACTTAGACCGCGGCGATACATACAGTAGTGCCGCGGATCTGTGTCCGTCTCCGATCTCTCCTCCCCGGGTCACCCGTTAAGGTACTCCGTAGTGAAACTTGGCAGGACCTGCATGTAGCGAGGGATGGCGAAGTTCACCATGTGTTAGGCTTTTGGGGCGTTGGGCTAGGTTCGCTAGTGTATTTGTGACGAATGCTAAATTTGGTGGCGTTAGTCACAAGGACGCGAGTGGTTTGAGAAATTGATTGACTGGATGTGTTTATCCTGATGAGGATTCATATCAAATGTTTGGATTACATATTGGATTTGATTACTCAACATATTCGTGATACTGACGGAATGCTTTGATGACTGCGTTAAGGAATAATGCAAGTTGAGTTTGTAAACTTCTTTGTAGTCACAATGTTTGAATGTTAGGGGGAAATGATTAAGGCTGAAATAGATAATATCATGATGGTTTTCGTAGAAGGAGCCTTGAACATAGTTCGTATTTGTACAGTATGCTAGAAAGCATTAACCATCTCTCCACCACTGTCCGAGGGAACTACTCGAGCCAGCCATCTCAACCACTTCTTCGAAACTGATCTCAACACGGAACATCTGTCCGTCGGCTGTGCCGTTACCGCTGCCAACAGGCGTGACAAGGCCCCAAGTCACAAGTTTCTCCCAAGACTCGCGTGCTACATCACGACCCCAGACACGACCGGGGGTAGCAGCGGCACCAGAGATTGAAGCTGATACTTTGGCGGATGAGAGGAGACGGACGTATTCGGCGTACGCAGCTGGGAAGGAAAGTGCGAGCGGTGCTAGGCTTTGGGTTTGAACGCCGTCATTGCCCGGGTCGAAGAGGGCTGCTAGGCGGGTTGCGGCGAGAAGTAGGGCCAGTGGGAGGGATGAGGGACTTGAGGATGAGGCGGCGGAGGCGAAGAATGGGAGCGGTGCGGGATCGGGGCAAGAAAGGGATTGCCAGGCGAAGGCCTTGGGTGATGGGATTTGAATTGCAGATTGTCCGGATGAGTGTGTGCTGAGATTGAGTTCACTGATGGGGACCAGGGCGCTCGTCAGGAACTCTTTCACAGATTTGGTTTGGTTGTAGATTCGTTTCAAGTGGAATTGGAAGTCCTTGTCATCCCATAGGTGCTGAAGTATGTATGTATGTTAGCATGCTTTTTCCATCGAAGCCACTCTAATATATGATGGGACTTACCTTCAGGTATAGTTGCCAACCCTGAAGAAGCGTTTGCCAACTTGTCGTTTCCAATATAGCACGATCCTCAGGATTGAGTGAATTTGCCAGTTGCACGGATTCCTTTTCATCAAGGCTTAAGCTTGCGAGACAAATTTCTGAAAAGGATTCATATGTTCGAGGAAGTGGAACATATACATAGCGATGACTGAATCGACTCTTGACACGCTTCTCTAACATCTCGGTAACATCGACCTTCGTGGTGAGTCCAACGACTGCAATTGGGGCTTTGCGTGCTTGTGCAATATCGAACAAATTATACAGCAGTGTTTGACGGGGATGAGTGACGAACAAGTCGAACTCGTCAAGAAGAATAATAATAGACTTGGCAGCCGTCACACCATCCTTGTTACCAGACGCCCCGAAGAGCTCCTCGGGATGAGATAACAGGGCCAATAGAGTTGCCATAGTATCGGCGTAGGAGTTGATTCTGACTGTGTCGTCCTCGGTGTTCGTCTCGCGGCCAAGTTGGCGCCACATCTCACGGAGAGCTAAGCGGTCATCGGTGTGCAGAAAGCCATTCAGTCGAACAACATGGAAGTCTTCCTTGTGACCCTCCGCAAGGGAGGAGATGATTGTTTCGATCATTGCTGTCTTTCCAGAACCTCGTGATCCAAGGAGCAGCATTGAGTTACCTTCGCCAACCGTAACAGTCTGTTCAATCAAATGGTTGACCTTGTTGTATTCATTTTCGAGGCCTTTCAGTGGAATTTGTCGCTTTCCAGAAAGCTTCTCAAGAACAAAATTCGTAAGCAAGCGAGTTTCCCCTCCAAGTGCCTCATTGCAAAGATTCTGCATATCTTCTACATAATCCGGATTTGGCTCTACCATTTCAGTGTTCTCCTCTACCTCCCCTTGACCCTGATGCAGATCTTGCTGAAGTTGCAGAGCAACAAGATCATCAAGTCCATCATTATACATCTCCGGGCCCGGCGACTGGTTCTCCGCTTCTACAGCATCCACATCCTTTGATTTGGGCTTGGCGATATTCCGTCTCGATCTTGTCCTCGTGAGTTTCGCAGTAGGCTTGGGCGAAGGCTCGTCAACGTCCATATCAACATCATCCACCGAGTCTCGTTTGGGCTTCTGAGCACTTCTTCCCGCCCGAGTACTGCGAGGAGTTGCAGCCGCCTTCCGTGTAGATGTTGGCGTTGACCCTTCGTATCGTTGGGGTGCTTTGCGCTGCCTTCCACTAGCCCGGGTACTCTTCGGAGTTTCAACAGCTTGTTCTTCATTTGTAGTATCTTCGCCTAGTCCATTGGGCACTTGAATGCTTTTTCGTGTTGATTGTCGGCGTGATGGCCTTGACCGGGGTCCGCGGTAGTCTTGGTCTTCTTCGGAGTCTGGGTCGGCAACAGAGTGGGCGGAGAAGGTATCTTCGTTGCCACTTTCCATAGCAATGTCTCCATCGTCATCGGGGGCAGGTTCTTCGGAGACTCTTCTCCGTTTGGATGCGCGGGGATCTTTCATGATTGCCGTCTTAATGATCGTATGGAATATATAGGGCTGAGGAAGTTCGGGTCTAATGGCGGTTGGTTCCGGATTTGGGATAGAATGCGGTAAATTTCAAGGCTCGGATTCGAGTCTGTCGAGGTTCTGCGACGCTGGTTTAATCGATATCAAGCTCAACTTGCGCCAATCAAGGATATAAGTCACTGGTCATGCCGTGCCAGGTATACTAAGTTCGGGGAATCACTGGCTTCCTCAGTGGTAATCAGGAATCCAGATTGTCGATTTTTAGCTCAATCGCCGAGTGCGAATTGTCGATCTCAACCTCGAGTGGTGAGCAATCCAGCAAGGGAGTTTGTTGATGCGCGGGAACAAATCACCATCTCCGGGTTGTAGACACCTTAGGCCATAAGTTATTAAAGCCTTGAAAATCGGGTGTCTATTAGATCAATCTAATTAGCTAACTAACTACCACAGCGATGATTTGATTGATAAAAAATGGCCTTATGGAGAGAGTCGGGATTTTGCACTCGAATACGTGAGACTTCAGCCTCATAATAGATGTTAATCACCTTTTCAGGCCATAAATCCTTATCTTAGATCGATACTATACACAGGCATAATGCAACTATACTATATATTCACCTTCAATAGAGTAGATATAGTTGTGGATCCGAGTTCTGCAGAAACTTGAACCAACTCTTTTACTAGTAGATGGCGCTATAAGCCTCAATGCTTTCAAATCCTCGAAATCTGTAATAAATGACTGCTAATAAATAGAATCAACACTAAAGACAGAAATCTATAGCCTTAGACTTGGTTATTCCCGACACAGAACCGAATCCGAGTCTAATCATCCGCACCGGGCGATTTTACTCAGTCTGATCCGACCTCGGGAGCCGAGGCTCAATCGCCGCCCCAGGGACCGAGCTACACTCCAACTGCCTTGAGGTTCGAGCCGTGACAATCCACTCTGCATCCTCATCTACCCCCAAAAATACAAGCCATACCTTTCTTCTCTCTTCAAACCACCCTATCTCATAGACATAGACCTCCAACCGCCCCTTCACATGACACCATGTCTCACAAAATCCTCGCGCCAACACACGAGCTATCCGAATTCGAACAACACGTCTACGAATGCACAGAACTAATAGGCAAAGGAGCCGGTGACATTGTAAGCATCTGACCCGCTATATGCCAACCAAATAAGCCCATATGATAGCCTCCCAATAAGTTCAATGAAACTAATGCGTCAACTTCCTTTCTTCAGCGCTGGGACGTCAACGCCGAAGACTGCCAACTCCGTTTTGAATCCGCATCCCGTGGCCCGCCCGCGAAAGTCTCATTTACTTTTACCATAGCGCCTTCGTTGTGTAATACGTTGGGCAATTTGCATGGTGGATGCGCCGCGACGTTGGTGGATGTTCTTTCTACGACGATTTTGTTGGGAGTTTCGCAGCCTGGGAAGTTTGGGTTTGGTGGCGTGAGTCGGAATCTCAAGTTGACTTATCTCCGGCCCGTGCCGATGGGGTCACAGGCGAGGATGGTTTGTGAGATTGTACATGTTGGGAAGCGGTTGGCGCTTTTAAGGGCGGAGATTCAGAAGGTGGAGAATGGGGACGTTTGTGTTGTTGGGGAGCATGAGAAGGCGAATACGGATCCTGAGGTTGATCAGAAGATTTGAGTTGCATGTGGTGATGGATTCGATAATATCATAGATGTATTTTTGAGTCTACATATGGCCTGGAAGGGGATGTGGGCTTATAGATGAGATACCCGATATGTATATAGATTAACGTAGGCTTGTCTCTCTCAGGCTTCTACTAAGATCTAGTACTTACTAGTATTTGTACTACCTATGCAGTGTAAGACTGTCATACTAGCCCAATGGGTAAGGCACAGTCGACACCTAGTAGGTACTAAGACCATTGGAAGAGGTAAAACGATTATGCAAAGTAGACTGTAGTAAACAATGATGCCCAGGTGCGCGATACATATTTGTGGAGACTTACAGGCATTGTACATACATACATTTAGCATATTATGTACTATGGGGCACCCCACTGGCATGGGTTGATTCTACAGTAGTGACGAGCTAATTTCCTTGGTACCTAGGTACTAGGGTTTGTATCCCTACAATGCGTAAATGATAATGAGTCAGGTATATTTGCGCTTGATACAACCTCCTGTTTAATCTGATTGAGCATCTGAGGCTCGTGGAGGAAAAAAAAGAACGATACAGCATCAAACATGTCCAAGAGAAATATAATTCTCCAGCATCTAAGCCATAGATTATCCCAATAGAAGGACTTTTACTCCTGGACAAGTTGCTGATCATCGCGGAGACCCTCAACCACCAGCTCCTCGCCAGTGGCGCGGCGGTAGAGGTCCCGCACATCAGCTAAAAACATGAATGGTAAGTAAAGCGAATAGAAAGATAAAAATGCGGAACGTTTTGAAAGCTTACCAGTTGTGGTCTCAAAGTGAGATGTGGCATCGTAGCTCTTGGAGATGAAGACATTGTCGCTGGCACCGCCCTCCAGGGGCTCGTAGAGAGGGATAGGAGGGGCCATGAATTTCTCTTCGATAGCACCCAGGCGCTCGAAACCTGCCTCGAGCTCGAGGTGTGGGTTGGCATCGTTCTCTGCGATGGTAGAAACAATAGCGATGTAGTAACCCTTGGGGCAGACGTTGTGTGCAGACGAGACCATGGCAATGTAGATATCTGCAAAGCGTTAGTAAAAAGGCTGGTTGAATTCAAAAATCAAAACACAGATCTACTCACCGTGCTTGCGTCCGACCTGTGACTGAGGAATGATGAGCTGGAGAGAGTCGCTGGAGTCGGTCTTATCAATGGGGTGCTTCAAGATGCAAATAGCCTTGAGCAAGTATCCAGTGGCGCGGACCTTGCCAGGGAAATAGGAGGGATCGGCAATGATCTTCTTAGTCTTAGTCTCGAACTTCATTTCCTCGGCCTTCTCATCACGGTCCCGCATGGTAGCCTTGATACCAGACACCTTTCCGTTCTCGTATGTTACCTCATCAATGTCGGTGTTCAGCATGTAGGTACCACCGTAGATGGCAGAGAGACGAGCAAAGCCCTGGGGCAGTTCACCCAAGCCGTAGAGAGGGTAGATGTAAGGTGACTTTCCGTAGCGCGCCATAGAGTTGACGTAGAGGCGGATGCGGTCGATAGCCTCGGCAGCCTCGCCGGACTTGTTGATGTAGTTGTCGGATGGGTACAAAGCCATAGAGTGGCCAACAAAGTCGCGGGTGTTATCCTCGAGACCGAACTTGTCATAGACCTCCTTCATGGTACAGTTTGCGATGTTCAATCCTATACGCAGTTAGCTACCAATGTCCCCAGCTGCCAGTCGACTGCAAATCACATACCCTGGTGAGTGGCTGGGTCTTCTGCCTTGAACTCGCCAACCCACTCCAGGAACTTCTTAGCACGACGCTTCTCGAACAGACCCATGAGGGAAGAGCGCAGAGCTTCGCCAGCATCGGAGGGGACCTTGGCAACAGTGGCCTTGGGACCCTTGCCCTGCTGGACATAGCTGCCTGCAATTTGCTTGAACTCCAAGTATCGGGTGACGTCGGTGGAAACCAGAATGTTGGTCAACTCGCCGTTGGCCATCAACAGCTTTGGAACCAAATCGATGTTCCAGTCATTGACACGGCCGTACTTCTTCCAAGGCTCCTCGCCGGCGGGGACGTTTCCGTACTTCTTGAAGAGCTGCAGGAGGAAGTCAGCGAAATGTCGCTCTTGATATAGTTATTGGACGTACTGTTTCGATGTTGACAGAGGCAGCCTCTCTGAATCCATTGTTAGCTACTTCGTGGTGGTGGCGTTGTCGACGGTTTCGTTTACGTACCCTCCGTAGTGGTCATTGCGATCAATGTGGAGAACCTTGTTGCCCTTGACACTCAGAACACTAAGAATTGCGAAATGCGAAGTTAGAAGATTTCGCATATCAGGGTCATTAAAGAGGAGCTTACCCAGACAGAACACATTCGGTCAAGCCTGCAAGAGAATGTCAGTGCTGGGGGTTAAAGTTGGAATGGCGGGGTAGCAACAAACCAGTGCCGAGCACCACGACGTCGTACTCGGGGGCGATCTCATCCATGATGGATTTAATAGGAAGATAAAGGGAAACTTAACAGATACAAAGGGGAAGAAATTATGACGGAGGCAGAAGGGAAAAGGAAAGAAGGTTTCTCCTGGTATCTTGTCCCCGCGGATCAACGAAGCGGTAAGAAGGAAAGACTATTTGACGGGGCCCGCCACTAGTGACTTAGTTACCTCATTTTCACGCAGACATTCATAAACAACCCCTTCTCCAGACAATCAAGATCCATAGGAGTCGTATATTTGACATTAAATCTCTCCTGGATCTATAATTAGCTTGTTGATTTGCCCCTATCCACTCTTGGGTAGTTTATGAATAATCTATCTCACGATATTATATTGCAATGGAGCTAGAAGCTAAAAGGCCCCTTAAAAAACACATGTTATGGCAGCTCTAATGATAAGTATTGCGGTGTTGATATTTTACATGCAGAAGACTATATAAGAAAACATCAAATGATAAGCCAACCAGAATATTGCTACAAGTTCCAAATAGTCCATACTCGCCTACAATGGGCGAGCTTTAAAATAATCCACTTAATGCCTTGGTGGTCTTCTCCTCTGCCACAGGCTTGTCCTTAGCCACGGAACTCTCAGAGGACTCCAAATAGTCGACTTCTTCGTAGGCCGGGCGAGCTCCTTGGTCGTACAGACGCTGAGCTTCTTCCCAAGCATGCCAGCGTTCACGCAGAACGTGCTTGATGTTTTGCATAGTAACGAAAACCTACAAACATAGATTAATTAGCATGATGTGATTTTAATCAGTGATGACGCTCGAGGGGAAGAGGAATAACAAATTGCTCGAATTGAATCTTGCGACTTCCTTCTCTCGTGACAGAGCTGGCCTAGGGGGCCATAGGTATGAACTTACAGCCTGGTCACGCTTCCCAGCTTCGTGGTCTCCATAACCGGCCTTCAAGCGCTCTCTTTCCACATTCGTAGTGGCAATGCGGTTCCGCTCCTTGACACAGACCCACCAGAGGGAATGGATGTCTTCCCAGCTCTTGTCACGAAGCTCGGTGATAGCCCATGAGCGACCTAAGTTCGAGGTTAGTCAGTGACCCGCGAAGAAAGACCGAACATATTCGCATGCGCTGGTTACTTACCAAATTCCAAATCAAACTCCGGGGTACTCAATGCCTCGCGCGACGGAGGGAAGAATCCCCAAAGTCCATGCTCGGGGTTATTATGGCGAGCAGGCAGAGATCCGGGTGCCACAGGCTTCGGTAATGGGTATTTGGAAACATTAAGCTTGAATCGTGGGCCGGTACGGTGAATTGCTGATACACCGCGGGTTCGGTTGAGATCGCGTCCTCGGCCGGCGGCGACGGGGGTCGTGGAGAAGTTGGAAGACTGGGTTCGGGTCATTGTGAAGTGGAGGGAGGGCGCCAGGTAAGGTGGAGGCAATTCGGCTAATGCCTGACCTCCATATTGGGCCAAGCGAGTGACGACTGGCCGATGCATGGTGTGGGGGGACAATGGGGTTCTAGAGAGAGGATGCGAGTTCGTTTTAACCAACGATGCTTTTTTTCCCGGCTTGGAGGTCACGTGCCTCCGTATCTGAGTGACGCTTTCCTTAAGTTCAAGATGCGACATTCTACCACTTGTGCCTTGTATGCTGGTCAAGGGCTATTTCAAATACCTTGCTTCTTCTACTATAATCTGGAAATATACATTTAACAGATATTTTCTCCCAGTCCTTTCTGTTTAGGAGCATTTGCTCGCGGCACGTTCAAGTTGGCCTGTGCTCTCCCCCCCAGCACCCGCGCGCCTAAATTACCCAATCGATTCGCTCCACCTCCAGGCGGAGCAGTGCCGCATCAAAGTGATTGAAGAGGGCATTTCATGGTAGACGACTACCCCTCCACATATTCGTCTTTAGTCTGGTCTTCGGCCGATTTGATACTATCTAAGTGTTTAAAGGTCCCCAAGACCATCCTCCTAACTCTGTCTTCAAGACCCCAACTATGAATCGACCAGGTTCGTCAGTTTCTTCACTATGCCTCTAGCACCTTTGGCCCTGGTCTACCTCTCGTCCACCACATCGAAACCACCTCGCTACGCCACTGGGACTTGTCTTGCGGAATTGGAGCTGGCGAAACCGAGGCCCGCTTAGTGAGATGGAAGGTTTATGCCTTTCAATGGCAGCCCTGGAATCGGACCAGTCTTCCATTTGCGACCGAGACAATTTTTTTCTCCCTTTGGCAGGGATCTCTCCACACATTCCAAGGCTGGGCCAAGGCATGGGTGCTGCGATATGACACAGCGTAGATCATGCTAACTAACTCCTTACTCTCTTCTACCAGGACCTGGCCCGCAGCCGCTACGAGGCATGTCCGGATTCCCCGCGCCACAGCAAGCACAGGCTCGAAATGCAACATTACCCTCCACGCGATTGCCAAACGGAAAACTGGGTATGTGGTCTTGGGGATCCTAAGGGATCGAGTTTTTCTATACGGGAGCTATTGGTGGATGCTAATACTGTGGGGGGTGCTGATCTAGGTGGCGCAGCGAATTGGAACTTCAATCTGCCCGCGAGTGGAACTTCCACTCTACAAAGTAACCAACAACGCACCATGGGGACCATGGGCAGCTTTGCGCAGAGTTTAGGTGGTTCTCAACCAGCTACACCACTAGATCTTTCGTAAGTCATATCCCATCGAGAGGAGGGGGTGGGCAAACGATCAACAACCAAGTGATTTTGACTGCATGATGGATCGAAGAACTGACGCGAACTTTGTCTTCTAGCGAATTCCCCTCCCTCTCAGGCGCGCCGCAGCAATCCCAATCACAGAACCCTGGGCAACTTGTGTGGGCGAATGCAAGTCAACGAGCCGCTCAACATACACCTGTTCAGAGACAGCAACACCCCCCGACATCACAAACCCCTTCTCGAACATCACAGACTCAACCCCATCCTGTACAGCAACAAGCTGAAGGACTTCACGATGACATGTTCCCGTCCGGCTCTCAGTTCGCGAATCGACTGGATGATTTCAGGAATGGTGGGCAAGGGATCAGTAGTCAGCTAGGAGCTGGCAGTCAGCCCCAGACAGGCAACATCGACGAATTCCCTCCTTTGGGTCGAAATGTTGCGGCTGAGATTGGCCAAGACCGCCAGACCTCGTTGATGCAGAATACTGCGTTTGGAAGCTACAACACCGGTATGGCCTAGTGGTGTACCCCGTTTCCATGAACGAAGAGATGGAAGAATGGGGATTAAGAGCTAATCCTGATATGCAGGTATTGGAACGTCGCGGTCGCCCGTCAACCAAGGGCCTAATGGTGGATTGGGGCAGGAGAAGGAGGTAGGTAGATCGGCGATTGTCTTTCCCAGGCCCCGCACTCACCGACACAACCACAGGAATTGACCAACATCCTCATGTCGGGTCAACGCAACTTCAGTGACCCGCAACAATTGCAGCAAAGGCAACAACAAGCCAATGAAGGACAAGATGTTCCGGCAGGTGCAAATCTTCAAAGTGCAGAACAACCACCTCTCGCCCAAATGAGTGAACTGGACCGATTCGGCTTGGCCGGCCTGCTGCGCATGATCCATAGCGAAAGTCCCGACGTGGCCAGTCTCGCCGTTGGCCAAGATTTAATGACACTTGGTCTGGACTTGAATCAGCCAGAGTATGTGCGATCATTTCTAACAACTCATTGAGCACCGCAGCTAACGTTTTCTGTGCGTTTTAGACCCCTCCACACCTCTTTCGCAACACCTTTCGTCTCAGCCATGTCCGCTGTTCCGCTGGAACAAGACTTCTCCCTTCCAGCTTGCTACGAAGTCACCAGCATCCAAGCACTTCAATCACGGATCCCTGGGTTTAGTGACGAGACCCTTTTCTATATCTTTTACAGTATGCCTCGGGATATCATGCAGGAACTGGTCGCAGAGGAATTAATGGGTCGCAAATGGCGTTACCACAAGCTTGAGCGCTGCTGGTTGACGCGAGACGAGACATATCCTGGACCGGTCGATGTGGAACGGGGCGTGAGTGAACGGGGCGTGTACCTCCTCTGGGACCCAGCGAGCTGGAAGAAGATTCGGGTAAGTCTTTGAACATCGCCTTACCAGCCCAGTGAGAGGAAACAAGATCAAAATTTGCTGACTATACGCCCTGTAGCGCGAGTTCGTTCTACGCTATGAGGATTTGGACAACCGACTGGATCCCAACCGGGCAATTAGCCGTCCAGTTGGTCAGACACACCAGGCTTCATAACTAGCATGAGAATGGTCGGGTTCGGGCACGGACTATAGCTTCGTTCGATCAGCAATGGCGTTCGGTTATCTGGTTTCTGTAATATTGCTCCAATGGGATGACCGATAGTACAGTATCGTTCGGGATCTGGGCGTGTTGATTTATCAAGAAAACTATATGGGCTATGTGAGAACCGAGTTATGATCAAATTAAATGGCCTATATGATCTTCCAACGTCTTCTAAACAGACTATTTCTTTCCAAAGTTATGTAGGACATTAAATGGTGGTTTCTATGTCTTGACAGACATCAAAAAGAATGACCATTCCTGCAAGTAAAATCACGCTACGGCTTTGCGCGCCGTGGATACAATTGCCTTCCACTCTCCTGGCACCTCTCCATCTGCACCGTAAGTTTCGACCAGATATTTCTCCAAGGTTGGTCGAATCTTTTCCTTATGTGCCTGGCGCATTTTCTCTGACCAGAAGTGCTCGATGATCACAGGGACCATGAACATGGTCATATCCACGAAACCAGCCACGGGCATAGTATTGTGTTTCGTAACGGCGTTGACACTGATATGACCAAATTCTCGTTTCTTTAGCTCAGATTCGATCCATTCCACATTGTCCCATTCACCGCTGTTTAGAAAGCTCAAGAACTCCTTTGCAGACGGCCATGGCAAGTCGTAGGGAAGTGTTGCAATTGCCTCTGTGGTGACCGGTACCCAGCCCGCTATATCAAAGCAATTAGCTCCACGCACAGGTGAAGTCTTGTATGCGACCGATACGATTATACAGTCCGTGACTGTATGTTAACTTACGTTCAATCCAGGTGGTGAAGGCAATTATACCTCCTGGCTGTAGGATACGAGTAGTTTCTGTTGAAATATGATAGTTAGCATTGGTTTTTCAGAAGCGACTTTCAATCAGATAGATGGTGAGCGAGGCTTGCGGCAATCAACGTACCATCCAGAGCACTCAACCCCTTGGGAAGGGCCATGTAGGCGAACGAAGTGAAGACATGTGAATAGTGATCCGATGGCAACTTTGTATCTTGCGCATCGACATGTTTCACATCAGCATTGACCCAACCTTCCCTTTCAATTCGGCGTCGCGTATACTCCAACATCCCCTGCGAGAAATCGGCGCATGTAAGCTGCATTTTGGCCTTGACTTCATCGTCCAAAGAGTTTTGAAGGATGCTCGAGACAACTCCAGTCCCACATGCATTGTCTAACGCCACCAACGGATGTTCTTGATGCGACTTGGAGTGAGCTACCACGTCAGTCTGGTCCACGAGAGCTTGGCCGAACACCCCGGTGACTTTCTCCCCAAGTTCGTATTGTTTGATGAACTTCTCGTCGTTGAAAACTTTGTTCCAGTCCGGAGTGGTTTCGGTGATGGAGGGCTTGGCCATGGTTGTTGGAAGATGCCTTGAAGTGGCGTTGACTCGGAATAGTATGGGTCGAAAGTTGAAAGAAACTTGAATAGCGAAAAAGTTGTTTGTTACGAACAAATAAAGTCTATGTAGTTTGGAAGAATAATGGATTGTAGCCCGACATGAGTGGCCTATTTATGTTTTTGAGAGAGACTAGACTGTGGCAATGACCTTCCATGGGCCTTGAACATTTTATGCTTGAGCTGATATATGGGTTGAAAAGTGTCCGATAATGTCTCCGCAAAAGCTAATAAAGTGGGTTGGAACTCCCATAATAAGCCCTGGAGCAGTCGTGAGATTTTAACGAGCCATTCCATATACAATTCGATGAGCAAGACCAATGGCGTTCTATCTATCGGCGGCCTGAGTCAGTCTGGTACCTGGGGGCCGAGGATTAGCGCGCCCATACTGGGTTGTTTTCAGTTGATGTCTGATGTTAGAAAATAAAATACTGGAATCACTATAACAAGTTCCTAGAGCCCTGGAAGGCTGGCTACCTCAGAAGTATTAAATATTCTTTGGGGCTTTCTGACATAATATAATATAATGGAGATAGGGGAAAGCAAGGAAAGAGAAAGGTAAAGAAAATGAATAAAGATATTTATCTAGATAGTAGGTACCTAGGCAACACTCAAAGTATTATGTATTGTTAAGGAGCCTATCCACTAGTAGTAGAATATAAAAAATAGGTAATATTAGCTATAGATAGAGAAGAAAGGGTACTTGACGCTACTCAGAATAATGAGGTGGGGGCCTGCTATGGTCCCGGGCTATTGATAATCGGGACTATGGCCACTGTATTATGGTATTTGTAAGGGCGGTATCGCTTGAGATCTTATATTTTACATGGGCAAGAACCTAAACGAGTTTTGGCAGTCCAAGTGTAATAAGAAAAGTAAAGATCTGGGGTTGTCGGAGACATTCGAAGGATATACAAAAGTATCCGAGCTGTTAAATCACAAACCGATACGGGGGACCATAGCGGCCAGCGGGAAAAAGCCTCCTTGGCGTAGTACACGCCTAGCACACCGCTACATCTTCTGTACTGTGAGTTCTACAAAGATAGAAAGACAATTAAGAAGACCAGTAGAAAAACAAATAGAGTAGCATCTCTTGTAAACATCTCGTATTATGGTAGTAAGTTTGTTTAAAAGAAGATTATATCCCAAAGATGTATCTCAAGATTAGTAGGTTTGGAGCTTCCAAGATGGGGTTTTTCCTGTGGCTGTTATGCCCTCCCCATAAACCGATAAGCACTCGTCAGTAACGCTTATCCCCACGTGATATATGTTGATTGTGATTACATCATCGTGATGGCGCTAGTGCAAAACAGGCAAACCATAAACACCTGATTTGCGGGCAAAACAACGGGTCGCGCCCCTCCTCATCTTTCCCGACCTCAAATGTACTCCGCCTAGCGAGCCGACTCGCAGTCGCAACCATGAGGATCACAGAAATTGTGATTGACGTAAGTCACCGAGCTCTGTCTATCACGTTCTTGGCTAATTGTGTTATTTCAGGGCTTCAAATCGTACGCCGTGCGTACGGTTATCTCAGGATGGTGCGCAACTGACCCGGCTTTTCTATTAAGAGGAAAGGATTGATCGCAATGAAGAGAAACTGACTTTATCTCTGCAGGGATGAAGCATTTAACTCCATTACCGGTCTCAACGGTAGTGGCAAATCTAATATTCTCGATGCGATTTGTTTCGTCCTCGGTATCACCAACATGAGCACCGTTCGAGCTCAAAACCTCCAGGATTTGATTTACAAGCGCGGCCAAGCTGGTGTGACCAAGGCCAGCGTAACCATTGTTTTCGATAATCGCGATACCTCCAAATCTCCGATCGGCTTCGAAGAATACGCCAATATCTCCGTTACTCGCCAAATTGTGCTGGGCGGCACCAGCAAGTACTTAATCAACGGCCATCGCGCGCAACAGCAGACCGTCCAAAATCTATTCCAAAGTGTCCAACTGAATATCAACAACCCAAACTTCCTGATTATGCAGGGTCGCATCACCAAGGTATTGAACATGAAGGCGGTTGAAATTCTGTCGATGATCGAGGAAGCGGCCGGCACACGAATGTTCGAGGACCGACGAGAGAAAGCGATCAAGACCATGGGAAAGAAAGAATTGAAGCTGCGGGAGATCGAAGAACTTTTGAAGGAAGAGATCGAACCTAAGCTGGAGAAGCTGCGCTCTGAGAAGCGTGCATTCCTCGATTTCCAACAAACCCAGAACGACCTGGAGCGCTTGACTCGACTTGTTGTGGCCCATGACTACGTACGCGGTGGAGAGCGCCTGCGAGTTGCAGGATCTGATTGTGACAACAAGAGGGACAGAGTCCAGGCGCTTGAAGAGAATGCGCTCAAGTTGAAGAGTGAAATATCGCATCTGGAAGAGGATGTGAAGCGTGTTCGCGCCGCTCGTGATAAAGAGCTCCGCAAGGGCGGCAAATTTCAAGGCCTCGAGGACGAAGTCAAAAGTCACTCCCATGACCTGGTTCGTTTGACAACGGTCTTCGACTTGAAAAATTCTAGTATGGACGAGGAGAAAGAGAAGCGCCAAAGCATCCAAAATTCTGTCAGTGATATGGAGAAAACTCTGAAGGAGAAGAAGAAGGTCTACGACAAGCTGCAAGCTCAGTACGATGCTGCCAAGGCTGATCTAGATGCGCAGAATGTTGAGGTTGAGCAAAAGGAGGAACTTTTACAAACATTACAGACTGGTGTCGCTTCGAAGGAGGGACAAGAGAGTGGTTACCAGGGACAACTACAAGACGCTCGAAACCGGGCTAGCAACGCCTCTACAGAGCAAGAACAAGCGAAGCTCAAGATCACCCACCTTGAGAAAAGAATCAAGGAGGAGGAACCCCGTGCCAAAAAAGCGAAGGAGCAAAACCAGGATCTTCTAAAGGACTTGGAGGGCTTGAAAGCGCAGGCCAAGAAGCTAGAGGCAGAGCTTACGCGCCTAGGCTTCGAGCCCGGCAGAGAGGAGCAGATCTACCAAGAACAATCACAGCTGCAGCGAGACATCCGCGACCTTCGTCAGCAAGCGGACGCCTTCCGACGAAAAGCGGCCAACATCGACTTCAACTACGCCGATCCTTACCCGAACTTCGATCGTTCGAAGGTGAAGGGTCTAGTTGCTCAGCTTTTCACATTGAATAAGGATCAAGTACCAGCTGCGACTGCCCTTGAAATTTGTGCTGGTGGTCGCCTATACAACGTTGTTGTTGACAGCGCCGAGACGGGTACTCAGCTACTTCAAAAGGGCAAGTTGCGCAAGCGCGTGACGATTATTCCGTTGAACAAGATCTCCGCATTCAAGGCATCTGCTGAGAAGATTGGAGCCGCCCAAAACCTTGCCCCTGGCCAGGTTGATTTGGCTTTGTCTTTGATTGGATACGAGGAGGAGGTTATTTCGGCTATGAACTACGTCTTCGGCAATACGCTTATCTGTCACGATGCCAATACAGCAAAGAAGGTTACTTTTGACCCTTCTGTGCGCATGAAGAGCGTAACGCTCGAGGGAGACGTTTACGACCCGTCCGGTACATTGTCAGGTGGTAGCTCTCCCAACTCCAGCGGCGTCCTGGTAACTCTGCAGAAGCTCAACGAGATCACCAAGGAGATGAGGAGCAAGGAGCGCCAACTCGCTGCCTTGGAAGATAACATGAACAAGGAGCGGAAAAAGCTCGATGCTGTTCGATCCATCAAGCAAGAACTTGACCTCAAGACTCACGAGATTCAACTCACAGAGCAACAAATTAACAGCAACTCCTCCTCCTCGGTATGTATCTTACCTGTTTAAATTTGCACAGAAACTAATTCCCGCTAGATCATCCAAGCCGTTGAAGAAATGCGTGCAAACATTGAGCAACTGAAGAACGATATTAATGACGCAAAGTCCCGTCAAGCAGAGGCATCCAAGGACATCAAGCGAATTGAGAAAGATATGAGCGAGTTCAGCAATAACAAAGACAGCAAGCTAGAAGAGCTTCAGACCTCGCTTAATTATCTCAAGAAGAACCTCACTAAGAACTCGGCGTCTGTAAAGGAACTCCAGAAAGAGCTGCAGTCATCACGCCTGGACTCTGAGCAGGCTGGAAGTGACCTTTCAGCCGCTGAAGAGCAATTATCCGAAACAGAAAACACCCTGCAGGCCCAGTTGGAGGAAATTGAATCCTTGAAACGCGAGCAAGCGCGCTTGAAGGATGCTCACGATATTGCACAAGCCCAACTTGACGACGAGAGGGCTAAGTTGACCGGCTTCGACGAAGAGATGCGCGAGCTTGAGGAGACCATTAAGACAAAATCGTCGCAGATCACAGAAGAGGGTCTGGAGATGCAAAAGTTAGGTCACCAGCTCGAGAAACTTCAGAAGGACCAGCATACCGCCTCCCAAGCTGTTGCCTATATGGAGCAAGAACACGAGTGGATTGCAGACGAGAAGGAACAATTTGGCCGCCCGAACACACCATATCATTTTCAAGATCAGAACATCGCCGAATGCAAGTCGACACTGCGCAATCTCACGGAACGTTCTCAAGGCATGAAGAAGAAAATCAATCCCAAGGTCATGAATATGATTGATAGTGTCGAGAAGAAGGAAGCTGCCTTGAAGAACATGATGAGAACGGTCATTCGTGACAAGAGCAAGATTGAGGAAACCATCATCAACCTTAATGAATACAAGAAGGAAGCCCTCCACAAGACCTGGGTTAAGGTCAATGGCGACTTTGGACAGATCTTCAATGAGCTCCTCCCAGGCAGCTTTGCCAAGCTGGACCCGCCTGAGGGTAAAGACATCACTGATGGGTTAGAGGTCAAGGTGTCACTGGGTAAAGTCTGGAAGCAAAGTTTGACAGAGTTGAGTGGTGGACAACGGTATGTTTCTCACTGCGGTAGTATACGTTCAAATGTCGTATATCTAATACTTTCCAATTACAGGTCCCTCATTGCCTTGTCTCTGATCATGGCCCTTTTGCAATTCAAGCCCGCCCCCATGTACATTCTTGATGAGGTTGACGCAGCCTTGGATCTATCTCATACTCAGAACATCGGGCGACTCATCAAGACCCGATTCAAGGGATCTCAATTCATCGTCGTCTCCCTTAAGGACGGCATGTTCCAGAACGCCAACCGCATTTTCCGCACCCGGTTCAGTGAGGGTACTAGTGTCGTTCAGGCACTGACTCCTGCTGACATGAAATGAGCGTCATGAACGGCCCATCGCATACTTGGGGTGTCTTTCGTAATGGTCGTTTCTGTCCTTTGTTCTTCTTGTATTGATCTAAGTGCGAAGCATTTGCTATTCCACGACTCATTTGGTCTGTGGCAGCTGGTGTTATGTGGTTTCCAGTGTTTGGTCCGGTTTTTTTGTTTGGGAAGGGATATTGGCTCACGATCTATATCATGAAGGCTTCTTATTTTCTTCTTTTCTTGCACAAGACTTCGATGTTCCTTTTTTTAGCACGAATCAAGATTCATGCACTGTGAATTGGTGTAGACCATATTATTCCAAGATGTGCATCTTGCACTCTTTGAAATGGCCTCAGTAATAGTCTATGATTTTAGTAATCGAATGACTAGAAATTCTTATTTACTACTCTTGCATGATAGCTATAATAATGCACTGCTACCTATAACTCAAGCTCTGTACGAACGAGGCTGTGGCTAAGCAATCCTTGATATTCACATGATATCATTGGGACTAGCACTTGGGTAAAGCTGGGAATGTGGAGACTAAAAGTATACCATCAATTTGAAGAACTTCTCGACACCTCGTTCACTATTCATTTATTTCTATATACCATCCATTCCCTCAGAAATACTTTAACTATTTAGCGAATCAATATGGTTATCGGCTGGACCTTTGGTTGGGCCCTTTTCGTAGCTACAGTCCTCTTCGCCTCTGACTTGTTCATTTACCCATGATGAGCTTTGAGGTACATATATGTGTGTGGATATCATGACGGTAACCTTAGAAATAGCTCCAGGGCTGATCCGAATCATTGGTTAACCACAACGCTATGGGTAGGCTGAGCCTTTGGAATTAGTACATACCTTGATATAGACGCGTAGCTTGTCGCATATCTTTGCGAATGTTTGCTCTCCATTGGGATTATTAGCCAACATCCTGTCATAATGCCTACGAATAAATCTAAGCAATTGCGTTGCACGTTCTTTGTGCTTGATCACTCTTCTGAGAGCATGATTTCCAAAACCACGTCGCGAGCTCATTGCTCAGGTCCAGAGATTCAAGTTTTGGTTGTATAACTGAACTCGTTGCCCAGGCGAATTATGATGTTTCAATATCCGTACTTCCGAGTCCCTCGGCGGCCATCATGCATCAAGGTGGTCAAACGTTTGGGTGCCGGTGCGCTCAAATGTAACTCTGTTCAGCCTTGGAAATGCTGGAAGTTCCAGGGAAGGTATGTTGTCTCCAGGAGAGAGGCCACGCCGTTTTCAATACCATCTCCAGGGTCAAACTACCCTTCGACTCGGAGTTGTATAGAAGTTGCTCATCATTGAATTGGCACTCACTGGCAACTTGAAGTGCTACTAGGATATATATATCCATATACCTATACTAGTACCCATCAATATGAAAAGCTTAGGGAATGTACTATATTTAGTTGCTTTCAGGGCTTTCTTCAAATACATGCGAAGGGCAACAAATGGTAGAGTCAAAGATATGATTATATAAACTGGAATGAACAAAGAAAGAACCTCATGGTCCGGGGGCTATCAAGTGTTTGTTCACTATTTGTGGTTGCAGAATCAAGTATCCGGCACGTGCAGCCTTCGCCCCAACACTATCCAACATCAACAACCGCCACCAAATTCCTCTGTGTTTGCTACACAAACTTTTTCCTGCTCTGACGTATCCATCTTTCGGTCCGGACTTGACCTTTCATACGTGATTCGCTTCCCGAGGTCGGCATCTCCCATCCCGCCACATGACCTCTTGCCCGACCCGGAATTACTCCGCCTCCACCCGCATCTACGACACATTTGAAGCCTAAACTAAACATCCTTCAGGGCGCACACCGCTCACGGCACAATGAACGACGATGAGCCTTCGCTCAACATCCCCTCGCTCTTGACATTAGCGGTGGTATCATATTTCGTCTTCCGATGGTTCTTTAATCGTGACGAGGGTTCTAACGGTGGCGGCCGGCCCCGCCGTGTTGACCCAGCCCAAGTCGAGCAAATATCCCAAATGTTCCCTCAACTGAGCACTCGAGAGATCATGTGGGACTTGCAGCGCAATGGTGGGAGTCCCACGGCGACAACAGAACGTATTTTGAGCGGACAAGGACTGGAAACGGTACGTGCTGGCACCTCCGAGATGTTGTCATTTACGGATATCTCGTCAATCAATCCAATGTCTCCTCGAGAGTTACTATCGTCTTTCTTCTTATACTGACTTTTGATTATATTTAGCCGCCCCCATCATTCCAGCCTCAGACCGCAATTCCTACGGCGCAAGCCCCGGCCGCTCGCGCTGCGGCCGCTGTCGCAGCAGCAGCCAAGTTTGGTGGACAAGACCTCATCACTCGGTATAACCTCGGCGGGAAAGTCACAGATGAAAGCGCTGATGACAGCCAATCTCCTATCTCTAAAAACGCCTGGTCTCAGAACAAGGATGAACGGCAGCGTTTGCTCCAGAAGCGTAGGGATGACATGATCCTCGCCGCGCGGAAGAAGATGATGGACAAGAAGCAGAGTCCAGCCCAATAAGAATATCAGCCTCCTTAAATAATGGCACCATATCTGTTTTTACTCCTGTTTCGGCTTTATCGTGTTTTTTATGGGCCTTAGCAGACTCAGAAAATCGCCGGAATTATGTTTATTGAAGGACATGTCTCCCACTCAGTTGTGCGTGCGGGTTATATACTCTCCACTTTCGTTTTAGTATTAGAGCGTTTCGCATGCTGGTATGGTGTTAGGTAAATTGGAATAACTTTGGTCTTAAACCATTGATCTTCGGACCAGAAAGTCGGGTATATGAGTCTATAAACATTGAATATTCGTTTCGGGGGCACCGATTCACGTCGCATATGCACCTTGAACGCCAAAAAATTAAAAGAAAGCCGCCGAAAATGTTGCCCATGCTTTTTTAAAACTCCATGTAGTCTTCTTCTTCGTCTTCTTGGGTTGCCCCATATCCACCGTTTGCGCGCTGGTCGGCGAGTTGTTCCCGCCGGGCTTGTTCCTTTGAAGCGCCGATTTTCCTATTGTCTCAATTAATAAAGTCATTCCAAAAAGCCAATATTTTGTGATAGTAGAAGAACTGAGAATTATCAAGGCATTGGCAACATACCGTAGATTATCCACGACGCCTGTGAGGAAGCCACGCTCTTCACCCAATTCCATTGCTCCAACACCCGTCAATGCGACTCCTCCACCGCCAGTTGCTGCTGCGTCCAGAGCATCCACACCAGATCTCATTTTTGCCATTCGTACCTCCCGTAGATCTTTCAACATCCGCCGGAGTTGATCTGGCTCCACTAAATCATCGCTTGCTGCATCAAGCAACATGTTTCCAACTTCCACCCAATGAAATGGCAGTGCTGGTACTTCTCCCTCACCACTTCCAGCCCCCGAAATATTTTGTGGTAGGAATGGAGGAGCAGCATAATATCTCTGCCCATCTGGTGTATATTGCGGTCGAGCTATAGATTCTGTTTCATGGTCTGTGACACTCGCTTGGCCTGGAAGGGGTGGAGGTGGCGAGAAGGCGTTCCTATAATCTTGATGTTGTGACTCAACCTCAAGGATCAAGCTAAGTGGCTCTGGATGTAGCCATGAGGGAGGTATTATGTGTGCACGTCGTTGGCGTTTTAGCAGGAGCGCGAGCCAGAGGGGTAAGGAAGCGCGGCGTGGTGGACCGAGAGGTTCAATAGAGCCCTGGATCAAGTCAATCCATGATCGGAACAATTAAAAACGATTAATTTAACCATATACTCACACTAAGCAATTCCATGCCTTCAAGACGTTGTCGAGGCACAATGGTTATTGTCTCCATCTCCGCAAGAAAGGCGATTTCCGAGGGCGTAATGCCCCGAGGAAGTGGGAAAGCCATTATGGCCTCAGTATGAATTTAACAGGCACAATCCACGTATAAAAGGAGCCAATTGACAGATATTCAGGTGTTTGCGCCGTCAATGCGGCATGCTTGATCTCGCTGCGGGACCGAATCGCGTCGCGATGATTGCTAAATGAGGTGTTTGGTATGTTTGCACCGCATAGCTTCTTCGTTTACGTCGTCCATTTCCTTCTCGAAGCTTGATCTTCAACTTCCATAAGACGCTAATCGAGGTTGAGAACCTGCTCTTTGAGCATTGGAACAAAATGAGTTCCGCGTCCGATTCGACTTTGAGCCGCGTGGCACGTTATGCCGTTCCATTCGGACTACTCTTGATTCCTATCTGGAGAGCCAAAGTCCAAGCCGAAGTCCCCGAAGCATACCTAGATGAGGTCTTCCATGTCCCACAGGCTCAAGCATATTGGAAGCACCAGTGGACTCACTGGGATCCTAAAATTACGACACCACCTGGCTTATACTTGTGGTCGTACCTGCTGTGCGCTATCGTGCTCTCTCGCGACGAATCCCCGAAGGAACTTGGTATCGATGCCCTCCGCCGAACCAATTTCTTCACCACCGCCATTTTTCTTCCTTGGAGACTCCAGACTCTTTCAGATGCCGTGCATAAGATTAAGAATACCCGGAAAATGGGTGCGTGGCTCAGTCATTCAGTTCTGAATATCTGTTTGTTCCCCCCACTTTTCTTCTTTTCCGGTCTATACTATACCGATATACTCGCACTCCTTGTCGTGATAGAGGCATACAATTGGGACCTGAAGCGGTCCGATGCAAAGGGTGCTAAGGGTTTACTTTCCACCCTGATGTTTCTTGTGTGTGGTTTGGCTGCTCTTGCTTGTCGTCAAACAAACATCTTTTGGGTTTCGGCGTTTCTGGGTGGACTGCAGGTTGTTCGTAAGATTCGACTTTCTTGCGAACCTTCTAAGTCATCCGATTTGTGCAGCATTGTCAAGGGTGGGTTTAAAAATCAAATTTATGATCCTCTTGTCTCAGACGCTTCCTTAGAAGGTAAGTTTATTACTATCTATCTACTATCGACTATACTGATTGTTTTCAATATAGATTACTTCAAGTCTGCAATCTCATTTGCGACTGCTAGTCTGAAGAATCCATTCTCTACTGTAGCTTCGATCATCCCCCACTTAGCCATTCTTGGAGCTTTCGGTGCATTTGTTTTCTGGAATGACGGCGTGGTACTTGGTAAGTGTTTTATGACCTTATTCTCGTTATTTCTATCCAAGATCTTCAGCTAAACCTGAATTATAGGCCACAAGGAATTCCATACAGCTGGCATCCACTTAGCTCAAATGCTATACATCTGGCCGTACTTTGCCTTTTTCTCTTGGCCATTGCTCGTTATCCCAGTCGCCAATCTCGTTTTACCAACATCGGTTTTACCCAAGTATTTCAATTATGGCTTCCCGAAGAGCCAGAAGCAACTTCCAAAGTTACTTACTGTCCTAGCCGTTCTTCCGGTTATGCTTGCCATTGTTCATTTCAACACGGTTGTGCATCCCTTCACGCTCGCTGACAACCGGCACTATGTTTTCTATGTGTTTCGCCTTCTCTTGGGCGTTAATCCTGCTGTGAAGTATGTTGCCGTATTGATATACTTCCTCTGTGGATGGGCTGTTCTATCTGCCCTTGGTTTCACAATCGACCAGGGGCCGAGAAGGATTCAGCTTCCTCCTATGGCGCCTGCAGCACCCACAGCAGCACCTGCTCCTGAGCACCCAAAGGAAAATAGAAAAACACGCCGAGTAAATGAGAAAGCCTCTGCTAAGAAGAGTTCGCAGCTTGAATCAAAAGAAAAGCCAAATAAACCTGAACCCATGTCCCCTGAAGCATTCGCTAGGCTTCAACAGAGCCTGGTCCAGCGTCGCAAAGAACAATCGGTAGCACCACGAGTTAGCTTCGTTCTTGTTTGGCTCGCGGCGACGACTCTTTCCCTTGTGACAGCCCCACTTGTCGAGCCGCGCTATCTTATCATCCCTTGGGTGTTGTGGCGTCTGCATCTCCCAGAGCTGCCGAGCCCTTCGGCATTCCAGAAGCAGCGACCTGAGAACGAGCGTGAAAAGAAACTTGTTGATCTGTCAAAGAATGCTTCTAAGTTTATCGAGACTGCCTGGTTCATCGTGATCAATGCAGTGACCGGATATCTGTTCCTGTACAAGGGCTTTGAATGGCCCCAGGAGCCTGGCAAGGTCCAGCGTTTCATGTGGTGATTGATCTGCTTCTCAAAGTTACCGTCTCATTGCAGACATATTAGTGTACATTATATTCATTCATGTAATCATTATTTTTAAATGCCAAGGAAGCTCCAATATTAATGAGTTGATCAAACCTTGGGACAGTCCTGGCAGTAAACAGTGCGTAAGAGAGGTCGGCAGATCAAGGGCGGTAGTCACGATATACTTAGCAATGACCTCGGTATTTAAGGTTATTCAGATTAAACCTGCTCTCATCACTTGTGTGGACTCAACTAAAAGAAAAATATTTTCCCAGCAACGCCTGAATGTCTCGGGGAAGAATCATTTCCTTCAATCCATTCTACATCTCCTGCCGGGGTTCATCTTCTATCCTTCAAGTTGCCATCAACTCTCGGATACAAGGCCCCACACGTCCCTTTTCTCCATCTCAATTCCATACCAGTCCAACTACCCTTTTGAGCCCACCCTTAATGGAGCGCCCTTCAAAGCGGGCAAGGCTATCGCCGGCGCTGTCTGAAAAGGCAACGGAAAGTGAAGAAACCGTACGAACACCATTGGCATCACTGCAAAGGTCCATCTCACCACCAGCCAGCACGCGGTCTGCGCAACTGCACGCGTCTGTATCAGCATGCTCGGATCTAAAAAATGATCGGTTCGATATCCAGGATGCAAATAATGCTCTACGCTCTCCTTGTCAGGTTCCTTCGCCATTCCAGCTCACTCATATTCGAGACCTGCCAGACCAAGGGGGCTTCAATGATGGTACGGTGAAACTGAGGGATATCCTTGGAGATCCGATGATCAAGGAGTGTTGGCAATTTAACTACTGTTTTGATGTGGATTTTCTGATGTCTCAATTTGATGAGGATGTTAGAAGTCTTGTGAAGGTTAAGATTGTGCATGGATCCTGGGAGAGGGAGTCCGCTAACAAGATCAGAATTGATGTGAGTTGGTACAAAGTCTTCTGTTTTCGCGCATGGAGTTTTTATCTCTCTTTCTGCTTGCCTTGGTTTTCATGTATCCTTTTTGGCACAATATTGGACTCTAGCTCATATTAACCGCGATCAGGAAGCATGCGCTCGGTACAAAAACGTAGAGGCGATCGTGGCATATATGCCTGAACGTTTCGGAACCCATCATTCTAAAATGATGGTGCTTCTACGACATGATGACTTAGCACAGTATGTTGTGATTTACTCTCATAAAAACCCAGTTGCATGACTGACCATGAACCAGGGTTATCATCCACACAGCCAACATGATCCACGGAGACTGGACAAATATGACACAGGCTGTTTGGAAATCCCCATTGCTTCCTATTTTGAAGCCGGGTTCACCGTCTTCACCACAGGGAGATACATCACTTGGTAGCGGTGCAAGATTCAAGAGAGACCTTCTTACGTATTTGAGAGCATATGGTCCTAAGAAAACTGGTCCGTTGGTTCAGCAACTAAGTCAATATGATTTTGCTGCGATACGAGCTGCTATTGTGGCTAGCGTTCCGTCAAAGCAAGGCCTCATTGATATAGATTCAGATACAGGAACCTTATGGGGTTGGCCGGCCTTGAAAGATCTCATCGGTCGAATACCCGTGAGCTCGAAACCCAAAGAAAATAAACCTTCAAAGCCTCGGATTGTCATACAGGTATGTCTCTTTTGATATCTTGATAATTATTATGGAAAAATGAATATTTAATATTATCCAGATATCCTCAGTCGCTTCTCTCGGCCAAACAGATAAATGGCTGAAAAGTATTTTCTTCAAGGCTCTCGCACCAACACCATCCGATTTGGCACCTAAATATTCAATCATATTCCCAACACCGGAAGAGATTCGAAATTCCCTGGACGGTTATGGATCCGGTGGCTCAATTCATATGAAGACTCAAAGCGCACCTCAACAGAAACAACTACAATATCTACGTCCTCATCTATGCCATTGGGCTGGAGAGTCAAAAACCATCGATCTCTCTGATGACAAGTCCACGACACGTGAAGCTGGCCGTGGACGTGCAGCGCCACACATCAAAACATACATCCGCTTCTCAGACGAAGAGACGATGGATACTATAGATTGGGCAATGGTGACATCTGCCAATCTATCCACACAAGCGTGGGGCGCAGCACCGAACCCAGCCGGCGAAGTAAAAATCTCCAGCTTCGAAATTGGGGTTGTCGTTTGGCCGGATTTATATGCAACTGCTCTTGTTTCCCCATCTGCTTCAAGGTCGGAGATGAATCAATCTCCAGATGTGCTGATGGTACCTGGTTTTAAGCAGAATGAGCCTGTGTTAACCAGCATAGCTGCAAATGCCGCTACTGTAGTTGGACTACGCATGCCGTATAGTCTTCCACTTACTCCGTACAGCGCGTCGGAGGAGCCATGGTGCGCTACAGCTCCGCATTACCTTCCAGACTGGAGAGGAATGAGCTGGCTCATCTAGAATAATTACATGATGGATCTTCTATATTTCATACTTTTATACCAGGCTTATCTTGTAGGCACAATGGCAATATGCAGAGCTGCTTACTTGGATTCCTTCATATACAGGCCCATAGTTCAAAGCAGTATAATAGCAGACAGATGTTCATTCGTGGATGCATCGCTTCATTTCTTAATACAGCAACGTTCGTAAGGTCTGATTCTCTTCTCTTTCATCTCCACAAGCTCCGGCAGCCCGATTCAATATGATTTCTCCTTCGCCCGGGCAAATCTTCCGATTCTATTGTATTGGAACTTGTTTATCCCTTCACTCGTCACGGGTATCGTACTTGCCAATGTACTCATTGACATGCTTGATGTATTGAGCCTGAGCCTTCGGGGTGCTGATGTGCTTGATCTTCTCCCACGCGTTGAACATCGACTTCTTCTATAATTTGAATACTTGTCAACACAGCTCAAGAAAACACTAAAAAACAAATTATTCAACATACCTTCATATCAAACATGCCAGGCTTCTCAACAGTTTCACCACGAGCAACCTTGAAGTTGGCGTAGAGGTCCAACATCTCGAAAGGTCCAGGTGCGGTCTTCAGCATCAGGACAGCCTTGACGGCGAACTCGAAACCAGCCTTCAGGGCGGCGGACTGGGCTTCGTCGGAGATATTATCGGTCTCGCCCATGGCAATGGCAGCTGCGAAACCGGCCTTAAGAGCTTCGATGTCGATTCCTTGAGCGGCCTCTTGGACCTCGGGAGTGAACTTGGCCTTGGCCTGGGCGGCCTCGAGGACAGTGATGAAACCGGAGATGTCGGACATGGTGTGTGGTTTTGGAGGGAGCTTTGGGAGGCGTTTGAAGTGTGTTTTGGCTGTATTTGAAGCTTGGTTTGAGGTGGTGGGTTTGTTGGGTTTGTGATGCGGAAAGGTTGAGGAGGGGTCCGGATGGTGGGGTTGCTGACAGTACACCCACCAGTTGAATGGGTTGGCCGAGTATATAATTTAGCTGTATTCAATATGCCTTGGGGACAATTTGAATCTAAATAATTGTCTTACGTACACTTAGTGATGGCTTAGTGGAAATATATGGTAATGTACATAGTTCATTGGATCTTTCAGTCTATCAAAGACGCCTGCAGGTACATGAAATAAGTCGCAGATCCTATGCTTGTTAAAATCACTCGCTATGCTCCTGACCTGATGAAATAAACAAAGAAAAAGCTATTTACAGACAATAAGGACAGAGCCAAAGAGAAATATCAGACTACCAATCTACAGCCCATCCGTTGTTGGTCAAAAATTCTTCACAAGCTGCCTTTAGCGCATAGTTGGGTCGTAAGTCCTTGACAGTCATGGAAGCCCTGGTGATTGGATCCACGCCAGACTTTTCCACATACTTGACAATACCAATGCGGTCGAAGCTGCTACCAGAGGGCGTCATGACAGGATCATGCATGATCTCGAACGTAATACCATCAACAAGATGGTCCGGCACGACCTGGATAAAGTTAGCATGTCCCGAAACATTGAATAAACCACCAAATAAAAGTTAAGAAACCCACCCGTTCCTGCACCTCTCCCTTGGAAGCAATTCTGAAAGCATCTCTAGTATCCCGAATCATTTTCTCCGCATCTTCCCGGAGCGCCTTGCAATCCTCTCCATATCCAATCTCACCAATCTCCCCTGCATCCAACTGCGTCTTCAACTCAGCCATTGAGCGCTCCAGATCTCTCTCCACAAGTCCCTCAATACCCCTTAACGTTTCATTCATCTCTCGCAAGCGAGATGTTTCCTTCGCCGCCCAGATCCGTTGCTTAGCGCGCAGTACAGCTCGCGAAAGGTTCTCCGTCTGTGAATTCTTCTCCGCCAGGCTAAGTTCGTATGCTTCCACAGCGACATCGTAAGCTTCCTGGGGACGTTGGAGCTCCAGAAGCGCCTGAGCAAGGTAATTTGAACTTTTGAGAGTTGCTTTATTCTTCAAGCCGTATATTCCAATTGCGGCGCGGGCATCATGCTCTACATCTGCCCATTTCTCTAGCCTTATGCGGGTAACGGCGCGGTTGGTGAAGAAGGTTGCATCGCGGGGGTCTTTTAGGATTCTTTAGCTCAGAATTATTGTCAGCTAACAAATCTTGTGGAGAAAGTGAAAGCAGTGCTTGCGCCTGCGTGTTTCTTGGGGTATGGTATGTCATCGCGGAACGATGCGCGTGTGGTTTGGCTTACGCTTGAGAGTAGAACTCCTCGGCACCAACGTAGTCACTTTGTTTGAAGAGCTCGTTGCCCTTTGCTTTCAGTTCTTGCGCCATTTGGTTATGTGCTGCTTTCTGCTTTATAGTCGCTTCGCTAGAGAAATGAAAAGAAATCAAAGAGAGAAAAAAGATTGCTTTATTTGAGGGCGATGTCGCTGATCAATCCGTTCCCCAGGTGGGCCTGCCGCCCCACCTTTTGCAGTGAGTATCAAACACGGTAAGACAAAGGAATATTTCAATGTCGTGCGGAGGATAAATGAGGTTGGGAATCTGAAATAGTGTTTGAAATGGTTAGAATCACCTAGATGTCGACAGCATGGCCATCTACTATTTTACTGACAGAAAGTACAAAGAGAGTCGTAGGTGCCTGATATGGAAGGTTTTCGATCCCCGCAGAACTGGATGAGTCAGCATGTCTTAAGTATCAACATTGAACACTTGAAGAATAGTGTAGCAACATGATGCAGCTATCTATTTCACGGTGGTCTAAGAAGGAGTAATGTTCTGTATAGAAGAAGCTACTGGTAAGAAGAAAGTTCAAGACTGCATGGATTGTATTGTGGTGTGTACAGAGATCTCAGATCAGTATGTAGTTTATCATTCTAAATCACAACCTGAACAGCAGGACTCGATATTAGATTCGTGGTATCATGATGCGCTTGGTATATCGACAAAGAAAAATCGAATCAAGATGCGCTTCGCGCAAATGAATATGCCAGTATGCGGAGGGATAATCTGGTCCACCGGAAAAGCAACGTCCGCGTCAAAGACGATAGGGGGCATATAGTCTCTGGCCGCAAGAAGAGAAGAGAAAACCCCCCATCATTCAAATAATTATGGTCTGGGTTGGGTTGCAATTAGGAAGAGCCAGCGAACTTGGTCTCATAGTCGGAGATAGCCTGGACCTTGGCGGCAGAGCCACTCTTGGGGTCGAAGCGGTACTGGAGCCAGTCAACGGCGAGCTTCTTGGCGAGCTCAACGCCGATGACACGCTGGCCGAAGCAGAGAACCTGGGCGTCGTTGCTCAAAATGGCGCGCTCAACGGAGAAAGGGTCGTGGGCTGTAACGGCTCGGATGCCGGGAACCTTGTTGGCAGCGATTGCGACACCGAGACCGGTTCCGCAGATGAAGAGGCCGCGGTCAGCCTTGCCTTCCTTGATGAGCTTGGCGCCCTCGACGGCGGGGTGGGGGTAGGCGGTCTTGTCGTCGGCAGTGTTGACACCGACGTCAATGATAGAGGCAACGCCGGGGTTCTTCTCGAGAACGGCCTTGAGGGCATCACGGTAGGGGACACCGGCCTCGTCGCAGGCCATAACGAGACGGAGGGGTTGAGGAGCAGACATGATGATATGTGTTTGAAAAAAGGAAGTAAGGCGGTTTAGAGTAGGATTGTTTGGAGAGTGTGAGTTTCAGAAAAGAAATCTTTCTCACTTCAAGGGCATTCCCAGTACTCTTTTATACCTTTCTGGTGCATCAATCCCCCCATGCAACCACAGCACCACAGCACCCTGGGGAGTGGAGCACGGGTTGATGGAACCAATCCTCATGGCTGAGATGCATTTCTCGGGCGACGACCAGTCTCCACTTGTTCCAATTCCAGTTGCAAATGAAGTCGGATTGGTCTGGCGCGCAACCTTGATATCGTGTTACGCCGCGTATTCCCAGCTAGCGGGGGTGGATGGGCTTTGCCCCACCATAGCGTCATGGTACTGGGCCCCGCACACTCTGACTGGCTCAGCACCGGTTCGAGTCGCTCAACGCCGGAACCAGCTTAATGAGGTCCATACGGTTTCATACACAGAGATTACGTCGTATTACATGTTAGTTCCAGAGCGAAGTATACCAAGCCCCCAGGTGCCCCGTTGGCGCATCTAGATCCCCAGATCCTCAAGAGGCTTTCTTCAAAAAAGCATCATCAGAACAGCCATCGATGTCACTGGCGCCCGGATGTGGCTTGTGCACATGCCAGCTGCATATAGAGTTCAACAATTGGTTGTAACCTGTGCGATGCCAATGGACTAATCTCCCTCCAGGGAAACGCTAGCTTTGGGTTTTCCGCAGCCATTAGGGGAGCCCGTGCGTGGTATGTTTGCCTTTAACCCCTGTAAGAAACGAAAACCCTCCTGCCGAGCCAACGGTAGTGAGAGAGGGGTAAGAGAAACCGGGTGAGGCCATTCCGGAACAATTGAGTTCCCCCTGAAGCCGAGAAAGCAAGAAGATGTGATACCAAAACCTGGCATGCTGTACGGGAGCCGCAAGACTACGTCAGTCACTTCTAACAAGTTGGAACAACTATGTACTGCTTCTATGTAGATACGATAGACTACAATCCAATTAAGTGGACACTCAAATTTCAGGTCCCATTTTCTATCTCTTGCTCGATGCTCTGATCTGTTGTTTTTCCTCTCGGAATCCAGCCTATTCGTAAACTACACAACAAAATACTGGAGCCTTTCTAGTCCAAAAAATTGCCTCGAATCGTAATGCGCATAGACCGTCAACTCCCGCATGTATACTGATTGACCCCCACTATGCAACTCCACTCCGTAGAATATCGTTGGCTAGCTAGTTGAGCGACAGGCGTGGCTAAAGCTATTTGGATTTTACTCCGGATTCTTGGGATGATCGGTCGTGTGTACTCCGGGGGAGGATTCAGCTGTCACTGCTGGAGTAATTAGACTAATTATAGAGACTCACAGAGGACTCAAAATGCATATTACTTAGGTACGAATGGACGTTTATTGGTGGCTCTATGTAATTGTTGCTATGTAAACGTGTGGACACGGCGGGGGATCATCGGGCAATACCGTGTATTTCTATTTCCCGCAACAGGTTTTATTTTCTTCCCCTTCACCCACTCCACCCCTCTCTGGTACCTGATTAGACCTGGTCTTAAGACTGTCACAGAACCGGGTTCTACCTGTTTGTAACTGGCTAGCCTTGCATTTGCTTTTAAACCGGCCTAGGTTCCGCAGATAGAGGTTACGACGTTCCAGATGCGTCTAAAACGCCGTGACATCATATCTTTCCATAGAGCTTCGAGTTGGACTGTGCACTGTGCTCGATCCCTACAGAGTAAGTTGGCGATCTGCCTAGTAAAAACTTAGAGTAGCCCTCTGTGTCGGCAACTAATGCGCGGGCGGGATGGGCGCTGACGCTCAGACACAGAAAAGGAAAAATATCTTAACTTTCCCATCTTCCTACCACACAGCCCCCGGATTAGAAGGGCACTTTGTTCATACTAGCCCTGGAGCCTAGACAAGGACACCCCGCATATCAGGATACCCCATGCAGGGAAAGTAACGCGAAAAAACAGAAGTCATCTACGGACTGTACCCTGTTGCATTGACCTTTGTAAACTACCTTTTTACCACCTCCCATCTACCTCGCACGCAAGCCAAACTACCACACTAGTTACCACTTGCCAAATACCCCGCCATGGCTCTAAACACTTACCCCGTACTCCCGCAGAAGCTTCCAATGTTCTCCTCATTTTGCTGAAGATATACCTTACTCCAGAGCACACTCTAAATTATCTTCGCGCCCTCCTAGCTCCCAACATCCTCGACTTCCAAGGTTCCAGTTTGAATTCCACAAACCGCGAGAAGAACCTCCTCGCTCTAACCCCAGACTTCCTATCTGGCCCTGCGTCGAGATTCTCAATGAATAGGAGAACCAGCTCATTGCATCTGGGATCCCTTCATCTCCACCACTGCTCCTCCCTGATGCCCAAAATTGCACATGGGAGGAAAATGGCGCTTACACAGGCGAAGAAAGTTGCTGTCGAGGTGAAGGACAGCCTGGAAATTGTTTAATTATACTGCGGTATCAGCGTTGAATATGAGCCGATGGGCCACGGATACAATGGCAATGACAACGACAGCGACAGCGACATACATAATACATTGTCATTCAGTCGATTATATTATCTATTGCTACGCCTAAATTTGCGCATTTCCAATGCAATTGGAACATCAACATTGACACAAATATTTCCAAGGTTGTCGCTGGTGTTTTATGGTTTTGTGCATTACCGCACCCCGTCACCGTTATACAACACATTACCAGATGGAAATGCATAGAAAACAAGACACGAACCGAAATGAAAAGCCAAACAGTCAAAGAAAATGATCAAATCGGTCTGGATAGCTTTCTTCGACCCACTATTTTCAATATTTTCATGCGAACAGCACAAACGCTGCCCTTTTTTGCTCTGTCCAGTGGGTCGTTCTATCTGAGTAGGATACTCCCCGGCATCTCGGAAAGCCTATCTGGGGGATCCCGAGCTGATGGAGTCCTGTTATCCACTTTATTCTGGCACTTTTTATGGAGCTGATGGAGTTGAGGGTCTTTCCCCCACGTCTCTCCCCGTCACGAGGATGATCAGAGATTTGCTCTTGGGTACAGACTCACCATGAAAGCTGGGTGTTGATGGGATTTGCTGAAGAGTGATATTGTGTTCGAAAACGAGGAGTATTGATTTCTGCCTGCGATTTTCGACCTTGGCTTGGCTTGTAGATGTATCGGATGCATGAAACTCAATTTGGATTTTCAGTGGGATGTTTGTTTTGCGGAAAATCGGGCCAAAGCTCGGATTACTGCATCAGTTCGGTGAGTCCACTATAAAGTGGACTTGAGTACCCATTGTGGGTTTGCTCCATATACGGAGTATGGTAGACGGTCACGGTACTGCCTAGATGGGCAGGATGTGTTCTATCAATAATTTGTCGCACGAGAAAAGAATTACAAATTTAACGAAGAATCAAAATCAAAATCGAATGAACGCAATTCCTTGCCATATGCTATTTACAAAAAAAAAAGAAAACATGATCGTTTATCTGAATGCGTTTCTACACCGCTTCATTTCTTTTGCAGCTCCTCGCGCATCTCCTGCTTAACCCGAGTCACCGTGCCGATACCGCCATATGTGATACCAGTGTACATCATAGCTACAGAGGCACCGGAATTGAGAGCTGCAAGGGCCTGTTGGCCATTGGTGATTCCACCAGAGACAAAGAGCACCTTGCGAGGCTGCTCAGCCGGGGCCTGCTCAGCTGCAGCATCGGAAGTCTGCGACGGTCCCTGATCAAGGAGGGAGCGGTAACGGGCAACCAGGGCAGTAGAACGGTCAAATAGCTCAGGGCCAGAGTAGCCGCCTGTCTCCTTCATAGTCTGCTGCTCCTTCTCTGGGAGAGTAGACTTAGACGGATCAGGGCGGCGGTTAGTAGTGTTTCCAACGATGATACCGTCTACACCAGAGTTCCAGACTGCCTCGCATATACCGGAGATCTGTTCGTCTGAGTCCTCATCTGGGCTAACCTTAACCATAACGTGGGGCTTGGTCTTGCGCTCAACGCTCTTTGCAGAACCGACAACAGCTGTCAAGATAGCTGTTAAAGGTGCAGTAGCTTGCAGATCGCGGAGACCGGGAGTATTGGGGCTGGACACATTAACGACGAGAATATCTGCGTATTGAGCTAGACGATCAACACAGTAGACATAGTCGCGACTGATAGCATCGATGTCATTGTCGGGTGTGAGCTTGTTTTTGGCTACCTGTACAGCGAGCAGCTTGCCTGGAACCAAACTTCCTGGAGGCACATTGGCTTCGCCGTTCAGAATACGCTGCTCGACGTTCTCGTAATCGCCGAAGCCGGTAGCGTAGGCGAAATCGCGCACACGTTGTTTGAGAATAGCGGCCATGTTATCAGCACCCTTGGAATTGAGACCGTACCGATTGATCATACCGTTTTGTGAGGGTACACGGAACACGCGTGGTTTCGGGTTTCCATCCTGGGGAAGAGGAGTTGTACCACCGATTTCGACAATAGCAGGGCCGAGATCGAATAGAGGGTCGGGGATTTCGCCATGCTTGTCTAGACCGGCAGAGATACCGATGGGATTGGCAAGAGTATGTCCGAAAACCTTAAAACGAGAAGAAGATATTAGTCTATTGTAATCAATTGAGTCTGGATATGAAGACCAAATACAAACCTCAGTACTCAAATCACCATTGCGATCTGGATTACCCCGCTCCCGGGGGTGAAGCCCATACTGATACAGCTCCTTCAAGATATCCACACCAAAGTGGTGTGCATCTTCCGCATCAGGGTATACCGCTCGAATCAGAGGCACCATGGCATACCGGTGAATGCTCGCCCGGGTATCAGTTCCATAGACATAACCCACAAGCAACACCAAAGCCAAACCAGTCGCGTAACGGCCCTTTCGAGACTTTCGAGTCGTACGCTTGGCCAATTCCTTGGGTGCCTCCTTCACTGTTTCCGCAGCTGCAGCCGCATTCGCAGTAGCATTTGGAGCTGACTCCGAGGCATATCGCACAGTGTTGGGCAAACGTTCGGTCCGTCTTGGTAGCAAGGCCGAAGGACGCTGGGTCCAGCGGGATGCAGGGAGCGAACGAGCTCTCAGACCGGCTCGGAAGGCTATCATGGCGGAAATAGAGGTCTTCCTTGGCGAAGGGGCGCCTTGGACCTATGGGACTGGTAAGTTTGAAGCCCTTGTGCTCGTTCAGTGGTGATCTGGTGGGTTTTGCAGAAGCTTTGTCGCCAATTGAGCTCAATTGGGTGAATTGGGGGTTTATCCAGAGCTCAGTCGATCCAATGGGCTGGTAGAGGGGCTCACTTACTGCAATATGGAGCTTGATCCGAGGTTCTTGCAATACACTGCAGATCCATTATTCTTCTAGGGCGAAATCGGGTTGGCGGCGCGGGCGGTGAAAACGTCAAATCGTTCAACCACAACGGGTTAGCGCGTAAGACTTTAACCGGACAGTATACTATCTTGAGGCTCGGAGATCGATCCTCTGGTCGAATATCTGAGTCTTCTTCTCTCTTTTATTTGGATTTGATGAACGGGAGGATATCGTGAACACTCTTATTTTGCCTTTTCAGTGGACCCTTTGGTAGACAATCCTCATGATTTTCGACACCACTCGAGATATCCGAGCTTCATCAGACTGCCTCAAATCCAGGCGTCAAGCCTGCGTCACTTGCCCGTGGCCGAAATGTAAACTTGTTAAATGAGTCACAAATTCGAAATGTGAAATACAGGTCGAGCCTTGAATGGTCGTTTTTTGACTCTGTATATCCATGGGCCTTGAGCCTCATCCACAACCTTGAAAGTCTTTCGATCTTCATAGTACAGATCATGATGACGCCTAAGGTCTTCTCAACCCCGTCTATTTGTATAGCTATATATATGCGGCAGGTTAAAAGCGGAATTAATAAGAAAGCAGATATTTTAAATTGATTCTTTGAGTCCATTCTCATGATTCTTTCGGAAAAGATGTCGGAGGCGCCCGGATTACTTCTCGTGGGTAAAAAGAATCGAGACAAAGTGCATATCTGTGTGCTATGCGGATATGTAATAGGCATTCTTACTCCGCGTTATTACCATCCTCCGAGTCCGCGTCGCAATTGGTTATATAATACTTATTCGTTGGTATCGGACATGGATCTTATCCGAGGAGAAATATTGCAAGAGTTAGCACCGGAATGGCTCGAAGAATCAAACAACTCGAACACCTCTTTCTGTGGAAATCCCATGGATTTGCAGAGAATTTATTTGCAACAACCATGGACTTGGGGATTTTTCTATCGAGGCAGTAAGTCTTCTCATTTCCAGAACCATAAATAATCAAGACTGAAGTTGTTATTGTTGAAAGTCTACAAACACGACGCTACCAGCCCCTTCAAGCTCACAGGCGCTGCGATGGCTAGTAACTGTCATTATTACTATAACATTGATGATGTTCCGACTCTATCTCTGCCTCTTAATCCCCAAAAGCTCATCCTAGGTACTCCTAAGTTGAACGACCCCGATCCATTAATCAACTCTCGTGTATTATCTCTCCATGGCATTTCTAACCTCCTGTGGTGGCTGGGCCATGAAGACGATGTTTCTGACCCTCCTCTGGAATATCCCCTTGTAATTCCAATGCATGAGAGATGTTGGACTTTGATGACCAGTTTATTGGGTGAGAGCCTTATCAAAGCGAATCTTGATACGTTTTTGAGCGCAAATTCCGCGACTCACATCTTTCCAAGGATAAGCTTGAATTATGATGCAAGCTGGACCGAGGAGGAGAGGGAACAATCGCACAAAAACGCACGTGTCAGTTGAGTCTTTACCTAATATGGATATGCAATAGTTACAAAGGAAACTGACTACTGTCCTTCTTATCTTCCAGGAACACAGGTTTCTGGATATGAACACCGATGATCCCTTGAATATGACGGATATCAGAAAGTTACTTGAACGTGCAAGACCGCAAAACAATTCCGATCGCCCTGTATGTCGTAGTCACAGGGGCAAGCGCAAGCAAAAGAGAATAAGAATGAAGAAGAATGTTCAAAGACCGAAAATTTCCAAGAGCCATACTCCTTCCACGTGGCAAGCTCCTGTTCCGCCGGAAATCTGTCTTCAAATTCTGGAAAACATCGATGAACCTCGAGATATAGAAGCCTTTATTGAAGCGTTTCCTGATTTGCAATTAGGCCAGAACTTTTGGCGACAAATGTTCATGAATAAATATCCAGGTGCAAGTGTTCATCTTCCACCAGTCGAATCCTGCGTGTGGAAACCTCTTTTATTGCATATTCAGCGATACTGGTCACTCAGAGAGAATGGCAGTTGGTGGAATCGGGTTCGAATCATGTCAACTCTATTTCAGACCAGAGATAATTTCTTGCGTCTCATAGATGCGAAGAAATTGGAGGTATAGGGTGTCTTCGTGGTCTGGATCTTAGGCTGGTTGACTTGATCGTGACAAAATGGCTATTTGTTAGATGAGAGACATTTGATTGCTGAAATACTTGACATTGCTATATTTACATTTACGAATTTGAACGGAGATATTAAATCGATATGAATCAGGAGGTGAAAGGCTGGCAAAAAATGCATTTCATCATGGTTTATCCGCTAGAAGCCTTAGAAACGCCCCCTTTTGTCTTTTACTTCCTAGACGCCCGCGCCCGTAATTACTCCAGAATGACCATGTGCAAGAAAGAAATTGGCCGCGATGCCCATTTACTCATCACTCATATGGGCATCCTCATCGGCGGAGGCATGCTGTGCGCCTTCCTCATCTGCAGCATCGGCAGGCTCTGGAGGTGAGGGGAGGGACCTTGCAAACTCCGGGTCGATGTTTGCGCGGTGCCGAGCACGCTTGTAGGTCTCTGACTCGTCGGGGTCTCGGGGAGCAACTTGCATCTGATCGATTTGGTCCTCCTTGACCTGGGAGGCAGTCGGAGCCAAACCAGCTTGGGCGATGGTGCGAGCCCGCTCTGGCTTGAGGCGGGTCTTGCTTAGGATGGGGTAGTAGTAAGCGGCCAGTTGCTTGTCTTCACTTTCAGTTGGCTGGAAGAGAGTCACAGCGAGGTCCCTCTGAGCCTGATCTGTGTTGAGAGCTTGAGCACTGGTTGCGTAAGTACGCAGCCGATCGTAGCGGTGGAACTTGTTACCCTCAGCGCTCTCGTGCGAATAAAGGCTTTCCTTATTGCGGTCTGGGTTCTTGATATCCATACTGGCACGGATGTTTTTCGCATTCTCTGCCTTATCTGCAAGGAAAATGTCATAGTTCCAAGGAACGGGGCCAGGGTCAGCGTAGGCCTCTGGGTTGGCCTTGTGAAGCGCGGCCTTATTGGCATGGGCCTCACATACGCGCTCCTCGGGAGCAGATGGATGCAGGAGAGCAGTGTCCATGCGCTTGTCTCGTTTACCACCAATAGCCGTTACTGGCGCCTTGTCAAACTTGAATTGGACCAGGCCACCAAGATCCGTGAAGCCCTCAAGGTCAGGCAACACAGGGAAGAAACCAACAGGTTTCAGCTTCGGGTTATCAGGGTGAACGGGATGAGCCCAGGCGTCGATTTCAGCCTTCGTAGCGGGAAGGCCGCGGACATGGCTTTCCGTCTCCTCGCCAGTATGCTTACTCTCAGGGTAAGCGATGTCGAAGCCTTTCACAAGGAATTTCTTGATGTGCTTAGGGTCGTCGAGTGCGAGCTTTGACTTTCTGGGAGTTCGACTCTGAGCACCAGTGGGAGTTGCACCGGCTGATGCGGTGGTAGCGGCGCGATCAACGGAGATGTGTTGAGTTCTGCGGAGGAAACTAACGTTGGTATTTTTGGGAGCGGGATTGCGGAGTTGGTCAAGAGTCATCAGAAGTGAAAGGTCGGCAGGATCAAGACGTTGCGGGTATTCGGGTGTCATAATGGCTTGGGATATCGTCAGTATGAGTTCATGACCGCAATGAAAGCCGAGATTTGAATGGAAACCGTATACATACCACTTTCATCGCCAAGGTGCAAGCCCGGAATTCCGACCAAGTCAATGGGCATGCCACCTTCAGCATCCACGTCGATGTTAGGCTCCTCACGACGCGCGAGGTTGGAGGCAAAGCCGGGGGTGAGAAAGCGACTAAGCCCTTCATGGGGAATATCGAGAAGTTTGGGAGGCATATCAGGAGGGGGAAGATCATTGCGATAGCGTAAGGAAGCTATGTAGTCTTGGTGAAAGCCACCGGAGGACTGGCCCTCCTTCGGTTTGGAAGACATATTGGATGATTTCGTGGTGGTAATGGCAGGTTAAAGATTGAGGGTTGTCTCAGCACCCGTCGTATCAGGCTGCTTGTCAAGAGCAATGCCGCAGTCCTGGTTGCTATTCAGGTCGATGCTCGGATCCACTCCAGCGTTGGGCGTTCTTGCTAGAGTCAGAGATAGAGCCAGTAGGGGGCGTGAAGTGGGCGTCAGATCTAGAGCTGTCTCCTGGGGAAGATTGTTCCAAGGTTCCTAAATACAAATACTTGTGAGTTGTTGCTTCGCGTGGGGTGGAACGCCATAACTTACTCGGATCGGGCGCAAACGAGATGTGGTGGGGTGGGGTTCGACCAGTGCGGTGATTTCCAGTAAGCGACGAGGACGCTGTATACGAGGAGTCTCAATTTGTATCAATTACTAGCATTGATCAGTTGGAACGGCGTACCTGCGATAAAAGCAGAATCTTGCAAAAAGTCCGAGGATGGGTTAGGAGCGGTTGAAGTGCTGGGAGGGGTCGCGGCGGAGAAATCGATTGAAGAGGTCCTAGTGAGCCGAGCCTTCGATTTCTTGCGATTGAGTGGGAGTTTAGATCGCTGACGACGAACCCAAGGACCAATCTTGGAGATCCAAGCTGGAGTAGTTGACTTGCGGTCCATTAGGTTTAGACACACCGCCTGCCTTTCTTGCGGACGGCCAAAATTCGGAGTATCTATCCACCGAGCCGAACTATGAGATCGGAAGGAAGTAATTCCGATGAATGGGATGAAAGAGCTTCAGCAAACTGTAGGGACAGTATGTTTTTGAAAAAAAGGAGATGGGTGAAAGTGGGTGAATGGGTGGCTGTATGATGGAAGGGTAGGAGATGGGTGGGAAAGGAAGGTGGGTTGAGAGAAGTGAGAGGATGGCGTTAAATAATGCACATGGGTACTTCGTCTAGGTACCAAGGGCTGTGTGATACCTCAGTCACTACATTGCAGATTCTCACGTCTCTTAGGGAATCCAGCAGGGGATTTTTATCAATCTGGTCTATTCTAGCACAGAATATTCTACTTCCAGTCCATATGATATGATATGAATCTCTAGAGCTAGTTCGAACCCATCTATATTGCAGCCTCATATGAACAGGAATAATATCATGATGACTGGCTGAAGGCGTAAGAATGGTGTTTCTACGCGAAGCCTGCGTGACAGAGGCAAGAGAATCAGTTGTTCATTTAATTAAAACATAACCTCAAAATCCATAATTTCCGAAACTCCCTTTGCGCAGTCCTTCAAAAAAGAGATTACAGCGGCTATAATGCCTCAGTATGACCACATACACTTATACGCCATGACCCGTGCGCCCAATCGGTCATACTCCAGCTGTCCGATCCAACTATCATTCGTGCCACTCAATTTACCAAAGATACTAGCACCCTTCCACACAACAACCTGAGGATCCAAGTCTCGAGGTGGAACTCCAATCATGATCTCCTTGGCAAATCCTGGGCGAAGGCTTTGAAGACGCTCTTCCAAGAATAAATGGAACCCGCTGGTCAAAGATCCACCTCCAACAATCATGATGCCACCAATGAAATCTCGCATCTTCTTCTCATCAGAGCGGGCAGCGTGAGCAATCGAGGTCAGGATCGCAGTATCAAGAGAATATACAGCTAAGATATCATCTCGCTCTTCTACTACAGGATGGGACGTTTGAGTTGTCGGCACGGAGACAGCAGGTGTACCAGCTCCTCCTGCCTGAGAAGTGCTTGTCTCTGGGCCTGGAGAGCCAGCGACTGAAGAATGAGGCGTGGCTTCTTGATCTTGCACACGGCCTAATGCGCTAGAGGGTTGGGGCTTGCTGGGTGTTGCTTGTACATCCGCTGGTGTTGATTGCGAATCCCCATTTGTTTTTGGAAGTGGAGGAGCAAGGGCTGTTAATATTTCCGATTGAGCGGCTGAGATGGGATCATTATACTGGCCGTCATAGATGTCAACTGAACGTTCAATCAGCTGCCGACGCCTATGAAGCTTTGCAGAATTATCAAAGATTGTTGGCTCAAAGAAGCCCATCGGTGCGAGATGAACTTCATCGAAAGCTTTGAATGTGTGCTTCTGAGTGTCTTGACCAGCCACCCGGAGATGAAAGTCAAAGACTTGCGGGGAGACACTGGCCTCGTTCATGGTGCAAAGATTCCTTTTCAACTCTTCTGCCAACAGAAAGTCGTATCGCCGCCACAGGTTAATATCGGCGTAAGGGAAATGGTCATGGAGCATCATTTTGGTGAAAGTTTCCGTAACATCGCGACCTCCCATCTTCAGATTCACCCGAGAATTCTCCAAGCACATGCCTTCCTCAACACAGCAAATTGATGTTTTCTGTGCTCCAATATCCACAACACAAGCAGAGGTAAATCCAGCACCAAAAGTCGCAGCCAAACTCTCCTGAATAAAGCAAACCCGGGCAAAAGCAAACTCGCGCATCAGCATATCTAGTACCTGCGTGACATATGACTTTTCGTAAAGATCTGGGATGACGAACACACAGGAGTACTGTGGCCAATCCTTTTTGCTAGTCAAACCAAGTTGATTCTTGATAGCATCCTCAAGAATTAATGAAATATCTAGGAACAGCATTCGCTTGCTGGCATAGTCGCTTTCGTTACATTGACCATTTTGGATTGGCCAGTAAAGCTTATAGCGAGGCTTTGATGCGTCCGCCACTCTCAATGCGGGATGTCCAACAATATACTCTGGTGGGGGGTTCGAGAGTTCGGTCCATTCAATACGCATGGGATCATTGTGCTCGGAAATAGTCTCAGGCACAGTTCGCCGGTTGAAGTTGACCACCATTTCCTTGGAGTTGGGCAGCATTCGTCGCTTGTTTTGGCGCATGTGCACTTTGAGATCGGCTGACATTTTGTTGAAATGAGACGACCACTGTGTTCAAATGTTAGTCTCCGTTTTCCACTCCACATATATATTTATTAAGTGAACATACCTCCGGTCCAAATAGTTGTTCTGGCTCTTCGAGCGTCCCGTCTTCGAGCTTTTGTCTCTTCGGCTTGGGCTCCTCCCGATCTTCACTTTCACTCGTCTTCGCTTTCCTCGCAATCACCATTGGCACAGTTTTTGGTAGTGCATCACTCGATAATCCAATGCGTAGGTTTTGGCTACCAATATGAATAACAATGACTTTGGAACCAACTGCTTCAGTTTGGGCCTCATCCGCATCTTCCATATTGGCATCGCCGTCTGCTTCCGTCTCTGCCTCCGCGGCTTCATTGGTCTTTGCTATTGCGAGGGCACGGTCCTGATCCTTGGCGGACTTGGTCATTTTGGTTCTTGCTTCTTCGTTTGCCAATCTAAAGGCCAAATATTGGTCGTCTCGCTTCAGGTAATCACTATACATAATGAAATACGATTAGCATCGTTATCCATTTGCCGAACAATCGATTTGTCTCAAAGGAAGACGTACGTGTAGTAGTTTTTTTGGTTGATCGCTGGGACCTGTGGCCAGCTGGAGAGATCCATGTTATTGTCCGTCCGTTCAAGGCCTGGTATTTCATGATTAGCAATTGGTCTCTCGTTGTAGCCAAGGTAAATATGCCATAATCTCAATTACTGACCTTCATCCCGAAGGGCCTTGCCCGACTTCTTTCCGACCATGATGAGCTTTGCTTTGCGCCGCCTCCGTTCAATTGATGGCAGGAGAGAGTGTATCTAGGGAGCGCGCAAACGAGCGGGCCCACTATCTCGGAGGCGTGAGGTCTGGATAGTGTGTAGGTCGATCGCGAGGCGCGGGTCGCCTGGTCGGATGAAAAGTCGAAAACGTGGGTGGATTCCGCGAGAAAGCGGAATGAAGGTGAATGGAGAAGACAAGGAGTCTTTTAACACGGATTTCCGGGAAGTGGGAAGCTTAGTTCGGGACAGTCTAGAAGCGCCATTCTTGACCCCGATTGACCGCCCACACGCACAGGCCGATTGTTCAAACAAGTCCGATGCGGTTGCCACCTTCACTCTCTCTTTCAACTCCACAGAATCTCTTGAGAGTCTCTGATCGACTCCGTCTGAGCTAAATATTGCTCTTATTCACATTTGACCTCGAAAACCGCTCCCCTGGCCCGCCCACGACACCTGAATCTTACACCTCCGACTCCGTCCTCACTAGGACCCTCCACCCTCCACCAACTACCTAACCTACCTCCACGCGCCCTTACAATACAATCATGGGAGGCTCATTATCTCGTCTTTGGTCCTTGGTTTGGACTAAAAAGGAAATCCGAATTCTCATCCTGGGTCTTGTATGTGCAGATGACGTTGCGCGGGGGGGATGGGGACCTCTAATGCGCCGAAGTGTGGAGTCTTTGTGCTAATACAACTGTTTGAATTAAGGATAACGCTGGAAAGACCACTCTTTTGTACAGACTAAAGGTATGAGTCTTAGATCTTAAAGATTCTGTTCCACATCAGACGCGTTTGCCCTTGCGTGTTCATTAGACTAACAAGCTGGCGTTTCCAGATCGGCGAGGTCGTCACCACGATTCCCACCATCGGATTTAATGTCGAATCTGTGACATATAGGAACTTGAATTTCAACGTTTGGGTATGATACTCGCAATTCCAAACTATCTTGGATCCTCTGCTGACTGGGCAATTCACTCCAGGATCTCGGTGGCCAAACATCCATTCGTCCGTACTGGCGGTGTTACTATGCCAACACAGCGGCTGTCATCTTCGTCATAGATTCCACAGACATCGAGCGGTTGGGAACCGCAGCGGACGAGTTAGCGGCTATGTTGAACGAAGAAGAACTTCGAGACGCAGCTCTCCTCGTATTCGCCAATAAGCAGGATCAACCTGGTGCAAAGGGCGCGGGCGAGATTTCGGAGGCATTGAAATTGGGAGAGTTGCGTGACCGGAATTGGAGTATTGTCGCTTGCTCTGCCATTGATGGCAAGGGTGTCGAAGAAGGCATGGACTGGCTGGTGGTATGTCTCCATTGTTCCACCCCATGTGTTGACCCTCTGTCTTCGGATTACTAATGGTATTCATCTACGAACAGCAAACCATCCAAGCCGAAAACGCATGAAACGTTTTTTATGATGTCGGGCGATAGATTTGATTTTCTTTGATATACCTTAGACCCAAGGTGCTCACGCGACTTGGGGCTGCTCTGCTGCATTCGGGGGTGCGCTGTAGTTTTTTCTCTTCGGCTCTGTGGCCAGTTTTGTCTTATATTGCTATATGTTTGGGGTATCACGTCTCGCAGCCGTTTAAAGATAATAGTTTAATGAAACTGCTGTTGGGATCGGGTAGGTATATACATTCCAAGTATATAAGTAGGGATTAAGAACACCGAGGATATCCCCATGAAAGGTTATTCCCTCTTCAAATCGCACTTGAGGGTAGTATTTGTGACATACTAAATGCAAATTCACTGATTTAATCATTGCTATCTTCCGAGATAAGACCTGCATTGACCCCCGCACCTTAAGGCACGACCCCATGTCTAAGAGTCGGGTAGTACTCATGGCATTAAATTATTTCTCTTCATCACACCATACCCTTGTTCGTAACACCGATACACTCCAGCTTCCATCACTTGCATATTGTCTCCATATTTGACCTTGGAATCTGTTCTGTGATATCAACATGGCTAGTCCAACTACTCAAATTGCAGCAGTAATCCCCGCATTGGGTCCAAGCGACGTATCGAATGTGCAGATTAGCAACACCCATCCGGTGCCCAGCCCTGGAGAAGGCGAGGTGCTTATCAAGTTGGAGTTCTCGGGAGTTTGCCATTCCGATGTGCATAGCATTCGAGGTGATACGCCCATGCGAACTGATGTAGCTGGCCATGAAGGTGTCGGCAAAGTAGTATCTGGTAAGATGGCTCAGCTTCCAATTTTACCCCTAATTTAAAGTCCCCCATTGAATTCATGTTAAAATTGGCTTTAGTTGGAACTGGTTTGGATGGAAAGTTGTGGATGGGTCAAATGGTTGGCATCAGGTTTGTGGTCTCAATCATCTGTATATGTTCTCTCGAGTCTGACCTCTGAAATACTAACTCTTGATTTTGAAAAGATGGCTGTATAGTTCTTGTCTCGAATGCGAGATCTGTGAGATAAATCATACGGCGTGCCCTAATCAAAGAAACGCCGGTGCAGTATGTCAACATCTTCCACGTTAAACTGGCCATCTTTCTCCAAGGGCTGTGATTTAATATCCGATCATCACTAACATAACGATATTTAGAATGTCCCGGGGACGTTTCAACGTAAGTATACCATTCCGACAAGAGATTGCTCCGGTCTGGGCTGGGTCAAGGCCGCTAAATTTCGATATGGCTCACGAGTTTGTTGTTGCGGATACTAGAATACATCGTTAGCCCAGCTATCCATGCTACCAAAATACCAGCAGGGCTGTCTCCCGATCTAGCAGCACCTTTACTATGCGGTAAAGTTATCAACTTCACATTAGTTTGAGTACTTCTGATTCAATACAGCTGGAATCGCCATGTACTCCTCGATAAAGAAAAGCAAAGCCAGACCAGGTGACTGGCTTGCCATCCTGGGCGCCGGTGGCGGCTTAGGGCATATGTACGTCAACATTTGCGGCCAATGGCAGAAAACCATTGATGATATTCTATATTAACAAGCAAGAGCAGGGGTATTCAAATTGCGGCAAAGCAGGGGTTAAAAGTTCTGGCAATCGATACGTGAGCTTACGATACCGACCTTGATCAATAATTGAAGAAGCTTGAACGAGCAGGTCCACTAATTAAACATTACAGCGGCGATAAGAAACAGGACCTATGTATGTCACTCGGGGCTACTAAGTTCTTAGATTTTCGCAAAGAAGACATAGTTCAAAGCGCCAAAGCAGCTACGTCTGGACTCGGTGTACATGGTGTAATCTGTACGGCGAATGGAGAGAAAGCCTACGAGCAGAGTATGCAAATGCTCCGTCCTCTGGGGACTCTGGTTTGTGTTGGTATTCCACATATTCCGTTCAGGCTCCCGGCTACTCCATTCGAGATGATAGTTAAAGGTATTGGAACAAATCATACTTCGACCTTGAGCTAGCTTATCATAATTGCTAACTGAGTCGTTCCTATGAGCATAGGTCTTAGTATCGTCGGAAATTCTGCGGGAACAGCGCAAGAAATGGACGAACTGCTGGCAATGGCACTCGTAGGAGATGTAAAGGCACACATCGAAGTGTTTGAATTGCAAGAGATTGTTGATGTGTTGAAGCGGCTTGAGCGTTCGGAGATTGAAGGAAGAGCGGTCTTGAGGATTCCAGTAGGATAGCGAAGTGCAGAGAGGAGCGAGCCCCTTTTTTAAACTGGTAAAGAATATGAGACCTTTGAGTTCAAGCAATAGATAAAAATCAAATAACAAAAAGTCATCAAGTTTGTAGTACCAATGATTGATGTTTTCTTTAGTGCGACCTGAGCTGTGATTGGCTGGAACCCATCAGCTGCATAGCCACATATCACCTGACCTGCCACTGACCAGCCACACTGTCATCTCAACGCTGATTGGTCCAGTTCAAAGGGACACTTTGCTTCTGTTTTCCAGAAACACGCATTCAGTCACTGCGATCTGCGATTTCCCTCGGGCTTCCATCTCTCCTCCCAACAACCTCTACACAATAATCATGGATGTCCCTGAGCCAGATCAGTCGCCCTTCACTGCGGTGACCGCACACACCTCCAAATTGACTAGGGTAAGTGATCCTCCGCCGTGACAGATAACATGTCTCCTCGAGTCGAATCCCCGATTCCGGAACTCAGTATCCCGCACGAACGATCACTTTATTAACACCTCGCCAGCAATACCAAGCATATCTGGATGCCTCAACTCCCCATTCCACCGGTCGCTGGGTAGGAACTGGTGTCCTGCTCCTCTGCTTCTTCCTGCGCATCGTCCTCTCTCAAGGATGGTACATCGGTACGTACCCCGGTCCCGCATGCGCCAGCCACGCAACCAAAGTCCCAACCCCAATTGAGCCTACACATAGCTCTCAGCGCAGAAACCCGTCAAACCCGTCTTATCATCCTATAAAAACAAAACAAAACTAATCAATTCTTTCCATAGTCGCCTATACTCTGGGAATCTACCTCCTGAACCTCTTCCTCGCCTTCCTAACTCCCAAATTCGACCCCTCCCTCACTCAAGACGAGGGCCTTGAAGATGGCGACGCAGGCCCCATCCTCCCTAACAAAAACGACGAGGAGTTCCGTCCCTTCATCCGCCGCCTCCCCGAATTCAAGTTCTGGCACTCCGCCACCCGCGCCATCTTCATCGGCTTCGTATGCAGCTGGTTCACCGTCTTCAACATCCCTGTTTTCTGGCCCGTCCTCGTTGTCTACTGGTTCATCCTTTTTGTCCTGACTATGCGTCGCCAAATTCAGCATATGATTAAGTACCGCTATGTGCCTTTCTCATTTGGAAAGACTCGTTACGGCCGTTCATGATTAAGTCTGTAAGCATCAGTATCAGAAGAGAACAGAAGCATGACTTGACTTGATTTCATTTTGTCCTTCGCCTTTCAATTCCTTCATTTCATCCATGCTGGTCTAGACTTAATTCACGCTTAATGGTGGGATGTGATGCTTTGGGTTCGGAGCTAGGCTAGGCTAGCTTGGCTTGTACTGATCATGATGGATTGCGATTCTGTTAGCATTAGCGATGTGCTATGATCGTTGGGAGTCCGGCGAGTTGGCTCCGTGTATTTTGTTGGAGCTTTATTTGGTTCTTTTCTCTTTCTTGGCTCCTTTCTGTTGTTATACTTGTGTGCCCCGTTTTCTTTATTTCATGTGAGATATGATTATTAGACTGGGGCTAGTAAATACACTGGCTTGCAATGCTTGGTTCGAATGTTTTTTATGATGAGGTTCTTTACTATAATATTGTTAAGATTCGAAATTTGTATAAATCTTCATTTGATCACAATTTATTCAAGTTAATTGTCATATATACAGTCTTCACTTCATGTGGAGATTACTTCTGTCCATGCTACACGCAGACGGTCATATAATCCAATCTTGTCATATCAGTCTATGGCTCCATACACCCCAATAACTATGTGCATAGAAATATAAAGAAGAAGCATGAGCGCGCAGAGGGGTAGTCATTGAATGGAAAAAGAAAAAAAAATAAACAGGAAATGAACAATGGTATCTAGGAAGGGTTGGGAACGGTCTCAATCTCAAATCTTTAGGTCCTCGACGCTGGTACTCCGTTTCGCTGTACCGACGGCACTGTCTCCAAGAGAGAGAGCAGACATCGAGCGACTGGACTGGGGGCGAATGACATCCTCGTTCTTTGTACAGATCCAAGTAGAGGCATACATGTTGACACTAAAATAAGGTGAGCTTGGGCTAATGTGAACGTTAGGTCGGACAAGACTTACCGATCAATGCATGTTCCTGGGAATCGGGAACCGACCCGGCGGGCTGTGAAACCATTTTCCTCGAAGTGCTTGATGTACCAGGGATCGATGCTGGCGGAGCGGAGGAGAATACGGCCGCCCTTCTTTAGAGCGTGGTTTAGACGGCGAGCTTGAGCTGCAGCGGCATCTTCAGCGGGATCAAACCAATCCATTGAGTCCATGACCTAGAATGCTTGTTAGAAGGTGTTTCGAGGTTAAGAGACCGGCTCTATTGTTGATACTTACCACTGCGATTGTCAATGTACCAGGGGTAATGCGATTGATCACCTCGTTAATCTCATCGGTATGGATCCGAAGACCATCGAAGGCACCTGGTGTGGACATCTTGACATGTGCCTGGGGCGAGAGGTAGGTAGGATGGCAGCTGTCATCTTGTTAGTATACAAGAGTATCATATTCGTGCTATGGAGGAGACATACCGGCGCGAGAATTTGCCCTGTAAGCAGAGATAGTAGAAGTAGTTGTCGTTGCTGAGAAGTGTATCCTTGGCCACGGGGTCAAGTGTGTTGACAACGAACTCCCAGATAGACTGTCCACTGACATCTTTGCTTTGCTTCATATCAGAGTTCAAACCATTACGACGGAAATAGTCGTCGACAATCATGTTGCGTTGGTTGCGAGGCACACCAGCAGCCTTCCAGGCAAACCACTCAGTGCTCACGATGGCCCAGTTAAGCGGCTTACTCAAGAGAAGTCTGCGAACGCGAGGCCAGATAGCTCGTTGCTCATCAAGAGTCTGGGCTTCACACATCTTCTTTACCGCACCCTCTAACCCGAAGAATTTTGATAGGTAGCGAACCATGCGAATAGCATGGCGTGAGCCACCGGTCTCATATAGACCTTGGCCAGAAGTAGAGGTGAAGACGTGGCTATGCTCAAGCCAGTACTGAAATGCCTGACTAGACAAATGAGGACTCATTTTAGAAATGAGCAGCTCGCGGAACTGGGCATGTTTTCCCTCGGCAAAGAGCTTCCACATATCGCGGTGACCCAGGGCCAGGTAGCTAGCAACCTTAAGCTCGAGAAGATGGTTTTGGTTAGGGTTCAGATCGACAGCATGCACGCGGCGTGGGTTCTTCTGGAGATAATCTAGAATATTATCACCAGCACTGGTAATTGCCAGAATCACATCATCTGGGCCAATATTGAGGAGTCGGTGGTCAACACGGGGATCTTCCCAAGTAAAGGCGTAGATATATTCGTTTTGGAACTGAGTGTGCTTGGGCAGCATGTCGTTGTAGTGGATTCGGTAGTGGTGGTTCTGGTAGAATGAAGATGGAAGAGGTAGGTTGGCACTGAGGTTCACAACAGCGCTTTCGTAGGCCTTTGATCGAACTTCCCGAGAGCTCCTTTCAATAGCCTGGTCCCTCTCGACCTGGTGGTTGGCAGGGGATAGATAAGGAGATTCGGTGAATGAGGCATCAAGCTTCTCAATAGCATCTTGACTGGATGGAGTGGAGGCGATCTCCTTGGGACAACCAACGAAGATGTAGTAGGGAATTCCGCCCAACAGATAGTTGCGGTCACTTGCAGAAATGACAGTTCCAAATTTGTACTCCAGGTAGTCTCGACGAGCAGCCTCCAAGCTAACGCGATCAAAGTCAAACCAAGCTCGCCAGAAGATACGACCGAGCCAGTTGACATGACGGTTGAAAGCGCCACCAGTATAGTTGCGAGATGAAACATCGACAATGCTCTGCACTGTTCTGAGGTTAGAGGATTTGTCTCTGCAAAATTTCAAGGGTACTCACCATAGAAGTCACAGACACCCAATACACCAGTCTTTGTTAGGCGCGAAGTGAGGGAGTCTACCACACTGTAGTAGTCTGAAAGAGTTAGCTCAAATTATCGAAGCCCGAGTAGTCCTGCTTACCTGGAATCATGGAAAGACTGTAGCTCATGGTAATCAAATCCGCCCGATCGCTCGTGGCAGAGTTGTTGGACCGTGGGTCGACCGGGCGTTCTGGGAGTTGGAAAGATCGGGCATCTTGGCAAAGAACCGTGATATTCTTCCATCCAAGGCGTTGGAAACGTTGACGGGCCACATCGCAAAGAGAAGGTGAAAGATCCACTAGATATACTTGATCGAAAAACTTGTTAACAGGTACGAAAGCGGACATGGCTTCGATGTTGTAACTATCCGAACACGCGGTTAGCTTCAGTTACTATACGTAATAACCCAAACTAGCTTACCCAGTGCCACCGCCAATCTGGAGAGTTAAGTTAGCGTTATTCACTTGTAAGTGAAACGGGCTCAACTCACGTCTACCCATACGGCCTTTCCCGGCTTGATTTCCTTGCTCTCAACTTTGTGTTTTAACTGCGCCGCCACTAAGCCCAGCATATCCTCCCTTCCCCGGAGAAGACGGCGACGGGTAGCATCGTAGACAGTCGCCTATAGAGTATTAGTGGTTTGAACAAGGTCTTGTGATCTCGGTTGGACATCATGCCTGTGTTCGGTAGAAGCTCTCCAGCGCATCTTGCTGGGCAAAAGTGGATTTATCGTGCGGCTTGAGGAAGTTGGCCCAAATGAATTTGACATAGGCTAATGGCCCATGGTCCATATCGACCTTGAGCTTTTGAGACGAGACAAAAAGAACCAACGCCACCAGGGCGAAGACCAGGAATGCCGTGCCGGCAATGTAAACGTGTAGTAACTCCATATTGAGCAAGGGAAGCGTGAACCCGGGAAGTGAATGGTCTCAAAGAAGTAGCGGGGGAGGCACGAGCAGACCAGATTCATATATACAGAGAGACGAAAACGCCAATGGAACACGCCCCATTGCGAGGGGTAGAGGGCACCACCCATATCCTATCACCGCGACACATGGGTGGGGAGGCGATAAGACGAAAAGTGGTGGGGGAAAGGAAGCTATGGCAATCAAAATGGACAAAAGTACCAGGGAACCTGAGCCTAAGGAGAAACTCTCATAGTCGGGCTATGTCACTGGTACCTACCCGTTTTAGACTTCAAACTCGCGAAGATCGAATTATTGGAGTCATTATGGATTTTGCCTCTCGTCGATCAACCAAATTTACATCTAATTATTCCGCTATCGGAGAGTGGAGTTTCTATTGCATTACGAAGTGCAGCACGGAAGAGGTCTTTGACCAACCTCTTTCTTAGTTCAACTTTAAAAGGAATTGGCTTTAACCTCCCTGCAGTAGTAGATCCGTCGTGCGGACATGGGAGCCATTCAGCGCTGGGGGCAGCCGCATGTGCTGGGGATCGCTCCACTGGGGAGCCGCTTGGGCCCCACTACAGCGACGGGAAGCCCATCACTCCGGCTCGTGGGAAGAACGAGGAGCCCCCATAGGCCCATTCTCACACTCCAATCAACGCATCGATTATAAGCACATTGGAGCTTCCCCGGGTTTGTATGGGACTCTCTCAATAGCAATGGTTGCTTGCGTCACTTTCAAATGTTAGTCTACTTAGGCAGTGTCTCATGCCTGCATTCGCATGCAAATGGTGCATTTTCGCCGTTCTAGATATAGTAGCACATGCACATGTGGGACAGATTAAGGCCGGTGGTCATCTGTACTAGTCGAAGATGGCGCCCGGACATTTACATAGAGAGTTTAGATTTATTGTGAATTTCTGGTGATATTCATGAAAGCCAGCACTAAATATGCAAGTAGATAAACGGATACTAGTAACCGGATATTCTTCGAGTTCCAATTAAGTCGCACGTTTCACGATGAGAAATACAATGGCACGAGTGACTGTCTCACAGCGACCCTCCAGATGTCCATCTAACCTGGGATAGATCCCCGGTGTGTTATAATATACCAAACTGTATAGACAAATAGTGGAAAATCAGAGGGCAGCAAATTTAATTCATTGAGGAAACTGGGAAGACTGCCAAGTTTTATACACAAACATCTAAATAGAAATTAACATAAAAGAAGTGAAGGCATATCAGCATATTTGAGCTGCAGTTTTGAGTGTCCATAGTAGTATAGCAAAAATTTGGTGCCCAAATTATCGCCGTTTGTTGCCCGATGTAGCAGTTAAGGCCCGAGGAATTAGCTTCTTCATGCATGCGAATTTGCTTCGCAACATATAAGCCGTAGTGTCTTGGAGATTTAGTAATTTCTAGACGATAAAAAAAGGGATATGTGAATATCAGAATGAATAGAACGATGTTACTATAGCTCTCCCAAGTGTTGCAGGAAGAGCCATTTTATGGGCCATCCAGGCATCCAGGCAGCGGGAGAGAGACCAAGAAACGCGCACATATACCAGGGGAGAACTTTCTTGTTATAGGAATAATTTGCTTCCTATCTCTTGTGAATCTTATTTCTTAGGAAGTAGATAACTTTAGCTAAGACTTGGAACGAATGGAAATAGCTCAATCAAGTGAGAAATCATGGATATCCCATCAGTCTGCAGTCGATCTAATGCCAACGATCCACAAATTTGATAACCTTCCCAGCCGTAGCGCTTCTTTCGAAACCCTGAATATTTTCCAGGATTGTAATCTTTGAAAGATGCTCATTTTCAGGGAAAAAAGAGAAGAAATGTGCTAGGCGTCTTAAGAGTTCATCATCAGGGATGATGCCGTCTCTTGGGGAAGACCGCAGTAAGCGAATCTCAAGAGTCGCCTCAGGTGTACCGTCTAATTTATCCAGAATAACTTGCCACTGCAGAATACCACAATCCGGGGTCTGCATAAAAGCTTCAATAGTATCAAACTCAAAATAACAAGCATACCATTTGAAGCTGAACCGCCTGTCACGGCCTTGCATTCGCAACACGCGAAGGTACTTCCTATCGGCCTCAGGCACCTTACTGTAGGCGGACTCTGGCAATGGATAAAGTGAGCCGACATCACCAGTGATGTAGCGTACTAGCGGATTGCGCAGTCGCTGAAGAGAAGTCTGCACGATAAGACCTTTCTCTCCATATGGAAGCACAGTTGAACCAGACAAATGTTCATCCTCTAGCGTGGACAAAGGCAATATCTCAACAAAGACGTGACGAATATCAAAGACAAATTCATTAGATCCAGACAAAGTCTCGGGCTGTTCTCCCGTCAATTCAGGGTTGCTGACTGCCCAAGCGCCCGCCTCGGAACTACCGAGGACCGATAATATTTTCACATTACCCAGAACGGTCTTTATGAAACTGCGCTGAGGATCAGTCAGAGGCTCGGAGGTGTAGATAATCTTATTCAGACAAATACGGCTGCGATCCTCTTGCTTCATCATAGAAATTGCATGAACGACTTGAATGATCTGACTACTATCGCCGGTCAGAGCGTTGACATGGTAATCTGCGAGAGATGATGCAACTTGAGCAGGTGGCATATAGCTACCAGCGCTGAGGACAGTGGCTCCGGCCATTTCGAATAGCTCTACCATGAGATCGAGAGACCTTTGTTCTTTTGTTAGAAGATCGCACGTAAAATTTATGTTAGGATATGGGTAAATTACCGATAGAAACCTCCTGCCAAATGTGTAGATAGTACCCAGTCTTTCGGCTCGATAACTCCGGTAATCGATAAGAATTTGCCGACTTGAGCTCTCTGTCGCCGATTTTCAAAGGCGTCCACGGCAAACAGCATAGGAACTCCACCAGAGCCACCACCAGTGATGCTCATATAGCAACCATGACGGTAGGCATTCTGGGGATCCACATCATGCGTAAGACGTGAAATTGCTTTGTACCTGGTTTAAAGGCAAAAATTAATTCATGTTCGTATAGTTGATATTCAGATTTTCCAATACGATCATACAGTGTCTTTTTCTCAAGCAATGGCTGCTCTCGAAGATCAGGCTGCACTTCTTTGTCGACTACCGAGTGGCGAATTTCTTGAATTTCAGCCGCAGTGCCGGGGTATGTAACATCCGCGTTATAAAAAGGATGCGTCTTAGCGACAGCCAGAATTTCTGCCAATGAATAGCTTTCTGTGGACATTTTTGCGCAATTGGACTGCAAATGGTCGTTCTAGTCAAAAGGTAAAATAGTAGATGTCTGACCGATGAATCGAACGATTTTTAAGACCGAAAAAAAATCCACAAAAGAGCTCAATCCAGTGGAGTTCACACGATTGACCTGAGATGAGAACAGGCAAGAGGAAGCGATATTTGAGGATTTTGGCCGTGGCCAAGGTGAAGAAAATAAATAACATAAGAAAGAATACCTGTATTACGGCTACCAATACATGCCTAATGCCCCTGCGTAAGATCGGCGGAGGAGCTGAATAGGGATCCTCCCTCCAAACTCAAGCGTAAGATCGTGGAGGAGCTGAATAGGGATCCTCCCTCCAAACTCAAGCGTAAGATCGGCGGAGGAGCTGAATATGGATCCTCCCTCCAAACGCAAGGCGCCGCTAAAAGTGGGCTAGAGCGGCACTAATGCACACGGAAGAAACAGGATATCGATTTTCAGGTCTGGCCCCTTTCAACTAGTGCAATCGATCCGTAATATACCGGTATGAAATATGGCCCTGACGAAAAAAACACTTCCAAAGATTACTAGCATTGGTTAACCTTGTTTTACCTTTGGATTAAGTTTTATAGTGCAGAACTGCCATGTGTACTTAACATGGATAGAATGATAGAGGAGCAGATACTGTATAATGTCAAGCTGACCTACAGTTTGATTTGGAATATGCTAGTTCAATTTGAAATCATATCAAGAGTACACTTGTAGTAGTACAGCTACATACAGGTGCATGCAGTGCGGTATTTTGTCTCATCTGACTGCACTCTAAATCGGATCAATCCTGTACAGACTGCATTGCCTGACTTGCATACGAGACCTCACTTTGCACCTCTTCTTTTCTTCGACCTTGTTTTCGTCTGAGCTTTCACACATTTTCTTCCTTCCAGTTAGATCTATAGGAATTCATCACCATGCTCATTAAAGTGAAGATACTTCTAAATTCTAGATGTTTTTAGATAGAAGTGATAAATAAAAGGGAAGCATGTTCTATTGTTTCGACTGTAAGTAGCCGTGCGTGCTATATTGCATTTTTACATCGCTTCAAAGACTTTCAAGCCACTGCTTTCTTGATTAACTATTATTAGACTATTGAAACCATTGAAACAACGTTACATCTCGTACATGGGAAAGCAGCGCCGTGAAGACTTCGTGTGCGAGTTCAGGAAGAAGCAACTCAGGTTTTAAGTGTGTTCCTCGGAGGGAGACGAGTCGATGTCGCTGGGGTTCAAAAAGCATCCCACAAGGACAACTATAATGAGATACAAGATACCTACTATGGTTAGCAATGTTAACAAAAGGTATGAAATGGCTTACTCCAAGTCCAATTCATATATTTCCAGCCGGCTAGCTCCTTAAGGGGACCGCCTATGATTGGACCGATCATGGTCCCGAAGGATACAGCCACATCAAGCAAAGAAAAGATGCGCGATGTGCTTCCCTGCGATCCAAAAATGCCTGGATTCTGCTTTTCGCGTAGTTTGATAACAGCTATAATGACATATCAGTATCATACAGGTGAGACCCTAGAGCTAGTGCAATTTACCGGTCATTTCTGCAGGCGCTATCCCAGACACAAATGGCCTCGCTGCTCCTATACCGATGATAGCAGCGATGTATACTGGCTTGCTCCACGCTGGAACACTGGTAGAATGGGTTGAACTACCACCGGCAATACCCAGCGTGAAGAGCAGTCCTATTTGGACTATTGATCCGGCCATGATAGGCAATCGCGCACCAACGCGATCCCGAAGCCAACCAGCAAGAGGACCGATTATAAGACCCGGAATGACTAGACCGGAAAATAATAAGCCTGCGGTGCTTGGGCCCCATCCAAACCTTTCTTCGATGTACAGAGGAAGCGTTGCATGGAAACTTGTAGTCACAGTGCTGCTGGTAAGAGTTATAAAGAGGCAGGTTAAAGAACAGCCGTCGCATAGAATGATGCGCCAGAAGGAGCCACCGTGGTCTGGACCCAGCTGCTCTTCACTGGAAGATAAAAGATGTGTAGTAGCGTCCTCTTCGTTGGTTTTTGTGTTAAGAACCGGTCTCTCAATCATAGCCAGTCGGGCTACAAGGTCTATGGCCAATACTATCAAGGGGACAGACCATGTCACCCAGTAGCTTGTAGCCTCGATCATTAAGCCGGAGATTGCCGGCCCACAAATTGTCCCCGAGTTCGCAAAAGACATCATCAGCCCCATCGCCGACCCCATATTATCTTCACTGATGATATTGGCCACAGTCGCCAACCCGACAATCCACACGGCAGATCCTGCAATACCCTGTACGACACGGCCAATAAAGAGAATGGCGACTGAGCGTGCACCCGCAACCATGAAGGTACCGATGATACAGAAGCCGAGAGACCATAATAGTGTGATCTTATGATTGGGTCGTTTATCCGCGAAATGGCCAATTATCGGACCGGAAAGCATGGCCAGAGCGCCATGGAGACCAAGGATGGCAGAGGTCAACATTTGTGTCTGAGAGGGGTCGGTATGTAGGCGGTCTTGGAACATGTATTCAAGGATGGGGACGAGGAAGCCATAGAGGAATGTTTCTTCACGACTTTAATGTTAGCGCACTGGTTGACACTCCTCATTCGGGTTCGGGGTTGAGGGGAAGCGGGAAATGACAAACCCGCGAATAATGCTATTGCAATAGTCATAAATGTAAACCATCTTGATGACCGCCATTCATAAAAGACAGCCGTAGAATCTTCATGATAGTCGTCCATGGTAGAAAAGATGGAATGGGATTCAAAAAAGGTGCAGCATCCCTCAAAGCTGCCTCAACGAGAGTGTCATCGCAAGGGTAACCGATTTTGGCAGATGGAGGTATGGGGTCAGCCACACCATCTTCACTGCGTATGCAATTAATCAATTGTCTCACGCTAGGAGAGGCGCTAAGGTTGTATTTTTGATCGATCTAACTTTCGATCTCGATCCGAGCAGTGCATATGGCCTAAGACCCGATTGGCACGGGTCAAATGTGGATCTCTGACCCGTGCGGCGTGTGTCAATGCCCCCTCGAACCAGATCTACAGCTCTTTGTGGATCCTGAAAATAACGCGATATGCATGTATTTTTGCCTCTTCAAATATTGGGATCCACTAAAATGAGCTGTCCTAACTGTACTAGTAGACATGCGGTGAAGAAGAGGAAGGCCAAGGAACAGCCTTCCCCCAAAAAGTACAATACAGAAAAGCAAAAAGACACATGTGCACTGAAAAAAAGAAAAAACTCCGTCCTACTTCGTCCTACTTCGTACTACTTCGTAGTATCCCGGGGCTGCAGACCAGTCAACCTGAGAAATCGTCGCTAGTAGTACTAGCATTAGCTTGAATTATCTGTGAGACTTCATACCATAAAAATAATTCCCAGGTTTCAGGTAATAACACCCGTGAACGAGTCATTTATGTAACTATCCACCTGAGCATTACATAAGTCAGTAAGCTTGTCCTCCTTTTTATACCAAGTCAGAAGCTGGTCGATGATGAATTTATGATGATACAATTAAGTATACAATAGCTTGATTCGTTAGCCGATCAAAATGAATCGACTTTTTCGTGTTATTCCCACAGCGAGGGCACATGTCGCTGCTTATTCTACCCAAACAATACGTATGTCAGTTTCAAATGAGATTCAGTTCTCTGGTAATTCATAACATTTGTTAATGAGACTAATTGCGACCAGGAAATCCACACATCTCAAATGCCATTCCTCTGCCAGTGGTTCAAGTTTCAGCTCCTGACTTTGCCTCCCAGCCTACTCACCTGCGACGCGTCCATGGCAATCTCCAGGCAAATGGAGTAATTCAAGTTCAGCTTCAGTTCAAAGATGCCGAAAGTAACTATTTGAAGAATCTCATATCAAATCTACACCAATACCATAACCACGGCCTGCCAATCACCCACAGTGCCGAACGCGGCTGGTTTTGGGATGTTCGACCTTCGCCCGCCAGTTTTCAACCTCAAGAACATCAAGCTCGATCCGAGACAATGTCCCAGTTTGAATGGCATACTGATTGCAGCTATGAGGCAAATCCACCGAGATTTTTCGCGCTCCAGGTTCTTCAACCAGATCGCTATGGCGGTGGCACGCTATCGGTGCTGAATGTCGACCGACTGCTAACTCTGCTCTCGCCATTTGCGCAAAAATGGCTCTCCAGCAATGATTTTAAAATTACGGTCCCTCCGGAGTTCATCAAGAATGAATCGGAGCGGCATATCATTGGGAATTTACTTGTGGTCCCGCCTGGAGGCAAGTCTGGTAGTCAATTGCGGTTCAGGGAGGACATCACTGAGGCCTTGACTCCAAATGCTGCCAAGGCATTGGATGAGTTGAAATCCATTCTAAATGGAGGTGAATCTCAAAAGGAAATTCTCCACTTAAGCCCTGAGAGACTGCCGGAGGGATCTGTCATCATGATGGACAACCGACGGTGGTTGCACTCACGTAACGAAGTCAAAGACCCTAATCGACACCTCCGAAGGGTCCGGTGGGATGCGACGCCATTTACTTCAGGAGATCATGAAGCATGTTAGTTCTGCATTAGTGTATTTATTGTTTCACAAATACACTCTTGCCCCTTACATACCGCCCACCATGCCGCCTTCCTATTATAGTATAGTGTACCTACGCGTCCACGCCGTCCACGCGTAAAATAATCCATATCACGTCTTTTTTTATTATTAGAGCATCTTTCAGAGACTATGCCACATCGTGTACAAGTAATTATTGACTCCAATGGTTGGTATACTAAAATTAGTTAGAAGTTTGATATTTTCATAAGGTTTAATCCGGCAGAATTAGTATGGCAGAAAAGGGCGGTGTATAAGGGGGGGGTCACAGACTTATGACGCGCCACTGTATGTGGCGCATTTTCTTCTTGCGAACCGACCCAGTACGACACCGGAGCTGCGGACCAGCGAGCTCAGCCGCAGCCCCCACATCGTTACTGCATACAAAATCATTAGTATACAATATTGACACTGGAGACCTTGGCACGCATGCGGTAGCCCAGATACATGCTCCAGGCCAGCGAGCTCAGCCGCAGCCACCACATCGTTACTGCATACAAAATCATTAGTGTACAATATTGACACTGGAGACCTTGGCACGCATGCGGTAGCCCAGATACATGCTCCGGACACGAGATTTCGGCGACGAGGAACTAGGATCCACTTCACTCCTTACCATCCTGGGCCCCAGTGTACCGTAAATTCATTACGAAAATAAATTTTTGCTCTTCGGAAATCTATTTTCATTATGATGAGGATGATTGTTGCTTTTGTGTTTTAATTTACAGCTAGTTGGTGTGGGGTATGTACAAGAGGTGGTCGGGAATCTTAAGTCTCGAATGTGTGGACATGCTAATTTGAGGGGAGTCACGGACATATCTTTATTTGAAAAGGATTTTTCTGTCTTTCACCCCTTTATTTTCAGAAAACTTCAAACTTGAGACTTCTTCCCAACACCAAATCAGCACAATGAGAAACAGACAATTGGATCGTCTTCATTTGGTATCTTTTCCAGGTCCTGAAGGCAGTCTCCCTTTACCATCAGGTGGACTAGATTCTGGCCTTGTAGACGAGACTCGCCGCAAGTATATCACAAAGCTCAAAGACTGGTCCTCTTCTTGGCCGGCCGAGACTGCGGATGTATCATGTCCGTATCCACTAATGATCACCAAGCGGCATCAAGAGGAGGTGAAGAACTTATTCACATCGCTGAATCTTGCCATTGCGGATATAGTTGAGCGATGGTGGACAGACGAAGAAGCCCAGTATCCTCTGAGGATGCCATTAGAGCCAGAAGAAGAGGACTTATTGCGTGTTAGTTATCCCATATCTACTATATTTGGCGCCGAGAAGGTATAATGTACTGAGTGATCGCTGCTACAATAGTGGATACATTCGAACCCAACTCTTTTTCGACCATGGAGAGAACGACAGGGATCGATGAGACCGGACTTTTTGATCGAGTTTGATGAGGCTGGGAACGAGGTTTTCCGCATCTGTGAAATCAATGCAAGATTTTGCTGGAATGGTTTCATGATGGCTGGCTTTGGTCAGCAGTCACTGTCGATATTTGACCTGAAACCCCGTGGCTTAGAACATGCTGCAAAGGGTGAAGAAGTAGGTTTTACACATAGCAATCTACCTAGTGGTTCAATCTATGGTCATGCTAAAATATTGAAACCTTCAGATCCTGGGTGGATTGTCAAATTTGTTTGACAAAACTCTTCCTTTGCATCTTCTTAAAGGCAAAGAGCATGGATATGACATACACATGTTTCTCGAGCATGCTAAGAGATCACTCGGCATCCAGACACGTCTCATAACTCCAGATAAGCTCCGGGTTTTCCCTGATCCCTCCGGAAAGTTTGGAGGAAAACTATATTGCGTTACAGAATCGGATGCTGCTTGCACTCGGGTGACTGAGTCGGGCGAAAAGCTTGAAGAAGTTCATCAGCTTGGCCTTGAGCTACACCAACAAGAACTTAATAGCCTTGACCCGGATGTGAGACGTCAAGTCAGCTTACGATGCTTTAATGATATGCGAACAATCCTCCTTGCCCATGACAAGCGAATGCTAGGAATCGTGCAGGAGGAACTTGGATCTCTTGTCTCAAGAAAAGTCATCACCCCAGAACAGGCCGAATTACTCAGTCGCGGAATAACGCCTACAGTCCTTCCGGGATCAAGATCACTTGACAGGTTTATCGAAGATTGCAAAGAATCCGAAGACCTACAGAACAACTACATCCTGAAACCAATCCGGGGTGGAAAAGGAGCTGGTATCTTGTTTGGCGATGAACTTCTACATTCAGACTGGATGACCAAGGTAGAGTCGATGCGATCGCCGTATATCGAGCCTGGGCAGACTCTCTACGTTGTTCAGCGTAAAATCAATCAGCCATACTATGATGTTCTTTTGGGTTCAAAGACCCAGACGGACCGTTGTCATTTAGTTGGCACATTCCACACAGTTAATGGCGAGTACTTGGGATTAGGGATCTGGCGATGCAGTCCTCGAAGACTATGTGCAGTGTCCGATGGGGCCACTTGGATGTGTTCTGTCAAACGAAAGGAAGAAGTATAGTTAAATGGCATGGAATTAACTTGGGAGAATGACGGATTTTCAAGTACTCACGCTCGTGAAAATGAAAATTGACTTTCGGTTTAATTCCAATGTTCTTTTAAGCTCCGAGTAACAGTCCAAAGTCTATATTTTCATGCTGAAATTGTAGTGTGTACCTACCAGTAGAACAGATACTATAGCAAAACAACAATGAATATAATAAAGTAAGCATTTATATAGAAAAGGCAGTAAAAGTAGGTCTATCTAAGCAAATAGGGTACCAAAACCGAAATTATACCTCCGGATGGAAATGTCTCTCGAGTTTGACACCCAATGCAGAACTCTTCATACGCTGAGCTTAATGGCTCAGATCAAGAGCTGAGAGACCTATAGCATGGGTTAAAAAAGTGATATGTGACTTGATTTTTAATCTAGTGATGAATGAAAAGGACCGGTAGGAGCAATCCCCCGATGCTATTGATTGATTAACAAGCTTTGGTAAAGACATTGTATGTTCATTTGAGCTGATAAGACAACGGATTTTTTCAACGGGGACTGGGGCTCCCAAATCCGCGCCGCTAGGGGAAAAGGGCTCAAGTATACGTGGAAGCTGGCAGCTGGTTACGCGTAAATACTTTGTTGCATCTGTTCCCTTGGCTGATCTGCGGGCAGCTACTAATGAATGAGATGGGTGATACAACGACTGAATCAAGTAGAAAACAACTCCACAAATTGCCAGGGAAAGCCGCACTCTGTCGGGCCAGGTTGAACTGTATGCGTTGAGTCCAACGCTATTTACGCGTATTACGGTCCTCCTAAGCCACTTGCACAGCCCAAGTCTTCTAGTATGGGCTACGAAATATTCTTGTAAGTCAAAGGGAACTTTGATTGTTTTTATTTCAGAAGAAATGTGAGGCTATATATACATCAAGGGCACGAAACTGATTTCTTGACACTTCATAGAGAATATCCGATGAACTAATTTCGACCGTGCGGCTCTGTTTTGAACAAACTCAACTTGCTTCGACAGGGGTAACCTTTTTCGGGTTTTGGCGTATGACCACGGAATAAATAGTACCAACTGTTTAATACTGGAGACGGTAATTACGGCAATTGTGCTATTTCTCACAATTTACTCAGAGTACACCAAGAAAGAATGGTGAGATTTTCCCTGACCAAATTAAGTCAAGAGTATGAGTGGGGCGCTGAGGAATAGAGCTTTTTGTGTATCTCAGTAATCTATTTTCGAATTCTTTTGTACTTGAAAAAGCAAGTTCGGTGTTTATTTGAGCTTGTCATACATAAGAATAACGCATGAAATATGTACCACAGCTGTAAAGCGCGCAGCTTTTGGTCGCTGCGCCAAAAAGACCCGGACTCACGTGACAAAGTCAATGACGTATCAAGTTTGTCACGTCTCCTGCACCTCTAGTGCCGACCTAATCCACATCATGAGCTCCAAAGGAAATATTCTGAAATTTTCCAGTACACCCTCAAGATATGCAGTCTGGGCGCAAATACTCACATCCCGAGGTGAGATTCTCACAGTAAATCATGAAAAGGGACGCTAACATTGTCTCAGCCGTTGTCGGAGAGTGAGAAAATGCATTTTAGCAAGTACGGGAAATGGCCAGGTGGGGCCGTACAAGGGAAAATTCCCAAGGTAGTTAAGACCACATGTTGTATTGCCTACTTATTGACAATATTAAGGAACGAACGTACTTTGACTCTGGTGACTTTGCCTTAGCTGAGGGTCATAAAGTCACTGATAAAAGCACTATCAAAACCGGCAAAGCTCATCCTAGTCGCGGATCTATTTCACACCCTTATTGTCCAGTTCCAGCTACCAGTAATGTTGAGGAGGACGCAAATCGGGATATGTATAGGAAAAGTGCAAGCCCTGAAAGAAGTCCTCTCCTTCAACATTCAGGCATTGAAGATGAGGAATTTATCAAAAAAGAGGACAGAGATGATCATGGGATAAGCAGGGGTTGATATGAAATCATTGGTCTCAGATTGAAAATAAGTATTCCGTTCAGCTGTTTGAATTGATTATTAGTGCGAGTTGTTCGAGTATAAGTTCAAGCTCGTCGAGCGTGAAATGAAAGGTACCGATCTCTTACCTTTCGAAATTAATTTATGTTTTTAATTATTTTGGTCAAAAAGAACTAGCTTCTGATTTTCAATCAAATGTAAGTTTAAGTCTGTATGATGGGAAATGTCAGACTAGCGTGCCACAATTGGTCAGCGTTGTTTTGGAGATGACTCGAGAAGAATTGCGTGTGAGTTGGGGATTTAGTCTCGACCTTCACTGTATTGTTGCCTATAATTCATTTGAAACAGTATAATTGGAAGTGCATTTACTTGCTTTCTGCTTAAACTCAATGGTCAAAAAAGGAGCTTGTCATAGGTAGAGACTTGGGGCGTCTGCTCTCTCATAATACTCGATCAAGATACGGAGGAAAATTTGCCATTATTCTCGCTTATCAGACGGCAAGGTGATAGCTAACGGTAAGACCCAACTGTAGGAGACTGCTATTCTAGAGACCATCGGATTCCTTTATCCTGTAATCATAGAAAGACTCCATTATGTCCCGAAGCTGATGCAGATTAAATAGGCCCCATAATCATTATTAATTACTGTATTATCGATGGACAAGTGAACGCGCTGCCAATTCAATTTCGTTCTACGCGGTTGCGTCCACTATACAGAAAATTAGCCATTACTACGATAGTTAAGCGCCAGAGAACTCTGAAATGATGGACAACGTGGATAGCTAGGATTGAGATCTATCATTTAATTTTATCAAAACCGATCCCGGCATAGCTTCCTGAGTACGACTAGACCAAAAAAAAAAAGAAAAGAAAAGAAAAAAAAGCGATTCCGTAGTTACCTACCCTTTGAGTCCCAAGAGCTGAACACAAGGTTCGAGAAGCAACAAAGCTTTCAGGGATTTTTAGATCATCTTTGGCACTGAAGAGAGTTTATATTAAAAACTCCATAGTCGACACTAGAAATAAGATGTAGCGCGAGGGAGCAAAAGAAAGATAGCTTCCTCGCGTTCAGGGGACCCAGGTATTGTTCATTATTGTCTTATCAAGATTACCTGATGGCTTCCAGAGATGCCTCTGGCAGCAGGGATTTCCTGTACGTGGTCGTTTGAACAAAGGCCGGGACCAGTTTTTGGGAACTTACGGAACAAGACCGACGATGACGCCGAGATACGTTCGGAAAAGGATGGGACTGACGACTCCGCCCTCGCGACCTCGAGCTTTCTGTCTTGCTGTAGCAGCCATCTCACCCAGCTTTACCAGCGGTTCCAGCAGGCCCTAGAGATCCTTTACGCCTATCTCGTCCTCGTGACCCAGTAGTACCCCTTCTTCCATCACGACCATCTCTTCCAGATATTCCTCTTGATTCAGCGGGACCTACATGCCCAGGAGATCCTTTCCTCCCATTACAGCCATCGCGCCCAGTCAGCTCCTGAACGCGTACAGCTCTTGGAGCTCCAGGGTATCCTTGTGGGCCTAAGGGGCCGGGCTGGTACCTGTCACTATATGATCCAGCGGCTCCCCGTTCTTCTGGTGAACCTGTCTTCTCTTGCGGTCCTTAGGGCCCTATTGGTCCTAGCGTATCTTGAATGCCCTGAGATCTTTGCCCCCCTCATTCTCCAATTGTGCCTTGAAACCTAATGTCTCCCGGGGAGCCTACAACACCTTAGTTGTCCTTTGGCCCTATGGGTCCTTGTGGCCTAGAAGGTCCCGAGAGACCTTGAATTCCAGCTTTGTCAGGATTGCTTCCCTGCCCTCGGGTCTATGAGTATATCGTCTATAGTATAAAAACTATCTAAAAATGACGAGTAATCTAACAATTACCGGATTATCGTATTAGCGGGTGAAATGCTTATTTTCTGTAAGGCGAGAAGCTCATTGACCAAGCTCGCGTTACCAAGTGTTCTTTGCGTTACGGGCTCCACGTTATCGTCTTTAAGCGCTGACTTTGAGTCTAGAAAACCATCATTTTCGAAGATTGACCTTTGCATTCGCATGTTTATATATATATATATATAGGGAAACCTAATCTGATAGGGAAAACCTATATCAAGGCCAAGTTCGAAATAATACCTGAAATAGTACTTCCCGCAACTACTCTTCCCCTGATGGATGATGCTAAGCGCATGCTCTGTCCCTGGTCCTTGCATTTTCAAGTTCGTCACTCGCAACCGACCGATAGCCGCTCCTTTAAAAAGCCATAGATAGCTAACAATCTTCAAAGTTATCTATTATATGCGGTGAGAAGTGGTATAGGTACCCGTCAGGGGCAATGGAAGCCCGTTTCCATGGGTCTGCATCCAGCAGGAGCCGTTACCAGCAAGTGTCTTTACTCTTTACTCGCGTAAACACAACACAATGTGGTTTCGATGCACACAACTCAGCACATGCTTGGTATGACAATGCTAGTGGGTATCCCGAATCCCAGGTTCTGTACTGATTCACTAAAACCATACAACATGAATTAGTGGCCTGCTAGTAAAAAAAAAGGGTGACAACTCGGAGGCTTACTCTTATTGTAGTGAAGTTTGAACCCTTTGCCGTTAATAGTGTAAATACAACCATCATCCTGTGCAGCTTCTCATTGTTAGCATATTGGTTGAAGAGAGTGTGATAAGAACTCAGATTTGTTTAGGGTGAAACCTACTTGGAGCGTTCCTCGCCATATCGGTACGGCAAGTGCCCTTGTTGAATCATTTCGAGGACGCCTCATCTAGCTTCTTCTGGCAGACTTTATTTTCCGCTTCGAGGTCGTTCCTTTCCCGTTGACATATTTTGTCTTTGATTTCGAGGGTTTCTTTCTCCCGCTAGAGGGTCTTGCTCTTGGTGTCGAGTTCATCTCACCTCAGTTTTTTTCATTGGATGCGATCAGTTATTCGAGGCCTATATTATATCCCATATAGGTGGGAGTATTGTAGTACAATGGATTCCAAGGGTGTCCTTAACTATAGGGGAAAAAGGTGAGGCCAGCAGGTACGATGGATTCCTCTTGGCGATTTTAAGTAGTACGATGCCGGCCCTTAATGTAGTTAGATAAAGCTGAGATTCGAATATACTTTTCAACGGTTGCGGAAATTTCTTCGTTTAAATTTCAAATCGTGTATCAACTTGTATAGATGAGTAGAAAATATTTTTGCAGGGGGGTTCCTGTGATGTGATAAGCACCGATGAGCCCCATTGCAAGTCTGCCAACAATCGCACAGTTTACTTTAAGTAGCATCACCCAACCGCGCCTCTGTCTGGTAATGACCAGGTAAGTTTCGCTCACCTCCTCACCGCGCGGGCCGCCGCCCCCTCTCAGGGCGCACTAGCAACAGGAACTACTGCCGCCGGTGGTGTTATAGGTAAGACTTTGCTCCAGTATACGCCATTAACGTATTGAATATCGCGCTAAATATTTGACTACGCTCTGTGATTTATCCTATTGTGCTTCACAAGCTCCTCGGCCCGCTCGGATTCGGTTGGACAGCCCGCATAATAGCCTTCATCGCCCTAGCTGGTCAGATCTTTTCCATTATTGTGATGAAGCAGCGCCTGCCACCTGCCAAGAAAGCCCGATCGTTTTTTGACCTCAGCGCCTTCCGAGAGCCCCGATCTTTTATCTTTTCCTTAGGGCTTTTCTTCGCTTTTGTGGGCCTATACTTCCCATTCTTCTATATACCATCGCTCTCCTCATCCTCTCTTCATACAGGCTCCAACATCTCATTCTATATTATAGCCATACTGAATACATCATCTGTATTTGCCCGAATCACACCGGGTATCTTAGCGGACCGCACTGGGTCCGTGAATACAATTATACCTATCAGTCTGGTTGCTACAATACTCATGTTTGCATGGATTGGCATTAAGAACGAAGCCGGGGGCTATCGTGTTTGCCTGCATTTGCGGATTCGCTTCTGGTGCTATTGTTTCGCTACCACCAACTACTATTGCAAGACTTAGCCCTGATTTAAGCATGATGGGCACCCGAATGGGCATGTGCTTCGTTTTCGCTGGCACAGGTCTTCTAATTGGTAATCCGACTGCTGATACTCTGCTGAATTAGGAACAAGCAGAGGTTTGGAAGGCCCAGGCTTTAACCGGTGTTATGGTGGCGACGAGCTCAGAATCCTTCATTGGATTGCGCCTGTTGAAGTGGAAGCAGGGCGACGGGTAGAAAGTTTGATTAGAATGTATAGATATTGCGAGGCTTAAAAGGCAAAATAGATGCGGGAGGACGTATATGATTCTAGAGGAAGTACCGCTCGGTTGAGAATTATCAACACACATTTGGGCCACGAGGAATGAGGCGACTTCCCCGCTGGCGGCTTAACTTCATCAGTGAGATGTATTATCTTAGAGTGTTTGATGCACATATTATTACTATTTAAAGTTCCAGTCTCAGGTGCTTGGTAGCAAGAGTGTCAATAGATTTTATAAAACTTTCAATAATAGGTTGACAATAGTCTCATCTAATTGGAGGTTCGTTGTTACGAAAAATATGAAGTCTCGTCTGTATACCATGCCTGGCCATAGAGCCCTCTAAATTGCATAGACACCAAAAATTTACAGGTTGGAGCTAGCAGTAACGTCTGAGGTAGAAGAAGCCGAAACATTCTTCACGATCACAGTGTTTCCACTCTCACCCGTCACCCGCACATCAACGGTGTCCGTGCCAAAGCCAGAACTATACTCAAAGTAGTTGTAAGATGTACGAGTAGTAGATGTCCAGGTGCTACCGCCATCAGTGCTAGCCTCGAGCGCAGTAACAGGCTCATTAGCATTAACAACCTGCATGGAGAACCAGTATTCCGATGTTCCGGATTTGTTGCGTAGCTTCAAGGGTCCAGAGAGGTCACAGGAGGTGAACTCCCAATCGATATCGATGACACCGGCTGAAATTTCAGCAATCTCACCGAAAGCGTTCTCGAATAGATCGAAGTGGTTTGCTTCACAGCCTGGACATTCATCGACAATCTAGTAACGCAAGAGATGTTAGCATTGGGATGATATATCTTCAACTTTTGGCTTCGGAAGATATGTAGTTACCATTGCCTTGATAGTTTTACCGTTGGGTCCCTTGACAGCAACGCATGCACCGCAGTTCGCGGAGTCGCTCCACTGGTCACCTGAGATTGCGGTACCAAAAAGGCTGCTGGGCAATGTGTAGTCGGAGAAGGAGCAGGCTCCGCCCGAGAGGTTACCGCCGTAGTAGGTGGCTGTTCCGGCGGTTTCACTGGACGAGGAGCTGGATGAGCTGGAAGACGGTGATACTGAAGTGGTGGCAGATGTCGAGGAGGTGGAAGAAGTAGAGGCCTCGATGATGGATGTTGAAGTGCTGGCCTGTTCTTGGACCTTTTGGACGGGTGCGGTTGTGGAAGGCTCAACTGGGGCCACGGTAGTGGTAGTGGTGGGCTCTTGGGGAGCTTTTAAGGTGGATGTAGCAGCAACAACAACACTGGTATGCTCTAGACTTTGAACAGTGGTGGACTCAGGGACAGAGGTCACAGATGAGGACACCTGAGCCTGAGGAGTCGATGCAGCATCGTCGCCCGCAGTAGTAGAAGTTTCAATGTGAGCACTGGTGATAGGGACTTCCGTAGTCTTGACAGGTGCCGGAGTTGGTGTGGTAGCAAACGTGATAGCCACAGTCTCATAATAGACGCTCGGCGTGTACCCAGATGGGCATGAGTTATCGCGCTTCACGAGTGGGCTAGCGGAGACGGTAGCAGCGATCCCAACAATGGTCGCACTCAGCGAGGCGAACAGTTGGTATCTCATGTTGACGTTGGATTTTGTCGGATATGTAGCGATATGCAACAAAAGTTGCTATACAGAAAGGATTGAACTTGGGATAATACAACAAAGTCGAAATTTAGAAGTGAGAGGAGCGGCAAATCTGCCAAAAAGATCGAATGGGAATGAATGGACGTCAGGATTTCAAATCCTCGACTGATGAATGAACGGCACTGTCGCAGACAGACTGGTGGAAGAGAAGGGCAAAAAAGATTGAACAGCACGAAGAGGCGCCCGAAGGGACTTCAGTTATTTAAAACGCGAGTCTCCATAGTATGAGCACATAGCCTGATTCATGTCCCTGGTGGATCAGCCGATAATTACCCTGGAGCCAAAGAAATGAGATTGAATTTATTTGAAACTGCCATCGTCCACTAGCGTCCGGATTGATGCCCGGAAGAAGCCGCAACTTGGACCCGCCGTGCCTTGTTGGGCTTAGTGGGGCTGCTTAATTAAGGGAAATGACGCTAAATGTTCTAGGCTGCACACATCAATAAATAAATTAGAGACAAAATTTCCACTGCGGCGCTAATGATATTAAGGGTAAATGGATGCGCTCAAGGCATGATAAGCAGGATCAGCTTATAAGGTGTACCCTTTTATGATGTACTATCTTGCATCCGAGTCGTTTGCTTCCAAATTAATGGTCCTGGTGACTTTTTTAAACATGAATTGACCAATATGTCAAGAGGGTCATATTCAAGAAGAGCCACAGGTATTCCAAAGAGATACTGGAGTCAGATAGTTGAATTCAATTGCTTTTGAAACCTTCCCAAGTACCCAGTATCATTCAAAGAGATACTTCATAGTATTTTCAAGCCCCTCCAGATCTCGCTCAAACAAGTTAGACTTTTCTTTACTCACCCAACCCTCCGTATGGCCTCCTCCAAAGTCAATCAAGTATACATAATTGTTTTTATCGATGGGGACATTGAATGCTTTCGCATTTCCCCAAATTATATTATGTGCATGGAGCTGTTTGATGGTGTGCGAAATCTGATCCACCCATTTAGTTCGGAGGGATGGAAGTTGAGGATCCTGTTTCTTGAAAGGATGAAGTGTAGATCCACAATAGATATATGAGAAGAGCAATCCCAGGATGTAACCACTCTCAGTACGGACTAGCCCTTCTAGTTGCGATGTCAGAACGGCTGGATTGAAATTAGCCGTGCGGACTTTTTTATAGCTATGAATCTCTCTTGTCATCATAGCCGCATCGCCCCAAATGCCTACTTTGAAGAATCTTGGTTGAATCAACACCTTGTGAGGTAGTCCTAGTGAAGTCAAATCCTTATTTAATGACATTTGTATGTCTCGGGGATGATAAACAGGGAACATCGAATAATCCACAGAGGGAGGTAGAAAATCACCAATGGAATGGGTTTCTGTATATTTGGTAGTGTCAAGATAGACCGGAACCACTTGATCTCCCGCTATATGCACGGTATAGTGGAATTCTTCTGAAAATAAGAAATCCTAAAGTGTGTATTTGTGACTCGGGTCCAGAGGAGCAATTTTGTGCATGATTGGTAGAAACGGCTGTAAAATCCAGTCAAGCATTTCCTCGAGGGGGTCTGCAAATTTTCGATTTAAATCGAAGTCAGGATCATTTTTTGAGGTCCATCCACCCTCTTGACGGCGGACGTGTCGAAGATATACTACCAGTAGAGTAGGGGAGCTTTCGAAAGTAGAAGTGAGAAGATCAATTTTCAAACGCTTATCGGAGACATGGATGTTTATCTATGTATCTTTATTCATGGTGCTCCCTCCGAATTGGCCGATCTCATAGATGGGGCGGTTGTATTCCATCTCAGTGGTTGTCATCCCGCGGTGAGAGAATCAGAGGCAAGAAGGCGGATATAGAAGGCAAGAGAGATGGTAATGAATGATATAAATAATTTATTCAATTTTCATTACGGTGGAGCGAATGTGGTGATCAACAGAGGCTGATAAATGATGCTCAAAGGCTAAGAGAGGGAGGCGACATCTAAAGGGACTAGAATCTTCAGCGCCTCAGGTACCCGTGCATAAATTCATTGCTAGCGATTGAAACGTCTTGGTGAATGCAAAGACTAGGGTTGGACTTGCACAGGACATATATAATCTCATATAAAGACCCAGGTAAAGTTTTATCAACAGACTTTGTAATGTCCCTTTTCAGTGAGTTTATGCAGCAGCCTCCACTTGACCATAAGGAAGACCTTTTGTTTTTGTGCCGAGGATTCACTTTGTGGTCCGCTGCCATACTAGTAATTCTATAGAAAAAAGAAAGTTGAAATACCCTACCTACGGGTGACCAAATGCATGATTGTTCTTGTTCGAGCTATAACTCCTCAAATGGAATAATGAAGGAGTGAAGACACTCGTGTTAGGATATAAAAATAAAGGGAAACAGGTAGCAAATCCTAATTCATTGGTCGTATGTTAGCTAATAATATGATATTTGTCATCCATTTATCTAGCATGACGAAACACGTTACCCCTCAGGCGCCTTTCATACATACACCATCCCGACAACGGCTGAATTGAGTCGATTTTGGCATTTTGCGCTAGAGACAAGCTGGAATGGTTTTGATGTTTTGTTATACTTGACGTAGCTTGAATACCAATCGACCCTGCCACCATAATCGTCTCATACAACGTCCCGTTATCATCGACAGTGACTGGTACAGAGGCAAAACCCGTTGGAACATCGGATATGTCAACGTGGCGTAATAAGACATCTTTTAGCTCCATTTCAGTGTTCCGTGATTGAAACTCCGGTGACTCCCTGGGGCGAAATATTTCGCGGCAAAAAGGTAATCCGTTCTGATCCCAGAAGTAAAACACGGAAATTTAACCCGACAATTCGTCTGACCCACTTCCATAGGCATCTCTGGCGGCACATTTACTCCAGAAGGCAGTTGACTCGGGTGATTGCGGGCTATCAAAGCAAGCAACAAAATGGTTCAGGATAGGACGAAGAAGCTGGCCGAATCGTGCAGGCTCGTCGCCTAGCTGATGAAGCTTATCAAGTTTGTTCACGAGCTTTACCCAATCCTCTCGTTCACCCAAAAGGGTCACAGACGGGATTCCATTAAGCATCACCTTGTATGAGAAGAACTTCTGCATAGCGCCCATCATTAGGACTGCCGCTGTAACTGTGTCAGACTTGGTTGTCGTGGTAAAGTCTGGTATGATCCAAGTGCGTAGATCCTTGTCAATCACACTTGCTTCAATTTGCTCAGTCATCTGCACGGCCAAGCCACCAATGTTGGCGGTAATGATATTTCCTAAACCCTTCACTGTAGCTCCTTTTGGTCCCCGTGTTCGACGAAGAGGTGTCGCAGTTCCTCTGCATGAGCGTTTATAAAGAAATTCAGCTGTGCAAGGATAGAAAACCACACATCTTCTGGTCGTATGGTGAGATGGTGATGACCGCTGTACGCCTTGAATACCGCTCGGACAAAGACATTTTCGGACGGGGAGATGTGGGAGTCGTTGAAGAAATTTGGAAGGAAGGAATGCTGGAGTAACCTTTGCCTTCTTTGATGCTCATCAGGGCATGATTTTTCGAACCACTCTTCAACATTCGAAACCGTCGGATATCTCCATTTCTCAGATGAATGGCTCGCCGCCGTGAGAGTAACAGGCTTGATTTCGGTGTGAGTTGAAATAGAGGAGTGAGATTTCAATCTGGTGTTGAAAGAAGTAAAAGCAAACTGCGGTGATTTGAAGGTCTTGTTAAGAAAGAGGGTAATTGTCACTGCAACCTTTAGGCGGTAGCAGCGATTGGCGACGGAGCTACACAAAATGGGCGATGGAGCTACGTGGTGTGTTATGGGGACGGGATATAGCAGTCACCATAGTCACCTGGGCAATGGGGATTCTGCCAATCTTATGCCTGATTGACACCTGAGACCAGACCGTCCTAGGCAGCACTCTCTCTAAGTTAGTTATGGCAGGTGACTTTGCAGTGAAACGAGGCACCAAGGCATCAAGGCGCAGAACAAGGCGTCAAAATTGCCAAATGTGACATTGGCTATGCTGGCGTCTATACGCCCGTCATATGAGGCAACGCAATGAGAGATGAGCGGGAAGTATATCAAAGTTGATAAGCTGTCGAATCTCCATGTAGGATATTACAGGATACGTTTCGCATTAATCGTCATGTTACTATATTTTCAAGGGACGTTTTACAGCTCTGCTATGCTATCAATAATTTACTTTGCAACGCGTTTCGCGGCGCGTCGGAAAACACGACGCGCGCTGCAACAGGATATGGGGCCGATCACTTTCCCCCACAGCATCAACTGCACAAACTGAATTGATTTGAAGAGCTGGAAGTAAATTTGGAAGCTTATTTATCGTTCTATCGGGTTTCATTAACTTTATGAACATTAATTCGTGAAAGAGACAGAATAAACGCCAATGTATCTCGAAAAGGGAATAAGCGGTCTATAAAACTGGGATTGTATCATGAAATGGAGCACAGATTGCAATAATCATTAGACCATTTTGCCAAACCTAAACAAATATTCGTCATCCCACAGACTACTTTCGTGATGTGATCAGTTCAGAATCCTTTAAATCATAATTCAAATGGGGAATATGTGTTTTCGCCATGAGTGCCTCAATTGTCATCATCGAGTTCTGTAAAGACTCCTGCAAATAATTGTCGTCCTCGTCTAGCATCATAGTATCGGCTGTGATATTGAAACTTTGGGTCTGCTCATTAACAATGATACGATCTTCTAGATCGGGAAATATACTTGTACTGGCGCTTGGAGTTGATATAGAGCTTTGAGACCGGGACGAATGACTGGACATGCTACCCTTTTTCGAGACAGTCCCTGCGATTCGCAAGCTTTTTAGTCTCAGTTGTTCGGTCATATGGTTGAGGCTTTTGAGGGTTCTTTGTAGAAGTAGATCAACAACGAGACGTTTCTCCTCGCGAGCCAGTCGATATGTCCCTAAAAAGGTATAGTCGGGGTTGAAATCTGGGGATGAGGGATCTTGGATTGGAGGTCTCAGTTCGGCATCACTGGGAGCCGACTGCTGTCCGGCAGTTTTGATTAAGTTGAGTAATGCACGAAGAGTCATTACGGACAGCACCAAAACATCCTTGTCATAGCTTATGTGACAGCTCTGACACGAGAGATGCATTTGCCAATCAACAAGAGCATCTCTAGCTATTGTAAGCACAAAATCTGGCTGAAGGAGATGCCTTGAATGACTGAGTGTTTTGAACTTGGAGAGCTGATCTGCTAACTTCTTGACACAGTTACACGCAAAAGGCGGGAGGCTTCCTGGCGTGGAATAGTTGACCGAAACTTGCTCGGGAACGCATCCCGAATTAATGGGGTCTGCTAATTTTGCACTCTTTTGTATATCACTAAGGTCGGAGTACTGGGGTGTGGCATCCGGGGCGGCAAGAAGAGAGTCAATCCAAGATATGTCAGGGGGGGTATAGTTGGACATATCAAGATAATTTGATGGAAGAGAGGTAGGAGAGGCTGTTGGGTCGCTTATGCTAGAATCCTATAGAAGAAAGAATTCGTCAGTTGGAGAACGTCCCAAAATGGACATAGGAAGGGGTCATTACTGTTACAAAGGGCGTGAAATCTGATTCTGATTGGCCGGCATCGCGCATCGAAAGAAAGCTCCAAAGATGACTTGGGGTATCGTCTTGATCTGTCAGGTTTGAAGATTGACTGAACGGTTTCGCAGGTGAACTTTCGCCTGCTTCATCTCCGCTCTTTGCTGCCGAGGGCCGACGATTGTTTTGGACCGACGTGATCTTCCGGCAAAGATTAGTGAAAATGCTCACCGGAGCGTTGGACAGACTTTCTTCAAGCACACGTACACATTGGCTATTCTCGTCTTCATTATCTTCAAAGTTTGCCGCACGAAGTTGTTTGATCCGCTCGAGTGTTTTCTTGTTTTTTACCCCCTTCGGACGCCCTGTGCGATTGGAAGTGCTGTATATACACCTGACTCCGAGCTTGTCACATCCTTCACACGGGGTTCCTCCGCCGCATTTGACCTTTCCTTGGTGACATAAATCGCACGCGGAGCGAAGAGTCTTCTGCCCAGTGGTGACCTTTCCGGCAAGAGAGTTCATAGTGCACGGATATGGATCAGGTTAGATCTCCGCTGGATCTGCCAAGCCCGGCGGCCTATTCAAAAGTGGATATGAGCTGGGTATAATCTGGGTGTAATGGCTATTTTAAATATACCATCATCTCTTTCGTGCCCCAACAGGTGCCCATGTAGTGCGAGTCGCCAAAACTGGAGAGTTACCATTTATGGAGACGCCCGAAACTATCTACTCTTGACAAACAGGGAAACCAGAACATAACTTGTAGCGTCATCACTAGCCAGTAGTTAAGCGTGTCTCATATCTTTTTTTTGCTTTTCCTTTGAGTGAAGTGGATGCATGGATCCATAGCAGCATGGCAAAACACCAATAGGAAGACGAGCCTTTCCGTTCTAAAGATAATATGCAGCAGATGTTGCATCGAATTAACGCCCGATGAAATGTCGTTGAAGGATAATCTAGATCGCCAGTATTTCCGAACCTCGTGGCTTTCTTCGCTTTGATCGCTGCGCGACCTGCGATCGACAGGAGCAATGATAGCGTGGTCTTGAACTAGACGCCTATTTGACCTGGTTGATGCTGTGGGCCTGGCAATCGTAAGATAGGTTCTCCTTAGCCTCATTCGACCCAGATGTTTTACGAGGGATAATGGTCGAAGCGGGGCCCATCTGTGAACCTTCATTTGAAGCCGAGTCTTCAAAATGACGTCCGTGAGAATGCTGAAACACATCCATGGTTGTGGCGAAGCTCTATATTTCCATAGAGTTAATTCACGGTTAATATTAAATGATTGGCCATAATTTCGTTTGAAAGATAGCAACATACTTTTGAAAGTATTTTTGATCATTGAACGACCTCGCTTACCTTGACCCAATTCTGCTAGTATGGCTGACCTCGTATCTGCATAGACTTCCCGCAATCCTTCTGCCCACCCGGTTAATAAACGTATCCTGATTGTGCTTATCCATGCGGGCATTTTCTTTGTGAAAGGCTATATTGATCTCCGATAAAAGACACCGTGGAAAGTATTTTTGGGTCGCGCTGATCACCCGCAGACTTGGCCTGCCACCACCGTCCCTCTTTTCATCCGCCTGTCACCTCGGGAGTTCGTCACGCACGTAAGATCCACCATGGCCCACAATACTAGCATCGACCTCGTGTTACTTGCGTCCAACCCCACTTGTGAATCATTGGAAAGTCTCGAAAAAAGCCCCTTTATCGTGCTTATTCAAGACATCGCTGATAGCCAAGTGTAATGGACGATCATAATCCGCGAAGCCAGCCGGATTGCCCCTTCAACAACGATGGCTGTGTCCAAGAACCTTTTTTGTATTCAAATCATGTAGAAGTAATCTGGATATCATCAGCTTACCGCATGGTCGAATTTATCAGAAGTAAACATGTCACTGATAGTAAATTGTCATTTTCAAAAGCTCGCGGAAGGGACTGCAACTTCCCCTTCTAGGAAGCCGTGAAGATCGATCAATGCCATTGCCACTAAGCCTTCAGATCCGGCAAGTGGAGACACCCGGAGTTATTCAGAGGTTGATATGGGATCTTCCGGAAGGGAGGCGGCACATTTGATTGACCATGTGGAAGTTCAGGGTACAATCAGTGGCTTGGCACTTTAAATTTTGAGTTTCGTCGTATTTCCCTTTGCGGTGCAGAAGTCAATCGTCCCCTGTAAAGGTTCGGGTCGTTTCAGACCTGTGGGTTCATATGCGTGCAAGGAAATATGTACCAATTCAGAAGGAAGCCACGTCATTTTAATTTGATCAACCTGTTCCTATCAAGCCAGTTCGTCTCACTGGTATGACTGTCAGATATACTGCTGTGTCGGACTGTGGCGTGGGATAAAGTTGATTCTTGCATATGTGAAGTTAGTACACTCCTGGAAACCAATATGAACCTACGCGGACGTAAATTTGGAGTATATTGTTTCGGATTTGGAATTTTCCAAAACATTTCGTATCCACAGGTGATCGATGCTCTTGTTGAGCTTTGGGATGGGCAGCCTTGAAAACTACTGTCGACCAGTCGATCTCTTTTGGATGACTTGGGGAATGTTTTATAAGAGAGTGTCTATTGGGGACTTATTGAGTACCGCCCTTTGGCTTATTAGTAATGCAACATCGGTCGTTAAACCCTCCGACACCGAGTGAAAGTCTCTCGAATATATAGGCTCGGTAAACGGCGATCAGGGCATATCTGCCGCTACAATGCCCATGCACATCGGCATGTCGGCATTTAGATTCCGAAAGAAAGAAGTATTTGAATTTGGACCTTTCCAAGTGGCAAGCCAATAATTAGTATGGGCTAAGCTGCCTTATTTGATAAAAACAGGAAGGCTGCAGCGGTCATTCCTTATTATTTGTTGTTTCCAAGACTTCAACTTCCAGCCAATTTATTTTGTCACTTTTTCTCTTCTTTCGTTTTTGAATATAAAGAATCAAAAGCTGGAACATGGCTGGACCATATCCTTCGCGGTATTGGACGCTTGGGTCGGATCCAACATCTCGTGTCGATATACCAATCACTGGTGTCTTCACTTTACTCTTCCTCGCTGGTGCCGTGACACACTTCACAATTTTCCAAGTCAACTTGCGTCGACAGCATCGATTTTTTCTTTCCATCTTCTGTATCGGTATGTAAGAGGATAGAAATAAGGTAAAATAACTCTTTCTAACTCACATTCTCTCAGGATACTCCATGTCCCGAGTGATTGCATGTGTTCTACGTATAGTCACAACTACCAAGCCAGAGAACTTGAATGTTACTGTGGCTTATACTATCTTTCTGAATGTTGGAGTGGTCTTCATGTACCTGCTCAATCTTGTTCTCTGCCGACGCATCCTTCGATCAAATTACCCAGCAATCGGAAATCATCCCATCTCCTCTATGATATTCTGGGGCCTCTGCATTTTGATAATTTTGACTATTATCATGATTTTGACGGTTATTATCCAAAGCTTCTTTACTTTGAATCTCCACACTCACCTCATCGACCGGGATATTCAACTATATGCTCTGACATTTTTTGCGGTGATATCGTCTTTACCACTCCCAGTTGCCTTCCTGGCATTAATATCACCGGATGTGTCAGGCGAGAAAAAAGTCTTTCGAAATGGAAATCCCCGCTCCAGAGCCGCTCTCTTGCTAGTTGTCGCCTTTTTTGTTTGCCTAGGTGCCACATATCGCTGCGCGACAACATAGTTGGAACCGGTTTCCTTAAAAAAGCCAGAGCCAGACTATATGGGTTTAGGATGTTTCTATGTCTTTTACTTTGCTATCGATCTCATTGTCATATTAGCCCATGCAATTGGACGTGTGGATCGACTTTTCATTGGATTGAACGAATCCTGTGAAGAAAAGGCAGAAGGCGATGGAAGTGAGCATTCACAATTTGAGCTTTGAAGCACAATTCAAGACCGCGATATATTAGTAGAGAGGCATAGAATAGAAATATACGTAAAATTGAATATGTAATGAATTGACGTCACTTGAAGTCGGGCAATTTTGACTTATTTGATTCCCCGTAAAATGACCCCCGAGTCTTCACTACGGTCGGGTGGGGCCATTTTTCCAGGCGCCATAATGCGCATTTCATAAAACAAACATTATTGTCCATTCTGTTGGTAATTTCGGGTTCGTCAACGATTTAGTTGAATTTTCTGTCTTTAACCAGACTCGCTTCACATAATCAAGGTTCACGCAAAAATGGCTACAACTTACTACGACTACATCATCGCTGGAGGCGGTACAGCCGGTATTTTCTCACTCAGAACAGACAGTCCGAATAAAGATTAAACAGGTTTATAGGCTGCGTAATCGCAAGTCGCCTTTCAAGCTATAAGCCCGAAAGCTCAATTCTGCTGGTTGAAGCAGGGCCCAAGGATGACCCACGTATTCGGCCAAGCTTGGGCCTCGTTGGTCAAGCAGCCAACGAGATCAAATGGAACATTCAGAGTACCCCGCAAGATGCAATGAACGGGAAAACGCTTGATCTGGTTCAAGGGAAGGTAATCGGGGGCACCTCGTCAATTAACCATCAGGTGTGGATTCGCGGTGCTGCGGAAGACTAGTAAGTCACATCAGCGGTATTTAGCTACCTCCAAACTAACAAAATTCAAATCAGCAACCAATGGGCAGAGGAGGTTGGTGACCAGCGTTGGTCTTGGGATGGAATGCTGCCTTATTTCAAAGAGTGCGAAACGTTCATCCCTGGCCCAGAGCTTGAGGGCAAAGACCTCAGCTCGTATCGGGGATTTTCTGGTCCAATCACTGTGAGTCGATATCATTTTCAACCGCGTTTCAGAGGCAGACTTTTAACTATGTCAATGATTTAGGTCTCCCAAACTTCCTCCAGTGGTCGTCCCCGTCGTTATCCTCTCAGAGATGCCATCGCCAACATGTATGAGGCCCAAGGAGTGTCACGTGTTGCCGACATCAACTCTGGTCATCACCTAGGCTACGCAGAGCACAGCACCAGCAGCTACGATGGAGTTCGCTACTGGGCCGGATCTAACTATACAATGGGTCCCAATGTGAGCATCATGGCAGAGACTCAGGTCACAAAGGTTGTTTTCGAAGGAAACCATGCAAAAGGCATTGAGTGTCTGTCATCCACGGGAGAAAAGAGTCTTATCTCAGCCAAAGTGGAGGTTATCATATCTTCCGGTTCTTTGGGCTCTCCTAAGCTGCTGCTTTTGAGGTAACTGGGTTCCTGGAATACAGATCGTTGAGACAAGGCTGACAATCCTTGTTAGTGGAGTTGGTCCAACTGAAGAGCTAAGCAAGCATGGAATCACTCAGGTTGCCGATCTTCCCGTCGGTCAGAACTACAGTGACCACGCCATGTTAGCAACATTTTGGCATTTGGAGAAAAATGGACTAGCAATGGGTGATGTTGAGATGCGGAATGAGATTTGCGACTGGACTTGCGGCCTACCGATTGACTGGCTTGCATTCCACCGCCACGATCAAGATCATACCATCCAGGCCCTTGCGGCCAATGATCTCTCTCCGATTGAATTGGAACGCTTTAAGCTTCCCGGTCGGGCACATACTGAGTCTGGGATCTTGTGAGTTGTCATATCTGGGTTGTCAAAGAGAAAATTATTCTAATTCAAGGTGTTAAGGTACGGACATATTGACTTCACTGGCAAAGCTGGACCTCCTCCCTCTGGCTCCAACATTACCATCATGACAAAAATTGTGACACCATCTTCTCGGGGCTCAATCACTCTTAACTCTGCAGACCCATTAGACCCCCCAGTTTGCAATCCGAACATGTTGTCGACGGAACTGGATAGAAAGTTGTTATTTGCGGCAGTCCGCCTCACGGCTGAAGGACTCGAAAAGAGCATTGCCCCAGAGTACGGACTTAGAGAGAACAATGTGGAGGAGAGCCTGAGAGGCGACTACAGTGATAGAGCTATGAAGCAGAGAGCTTTGAGCTTCGCTCGAACTGTGAACCATGGTTGTGGAACTTGTGCTATGGGCACAGTTGTTGACGCAGAATGCCGGGTTAAAGGAACCACCGGGCTTCGCGTTGTAGACACGAGTATTATTCCTTTGCCACTTTCTGCGCATTATCAAGCGCCTGTCTATGCCGTGGCAGAGCAGGTCAGTATTCACCTTTATCAACTCCAATTCTCAGATTACTAACCATATACGACTTTATAGGCTGCTCGTATGATTGCAAATGTTTAGTCGGGGCTGCTTGGGTATATAGGCTTGCCAGGAGACATAGTACGAGATTGGACATAACCAGTAGGGCCTACTTGTCACCTACATAGCATAGAGTTACAACATACTTTATTAAGAATCTAAATTGGTGTCGCACAGAACAATGGTCTTCTGACTGTAGAGAATACATACCCGTTCCTCACATAAGATAATGACATCTTGCATTAAAAGTTACCGCAATATCCTCCCTAGATCGCAGAATACGCTTGGTTGGTCCAAGGGCAATCAATACTGCTTATGCCATGGCTACAGAAAGCCACTGAAGTGATCTCTTGCAGGTAAAAATAAACTTCGTTGTCGCCACAAAACAAGTTTCAAAAAGTAGTCTACCCGGCGACTAATTCCGGCTATTTTTGTATACAGATGTTGCCCTGCAGAAATCCCAACATAGCCTAGTTGCAGATGCATGAAAACACACCGGAAAAGTTCTCACTTTCCACAATGAATCTAACCTAAAACACCAAGTGGAGGGTACTTCTGACCCACATGGCAACGTGGAGTGGAAATTCCCCGAGGGTGGGTTCTAGAAAGCATAACGAGTGTCAATGTACAATATTCAAAATCCAATACATAATGACCTAAAGTATTGTTATTTTTGGACTTATCTGAAAGATTTCATTGATCATTTCCGTTGTCTGTGTAGCTCCGAGGCTTTACTCCACTATGGTTGAAATAAAGAGCAAAGAGGTGACCCAGGTTCTCCTCTTTGGGGATCAGACAGTGGACAAGCTGCCCGCTATCAAATCCCTCGTCAACCACTCTGGAAGCTCGGTTCTTTTGAGTCACTTCCTTCGACAGGCATGTGATATCGTTCAAATCGAACTGTCGCGTCTTCGCCCACATGAGCGCACGAATATTAGCAATTTTGACAGTTTATTAGCTTTGGCGGAAGATAATGCCCAACAACAGGACCCGAACGAGATTGTGGCGACAATCCTGATGGGTGTCGCGAGAATTGGAGAGCTTATTTGGTAAGTGACTTTTTCTATAGATTTTCTCTTTGTTTGGAACAGCCTTCACTCTAGGGGAATCAATTCGCTCACAGATTCATTAGGCATGCTGAGCGTGATTCTTCGATATTGGGCTCTTTACAAAATGCGACCCATATTTTAGGACTTTGTACCGGAGAGATTGTTGCTGCCATCCCAGCAGCTTCAGAAAGTCTCCCCGAGCTATATAGCTTGTCAGTAGAGGCTGTTGGTATTTTTTGTCGATTCGCACGCGATGTTATTCGACGCTCCCTGCTTGTTGACTCCACCAACGATAGCTGGGCAACTACAATTGTTGGTATCCCAGGCTCCACAGTTCACACTATTCTAGATGAATTTCATCTGTCTCAAGTAAGTTAAAAAAATTATATTGATAAATGGAGGCATATTCTAACTTTCTCTAGAAAATTCCATCTCTTAATCAAGTCGCTGTCGGCTTCGTCGCTCAGGGATGGGTAACTCTTTTTGGACCACCTACGACGACGCAAAAATTATTGAGTTGGTCAAAAATGCTCAATGAGGCCCCTCGAGTACCCAGCGATGCACGTGGAGGCGTGCATATGCCCCACATGCCTGAGCTTGATGAGATCGAGATCGTTGGTCCGTCTCCACTTTTTGACAAGACCCTGTCACCTACAGCTATCGTCTGGTCACCGTACGATTGTCAGCAGCGCCAGGGTGGTACTCTGAGACAGCTTCTGTCTGAAATAATTCGCGATGTCACACAAAGGCCATTGCTGTTGAAAGATACGATCGCAACTTTGGGAGAGCATCTTTCATCTCATGCAAGTGTCAATATCACTGCTGCTGGATACACGCCTCACCTACCTGTGATCCATCGGGCATTTCTCTCTCGCGGTATCACATGTACTGTGACCGACGATAGGCAGAAGGATAATCAAACTCCCCAAAATCTTAGGGGTGGAACAGATCGTTTTGCCATTGTTGGCATGTCAGGTAGATTCCCTGGCAGCGAAAGCGTGGCGGACTATTGGCAATCTCTCTTGGACGCCGAAAGATTTGTTCGAGAAGTATGTATGCCCACCATCGAATGGCCAAATTATTTTCTAATTTATATTTTATATAGATTCCAAATGAAAGATTCAACCTCGATAAATGGTTTGACCCGACCGGCAAGCAAAAGAATGCCACCGTGAACCGCTCGGGAGCCTTCCTCGATCGACCTGGGGCATTTGACCACCGACTATTCAACATGTCACCCAGAGAAGCATTCCAGGCAGATCCTTTGCACAGACTATTTTTGACTGTCTGTTATGAAGCTCTCGAGACATCCGGCTACTCACCGAACGCAACTCCATCCACACAAAGCGATCGCATCGCGACCTATTTTGGTCAGACCTCCGATGACTGGCGTGACTTACTCCTTACGAAAGGTGTCGATATCTATTATGCACCGGGTATTTGCCGCGCATTTGGCCCGAGTCGTGTCAATTACCATTTCAAGTGGGGAGGCCCTTCATATGGTATTGACTCCGCTTGTGCATCCAGTGTCACTGCAATCAGTCTCGCCTGTGCGTCACTAACGTCCAGGGAGTGCGATATGGCGTTAGCTGGGGGTGGATCAATTCTGAATTCTCCGGCGCCATTCGCTGGCTTGAGTCGCGGTGGATTTCTGTCTCCGGAGAAGGGCTGTGAAACTTATCACGATGAGGCAGATGGCTATGTCCGAGGTGAAGGTGTCGGTGTCGTGGTTCTCAAAAGACTAGAAGATGCAATCGGGGAGAACGACAACATCCTTGGTGTCATTGTCGGTGCTGCCAGGAACTATAGTAGCGATGCATCATCTATCAGCCATCCGTCTCCTGATGCGCAGCAGCGTCTGTATCGCCAGGTCCTGCATCAAAGTGGAACTGATCCTTCTAGTGTCGGATACGTTGAGATGCATGGAACGGGTACTCAAGCAGGCGATGCAGCAGAGATGTCCTCGGTCCTTGGGACGTTTGCAGTTGGCCGTTCACGCGATAACCCTCTGGTTGTCGGTGCCGTGAAAGCTAATATTGGGCATGGAGAAGCGGTAATATTACACTTCTTACACATAACCCATAAAATGCATCAGAATGCTAACACATAATAGGCTGCTGGTGTGTGTGCCCTTATTAAGGCTGTGATGATGTTTCGGGAGGGTAAAATCCCTCCTCAGCCAGGCATGCCATTCCAGATCAATCGTGGATTCCCAGATCTGGCTCGAATGAACGTCCACATTGCTGGTAATGATATGTTCCTTGGTTCAAGTGCTAATGGTGATGGGAAAAGAAGAATATTCCTGAACAGTTTCGACGCTTCGGTATGTACAATACTTCGTATTCAGCTGTTAATGAATATTTGCTGAAAGATACAAAGGGCGGCAATTCTTGTCTTCTCTTGGAAGAGCCTCCGAAGGTCGCAGAAAAGCACGAAGACCCTAGGTCCCATCATATAGTGACACTTTCTGCCCGGACACCAAAGTCAATCAGAGACATCACGGCTCGTTATCGCGGGTATATTCAAAAGAACTCCGATATTCCTTTGGCCGATCTTGCTTATAGTACAACTGCTCGTCGCATGCACAGTACATTGCGGGCCTCCTTTGTTGCGACATCACTGACTGAACTGAGTGCTAAATTGGAGACCGCGATTGCCAAAAATGAGTCTAACCCTCCACGCAAGGCCGTTAGTAACTCTGTTGTATTTGCCTTCACTGGACAAGGATCTCAATATGCTGGGATGGGTCAACAACTCTGGAAAAATAGTAATGAGTTTCGACATCTTATCGAATCTTACCAAGCCATTGCCTTGGCTCTTGGGCTACCCCACTTCATCGATCTCATTTCTCAAGATACCATTGACCTGACATCGGTCAGCGCTGTGTCAGTCCAACTATCCATTGTTGCTGTCGAAATTGCAATTGCCAAATTATGGATCTCATGGGGCGTTCAGCCTAACATGGTCATAGGTCACAGTTTGGGTGAGTACGCTGCTCTATGCATCGCTGGAGTCCTGACTGTCAGTGATACAATTTTCCTGGTTGGTCGGCGAGCGCAGGCGCTGGTCGAGTCCATTCCACAAAATCAAGCAGCAATGCTCGCCATCGGCAAATCGGCAGAAGAGACCAAGAAGCTTCTTATATCCACCTGCTGTGAAATTGCTTGCTTGAATACTCCACAGTCTACCGTTGTCAGTGGTTCCCTAGACGATCTTGAGAAACTGCAGGAGGAACTACGCGACCAAGGCATTCGTTCTACACTCCTCCGCGTACCATTTGCATTCCATTCATCACAACTGGAGCCGATATTGGATACTTTCGAGTCGACGGCTAATGGTGTGAACTATTCAGCCCCAAGTATCCCAGTGGCCTCGACTCTCCTTGGACGCGTTGTACATCGTGGAGAACTTGGGATTTTCTCTCCTTTGTACCTGAGAAGACAAGCACGAGAACCGGTCGACTTTATTGGCGCTCTTCAAGCATCGAAAGAAGCAACTATTGTCCGACCAGGAACCATCTTCATTGAGGTAGGACCAGAGCCTGTGTGTTTAGGGCTTGTGCGTGGAAACTTGGCATTGAGCGTCAAAGACTTACAGTTGCTACCAAGTCTTCGATCTGGAGAAGACAACTGGGCTACTATATCTAACAGCTTGTCTGCACTCTACGAAGCTGGACTTTCAATAAACTGGACTGAGTACCACCACGACTTCGTTCAATGTCTCTCTTTGTGCGATTTGCCGACGTACTGCTTTGATGAAAAGGAATTTTGGGAGCCCTATCCTGACCCAGACGCTGCGATCAACTCTCTCCCTGAAGGAAAACCAGAAGTCAAACCCTTTATGAATGGATTCCCAACCACTTCTCTACAGCGAATCGAGAGGGAAAAAATCGATCAGGATAAAATATCAGTATGCTTTCAATCGCACACTGCCGAGCCACATTTATTGTCTGCAATTCAAGCCCATGCGGTTGCAGGTATCAAGATATGCTCGAGTAGCATTTTTAGTGACATGGCATTGTCTGCTGCGCATTACGCTCGCGAGCGACTGCAACCCGGAAGTTCAGGCGCCATTATTACCATTCGCTCACTCGATATTCGTCACGCTATTGTTGTTATGGACATAAATCCTTCGCAGATCATTGAAGTGGAAGCAGAGTATATCAACGGGACATCATCTGCACACGTATACTTCCGAACTAAGACTGATGAGTCCCCTCTGGAAGATATCGGAATCTGTGAGATCGAGTATTCTCAAAGCAGTGTCGATCTTCCCTGGAAAAATGATCTTTCACGTCGTAAACTTCTGATTGATTCCAGGGTTGAGGCTCTTCATGCGGCAGGCGAGTCAGGAAAGGCTCATCGAATGCTCCGACCTGTGATTTATCAACTATTTTCTGGTCTCGTTGAGTACGGAGATGGATTCCAGGGACTGGACGAACTTGTCATGGATGATAAATTACGCGATGCCGTTGGACAAGTCCGACTACCCGCTTCGAAAGATGGGGGTAATTTCCTTTACAGTCCTTACTTGCTGGATGCGGTTGTTCATTTGGTAGGGTTCCTGGCAAATTGCGGCCTCAAATATCCTGCCGACATTGCCTTCCTCTCGACTGGATTTGACACTTGGCATTTACTCAAACCTCTTTCTCCCAGTGCTTTGTACACTAGCTACGCCTATCTCGAGGAATCTACAGATGGCTCCTTGTTAGTTGGTGATGTGTATGTACTGGAAGGGACAGAGCTGGTTTCTGTTCTTTCTGGCATTCGGTTCCAGAAAATGAAGAAGATGGCTTTGTCCCGCATACTGCTCAGTGCAGCACCCACCTCGGGTCGCAAGAATACTCGATTTGCTGCTCATTCGGATGCGGATGATGGTCTTATGTCGGGAATGACGACTGGTCCTTCTACTTCCAGAGTCACCAGTCCCCCAACTTCCGGGGCTTCTACACCTGGTACATCTGTTGATGGGAGCCCCATTCTCGTTGAAACATTTTTGAAGGTTGTTTCGGAAGAAGCAGGAGTTGAAATTGCAGAGCTACAGCCTGATATGTCCTTTGTTGACCTTGGAGTCGATTCATTGATGACAATCACTGTCATTGCCGCTCTACGCAACGAGACTGGTTTAGAGTTATCTGGGTCTTTTTTCTTGGATAATGCCACAGTCGGAGAGGCTACTAAGGCTCTTGGAGCAAGTGAACGAGGTAGCACTCCTGAGAAAGAAGAAATTCCACTTGATGCGCAGGCCAACACGCCAACTGAAGTGCCCGTGGAAAAGGCCACCGAGATTGAGCCTTCCACTCTGGCCCCCGCCAGAGCTTTACTTCTTCAAGGTTCTGCTTCGATATCAGAAGTTCTTCCTTTATTTGCTTTGCCCGATGGAACAGGCTCTGTGTCATCATATGTCCAACTGCCTCCGCTCATGGACTCTCAGCGAATGTACGGACTGGAGTCACCGTTTGTGCGCCAGGAGTCCACATCACTGGCTCAACTGAACGTTGAAAACCTAATCGATAGTTTTGTCCGAGCAATCCGTGAGATCCAACCCGAGGGTCCTTACATGATAATAGGTTGTTCCACAGGTGCCACCTTTGCTTTCGAAGTGGCCCGTGCTCTCCTTGAAGCAGGCCAAACTGTCCAAGAGTTGGTGCTCGGTGGGCCAGCTCCAGCTCCAGCTTCGGATCAATTGCAAAATCTCAGTGTCGGGGTGCAAGAAGTTGATCAAAGTGGACTACTTGGTGTTGGCAAGAGAGGTGGATCTCAGGCCCTTCATCAAAAGTTGCATCTCGCTGCGTCCTTGCAAGCTTTGACAAAATACCAGCCTCGGAGAATGCCTGCTGAACGGTCGCCGAGTCATACCACAGTTATCATGCCTACCAAGGGGCTACATTCCATAGTCTCGGATACTTCCATCAAGGCATCTGAGTTCTTGTCTTGGGTGAACATTAATTGGTCGAACCCCGAGAAAATTGGCTGGGCCGAGCTGATGAAGGAAACCGAGGTTTTAGAACTTGACAGCGATTACTTGTCAATGATGCGTTACCCTCAGGTAAGTTAAGTTGAGCATTAGTGTCTACGTGGGTGGAGCTGACATATGATTTTAGGTTGAAACTTTGGGGCAAATGATCAATGACACAGTCACTCGCTCTTACTAGTAGCCTAGTAGTAGGAAGTCGGGACCTTGAAGAGGTGATTCAACGCGACTCGCAAGATGCGTAACTAGTTTGCAACTTGAATGACGGCATTTATTTTTCAGAATGTATATATGAATCGAGCCAGTCAGATACTGAATGCTTTTTTTGTTCACGAAATGCCAATCCTATTGTATGCAATAAACTTGAACAGATCAAGTTGAAATTCATACTGCTTAAATAAACCATGGATCAATGTTTTCAAGTTATTAGTAGTAGCATGATTATACCAAAGGCCTCGGGACAAGCGACATCATTGATGAAACCTCAACTGTCCACTGCCAGTGGCAGGGCAGGCCGCTGCATCATGCCAGTCACGGTGGCTATCTTGATACGACTACCTAGTCTCATAATATGCTTCAAATTGATACTTCAAATGTCGAGTGACCTGACCATGACCAATAATGATGTTGATCTCAGCGAGATTTCGAGGTGTGATTTAAACTAGTAGTATATGGAGGTGACTGAAGTGACTTCGTATCTCAAATTTGAACTTTGAAGGCATGATATTATCTAGCCTGCTAGCACATCATGATACTGGAAATCTCGTTCTTTCCAATTCCAACTTGGTTGTAAGGAAATTTGAACTTGAATTTGGCAGACCTCAAGTACTAGGTTCAACTTGAAGTTTCAATAATATCATGTCTCTCTTGGAAATAGTATATGTCTCCTTCATTCAAGCGCTTCTCAATATTCTTTCACATTCCTTAAAAACATTATACCCTGCATCGTGTGCAATTCTAGTAGGAAAGGTCTCGGGAACTGTCAAAATCTCCGTTAGATCTTCCAAACTTGAAGTTGAAGGATCGCGAGATAGATCAGTATATCATGCACGACTTCCAAGGTTGGACTCACATGTAACACCTTCCTCCATAAACTCCTGGACCCGCTCCTTGACCATTGCTTCCCGATTGGCGCGTACAGATGACAGAATCTGGACACGCGTTGCACGTCGCATTCGAAGTCGCTCAAACAGCTCGAGTCTGTGGGGAATTTCTGACGGTTCATCGACACCAGCTAATAATAATCCGAGGGCGCCGCCATCTTCAATGGCTTGATTGGATCCTTGTCCACCAAACGGAAGCATCTGCTCGGATTGGTCAGTCTCGGCAACACAGTGGAGCACATCCGACGCGACTATTCCTACAGGGTGTGCGGCATCGCCGATCAAAACAAGTTTGCCCGTTGTCCACTTGGAGAGCGGGCTTGTCTCAAACAGGGGCCAGCATTTGACGTCTTCAGCGAGCCTATACATCGTGAGATATTTTTTTCAAAAGCTAGGGATACAGGGACATACTTCAAAATTTCGACTACCTTTGGATCGAAATGGCCAAATTGCTGGAGCATTTGATCTTTGTGGTCCCCTGATTCCAGGCATGTTGGGTGAATACCCACGAAGTTTTCGACAGTGCCACTATATATATCAACATGGGCATTGAATCATTTGAACTAATAAGAAAATTTTTCAAATATGAAGGGAAAACATACCCGCGACAAGAATACCACATCAGGTGTCGTTCTTCCTCCTGGGTGACGGAACCTGGATCGCCCAGCAATAATGCGCCAGGCACTTTCCATGAAAGTAGCTCTCGTCCAACTGGGTGCTCGCGAATTTTTTCTGTCGGTAGAAGAAAACGAAACGCGCTCAATTTGGTATCTTTTGGGCTTGCCAGCGAAGCCACCGCGGGACGCGCGACCGAATGAAGCCCGTCCGCTGCAACAATCAAGTCAGCATACTTGACAGAACCGTCCGCTAATTTCACAGATCCTTCGTCCGGGTTGACTTCGAGAACCGATGAAGAGAGTTGAAGGGTAGCGCCCCCGGGGCCCTCCTGTGCTAGCCGCAGAAGCTCGTCGTGGAGGTCTACCCTGTGAACACTCAGGAATGGCGCTCCAAACCGCTCTACCGATGTACTCAGATCCTGGCATGCGATGCGATTCAAATTAGTTCCGTGTACTGTATCCCAATTCTTGACCGGGACGCCCCGTGCTCGCTCAATATCGAAACCGAGGCCCATGAGCGTTGCTGTGCCATTAGGCGCGAGATTGATAGCTGCTCCGACCTCGCCTGCAAAGGCAGATCGCTCCAGCACCTTAAGAATGGTCAATATTGGTTTGGTTACAAAAAAAGGGTGGCATACTTCGACGAAGTGGCCTGAGCGTCGCAAAGATACAGCCGCTGTTAGGCCGGCAATGCCTGCCCCAATGATAATTACTTTCAGAGGCATTGTTACAGGTTTATCGCAAGTGATGTGTCTTTCTATTCATTCTACTTTATACGTTGAACTCTTTATAGATCGTTCATCTATCCTGTTCGTCTATCCTGTGCCCGGCATACTATTTCGGCGTCCAAGCCGGCGACTTTCTTGAATCGCATGAAATATTAACCATTTAACTTACAATGCAAAGCCTGCGGGGTTGGAACTATGTAGCTCTAGACGTGTGAATGTCCTATAGTTGAATTTTTACATCAAAATGTCTTCATCTACAATAAGTGCTGCCATTTAAATGCTTAGTTCCTCACAGGGTACTTCTCCCATGCCTCTGGGAAAGCACACCCACGTACGAAGTCAAAATGAAGAACTCCAGACATGGGCTTATCAGATCCCGAATCAATAGCAGCCTGTGCCGCAGGCAAAAACATATGCTTCTTCATCCGGAAATCTGCATCATCCTCGTATGGAGCAGATACTTTCTGTGCGTGACGAATAACACGAATCAGTTTGATCATGTGCCCGTCATCGGGATGCTCGCAGCCTCGCTTCAATACACGGTTCCAATCAGCACCTGGCTCCTTAGGCGACTGTGAGAGGAGCCAATCGATGTTTGCTTCAGGTGATCCCATTCCAGCATACAGCATTAGGACTGTCCGACCGGTGTATTCGATCAGACGTGCCTTTTGCTCTCGAGTGAACGAGGCCTCGTTCGTCATGGCTGTCTGCCAAATTGCAGCGTTACTCCCGTGGATCAGGAAGAAGTCAAAGTGGCATTGATATGGGGCGCGTTGGGCCGATGCCGCAATCCAAACTTATAACTGTTAGTAGTCATTCTATAGCTACTGCTCATCGAAGACAAATACATACCAGCTGCATTGATTAGCTCTGCAGTCGCACGCTCGAGATCATCGTTGGGATCAACGCGATAGCGCGCGCAGACCTGTGCCATTTCGTCGAACGCCCGGCCACACACGTAGTCGCGAATCATCTCTTTTTCGACCTTCCACGAGCCGCTGACCACTTGACGATGCACGTCGATACTGGAACAGTTCAAAATCACCGGGTCCTTTCGACATTCTTCGGCACAATCTGCTAGCGAGAGACGAGGCTCTTCTTGGAGAGCGGCTTTCTTCTCCACATGGAAAAGGAATTCGTTGTAATACATGTCGTCGTGAGAGGCGGCTTGTGCTAACCCTTCAGCCAATAGTGGTAGCTGTTTGAATTCGAGTGCCTGGCCAACGTACATGAAAGAGTGGACGTATCCTAACCAGTTAGTATATCCTGGATATCTCCGGATAGCTTATTTAGCGAAGACAAACCATGATACATCCGGCCGAGAATGTCATCGGCGAGAGAAGATCCGCCGACCATGTATTCCTGCAGGACAGCTTGATACCCAATCTTCTCAATTTTGCGTTCGAAGAATGTAACAAAGTCCAGAAAGTGATCTTGGCTACCAACGTATTTTGTAAATCCTTCAGGGGTGTCCATTTCTTCGACAATGTGGTCGTCGGGGAATTTTCGAGGCAGAAGTTGATAGTTCTCGTTATTTTTCTTGTGAGTGATCATGGTATCAGGATCAGCCCCCAGGGCCCAGAGGGTCAAGACGTGATGCACAATGTGATTATGGAGATAGGCCTAGTTTCAGAATTAGATAAATTCATCCTTGAATAATTCGGTCCAAAACTACAATACGTACACCCATTATGTCAAAGTCAGTTGTGAAAACATGGTATGCTGTTCGGTTCGACTGAAGGATAAGGCTTGCCACCTTGGCGCTTTCTTCAGTCAGTCCATCGACATGACAGTAGCCAGGGGTCTTGATGGGATCGAGCTTGTAGCGATAGGGAGACTCCATTTTGAATAATTGCTGTTATTGTCAAAGAGGGTTTCAATGGTGATAGATTCCAATGTTGCCGTGATAGATTTGACTTCTATAATATACTTTTGAGGTTGCCACTCAACCTAAGCTAAGACCCGAAGTGCACATTGTGTGCAGATCATCGGTCTTCCAGACTGTACTAGCCGTCGAATTGATCGCCGAGATCAACGCCGAAAATGTTTGATACTTCCAAGGCATTAAATTAGAATCTAGATCACACGGAGACGAAAAAGATATATGAAATAACGGGGTTTAATTAAAGAACTAAAATTTAACTAATTTGGCCCCAGAAAACAATCCCATCGTTTGTAAAGGTCATCAGAAACAATGTCCTTTAGTAAAAACCCCAACTCATGGACCTGTAATTAGTTAGTACTGTCACCAATTGAATCCCCAGATGGCACTAAGAACCCTCAAGTTGGAACTTTTTTAGAACTCACATTCGGTGGGCTGATTAACGTGAAATGATTGCCAGAGATCTTGGTTGTATATAATTTGCCGCCAGGAAAGAGACGCTCCCATCCATGAGGAGTGAAATTGGGCTTTCCAACCAGAAGAAACCGAGAGACTTTGATTTTCAGATCCAAGCCTGTAGGTTCCAGTTGATCCTCAAGCATAACTCCATCTGCGCTCCAAATCACATAGACTGTAGGTGGCGGTGCGACCATAGGCGTGGGAACGTATTGCCGCACTGCACGGAGCGTCGATCGGAAATGCTCCACCAGCCACGCCGGCGTTCGCTCCGACACTCCCCAGTTGCCCATCAATCCGTGTGCGGACAGATACTCAACCACTTGGATTGGTAGCTCCTCGAAGTCAGGTCTACATGGCGAATCGAGCAAGATGAGCTTGCTAACGTGCTCTCCCTGGCGACGGAGGTTCTCAGCCACTTCGTACGAATAATAGCCACCCGCAGACCATCCTCCCAAGATGTATGGTCCCTGTGGCTGGCGTTGTCGGATCTCCTGGGCCCATTCCCGTGCCATATCCTGAATAGAGCAGCGATAATCTTCTGGGCATCGCAAATAAGGACTGTTCATCGCGATAAGGCACGTTGTAGGGGATATGGGTGGGATGCCAGCGTATGCCATTCCGGAGCCACTTCCATCAGGGAGAAGAAATATGGTCTCTGTAGAATTCGATGGGCTTCCTTGAAGTATCACTGACAAAGGAACGCGTGAGAGATTGCCCTTTGATCCATTGCTGGTCGATTGACGATTGTCATTGCCCTTCGCGATCGCGGTAAGACGTGCTAGACACTGGCGGAGAGAATCAACGGTTGGACATTCGTCTAGAACTGCGACCGGAAGATCGGGCGCCAACTCCCTGAGGCGAGCAGTGATACTGCGACTTAATGGAGCGCTTACTCCAAGATCTCCTGCAAAATCGTCTTGCTCGTGAATATCTTTAACATCAACTCCTATCTCGACCGCGATGATCTCTAGACACTCGGCCCAACGCTTGTCAAATGTAGCCATATTGAGAGAACTGGTTGATCGGACTTAGTAAATCATAGTAAATGATTTATCAAAGAGAAAGAAAGCAGAATATCCGCTGGCAAGTCACAAAACAGTAACCAATGATTCTTGTTGGTCTACTGCCAGATGCTTGCATAGAGGCCAAAGCACCCAATGAAACCTCCCGACGGCGATCAGATTCGGAGTTTTAAACAGCCATGACAGCCATTCTTACCATTATATTGCAAAAACCATGGGATTTGATACTTGATCTGAAACCGAGAAGAAAATGAACAACGAAAATTGTACAGAAAACAAAATATGGTGTTCTTTTCGACCACTCTGATGCTGGCGAGCCTTGGGTGATTCGCCGATATCAAGCTTTTGCTACTGATGAAATCACGGACAGTATTATGCCGTTTTATCTCAAGACGTCTATACTTCTAAGAATATTGTCTTGCATAAAGTATGCATTCCTTTTTCCAATAAATCGTCGTGCCACTTTGAAATTTCTCAATCGGTGCGAATACTACCTCAATGTTCGGATGTGATGCATGATTCATCCACTATGACTTCCCCACTGTCAGATATTGCCGTTGTTGGCATGTCATGTCGTTTTCCAGGCGATGGTGACTCCGTTGAACGATTTTGGAACCTCATCTGCGAAGGAAGATGTAAGTATACTCTAAATTCTGGATCCGGATCTCAAGTGCTCACGAAGTGATTAGCGGCATATTCCGAGAATCCTGAACGCTGGAATCCGGATGCATTCCATTTCCCACAGAAGAAGTTGAATACAAGTCTCCCGCGAGGAGCTCACTTTTTGAAACAAGATGTGGCTGCTTTCGACGCAAATTTCTTCAATATTTCTAAAGCCGAAGCAGAGGCTATGGATCCTCAACAGCGCATGGTGATGGAGACCACAGTTGAGGCCATGGATCAGGGAGGTCTCCCGGCTTCCAAGCTTTCTGGAACACAAACCGGTGTTTGGATGGCCAACTTCACCAGTGATTATCGGGAGATGCTATACCGTGATCCCGAATCCGCCCCGATGTACACCCTAGCTGGTGCTAGCAATACCTCCACCTCCAACCGAATTTCCTATTTCTTCAATTTCAAGGGACCGAGCTTCACACTCAATACAGCCTGTTCGTCTAGTCTGGTGGCAACTCACTTGGCCTGCCAGAGTTTATCACTCGGAGAAACCAGCACCGCCATCGTCGGCGGGACCAGCTTGCTCCTCAACCCCGACCTCTTCATGTTCTTATCGAACCAGAACTTCTTGGCCGCCGATGGCCGCTGCAAAGCATTTGACGAAAGTGGAGATGGATACGGTCGCGGTGAAGGTGCTGCTGTTGTCATTCTTAAACGTATCGATGATGCTATCGCCGATGGTGACCCAATCCGGGCCGTCATTCGGGGATCCTCAGTTAACCAAGACGGTCGCACCAAGGGAATGACTCTTCCAAGCGCCGATGCTCAAGTACAACTTATTCAGACCGCCTATAAGAATGCCGGTGTTTCCATGTCCGAGACACGCTACGTTGAAGCTCACGGGACAGGAACTAGAGCCGGAGATACCACCGAGACCGAGGCTCTATCACGCACTCTTAGCGAGGGACGATCACCTTCCGACCGACTTCTTATTGGCTCTGTTAAAGCCAACATCGGCCATCTTGAAGCTTGTGCTGGCCTTGCGTCTATTATTAAATGCGTGCGCATTTTGGAGACCGGGTACATACCACCAACGCCGAGTTACAAAAAGGGAAGCCCAGGTGTGAAGTGGGATGAGTGGAAACTCAAAGTCCCAACAGCCATGACAAGATGGCCCACCGATGGCTTGCGTCGTCTCAGCACTCAAGGATTTGGGTATGGTGGTACAAATTCCCACCTGGTGATGGATGATGCGTATCACTATCTTGAATCGCGAGGCCTGAAAGGAAATCATTGCACCATTGACCTAGCGCAGACGCAGATCAACGGATTGAAATCAATTATCGCCAAAAACAGGCCTCGCGTCTTTTGCTTCAGCGCGCAGGACCGCGATGGATTGAAGCGAATGAGAACCTCGCTCTCTCAGCACTTAGCTGGGAAAGGAGGAAAATTAGCCTTGGTTGAGGATGACAGTTACCTGGGTGATTTATCCTACACACTTAGCCAGAGAAGAAATCGCTTGCAATGGAGAACCTTCCTCATCGCGTCCTCTCTGGCTCAACTACAACGTGCCTTGCTCGAGGAGCCGTGGCCCAACCCAGAGACACGCAGTTCCGCAAGGACTACGCGAATCGGTTTCATCTTCACCGGACAGGGTGCGCAATGGGCAGAGATGGGTATTCACCTTATGAAATACGATGTCTTTCGAAATAGCATTCAGCGCTCATCTCGTTATATCAAAGAGACCCTCCATTGTCAGTGGGATGTCATCGAAGAACTATCTAAGCCCAATGACTCCAGTCGGCTTGGGCTTGCCATCTTCAGCCAAACAATTTGCACCGTTCTTCAAGTAGCGCTGGTCGATCTTCTCGCTACTTGGAATGTTGCGCCGTCTAGCGTCGCGGGTCATTCTAGCGGAGAAATTGCAGCCGCTTACTGCCTTGGAGTATTATCACAGGAAGACGCTGTTAAGATCGCTTATTATCGCGGTGTCCTTTCTTCTGAAATGAAGGAGGCAGACTCTTCTCTAAGAGGAGCCATGATGGCCGTTGGTGCATCACCGGCTGAGGTTCAACCCCATATCGATACTCTCACCCAAGGTGTTGTAGTCGTTGCCTGTATCAATTCGCCCTCTAGTATTACCGCGTCGGGTGATGTGCCGGCAATCGATGAACTGGAAGCTAAACTTCAACAGAAGGGGATATTTGCCCGGAAGTTGAAGGTCGACACAGCCTACCACTCTCCACATATGCAGACCATCGCAGGTGACTATTTCGATGCGATATCCGACATATCTACCAATCCTGCTTTGCCAGATCGCCAGATGCATTCCAGTGTTGTAGGAAAGGCTATTGCCCCTCATGAATTGGGCGCTAGTAATTGGGTTCGCAACTTAGTATCCCCCGTTCGATTTGCCGACGCGGTACATGACCTGGTCCGACCAATGGGCGAGAATGGCGAGCGAGCAACGGAGAATGCTGTCGATTTGCTGATCGAGGTTGGGCCACATCCCGCCCTCCAAGGCCCCGTGAACCAAACCTTAAAGCATTATGGCGTTAACGGCGTCGAATATCTTTCCATCTTGCGTCGAGGACAGAATGACGAGCTGATGGCTCTTTCTTGCATTGGCAGTTTGCTTTCAGCAGATATTGCCGTGGATGTGTCAGCTGTCCATGGAGACGAGTCTAACAAGCCTCTGGTTGATTTGCCCGCGTATCCCTGGAACCACTCTGCTCGATTCTGGTCCGAATCTCGCATATCCAGAGAGTATAGACTCCGAAAGCATCCGCGATTGCCTCTTTTAGGTGCACCTTGCCCTGTGATGGACGCAGAAGAAAGGCAATGGAGAGGCTTTATTCGATTGACCGAAGAGCCTTGGGTTAGAGAGCACGTCATTCAAGATGCCATTCTTTATCCTGCAGCCGGGTTCCTGGCTATGGCAATCGAGGCGGCTATCCAGAAGACCACAGATGAAGACCAGACCATTGAATCGATTAATGGCGTTCGTCTGCGCGATATTCAAATTCACACAGCCCTGGTTCTAGAAGAAGATACCGTCCCCGAGGTCATTCTTACTTTTAGACCACACCAGGCCGGCACCTTGGATTCGAGCTCTACCTGGACCGAGTTTACAATCAATTCCTGCACTGACGGTCAGCAGCCAGTGAAGAACTGCTCTGGTATCTTGATTGTTGAGAAGGAAGCAGCTGAAGGATCGTCAATGCAAGTGGAACGAAACGAGGAGGCGACTCAAGCTCAGACAAAATACAACGAATTGCGTACGGGCTGCTCAACGGAGGTTAACGCCAAGGACTTCTACAGTCGTCTTGACAAACTTGGTCTTCAATATGGTCCCTCATTTGCTAGATTGACCCAGATCAGTCACGATAACGAGACAGGCTCATGCGTGGGTAAGCTCGAGATTCCGGATTTTGAATCCATGAATCCACCGTGGCGCGAGCGTGATCATATCGTGCACCCAACAGTACTCGACAGTATCTTCCATCTCATGTTCGCTGCAATGTTGGGTCACCAGAATGGTCTCAAGGGGACCCTTGTCCCTACCTCAATAAGCGAGATCTTTGTTTCAACAAAGATTCCATTCCAGCCCGGAATACAGCTTAACGGCTTTGCATCCTCCTCTCCATTTGGATTCCGAGAATGGGTCTCCGATATCAATATTCTTGATGATGTCACCACCAAGAGTCATATCCGGATTCGAGGATTTACTTGTGCTGATGTGTCATACGGAGGTAGCATGTCGGAAAATGAGTTCGTCAAACCGATCACCTTTACCGATACATGGACGTCGATACTTGATCTCGTCCCAACAGAGGGCCTTGAACAAACAGCAGAAACAACTTTCAGTGATATCACCTTAGTTCTTCCCCAAACACTGGAAGGCGTATATACCGACATGGCTTCCAATTTGGAAGAGTTGCTTGCCCTGAAGGGAATCTCAACCTCTCGCCTGCAATGGAATGCAGAAAATGTTGCTACCCTGCATGGAAAATCTTGCATTATCCTTACAGACCTCCAAAGGTCTCTTCTTGCAGACATGTCAGAGGAAGATTTCAACTTACTCAAAGATCTCATCCTTCAATCTCAGAGCCTTCTTTGGGTTAGTGGTGATATTGGCCCCCAGGCTAGCCTTGTTGCCGGATTGGCGCGAAGTGTTCGCAATGAGGTACCTGGCATGGATTTTAAAACACTTGAGATCACCAAGACCTCCTTGAATAAATTCTCGGAGATTATTGACCGGGTCCTTTTGCATGCTGGACCTGACACAGAGTTCGTGGCCATTGACGGACAGGCTGGTGTTAGGAGATTGCTTGAAGATCAACCTCGCAACGAATCCCTGGCGACCATTCTTGGAAATTTCCCAGCAAAAGTGAAACATGTACCTTTGAAGGATGCTGCAGGACCTGTCAAGTTGGGCATTAGAAACCCTGGAATGCTCGATTCGTTATGCTTTGAGAGGGATGACATCCCAAATACTCCACTCAAGGATGGGACAGTGGAGGTCGATGTTAAGGCAACAGGAATCAAGTAAGTGAATAAGTCTAAACCAAGTTTGTTCTCTGCTTATGTGAATGGATCAGTTTCCGCGATATTATGGTAGCAATGGGGCAAATTCCAGATAGCCTACTCGGATTCGAAGGTGCGGGCATTGTTCGTCGCTTGGCTGCAGACGTTACTACAGTAAGGCCTGGTGACCGGGTTTGCTTCCTTGCTCACGGTGCTCACCGTACTGTTCATCGAATTCGTGCCGAATACGCCGTGCCTATTCCACCTGATATGCCATTCGCCGATGCGGCCGGACTTCTGCTGGCACACAGCACAGCCTGGTATAGCTTGAAGAAGATGGCCAATATCGAGGCGGGCCAAACTATCCTTATCCATGCTGCCGCCGGTGGTGTCGGACAGGCTGCGGTTATGCTTGCCCAGCATGTCGGCCTCGAAATCTTCGCGACAGTTGGGTCCGATGACAAGAGAGAGTTGATCAAAACACGCTACGGTATTCCTGAGGATCATATTTTCAATTCTCGCGACCTGAGCTTTGTTCAAGGAGTGATGCGAATGACTAAAGGCGTTGGGGTAGATGTTATTTTGAATTCGCTATCTGGTGAGGCACTTCGACAGACATGGTCATGTATTGCTCCATTCGGCACATTCATTGAAATTGGTATGAAGGATATTCTCGGAAACACACGACTGGATATGAGACCATTTATTCGCGATGCGACATTCACTTTCATTAATTTGAACCACCTTGAGCGTGACCGACCACGTCTTATGGCTGAGATTCTCCACAGCTCTATGGATCTCATCAATGCGGGTATCACGAAGCCCATCTACCCAGTTACTGATTATCCAATCTCTCAAGTCGAGCAAAGCTTCCGTGTGATGCAGGCTGGCAAGCACCGAGGAAAACTCACATTGACATACGGCAATGAGGATGTGGTCCCTGTTGTTGACTCGTTCCGCTCTGCTGAGCTCTCAGCAGATGGCTGTTACATGCTTGTTGGTGGCCTTGGAGGACTTGGGCGGAGTCTTGCCCAGCTCTTCGTTCGTCTGGGTGCCAAGAAGCTGTGTTTCCTTTCCCGGTCGGGTGCTGAAAGCTCATCTGCTCAAAATCTGGTTAAGGAATTGAAGAGTCAAGGGGCTGAAGTTCTGGTATGCAAATGCGATGTCGCTGATGCCTCATCCCTCCAAAATGCCATCCAGCTTTGCTCGACTTCTCTCGGTTTAGTTAGAGGCGTAGTACAGTGTGCCATGGTTCTTCGAGATTCTGTATTCGAAAACATGAGCTATCAGCAATGGATCGAGTCAACGCAGCCCAAGGTTCAAGGATCTTGGAATCTTCATAGCTGTTTTCCGGATGTTGACTTTTTTCTCATCCTCAGCTCCTTCGCTGGTGTCTTCGGTAGTCGGGGTCAAAGTAACTACGCGGCGGCTGGTGCCTACGAAGATGCCTTGTCAGCTTACCGCCATTCTCTTGGTATGAAGGGCACAACTATTGACCTTGGAATTATGCAAGACGTCGGTGTCCTCGCAGAAAAGGGTATCACAGATTATCTACGTGAGTGGGAAGGGCCGTGTGGTATCCGCGAAGCTGAGTTCCATGCGTTAATAAATCACACACTTGCATGTGAGCTTTCTGGTGAACCCTCGCCGTCACAAATTGCGACTGGGTTTGCCACATCACGTACAGTCCAAAAATCCGGCATCAGGACGCCATTCTACTTCAGTGATCCACGATTCTCCATTCTCGCCCAGAGTGGTGTGACTGAATCTGCAGACTCTGAGCGTGAGACAGCCTCTGTTCAAACACAGTTGACAAAAGCTTTGTCTATTGCTGAAGCTGCCAGTGCTATTACCAACGCTCTCGCTCGTCGTCTTGCTGATTCCCTTCAGAGTCCTATTTCTGAAATTGACACTGCCCAGCCCTTGCATGCATTTGGAATTGATTCTCTCGTTGCCGTTGAATATGCCAACTGGGTATTCAAGGAAATAAAGGCCAAGGTGACTGTCTTTGACCTTCTCGCCAATGTTCCAATTACTTCACTTGCAGAGAAATTGGTGTCAAAGTCTACATTGATTGCTCATATTCCTGTTGAAATTCATTAATCTGTTCTTTGGCAATAAATTTGATATATAGACTTTTGAAAGAACTTTATGTTTAGATATGAACATCTATCCAGCATTAGCATCGACCTTTAAGCTGAAGTCTAGACTTGAAGTTAATTAGCGCGAACGCTTCAATGTTGTAAGTACCCTGCTAAAATTGCCATCAATACCCAAATGTGTTTATATGTCCCTAGCCGCTTGAGCCCTTGATTATCCTTGGATTGTAATGCGCCACCCAGGCTGGTATGACCTGGTTAAAAGCAAACGATTTGGATGTTGTCATATTATTTTAGATTAGCAGCGCAGTCGCGGTTAGTGCCGTGGTTCGTCGTATTGCCGACTCGCCGTCCTACCCAGGGTTCTTTCACTCATCCTCGGTTACCAACCAAGGGGCAATTTGATGGGCTCCTGATTCTCATCCTGCGGCTCGCCCAGTAGGTACATTCCTCAAGCGAGACTGGTTTCTGAATGGCATCTTACAGGCATTTTCTTTGCTATTCATCCCCGTCGCTGGGCCGCACAGCATCAGGCATCTTCCCCACTTGCAAGGCTGAACCAGAATTTTCGTGAATTTGCAGCTATTTTCCACTCAAACAACAATAGATTTCAAGAGATTTTAGCCAATCAACAACGAGGCTTGTAATTTTTTGCCGAAATCAAGAAGTCACGTTGGCCTGCAAAAGCTTATTTGTTATAGTAGCGGAGTTGAGATACCTGTTGCTTCTGTACCTCTAGGCGATCGACATCGCCGATCGACATCCCTTGTTGAGGCTCTCAAGCCCCTTCTTCTAGATGGTAAACGTTACTAGACGCGGAATGTATCGGTGAGCGTGGACAGAGGATCACCTGACCCCTCGTGCATGCTTTACTTTGATTTTTACCCCGCTGATGCCTGGACCGTTCGAGATTCAACGCGTAAATCCCCAATCTCGCACAAGAGGTGCGATCTCATAACGAGATGAAGAATTATGCGAGTTCGAAGCATGATTACGAGTCAAATATTGGGCTGTTGGACAATGAAGCTCACACATCATTTCCATGTCCATAATCGCGCTCAACTCTAGATATGGAGTGCATGTTTTCGGCGACTGGGGCTATTCTTGAAATCTTTTCAAACCTGTGACCCAATCAATTACTTAGGTTGGATTATTATCTTTATTCTCCTTGGTTTTAGTTCAACAACTTTCGGAATTGTTCTTTGGAACCGATTTTGGTATAACTGAAGCCCGGATCAAGCCCGGAACTCCGAGCTTGTGTACTGGTTCAGCTTTAAGATCGAGTCCGCACCAAGTATAAAGTACATCTATAAAGGTCGATCGGTACGCAGTAACTACTAAATTCATCCATCAACTTACCATGTCTCCTTTACTTATATATGGCGCGACGGGCTATACTGGCCATATAATCAGTGAGCGTGCGAAGAGTATCGGCTTGGACTTTGCGATCGCTGGAAGAACAGAGTCGACGCTTAAGGATCTAGCATCTCGACTTCAAGTTCCTTACTACGTGTCCGACCTACACGAAAATTCTATCCTTGATTCAATTTTGAAAGATACCCTTGTCATCCTGAACTGCGCTGGTCCCTATTTACCAACCGCAAAGCCCCTTTTGGAAGCCTGCATACGGAGCGGAACACACTATCTCGATATCTCAGCAGAAATTGCAAGCTATCAACAAGCACAGCAGTACGACGAAGCGGCCCAGCAAGCTGGTATCATGCTTCTACCCGGATGTGGTGGGAGCGTCGCCATGCTGGGCTGTCTCGCTAGTCATGTCATCAATCAAGTCAAAAGTCCTAAGACGATCGACATCGCCCTTCATGTGGCTGGATCAATGTCACGAGGATCGGCCATTAGCGCTTCGAATATGAAAGACGGATGTCTCCAGCTTATAGATGGAAGGCTAGTTGAACAAGACACCAACAAAACTGCCGATTTTGATTTTGATGATGGGAATGGGAGTGTCGCGTCATTTCCAGTTACACTACCTGACCTGCTAACCATCTCAAAATCATCTCATATTGCAAATATTCGGACGTTTGCCCATGCATCTGGTAATAGTTTTTCAACTGGCGATATTGCATTACTTCCTGATGGTCCGTCTACTGCAGAGAGAGACGCATCGCCCTATCACGCGGCGGCCATTGTGACTTCGGAGGAAGGAATTACTCACCGGGCGGTTCTGCATACTCTCAATGGATACACTTTTACCTGTTTGGCATCAGTGGAAGCGGCAAGGCGCGTTTTGCGAAATGAGATGGGAAAAGGATTCCAAACACCTGTGGCAATTTTTGGAAAGGAATTTCTTCACGCTATACCAATGACGCAGATCAAAGATTTCTAGCTGCAACAGCTTTTAATCAGACTTTATTATCCGGCGCTTACTGCTAGATCAGATATTTCCAATCCGAATGAAGTTTTGGGCACAATGTAGCATCTCACTCAAAGTAATATTCCAGAACTTGGAGTTCCGCTTCCAGCAGCACATATATAGCTCCAAGGTCATATTTGGATTCGTAAACTACAATTGAGATTTCAAAAAGTTCAACGAGGCATTTTTCAGGCGAAATGGACTGATTTTGAAATGTAGTATGGATCTCAAGCGCTAGAAGTGGCATATGTAACGTAGGGTCAACTACTCATCATTGTGACTTTTCTCAATATTTCAACTTGAACTTCAAGTTATCGGAGAACCTATTATATATGTGTCTCTAATGGTCATGTGAGCCCATGATCGAGTCTCTTCTAGTATATAAGTGACCCCCAGTGTCTGTGAACTTGTCCTCTCCCTTCTCTCTCGGTCATGCCTTGCACATATACAGATGTGTTCAGCAGAAGTTTGAAGATTTTCGAAATTACAATTCACTGTTACCCCAAACCATCCATTTGTTCCACCCACTTTACCAATTACGAAATTGGCTTTTCCCTCACCACCAAGACTATGGCAACACCCCTATCCAACCTCGAGCTCATCAGGAGCACAATCTCCGGTGTCGTTATCGCATTCGATAGCAAGAACTTTCAGAACCTCAGAAATTTCTTCACCGAAGATTGCCTTGCTGACTATCCACGCTCACTTGGGCAGCTGCAAGGAGTCGACTCTGTCATCGCGGGCCTACAGAAAGCGAACGGACACATTGGCACCTTTCATGCCTTGACGACTCGAGCAATACATCTGACTGGGGGTAATACCGCAGAAGCTACCACTTACTGTTCTGCTGGTCATTTCTCCGTTCACAAAACATTTTTTGCGGACGCAAGATATTTTGACAAGCTTGTGAAGGTCAATGATGGAGACCATGTCAAGTGGATGATTTCCTCCCGCCAAACCAATATGGTGGGCATTCCGCGTGGTGATTTTTCCATTCTCAACATGAACTTTGATATTTGCCTTGACGAGCTGAAGGGCGAGAATGCGGCTTTCACTACATTTGGATGAGCACACCGATGTGATTAAATTTTGAAATTTTGAAATGGGTTTTAGCTGCGTCTCCGACCCTTTAGGGCTTTCGAACAATCTTCTGTAGTCTATGGCATTCACACAAAGGACTTATGTCAGTAATCCTACTAGTGGAGAGCGAATTACATTGAAAATTATTCTCTTTCATTCCAAAAAGTCTTCGGGTATCACTAAGTTAACGGTAAAGAAATAGAATATAGGGCAGGCTGCTGATGAATCTAGGTAATAGTCGGCTTTTCACGCTCTTTATACCCAGGGGGTTCAAAGTCCGTTGCATTGACTTCCACATGTGTCAGTTCATTCATCCAGGGTTTAAGCAATCAGAGAAATGACTTACGGATTGATGCCATAATAAATGCAAATTCATCAGCCTCTCCCAACCATCTTTCTGCTCTGGTGCTCAAAACTGCGCCCGGCGATATATGACCAAATTCTGCCTGCAGATAAATATGACCACTCCATCTCCCAAGCCAGAGTATGTATTTCGTGTTCCACTCATGTTCAGTATGTGCCTGCCAGAGAGCCTTTGGCGCTGGGGCTGGCATGAAGCCTAGATCTCTACAATCAAAACACGGCACTTTATGTAAAACAGAATATGCCCAATGAAGGAGATATAACGTGAGTATTGCGCGTCGCTTAGAGGTGACATGTATCCAGGCTACCCAAGAAGGCCTTGTCTGTGCCCGTTCCTCTGAGAGAAAAAGACCTCCACGAACGACGTGCCAAACAAAGAACTCAACTTTGCGAAAGACGATGTCATCATTCGTGCGTTCGTTTTGAGAGTCCGCAGATGGAGATAGTAGGATAATCGTGTACATGACGACTGCTTGTAAGCTGGCTAGAAGCATTTCTTCGTCTGATTCTTCGGACTATATCCGGATCTGCACTCAGCCAAGCTCCAAATGTTGAATTACCATGAAGAACCAACCTTTTTAATGACCTGGTCGAGTTCCTGTAGTATCGTAGCACGGACCATGTCTTCGGCGCCCGGGCATTGCCCATGCCACATCTTCGCCAAAGTAATGCAAGTTGCTAGCGGTCGCGGGAGCTTCGCCTGTGAGCTCAGCTGTGTAGAATGAAATATAGGTGGATCCTGAAAGCCTTCAGCCAACATCTGAGGCCATGTTCGAAGAACTCGAAATATAAGTTCCATGCTATGATTTGCTAAAGCAACTGAATTTGAGTCGAAGATTGATTCATACTCTTGACTTAATCCAGACTGGGCAAATCCAGGAGACGCGCAGGTGATGGGGTCCATAAACTCTAGCATCTCCCGCCCGTCTGTGGATTGAGTAGGCCGCAGGGCAAGCTCCGAGGGCTGCAATGGGGACCAGGATTCAAAGTCGGCAAAAAAGGGTTCAAACAAAGCCGTGTCGAATTTTGATGAGGGATGCTGGGGTTGGAAATTTTGTGTGGTATCAAGACCAAAGCCAAGGGTGGTACTCGCAACTCGGAGCGATGGGGGTTCCTCGGCCTGTTCTATGCTGAGGCTAGTATATACACAAGGAGTCTGGCGCAAAGCGCAACGTGAGCAAGTGGGGCGCTTCAGATTGCACTTCGACTTATTTGCAACACATTGAGCGCAGGATTTCCGTCTCTCTACTTTATTTTTGTTGCATTTGTTTCTCATATGGCGAATGAGCGATGAACCTGCGAGTGCGATGAATCAAAATACAGCACTTTTTTGACAAAGAAAAGGTGAAGATGAGAAGGGTAAATCTAGAGACTCACGATGATTGAACTGAACCCCGCATGAGGCACACCCGTTCTTTGCATCTGTAGATCGTACCTCCATACTGTACCGGAGCTCTGGCTAACTAGCTGGCCAATTACCCGGAGTAAGTCATGCTAGGATGGCATTATGCTGGAAAAGATATAAAGTCCGTCTGGATGGCGTTGAGCCCGGAATTCCGGGTTGCTTAGTCAAGCTGGCTGATGCCGGGCCCGGGCCGTCAATCTATGATGCGCCGAGCCACTCCAGATTATAGTCTCCTTCATACTCTCGCCCTAACCTCGCTCAAAAACTCGTTATTTCAACGAGAAGAATAGAGATTCCACTGAGGTGTGTTCCAATTTGAACGAGGTCACTCTCAAAATCAGCGGAATCTACTCATGCTATTGAATCAGCTATGCTCCGTGGATCGGTCGCAAGTGGGGATGTCTAAAAATGCAGATCCAAAGAGAGCGCCAAGGTGCCCGAGTGGGGGTTGAAAGGGAGTCTGGAGCCTGGAGCCTGGAATTCCGGGTTTCGATTACTGCTTACACACATCAGCCACAAAGTTTCTACTAAATATTTTATTCTCACATCTCCCCTTTTTCAAATTCCCAACTCAAAGGCAGTTAACATGGCGACTCAAATGGACAAAGAGCGTATTCTGGTAAGCAAGTATCACCCGGCACTGAATTATTATCCAGAATTTATGGCTCTAACACTGGCCCTAGATTACGGGTGTGACTGGGTATATCGGCTACCAAACACTTATTCTTGCTCTCCAAAGGGGCTATCGTGTTCGCGCAGCGATTAGAAGACAATCATCGATCATCGATTTGAAAAGAAATCCTACCATCGCATCTAGCCTTGAGCAAGGAAAACTTGACATTGTTATTATCTCGGATTTTCTCAAAGAGGATGCATTTTTCCAACATCTCAACGGAATCACTGTTATAGTTCATCTTGCATCACCTCTGGCTTTTTCGGTAACTGCTCCTATCTTCCGCTTCCTTCCTTATTTCATGCTGATTTTTTCGAATAGGCTGAAGATTTCGTCGGGGGGATTGTTAAGCCGGCTGTTGACATGGTTACGACCGTCTTGGAAGCGGCCGCCCGTACGCCATCCGTTCACCGCGTGGTGTTAACTTCTTCTTGTGGGTGAGATTGACTGTTTATTTTGGAATTATGAAACTGACAATATTTCAGGCGTAACACTAATTCCATTCTCATGGAATATGAGCCCAGACACAGAAAGACTGTATTATGGTGAGATCAGTCCAGCTTTATTAGTCAGAAGATATACGCTAATTCAATATTCAGCCAACGACATCAATCACGAGCTAGATGGGCCATATGAAACTGCGATGGAGGCATACTGGGCCTCTAAGGGCCTTGCTCGAACTGCTGCAAGCGTTTTCGTACGCAAATCACAGCCGCATTTTGACTTCGTCAATTTGTTGCCATCAGTTGTACTAGGTCCCGACACTCGCCTTGACTTTGACCCTGCTGCGACTTCCGATGGCCTCCGTCAAGGGGCAAGGGCTAACGTCCTTGCGCCTGCGCTGGACGCCTCGTTGAATTCCTCTTTCCCCTTTGTCGGGACTCCTGTCCATGTTGCCGATGTTGCGAAAGCTCATATTGACGCAGTAGATAGAGGTCTCGTACCAGGAAACTCTGAGTATATCTTGTCATCTGATACACCAGATGGAGTCATTTGGGACAGAGATGTTCAGGCTATCTGTCGAGAATTCTTCCCAGATGAAGTTTCGAGCAAGAAGTTACCTATGGAGGGATCGCTGCAAGCAATCAAGTGGAGGCTTGAGGCCGAGAGCACGGAGAGAGCTTTTGGTTGGCAGTTTGTGTCATTTCAAGATACTATGAAAGACCTCATTCAGCAGTACCTGCGTCTTGATCAGAGTGGAAAGAAATGATAATTATATGCGACTATGCTATTATGGAATATACGCCAAAACAACCCTCCTTCGTCAATTGATAGTCCTATATACAGGTCTGAACTAAATCGCAGATAAGCGTCCTTCTACCCTCTTTATTCTCCTCGGACCTAGGGTTGATATCTTTATATAAGAGATAATAATCGTCATACATAACGCTGGGCCGTAGGCCCTTGAAGTATTTAGGAGCACCCGAGGTAGCTCAACGGCAGATTTGACATGCTAAGCTTTCAATATCACGCTCCGGATTCTGAATATATTGAAGGCAGGCAGGAACTGACAATAGCTATTCAGAATTCAATTCTTTGCATTCACTCTGGAGTTATCCTCAGGATCCATGAATATCATGATGTTCATTTTTGTCTATTTTGGCGTTCGTTCCATCACTTCCCTCTCTCCTCTATGCATCTATCACTCTCCCTCTCATCATTCGTCCATCCATCCCCCCTCTCCGATCTCTTCAATCTCTTCAATTTCCTTCCTCTCAAACTCTTACATTTGATATTGAAAAATTAGCAGAGATATTCCTTCCTCGGGTGAGTATTTTTCCTACCTCAAAATAATCATGGAGCTCATCGACACACGGTCGTCCAAGCCAGATCTTCACTCTGCCTCCGATGGCTTCCAACGCTTCCGAGAGCCCTAATTCCTATCGTGATCGCTCTGAGCCTCGCGATACTGTTAATGAAAATGATCCGAGTCTCACAATTCCCGCGTCATTACTGCATCACCCAGGCTCCCCTTCAACTCTTGGTCCCTTCATCCATGTACCTCGTTCCTGGCGTGGTGACACGCTGGAGCATTTCGACCCAAATCTCTTTAATCTCAAATATAAACCTGAAGTCGGAATGGGGCCTCTGTATAATGGTTACGACTACCTCAGGCTGGCGATTAAACGACTGCGTGGTCTTCACGCGGCCGAAGACAATTGTTTAGCCGCAAGTACGGGTCTGGAGAGACTATCTACACAAGGATTGATAGCCACGATGATCAGGCTTGAAGAAGCGTTTATGAGCTTTAACATGGACTATCAACAAAATATGAATATTCGGTGTCTCCTGGATATGTGCCGCTTTTTTTACTACGCGCCACTGGTCAAGCGCGATATTGAACAGTTTCCCGATGGCGTGGAGAAGGTTTACCTGAAGGCACTGTATACGTCTATTTGTCCTATAAATCATAGCAAGGAGTCGCTTGAGTGGGATACTTGGCCGGGAATATGATTTGAACCTTAGTTGGAAGACTGGTGGTATTTGCGGGGGACATTCAAGTTTATATACGGGATGAATTGAATGGAACGGTCACGGTTCAACTCCGGAGGTGAACTTACGGAATGAAAACTTAGAAAAAAGAATATTTTGCGACAAATTGCAGTACCTTTACCTTGTCTTTCCATTATGTGTACGGAGAACGTAGAATTTATCTTCAAGAAGAGCATTTGTTGAATTACTAGGACGAAGGAACTAGTGATGCTTACATACAAGGGACTTTGATTAGATGGTAAGTTAACGAGGGCCACATTCCAATAAAAAGAAGGAACAAACGAGAAAAAAAGAGAAAAAAACTACGCAAAAGACGGTGTTAAGGCATTCAGCTGTTTCAACAAACAGTGATGTAAAGACCCAATCTAACCAGCAGTCAGTAAAATCCACCAATATTTTTGCCGAATATGTGACTTACGGGGAGGGGTTATAATCTTGAAAGAAGTCCAGGCTAGTACTGCCGGCATCCTTCATCTCAAATGCAATTGCTTTACCAGCGGGACACGAAAAGGTCGAAACAACGTAAGAGTTCCCGGGCGAGAGGGTGATATCGCCCAGGTCCTTCGAGACAGACGGTGCGTTATTAAAAGTAGTCGAGCTAGACGCAGGACCAGAGAGCTCGGAGACATCAACCTTTCCATCTCCACTGAAGGTGTAGCTGGAGGTTTCCAGGTCAGCCTTTTCGGGAAACAGAAAGACCAGACTGCATGTCTTCCCGGAGTCAGACTGCGGGATATCGAAGTTGAAGATACTAGAAATGGTAGATGTCACCTTGCCGTTGAATGAGGTGCCACTAGCAGTGCCTGGGGAGCTGGAGTCGATGGGAATGATTAAATGAGGGAACTCAAAATTTCCAGAAGTTAGAGTTGTTCCGCAGGTGGTGCTGGAAGGCGGGCTGGGACTATGGCATGAGTCTGCCGTCAGCGTGACAGTAGAACACTGACTCAAGTCATTGCTGTCGGTAGTATAGATGTTCATGCCACCATTTTGACCAGTCTGACATGAAATAAAGTCGGGGCTGCCCTTGTATTCAAGCTCGCCAGAGGGACTGATGGAGAAGCCTGGAGTAGGGGTAGCACCCTCGTCGCATTGGAATTGAGTGGTTGGTGCTGTGGCCTGTCAGTTGGGGTTCGGTTTAACATTGTAGATGGAATGCCTTACGGGTCAAAATACAGCCACGGCCGTTACCATCCGTGATGGAACCATCTGAGCTGATACAGTACTCGGCAGCATCTAGGCTATTGTCGCCAATACGATTCTGACCATCGCTCAGCTGGCCGACGGGGCCCGAAGGGCTGCTTAGGTGAAAACAGCAGCTATCCCCTCGACTTACCAAAGCCTGAGCAGTGGCAGACAAAGTAGCAAGAGTGAGAACGGACTTCATTTTGTCCGAGATAAAAGAATACTAGAAAGTATAGTGATGATAGCCTTTGTTTGATAAATTCAATGTTAATCTGAATGAGAAAAAAAAGAAACAAAAAGAAATTGATCATACCTGAGCTGGCTCTTTATAGCTGAGGTCCGTCAGTTAAAGCAGCATAATTTGGGACAGCTATACAAGCACCAAAGAGAGAGAAAGCGAAAGCGAAACCTTAATGGCACCTGGGCAGATCTATAGACATAGCAGACGTCATTGTCTCAGTTGTAGCCACTGGTTTGTTCTTTTCAGATCCTGTTAATTAGCTGTCAAATTTGGTTAAGTGCGTCGCTAAACTGGAACCCCTCAAGGGAATGGGGTAATTAGCTTGGTTAAAGTGGCGCCCAGGATGAGTTGGAAGTCCTCCAACAACCGATTAGGCCTGATCTTCGCAAGTCGGCAATACCCGCTTCTCGTGTTGGAAGGGTATTGGCTGGGTAGTAAACCATGGTTGAATATGGTGGGGTTAACATGCTATACCTTCATCCAAAATAGGCAGCTGTATCTGATTGACTGTCAACCCATCACCATTCAAGCGTCGATCGACTGGGCATTTGAAGAATTCCTTCAACCTTGAGCGTGTGTACTTTGTTATCAAGAATATAGTTTGCACGTAATGTGGTATCCGAAGGCTGTGCATTTTGAGTGAAGGGATTCTGTGGTGTCCATATCAGCATTTTCAGTTAGAATGACTCAGGCTTGGGGTTGAACGCAACAATATGAAGTTTTGGAGGGGATTGGAACTTGAATAGTATGATAGTGGATTTACACTTCGTAAGCCAAGGTTTCCTGGGGCCCCGGGGGGCAAATCCTCGCTGGCACGCTTGCCAATACATAGCATAGAGTTATGTTTGATTCACTTGAACATAACTACCAAATTCCAACATATATGAGTCATTGACTCTTCATTAATGGGATGGAGCAATGAAGATCTTCAATCCAGTTTCTGATGAGAAGCTGTTGAAAAAACTCAATCGAGTCTATAATTAGTGACATATACAATACATTTTGGAAGGAACCAGACTTTGACTAGATTTGGGTCCATTGTCCGATGACTTCCATGCGGGGTTGTAAGTAAATAGAGCAGTGACGTGCTTTTCGTTGTTGGCTAGCGTACTAGTGTGCAGTTATCCAAACAAATTTTACTATCCAAGACGTAGCAATTGAGGGGTATAGTACGCATAGACATTCAGGCCCTGAGGAATGGTAGAGCAATGATGTCAGTAAAGAACAGAGCGCCGCCTAACCGAGCCCTGGATAGCGTAATATCGATGTACAAGAAGATTTCATTCAAGATGCCGTGAAAGCCTTAATGAAGATTTTTTATTGATCATGTTGCTGACTATATCGATTCGGTACGGCGTAAATGTGGTTTTGTATGTAGTCGATATCCAGTAGAAATGAAATACTATGCAACCACTGCAAGTTTCGAAGTTGGGACCCGTCAAGCAAGAGAGCGACCGAATCAACCAAATATGTAAAACCCTGGAATTGCATATAATTTGCATTCTCACTTTTGAGAAAATTCGAAACAGAAAACGAAGAATTGGATCCCATAGTGGTGTGAGTTGATCAACATGTCAGGTTGACGCTATACGTGTAGAGCCTGAGGCACCAGTGTGGACTGTTTCCTGATTCTCAAGGCCGAATGTTCCACCGCTTAGTCATGATAACACGTGAAATCATTCGAATGGGCCTTGAATTAATGGATTTGGCGATAACCTACTAAAATTATATGAAATGCATAATCCTTTCCTTGAAAGTACATTCATCGCAATCTTAAAAAGCACCAACGTCCCAATTCGCATAATGGTTCATAAAGGAACTTACAAAATCCCTTCTGCAGAATGGAGCGGCAGCTATACCTCGGGACGGTTAACTTCGGCCCTTTCCCGGTCTAGCGGGGATCATCTACATCATACCCATACCATCCCTTTCCCATCACCAACTTTCCCGGATACTCAACAAAGCTACAAAACAGCTACGAAACACAATCAGAATGTTTGCTCGTCGCTGCGCCCGTCTAGTCAACTCCCGGACATCTGTCCCCCTCACATCTTTCCTTGCCAGAGCGCGCCCCTACTCATCCGGGCCAAGCTACGAGCACATCCTCACTTCGTCCCCGAAGCCTGGTGTCGGATTGAGTGAGCAATACCCATACCGCACGGAATACATTGAAGTCAATTGGGAAATATGTCTAATCTGATTATGTCAATTAGTTACACTTAATCGACCCAAAGCTCTGAATGCGCTCTGCAGTCCTCTTTTTACTGAGCTCAATGATGCTCTGAGCAAGTATGATGCTGATAAGGATATCGGTGCAATTGTGATTACGGGAAGCGAGAAGGCTTTCGCAGGTAAGATAATCCTGAATCCGAATTGAATTCAAATCAAATTATCTCTCCAATCCAATCTTAACAAAGCTAACATAATACCCTCTCTACCAGCCGGCGCCGACATCAAAGAAATGGCCCCCCTAACCTTCGCCTCAGCCTACAATTCCAACTTCATAGCCCCCTGGTCCCACCTCACAAACATCCGCACCCCCGTTATCGCAGCAGTATCAGGCTACGCCCTCGGCGGCGGCTGCGAACTCGCCCTAATGTGCGATATAATCTACGCCTCCACCAACGCAACATTCGGACAGCCCGAGATAAAGCTGGGCGTCATTCCTGGCGCGGGCGGCTCGCAGCGCCTCACCAATGCAGTGGGGAAGAGTAAGGCTATGGAACTTATTCTTACAGGGAAGAACTTTAGTGGGAAGGAGGCTGCGGAGTGGGGTGTTGCGGCGGAGGTTGTGGAGGGGGGTCATGCGGAGTTGATGGATGTTGCTTTTAAGACGGCCGAGAAGATTGCGGGTTATAGTCGCGTTGCTACTGTTGCGGCGAAGGAGGTGGTGAATAAGAGTCAGGAGCTTTCGTTGAGGGAGGGGGTGGAGTATGAGAGGAGATTGTTTCATGGGTTGTTTGGGAGTCAGGATCAGAAGATTGGTAAGTTGCTTGTTACCCATGGATGATGGATGAGGTGGAGGGATTTTGGAAGGCACAAAGTTGCTAACGTGATATTAGGTATGACTGCCTTTGCTGAAAAGAAGAAGCCTGAATGGTCACATGAATAAATAAGATATAGGCCGGTACACCGTACTAAGAACTTTATCAATCCCCTTTGTAATGCAATACTATTTCGCTGAACTGGTAGAAATGTATCTCGATTGTTCGCATGGAATGTCACGAAATCTTATTCCCAGCCACGGCCCGCCGCAGCGTCATTTTCCCAGTCATCCTCCACTCTCGCGGTTTTATTGTCCCAGCTTCCATCCATCATCTCTTCTTCGGGGTGAGCGTTGCCACTTGGGGTTCCGAGTTTGTACTGTTCAAGCGATCGGTTGATTCCCACAATACCCCATGCAAAGACAGCAACATCACGAATAGTGTCCATGAGATCATGTGCCTGTGGGCCGTTGGAGCCCTCAGCCTTGCTCTGAGGCTGGGGTTGAGGAGCTGAGAGAGTATGAGCAGAGGTGCTTGGTGTATAAGCAGATGAAGAGGAGTGGTCGTCTCTACACATCGTAGTCTTAACCTCTGGATAAACCGTGTGTGGCGCTGTATTCTCCTGTGCATGCGAAGATGAACCGTACGAGTAAACCGGCTCAAGTGCCCACGGTGCTGCAAAGATCCCATTTGAATAAACAGGCACAGGGCGCGGTGGTTCAGTACTAGTTGTTGGAATTGGGGATCGAGCCCGACGAAGAATCACAACTAATCCGTCTGAAGTACACGAAACAACTGCCTCCAGTTCAAGTGGAGGGATTGGATCTGAGTATGCGGCTAGCCCATGCCGAGTGAAATCGGGATGCTCGTCTTGCATTGGGTTCCGGAACCAAAATCTCAGATAGGCGATCGAGTCGTTCGCTTTTGCGCTTTCGAGGCACCGCACCGCATCTCTTAGACAACTCTCTTGAATGCAGTAGAAGAAGCTTTTCGACATGAGTTGCTCTGGGCTTATTCCGAGGATCTGTGATACGCCACTGGTCGCGTACATGATCGTCGCGGTGCGGGTAAATCTGTTAACGAACATAGCTGCGCGTGGCTCGTGGAGCGGCTCATCGAGTCGCTGTGAGAATTTTCTGGATATGAATGTAAGCATGTGGTAGCGTGGGTCATTAGGTGAGGATTCAAAAAGCTGTCGGACAATAGGGGCATCGACAGCGCGTTCTGAAATCAAGTTAGCACTGCACAAGCAACATGATGGCATCGCATCAAGCAATCAATCATAATCCTGAGATGAGAACACAATCCACATACTCTGAGTACCCTTCCCACGGCTATAAACCGTCGTACTAGCAATCAACACATCATAAACAACAGTAAAGACACATTCACACCCAACCCAATGCCCATCCCTATGCCGAATCGAACAATAATTCAACACAGCAGCCCTATCAAGCCTCACACCCCGACCATGCACACTACGCGCAAAAGGAAGTTCCTGCGGATGAAAGTATTCCCAACATGACCGATTCAGCACCTCATGCGGCTTATAGCCGAGCACAATCTGGATGCTGTCAGAGGAATAACGGATCGATGCATCGCGCGAGAGATCTGTGTGTCAGTTAGTAAGGTTAACTTTAAGTACCTACAGAAGGAGCGTTTGGCGGTCCCGACAACTCGTTAAGGAATGCTGATTGGTGCTTATGGCTTATGGGTTAGACGCGAGAATCGGGTATCACTTGCCATGGATTGTGATGAAAGTGGTGTCCATCCTGCAGAAGAGTGGGACCTGCGCCTGACCCCGCCTATTTGATCTGGGATTTGTGTGATGATCGGGGCACTGGAGAACTCGGAAACTGGACCTGAATCAACGGTCTCTCCTAGGTGATTCCAGGTCAGAGCAGATACCGGTGTAGAAATGGAAAAACGATTGCATGGGCAGCGGGAGAAGGCGTGGTCCAACGGCTGTCAACCGCGGATCGTGGGGCTGAGCTCATTCAGGGCTTAGTCGAGAGGGGACAATGGAATTGTTCACCCATGTCAATAGTATTGGAACTTGTATGTCCACGTATCTAAGCACGAAATTCTTTCGGTATATTTATTAGAGTAGAAGGTAAAGTTTGAATGCATTGATGAACAATCTAATTAGGTAAATTAAAGTTAAATACAGGTGAATATGCTATGTACATTGTAGAAAGTAATATCTCTAAGTTCTGCTTCTATATGTATGTGATGCAGTGATGAAAATAAGAATCCCAAATCATAAACATGAGACATATCGCATTACGCCGAGCCAGCATTCTTCTCTGCTTGACTCGGGTCATTGCGGGCATTCTTCTGCGCCCGATAGTCATTGATGACTCGTCCCTCAATAGTCTCGTCAAAGACATCAACTTGAGTGGTCGCAAACTTGCGAGCGCTGACGTTGCGTTCGAACAATAGATCCAGTTCAGCGAACGAACGACCTCGCGGCTCGGGGATGCGGAAAAATGCATAGATAATGCACAGGAAGCAGATACCGCCCCAGAAGAAACCGGCATAATTGCCCCAGTTCCAGGAGCCGGGATTGAGCATATATGGCGTGAGAACACCACAGATAATCGCAACGATGTTGTAAAGGCAGCGACCGAGGACAACGGTCTTGATCTGGAGACGGCGGGTGGAAAGCTCGGCAACTAGCGAGTAACAGACTGTTCCGACTGTCAATTGGTAGAACAAAGCCCAGATAAGCATCATAGAGCCAGTGGCTAGCGAAGCCGAATCCTTGTGCGCTTCTGGAACGAGGCCGAGGAAACCCATAATGAAAAGCATGAGGCAAAGACCACATAGTCCGTAGAGAATAAGTGACCGACGACCAATGCCTACAGCCATGAGGAACCAGGCGCCGAAGGTACCGACCATGTTAATTCCGTATTGACCCATTGCAAATGAGTAGGAATTGTCGGAAGATAGACCAGCTTGTTCTAAAAAGTAGGTAGAGTAGTTCGAGAAGGAGTTACCGCTGAGATTTTGCATAGCCCAGGCCATGCAAACAATCTCCGTCCGGCGTCGATCAATGCCCTTGAAGCAGTCTAAGTAACTAGCTCCTTGTGTGATTTTCGCTTCCAACGCGGTTGTATGAACCATCATGGCGATCGTCTCATCTGGATCGAAGTCCGTCTCACGGTTCTTGCTTGTCAACCGTTCCAGAGACTTCTTTGCATCACCTGTTCGTCCCTTTCGCACCAACCACCATGGAGACTCGGGCGCAAGGAAAATTCCAATAAAGAGCGGCAAAGGCCACATCCATTGTAGACCGTATGGGATTCGGTATGCCCACTCATCTTGTCGGTTCAGCATTCCCTTTATCACACCAATTCCAATCAATTGACCCAATCCCCAGCAGAAGTTGACGTAGGTGGTGAGATATCCTCGCAACGCAACAGGACACACCTCGGAGGCGTAGGTGACGGTCAACGTCTGGAAAACACCCCAAGGAATACCACACAAGATTTCCGCTGCGAGAAGGGCTTGGACGTTCGGTGCTGTGAAAAAGATTGCTGTCCATGCAGTGACTAGGATGAGACACCCCATGATAGTGTACCGGTATCCAAATCGCTCCGAGGCCCAACCATTCATAAATAAGCCGATAATCTCGCCGACGTAGGCACCGTTGCTAAGACCTGATTGCCACTGCAAATTCAATTGATATTAGTCTCACGTCACATTTTGTAGATCAAAGCCAATCCTTATCGCTGAGAGGGAAGGAGTCCTGCTTACCGACGCCGACACCTGGTATGATCCGTTCGCTTGCAACGTGCCGTATTTCTGACAGAATTGAGGAAATGCATAGAAGTTGTTGACTAAACTGATATCGTACCCCTCCATCACAATGCACGTTGAGATCAAGATACTCCACGCCACAGCCTTAGGATACAATTTGATCCCCTGTAACAAGCTCATATTCTGCTCTTTCTCCGTCGCCGCTTTGGCATTTTGAATAACCTTAGTCATAGATGAATCCGACGACGGACTCTCAACAGAATGATAGTGATCAAGAGTCTCATCCGGCTGGTCAATGGCATTTGGTGCCTTGTATTCCCTATTGCCCGCATGTTGGGAATCAGGAGCCACCGAGGTAGCGGCCTCTTGCACGTAATCTTCAGTCATCCTGAAGCGGCGTTCGGTGCAGAGGCACAAGGGAATGAATGGATGTGAGATAGGATGAGGATTTGGAGGGAGAGGGACCGAATCGCATGTGTTGAATTAGGTGGTCAAAAGGAGTTGTTTCAAGAATTGCCGACGTGGGGACAGAGACGGAGACGGAGACTTGCGGCGGGTTGAGAAAAAAACTGCACTGTACCCACCCACAGGAACATCACACACAAGCACTCAGGGGTTGCGCGATTCGAACTTCCCCGGGATCTAACACAGCATAGAAAGGTCTGAAAGTGTAATTGAGGCTAGACAGGAGATCGTGCAGCCCAGACACTTTTTATTGCGGGGGCTTTACATATCTTAATGGAAATTTTCGCGGGAATCGACGCTTGGCGAGGGCAAAGTAAGGAACCGCGTGTGATTGGGGGGAGGAATTGGGAAGCGAACGAACATTTGAAGAAAAAATCTGTCCATTGATCAATTAATGTATGTTATGTTATTATCTGTACTTTAAGTCTGTTTCTTTCAATTTTATTACCCAGAGTGCTATCGTAAAAATTAAATGTAATAACTCCCGCCCATCAAGATCCCCCGCCAATATGCTTGCATCCGCAACAGGGAATGCCGCATCCGGCATCGGAGTTGGTCCGTGCTATATACAATTGCACTGTTCACTCGACATGCTACTTTTGACAGCTAAGATGCTATGATGATGTTAAATGCTCAGAATTCTACATATGACGTACTGCCCGTCTTTGTTTGTTCTCCTTGCCTCTTCGTTCTCTCACCTCTCTTTTTCTACTACTATGTCTTTATCCTCTTTTATTAATGACTTTCTTTAGTCATATACGGATTTCAAAATCAATGACAGCTGTTACAGGAAGACAATGGCCGCCTCGTTCCAGCTTACTTCCACGGCGGGCCCAGAGGATAGTTCGCAGCAGGCGCGGGGGACTCGTATTTCTTCCTGGGAATACACCAATAGGTACCGATTTTATGATAATCAAAGCAATACACTGTACAGGGAAATGGTCAATTGGAGGCGTTGAAGTAGACATGCACCACTACCTTGTTCTGAAAGATTGGGATATCCATGTTGACGATGATGGCCAATTGGTCACATTGGCGATGTCGGATATTCGAGGTTCTGAATTTGAAAATTGAGAAGCAAATTTACGAGGGATAATCAGAAAATACGACAAGATAAAAATGAGCATGAATGAATGATTATTCTTCTCATAAGTAAACTGAATACACTTCATAAAACAACTCAGTTTCACCTCACGGCAGAAGAAGCGGATCCTCTATCAACCGTTCCATATCCTCCGCCCGAAGATGAAGAGACACATCAACGCCGTGATCAGTCCAACTACCACCTAAATCACCATTATCCTTTCCAGGGGGAGCCTCTTTAATAACAGCACATCCATCCAAATCCGCGACCACACCCTCAGCAAACCGAATTATCGGCGACGCGCTCAATCCAAAGTCAATATCATAAATACCAGCTCGAGCCCAGCTCGTCACTAGCAAGTGTCGCGATCCCAGAAAAGCCTGCCAAATTCGCTGCGGAGATGTCTCGTACGATAGCTTATGTAGATGGGCGCCGACAACAGCAGGTCGAGTCATCTGGTCAATTGTCTTGCGGATATTATGCGCAATTGTACGTATCCGTTCCTGTGCGGGTATCTTCGATGAGGCAAGTTGAACCCCACTCATTTCGACATTGACTATCATGCTCGGTGAACCTATGAAGTTCGTTTCAAGATGGAGGGCAGGACGCAGTCCAATTGTGAGATCGCAGTGTAATGGGCCTGTATCTTCGTTTTGGTTCCTGGCGCGAGCGATGCAGGACATCATGTGTGCGAGAATCGCGTCGTGGCGACTTATTCGGATAGCGCCGCTCTCGTGGGGACTTCCTTTCACTGCGTCTTTCCAGAGACTTTCGACTTGTGCATGGGTGAGATGGATTAAGTAGTGGGACACTGGAGATACTGAGTCCCATTCTGACCAGGGCATTGAGTCGCCGATCGGTTGGATCTCTTTATCTCGGTATTCTGGGGGAATGAGTGGTCTCCATGGACATTCGGCTGTCGAGATCCACCAATCGTACCGATTTAAGGGAAGACTTGCGACTTGTTTGAGAATGGCAGGATCGGGGGTTTCGGCATTAATATCTCCTGCTGCCATGGAATCTAGTTGATCTGGCTCGAATACGGGATCCAGAATTGGTGTGGGTTGTTTGGATCCAGAAAGAATCCAACGGCTGATACTCGCCCAATCTTTGACGAAGGTGACTACCGATGTTATATCGGCGAGTGGATGGCCAACCTTCACTGATAATGCGAATCCTCCACAGGCGAGCTGGGTGACCTGGACAGCCATAATAGGTGGTAAGAGACCCGGCGTACTTGGATCCTTTTCTCTGACAGCATTGACGGCAACGACCGATGGAACGAAATCCTTTAATGAAATCTCTTGGCGGTCGTAAATCGGATGCTCGGTTGTTCTTGAAGCTGGGCTGAGCGTTTCGAGGGTAAACGGGCTTTCGGCGGTCACAAACTCTACCCCGGGATCTGAGGATGTGCCATAGTGAGCATATACCCGGCCATAACGGCGCGCGTGAGGCTCAAAATGCGCCGCCTCGCTTCGAACGTCCGCTGGATCGACAGAGTGTATACTCTTCAGATGACCGGTCCACTGTGGATACGCATTAAGTGTGATTTGAAGTGACTGGCGAAAGTGGTTGAATAAGTTGAAATCTGTCTCTTGTTGATCTGGTGTTTCACAAAGCCAGATAGCACAGGACGTTGAAAAATCGACTGTTGTGGCATCTATCAGAGACAGCGCTACTGCATGTTCTTGCGGTCTCTCAAACGGAAATATTCTCTCTGACGTGAGTTCCTCAACGACTCTGGACACGTCGATGGATCCCATCGTGTTTGGTTGTGTCTCTGCACTGAGGTTACTCCTTGCTTAGGTCGGCGCGGGTAGGTAAGATGGGTCAAAACCCAAACTCAGCCATGAGCAGCAGGGGCATTATATACATGCCATCATTGGAATGTAAACACTTAATCATAAACAAATTCCTTACCGCCTCAATAATACGCCGCATTGGACCGTCCGAGTGATCCTTACCTCTAAGGTAACACATTGATCCCACCGATAAACTGCAAGGAGTAAAAGCCTAAACTTTTCCTCGGCAACTATACAACTTTTCTGTTAACTCTAATAAAATGATTGAAGATGATTGGGCCATAACTAAATATAGTTCTGAGTCAACGTGAGCAACGATATCTTTCCAGATGCCTCGGATGTTGTCCGGGGGTGGGGGTGCATGGGGATCGGAACAAACCCCAACCAACCTTGGAGAATGCGGGCACAGTGGCCCCACAGCTTCAATGACCGGGTCTGACTCACCCTGAGCAATTAATGATCTTTAAATATGAGCCTGGAAACCCAGAGGAAAGATGGTTACACCAACCGTGGATGGAATACCTAAAGCGTGGCCTGACCTCTCTGAAATGGCATTTTTGACATTCTAGCCAGCGTCGTCTTACACTCAAATTTCCAGCGCACAATGCAGGACGCCCGACCGAGCGGGGAATAGATATTATTTCAGTTCAGATCCAAGAATCTAAGATAAGGATATCGGTACGGAGTACGCATTTCCCCTGGACCCCACTATGCAATCAAACCCGGGTATTGCTTGAGGTCGTATGTTTTTGTCCTCGGCACTATGCTAGATAAAGCAAAACAAAACAAATGACCGGAGTCAATATATCTAGAGCTCGAAAATACAATGCAAAGCTTTTGTTTTCAGATAATATCTATACAGTGAGCCATGTTAGGAGAGACTCGGATCCGACGGGGCTCCGGGCAAGGCTAGCATTGAGATTGACCGAGTTGACTCTGGCCTTGACTCGGGGTTGACCAAGTCCCGGATCTATTTCAGTAAGATATTAGCCTCAAGATGATCTATGCTATGAATATTTGAAAATTTATTGTCCCTCCAACGCCCGCAGCAGAAAAAAATAATAGACTCTGACAGTTTGGTCCTTGTTTATCGATCGCACTTTTTTTTAATCGGGACTCAATGATCCTTGCTGAATATGTATTCCGACGAAGATGGGATCGCCTCAAAAGAATCAGAGGCAATCTATCGGGCGCAAGTACGAAAGTTGTTATACTTGACCTCTGCGTTATCATTCTCGGGGGTCAGCGCGATCACTCTAGGTGGCGGATATGCAAGGGAAGAATTATCTTGGTATACACCCGGTGTTTTGAGCAAGCTGTCATGGGTAAGCAATTCAAATTCAAGCAAGTTCTTGAGATAAAATTACTATTATGATATGGTATGAGAATGGAATACTTTTAAACTAACACCATATCGCAATCTAGCCCATCATTTCAATTTATAGCACTTCTTTGCATTGGCAAGAACACCCACCCAAACTATATAGCTCAGTTATCGGAGGGTCGCTTCTGGCTATTTTGATTACCTTGACTGGGATTTATACTAAACATTTTGACGATGAGACTGAGTCTTGGAGTATATCAATTACTACATCATTGGAGATATGTCTGGCTGCTCTTCTGGCCATTGTTCAAATCTTATTTCCCCGCCGACCGCAGGTTTTCCTCGCCGATGGAAGGCTCGTCGATTCAGAAAGTAGCTCTTCAGCAGTTTCACGGTACTCTATGCGGTGGTGTCAAAATGCACTCAAGATTGCAGGCCAGAGTCTTTCACTAGATAAACTCCCGGCTCTGAACTATGGGACTCGATCCATCTCCCAGCCACGGATTGTGCTCTCTGAGACTTCGCTATGGAATCATATTTTATCTGAACGTTTTCGTGGATTTGCAAAGCAATGGACGCTCATGGTCATTCGATCAGTCATCACCTTTGGCTCACCTTACTGCACTATGCAGTTATTGAGATGCTTGGAGCAGAGTGGTGCGCCCACAAATGCCGCATGGATCTGGATGATCGGTATCACGGTCTCAGCCGTGTCCGAAACCGTTCTTCATTATCATATGGCTTGGATCCAGTGGTCGGAGATGGGAATCCCAGTTCGTGCACAGCTCATAATGGCGATTTACTCGAAGCTTTTGAGGGTGAGAGATACCAAATTTACAGGTGATAAACCCGAGGCGACAAATCTATTATCCTCTGATGCGGTTTCATTCAGCAAGTTCACAGCCGTGAACTACATTTTACCATTTTCGTTCGTCAAGTTTCTCTTTGCCATTTTGTTTCTTTTGAGACTCCTGGGATGGAGAAGTACTGTTGTGGCAATTGTTGTGACAGTCGGAATCGTACCTATACATAAAATGGTCATCAAGCAGGAACGAGATGCGAAAAAGAGATTAACGGGCGCAAGAGATAAGAAGGCAAAAACGATATCTGAAGCGGTGGGTTCTCTTCGACAAATAAAATTTTCTGCCTTGGAAGCACAATGGGAAGAACGTATTGAATTATGTCGTCAAGAAGAGATCAAGCAAATACGCCAGCGATTTATCGCCACGAATATCCGATCCGCGTGGAACGTTGCGTCGCCCTTTCTTGTTACCACCGCAGCAATTCTTACCTACGCATACACTGAAGCTGAGGTCTCTTCGTCGATTATCTTTCCCATGATTGAGCTGCTGCCACATCTCCAAGGCACACTCGGATTTGTGCCCGTTGTCTTTCAAGATTATTTTGACGCTCGGGCAAATGCACAGCGTATGGAATCATTTTTGAGAGAATCCGAGCGAAAGGAAATACGCAGTCCCAGCACCCAAGGCTCAATTTCATTCAAAAATGCCTGCATTAAATGGCCTTCTGAGGGGTATGCGACGAAGCCAGACACCACTCGCCATTTCTCTCTTCGTTGTACCGATCTCGAGTTTCCAGCTGGTGAGCTGAGCATTATACATGGGGAGACCGGTTCAGGGAAAAGCTTGCTTCTCGCATCTATACTCGGAGATGTGGATCTAATCAGTGGATCTATCATCGCACCCTCAAGCCACCCAGTCGCATACGTCTCTCAGACTCCATGGCTCCAGAACGCCACTCTGAAGGAGAACATATTGTTCGGAAGTGAGTTCGACGAGATCAGATATCGGAAAGTACTTCAGGCTTGTGCACTCGAGACCGATCTCGCGTCTCTATTGAAAGGAGACCAAACGCTTATCGGGCTTCGAGGCGTCAAGCTTAGTGGGGGTCAACGTGCCCGAGTCGCTCTCGGAAGGGCATTGTACTCAAAAGCGCAGTTGTTGGTCCTGGATGATATACTATCTGCGCTTGACAGTCATATCGCAAAAGCTGTTTTCAAAGCGCTGACTGGTGAGATGTGCCAGGGGCGCACAAGAATACTTGCCACTCATCAGGTGGCTTTGTGTCTACCAAGAGCCAAATATGTTGCCAAAATTCGAAATGGCTCCGCAACAGGCATTGAGAATGTTAGTTTTATGGAGAATAATGTGGGAATATTGGAATCAGAAACTTCGGTGCAAACAACCCCGCCATTGAAACAAGAAACAACAAATATTGTTGGAAGCAAGACAAAATCCAAGCTCTTCTTACCACAAACTGACTTGGAGACATACAAAAGCTATTTTGCCGCTGCCGGGGGCGTCAAGTTTGGCTCTCTGTGTGCAATTGGGCTATGCGGTAAGCAGCTTGTACTGGGACTGACGACATGGACACTGGGGAAAATCAACTCCACGCGCCCAGAGAGGGCAGTTGGACTTGGAGAAGACACTGATCACGGCAGCCCCAAGTTCTTTCTCGGGTTATATCTTTTAGCTTCTGTGTCGGCCGTTATCTTAGAGCTGATGTTCAACGCACACGCCTTTGCAGGATCCATGCGTGCCTCAACAGATCTATTCCGGAGAATGACAAAAAATGTACTCCGCATGCCACTTCTATGGCTGGACAACACTTCACTGGGAGAAATTTTGATAAGATTCAATGCGAATATCAGACAAGTGGATGATCTTCTCCTGGAAGCCATGTCGGGATTTGTTGACTGTATGATCAAGCTTTTCATCGTCCTCGCAGTCGGGTAAGCTTTTTTTTTAATACCAATGTTCAATTATTGAAAGCTAAATCGCATTAGGATGTATGCATCTATATACACAAGCATTTTGGCCTGTATTTTGATATACTGGTGCTCAACGGTGGCCGAGGGCTATGTCAAAGCCCGAAAACTTGTGAAACGCGGTGAATCAGAAGGCAATAATGAGATATTGGAATATTTTGCCACGTCTGCAGCCGGAGCCTCAACTATCAGGGCATTCGGGGCGGACAGGTTTATCGATCAAATGCACCACCGAATTGATAACTTGACAATCTCCCAGCGACACTTTTGGATTTTCAATCGTTGGCTTGGTCTACAAATGTCTCTTTCAGGTATTCTCTTCACAACTGGAGCAGGCATTATTTTATTATTATCGAACTCTGTGACGGATCCATCTCTCATGGGATTTACTTTGACATTCTCGATGGGACTTGCCAACGCATGCTATACAGCCGTAAATAACTTCGGCATGCTTGAGACCTATATGAATGCCGCCTCTGGGGTGGTCTCTTATTCCAATTTAGAACCTGAACCACAAGGGGGTAAGTCCCCTGCAGAATGGCCCTCTAAAGGCGAAATTCAAGTTAATAATCTGAGCTTGAAATATTCTACCGATCTTCCACTTGTGATAAACGAGATCTCTTTCCAAGTCCGTGGTGGGCAACGAATTGGAATAGTCGGTCGCACAGGAGCAGGAAAATCATCATTGACACTAGCACTTCTTCGCTTTATGAACCCAGCGACTGGCTCCATCATAATTGATGGAATTGATATTTCCGAGATTCAGCTACAACACCTTCGATCGAGAATCGGATTCGTTCCGCAAGACCCGGTTTTATTCTCTGGCACAATCAAGTCTAATCTGGATTACTTCGGGCAGTTCTCACAGCAAAGTCTGATCGACGCACTTCGACGCGTGGGACTACTCGCAGAAAACGATAACGAAAAATCAGGTTTTTTTACGTTGGACTCACAAATCAGTGCAGGAGGAGCGAACATGTCACAGGGCCAGAGACAGCTGTTGTGCCTTGCGAGAATATTTTTGAGGGGGCCAAAAATGGTCATTCTTGACGAGGCAACTTCTGCTGTTGACGACAAAACAGATCAAAAGATTCAAGATGTGATTCAGAGGGAATTCAATCGAACGTTGCTTGTTGTTGCCCATCGGCTAAGAACGGTCGCATCCTTTGACAAGATTATTGTAATTCAAGAAGGCTGTATTGCAGAATCGGGTACACCAGCTGAACTATTGAACTCAAAGGGAGTATTCTATGATATGGTGCAAAGTAGCGAGGACAGAGAATTCGTCACCAAAATTGCATTGGAAGGTGGCAGTTACTGATGGCCCACTTTCGACACTCAACAACGTTCAGCATTGACATATTTGGGCGGAATGGCGGGGAGCCATGTGCGACTGACTTCCCTCCAATAAAAATGCAGAATGTTTTAATCAATCAACTGGAGGCTCTTGGCGCGCCTGTCAAAAACTATTTCTTTGCTTTCCTATGGCGTGTCCAAAACCTCCGGTGATGCAAGACAGTTGAGGGGGCCAGGACAGCCGAGGAGCCAGGGCCGCCAAGAACACGATCGCGAGGCCTAGTCTTTTAGTTGATACATGTTTCGTTAGGATCGCTCATTGAAACAAGATGCACCTTTTAAATTGTGGCGGCAAGATCAAATTGCTCAATATACCTTAAATATGTTGCGATTCAAATCCTTCACTATTCGGTGTTTGGCAAGCAGGAGATCTAGCATCGATTGCTTCATCCATCCTGGTAGGCACGACATGTGGCTGTCGCAGCTCACTATTAACCGGGATGCCGTGATCATGCCTTATCAACTGAAGTCCGTGCTAAAAATTATCTCTTAAATAAATGATGCATTCAGATCGCTGTACATCTTGTTTTTGTGAATCGCAGCCTGTCTAGTCGTGTTTACTTCGGACAATCCTTAAACATGTCTTCCGAGGAAAAGAACGCGACTGCTATTTCGACAGACCCAAAGCAATCGCAAGGAACTCTTACAGGAGATGACTCTGACAGAGAATGGCAACAGAGCACAACGCAGCTTGTACATGGTACCTTCGAAGCAACAGAGGACCATTCCTTCTACCGCCCAATTGATGGCTATGAGGGCCTTCACCGATGGGACCCAGAGTTCCAATGGACTGAACAGGAAGAAAAGCGCATTGTTCGAATGGTATGTATCTTTTTCCTTGCTATTCTCAATCAAGCGTCAATACTGATGCGCCCGAGCTAGATCGACGCGCGTGTATGCACCTTCGCCTGCGTGACGTTTTTCGCACTACAACTTGACCGAGGAAACATTTCCCAGGCACTATCAAGCACCCTCCTCGAAGATCTGAAAATGACCAGCAATGACTATAATCTGGGACAGACGATCTTTTTAGTAGTCTTCCTCCTTGCTGAGATGCCTTCCCAGCTCGTTTCGAAGCGACTGGGTCCCGACCGCTGGATTCCCATTCAAATGGTCTTATGGAGTATCCTTGCAGCCTGTCAAGCGTTTTTGACGGGAAAGAAGTCTTATTTGGCATGCCGAGCTTTATTGGGTTTACTTGAAGGAGGATTGTGAGTGACAATGTTATCTGTTCTCTACTGATTCCAACTAATTGTGCTTTCCAGTATTCCGGATACGGTTCTCTTCCTCTCGTTCTTCTATAAATCGAACGAACTTCCAAACAGATTGACTTGTTTCTGGATCTCCTACACGGTCGCTGGCATTATCGGCTCGTTCCTAGCATTCGGTTTCCTGCATATCACCGATTCCCACGGTGGTGGATCTTGGCGCTATCTCTTTGCTTATGAGGGCCTCATTACCGGCGTTATTGGAATAATCGCTGCATTTTGGATGCCTGCATCCCCGGTACAAACCAAGGGTGGGTTCCGCGGCAAGAACGGCTGGTTCACGGAACACGAAGAAAAGATCATTGTCAACCGGGTCCTCCGTGATGATCCCAGCAAAGGAAGCATGCACAATCGCCAACCAGTCACCCCAAAGCGGCTTTGGCATTCACTAAAAGATTATCATATGTGGCCCATTTATATAATTGGACTTGTCTGGCAAATCCCGACTACACCAGCCCAGAACTACCTCACTCTACAACTGAAAAGTATCGGATTTACAACGTTTCAAACCAATCTTCTTGTTATCCCTGCTGCTGTCGTGGCTATAATTACCATGTTGGGTACGACATGGCTGGCAGAGCGATTCAATCAACGTCTCCTTCTTGGTGCCTGCGCCGAGTTATGGTACTTGGTTTTGGTGATTACGCTCGAAGTCCTTCCTGAGAAAGCCATGCCTTGGCCTCGATGGGCCGTACTCTCGCTTCTGGTTGGCGCACCGAGTATTCATCCTGTACTGGTGGCTCTGACATCCCGAAATGCTGGATCTGTACGGACAAGAACGGTCGCTTCTGCATTGTATAACATGTCCGTTCAATTAAGTAGTATTGCAAGTGCTAATGTGAGTATTATTCTAAATTTGAATATAGAGATCAACTTGTATCACAAGTTGATTTCTTGTATGTGCTTAAAGCTGATCATCATGAACAGGTTTACGTTACTAAAGACGCTCCATATTATAAGCATGGAAACAAGGTTCTGATTGCGATGGCGGTTACTAGCTTTGTGATCTTCCTTTCTGGGAAGTTCTACTATGAGTGGTTGAATAGGTAAGTGATAGGGCTTCGATTATCTTCCTGAATACTTTGACCAACATAATATACAGACGTAATGCCGCGAAATGGGCCGCAATGTCAAGTGAACAGAAAGAGAATTATCTGCGCGAAAATCCAGTGATGACAAACAAGAGGTATGAGCATTGAGTCAAATCCTATATAATTGACCGTATCACAAGCTAACCGCATCTTTAGACTTGATTTCCGATTCTCGTACTGATTTTGGATATATGATATTGGGATGCAATCCATGCGATGGCATATTGTCTTTAGTAGTGAATTATTCGATATAATACTACTGTCCTAGATGAACTATGGTTCCCAAATTCAAAATAGACTATTGTCTAAAAACAATCCCTGTCAAGTTCATGTCCGTGGCACCTATAGAGCCATAGTTTCACCAGTAAACTACGAACGTATGCAAGGAAAGAACACTGTATTAGCCATTATACCGAGCTATTGCGTGCAAACGTCCCAAGAGCCCAGTCTAAATTCAAAGGTCTCGTGGTAAAATTCTCCATGTGCTTCATCGGTTATCCAAGCCCCAAGATGTTAGATCTGGGGAGTTGCTGTTATCCAGCGATGCGTTATTCAGTCAACGGATGGTTTTATTAGCTTTCCATATTTCGTTTCCAAATGTCGGAGCTTAACTCACCTATCACGTCTCTGCTGTTCTATCTTCTTGATCTGATTAGTGGCTTCCTCCTCAACAATCATGTTGCAATATGTCGTCAGTGAGGGGTTTATAGTTATGCAGCCGACTTTTCGGTAATACGCCATTGTCTCTGTGTATAGACCATGGTTTATACTGAGTTCAAAAATATGGTGCAATGTAAATCTTGAAGAACATCTTGTGCACGCTCACTCTGTAAATGGTGAGACCATTCGTAGACAAGTTTATTCAGTGGCTGTTACCTTCAGGGTTGGTCCGCTGTATTCTGACAAATGACTGTAGCTCGAGTCGCAGATATAAAGAGCACCCATATTGCACTGTAGTTTTGAATATTCAACCTTCCAAGTTTTGATCAGAAGTAATCATTACAGATCGATATTTTGCGATTTTTATTTTTATTTCTATTTGAATAATCACGATCGGTAGAACGAATATTCAATCATGGCTCCTTCAGTTGATGTGATCTCGCCTTCTGCTCCTACTCCCACTGGAAAGTTGGCATTGGCGCAGGAAACCTCCCAGAAAACTTATATTCGAGAGCCTTTGAAGTACTCTGGCTCCTTGAATGAGTACAAGAACTTCGACGTCACCCCGGTTATTGGTCGCGAGTTTTCCGGTGTCCAATTGACTGATCTCTTGAACGATGATGATAAGCTTCGTGACCTTGCCATCACAGGTAATTCCATGTAACTACCCTATAGGAACTAAAATAAACTGACGCCCTGAAGTTTCCCGTCGTGGTGTGGTTTTCTTTCGCGGCCAGGATATCAACTCTGACCAACAGAAAATTCTCGGACAGAAGCTTGGAGAGCTAACCGGGAAGCCTGCTACATCAAAGGTACGGAGTCCCCCTATATTGCCAATCAATTGACATCTTAGCTAAAAGACAATATCAGCTACACCGTCACGCTGTCAACAACAGTAAGCGAAACATTACAGTCAATGAGGGCAAGCTAGATGACGAGATCTCTGTGATTTCATCTGATGTGAGAATTGCCTCCATCAACTGTAAATATTTTAAATCTAATGAATATTCGACAGGTCAATCGCCAATTATATGGAAGCCGCTTCTCGAATGCCTCTCGTCATCTGGCTAGCGAAGGATGGCATGCCGAGTCAGTTTATACCATGCAAATCGCGTCATTTAGCGAGACATAATACTGATATTTTCTTTATAGTATTACATTTGAAAATGTGCCATCCGACTATGCTATCTTGAAGATCACCGACACTCCCGAGGATCAATCTGGTGGTGACACTCTATGGGCTTCTGGTTATGAAGTTTATGATAGGCTGTCCCCTTCGTTTCAGGCACTCGCAGACAGCCTGCAAGCGGTTCACTATCAGGTATAACGATTAAACTTTGCGATATGCCACTTGCACTTTTACTGACCATTACTCAGCCTCGATTCAATGAAATTTCCAAAGAACATGAGATTGATCTCATCGAGGGCGACCGTGGGGCTCCAGAGAACACTGGCTACAGTTTCAAGGCCACACAGTATGTTAGCTTTTTGAAATTCAAACAAACATGATTTTCTAACAAATCGAAAGCCCTCTAGTACGAACCAATCCTGTGACCGGATGGAAGAGCCTCTTCGGTGCCGCCGGCCAGGTCGAATCTGGCTGGATTGAAGGTGTCACCAAGCGAGAAAGCCAGATCTTGAAGCAATACTGTAAGTTACTTCTTTCAAGTTGTTTCCGTAGTCAGTGAAAGAAAGACATGATTAAATTTTTTATTTAGTCAACCAACTCATCGCCGAGAACCACGATCTTCAGGTGCGATACAAGTGGAACGAGAATGATGTTGCGATCTGGGACAAGTAAGTCCATTCCTTCCTATAAAGCGAATTTACCACGCTAATGCCTTTTTTCTAAAGCCGCTCGGTTTTCCATACTGCTACCAAGTAAGTAATCTTTCTCTGTGCTAAAACTTGCCGATCAGCTAACAATGTGTGCAGTGACTATGACGGAAAGAGGCAGGGTAACAGGGTTGTCTCACTGGGTGAGATCCCTTACTACGATCCTGCTTCGACTTCCCGGCGTGAGGCGCTGGCAGCGGAAGTCTGAATCAATCTCTCTGGTGGTTTGAGAAGTGCTTTGATCACACGTAATGATTTTGTCAATTAATTCTTTTTTTGGAGATATGCATTAGTCCCACAGACATGAGTTAATAACATTAAATTTGCTTTTCAAAGGAAAAAAAATCTTAACAAATAACTAAGAATAGAATAATCTCCAAATTTCGATACTTTGTGGGTTTGAAGATATGAGTAGTCTATCAGCCATGGCTCAGCCCATGTCTGGGTAGTCAGGGTGTTATAATTAGGGGTACCAAATCTAGTGTATAGAAGGAACTTCTTCCTGGTTGGTAAATCATTTAGGGTGATGTTATTCAAAAAGGTGTTATCATTGGCCCACTTTTCAAAAACTCACCTGTCAGAAAATTCCAGCAGATTCGTGGAAAGGGACTGGTTCTGCACATGTGGTGTGGGTTGAGTTGTGTCTGGGTGAATCTTCGGAACAACAGGATAATCATAATTGGTCTAACCACTTTGGGTAACTTAAGGTCCGCTAAGTCACTTAGTCATTTCTCTGTCCCACTTTACGGTTCTCTCCGACGACTTAAGTGGAGAAGCTTACGTTCAAAGAAACGTCGGCAACTGTTGGCCATGAGACTCGTAGGAACAGATTAGGGGTAGACTGATTCTAATACTTTTTTTGCTCCAAAAATTATGAGGCGCAAGGAGTAGATCAACAAGCCATGAGTCATTCAATCTTTCAACTCCAAAGTTCTTTTCACACAATATCATGTTAGCCAGTTTAGAGGTATGTACTATCTCCGAACCTTGGAACAAAAGGCCTCGGAGATAACTGCCCAAGTGGAGAATGAAGGCTTGAACAATGGATCTTTTGAAAGACCGGAAATTTTATTATGCAGAAGATATAACCGTATTCAATGTCTCACACAGCGGAAATTTCAAGTTTGAACGAACTATCGAAAGATCTGTACTGTGCGTTCCAATGCAAGCCTCCCGGGCCCCTGGCAGATCGCTAAGCCTTGCGAGTCCGAGTCTTGCCACTAAAAACTTGAAATTGGCTGTTTTTGCTTCTTATCACTGGTATTATTCTAAATGGATCCTGCGTTAGTGCGGTATCAAGTGGGACCTTGAAATGTGCCTATTCAGGGACACAGGCACAGACACTCTATCTCTCCTTGAGAGTGTTTGATTCTTTTCACTTGTGTTCGAGATCACACACCACAACAGTGAGCAATGTCAAACTAATCATTCTTTACAAAATCCCGATTTTCTACACGCCATCCACAATGGCATCCATTCTTTTGCGTGTTCTTTTCCTTCTTGCCTTCATAATCTTTACAACAGGGGCATCCTCGTCTGTAACCGACTGCAACCCTCTTAAATCGACGACCTGCTCTCCGGAAGCTGCGCTTGGAACTGAGCATACATGGCTATTCAACTCTACCCTCGACGAAAAGTTATGGGATATGGAAACGGGCAAAATCGAGTACACCGATGAAGGCGCAGACTTTGCCATTCGAGCGGAGAACGCATCCACTCTTTTGGTGTCGAACTTTTACATCTTCTTTGGGATTATGGAGGCACACGTGAAAATGGCAAAGGGCGCTGGAATCGTCAGCAGCGTGATTCTTCAATCGGATGATCTTGATGAGATTGATTGGGAATGGGTCGGATACAATACAAGTGGTGTCCAGTCTGACTTCTTCGGGAAAGGGAATACCACTACGAGCGATCGAGGCGGGTATCACGCTGTTTCGAATGCAGACACTGAATGGCACAACTACACCTCTTACTGGGATAAAGATCGTCTTGAGTGGTGGATTGACGGCGACCTTGTACGAACAGTTAACTACTCCGAGCCGCTGACTGTCTATGGAAAGAACTATCCACAGACACCATCCAGAGTAAAAATCAGCAATTGGCCCGTTGGTATCAAAGGAGAGTCACTGGGAAACCTCGAATGGGGAGGTGGTTATGTGAACTGGACTGATGTGCCCTTCATCATGTCGGTGCAGAAGGTTCGTGTTCAGGACTTCCATTCAGGAAAGGAGTATACGTATAATGGAACCTCTGGAACGTGGGAAAGTATCAATGTAATCAGGTAAGTATCCCAATTCATTCAATGGAGTGCAATTATCCGAATGCTTTGAATATCCGATTACAATGACTGACATTCCTACTCCCAAAATTAGTGGCAACTCCACTGCAAAGAAAGAGATCAACAAAGTGCCAGCAGAGACTACTGCTGAGAAGTGGGATGATCTAGGTGAAGGAGCGCATATCGGGGTATACGTCGGCGCAGCAGTTGCAGGAGCGCTTATGGTTGGCGCCCTCGGCTGGTGGTGTATACGCCAGCGTCGCCAAGGCCGGCTACAGCGGGCTCTGGATGATGATGCTCATGGGAGCCAACTTACGGATATGGCGAAGCACACTGCTCAATGGAACCAAACACAATGGGGCCGCAAGAGTTATCAACCGGTTGCCTAAAGTGTCAATTTTGTGGCATTATACAGCCAAATACACGATTAGCGACCACCCCCACCCCCCTCCCTCCCACAGAGCTCATATCTTTCTTTCGCTTCATTTTTTCAGGTGATTTTTGATAATAATTCTTTTGGACAAAGCCTCCGTCTCATGACGGTGAACTGCTACATAATTGCGTTTATATCGACGGACATATTCAAGTGATCCGATTTGCACACACAACCATTGATCGCATGCGGTATATCTATAATATAGCCCAAGAGGTTTCAAAGAAGCGGTATACCGTTAAAAATCCCATCCCATTTTATTCAGCATAGAATATACTCAAACGCTGAATGTAAGTTATAACTAGCCAATAAGAAGCGGATTACATAATGGATTATAGTTAACTATAAGTTAGTACGTCGTTTTGCTCCAAGACCAGCAAAGATTACTCTTAATGGATCATTGACGTTCTCAAGGCAAAAGTTATAGACTAGAATTTGTGCGTGAGGGGGCACTTGTACCCCAGGCGATTCGAAACTCTGCACATGTCTCATTCTCGCTCATAGCCAAGGTCTTTTATATATGTAAAATGATAGTAATAGCAATTTTGAAACCCGACACGTCTCACGTGCCATAAATGCCGACAGTATTGTGCGTGGCTTCAATGTTGGGGAGGAGGATAAAGATAGTAAGGTGTCCGTATATTCAGAATTTGTGGAAGGGAATCAGGAACTGGATAAGAGGAGGGGAAGAGACATTATACATCCGACAAAACAGCTGCAGTGTGCCAGAGACTGATGGTGATTGGTTTACCTTGTGATAGGCGCATGTTCCAGGAAACGCCGGCTGCACATTTGGGCGAGGGTCATCTCACAGGTACCCGCTCAGTAGACCTAGGTAATTTCCTCTCTTCTTGGATGGCCATGAAAGTCTATATGGCTATATACTCCGTGCCCTTTTAGCATCAAAACAAATGAATATATTCAATCTTGGACCTATCTATTTGAAACAATAATTGCGTTAATATGTGCATAGAGTATGTGAGTTGATTAATACCTTCTTTGAACTGAAAAAGAATTCGGTGCAGTCCGCCTCCTGCCTCGTTGCGATGAAGTGAAGGAGCAGGTCAACCTCGAACTGACTGAGATTCTTCGTGAATACTTAGAAAACCCCACGAGTTCTCCATGTCCACCCAATTTACTGCGACGAAGTTGATGAGGTATTTGTTATTCGTAGTGGGGTAAAGGGAACTTAGTTGGCTCGAAAATAGATGCCTGATCCGATTCCCAAGCTCCCAAGCAAATGCCGACCATCTTCGTTGTCGAGCCGTCCTTTCCCACAGACTTTGCTCATTTAGCTCACTTTGTCGATTCTGACGCGCAGTTCGTCTGCGCTGACACTCATACTCAATGGTTGTCACCAGCCCTATGTGTTCAGTCTTGCACCATCCTAGACGACGTCCGAAACTTGATATCAGATCATAGTGCTTCTAGGCTTGACGTCGAATAACATTGATTTCTATGCATTCCAGCTCACGCTTTGGTCATAATAACTGGAATATTCGGAAACCCCAATAAATGACCTTCAGTAAAAGCACTCACGCTGAATTGGAATGAGGAAGGCCTGGTACCCCAACATTCAATAAAGCTTTGTATGACCGTCGTCAAATCTCGGGGATGTCAATGAAATCATTCCCCAAAAGGTTCCCAGCAATCCAATTGACACTGATAGCGGAACAGAAGCATTCTGGAGATCGCCGTAGTGACTCTATTGAAACAACCACGCAAATAGAAAATAGAATGAAGGAGTCAAAAACACGACACTGTAAGCCGCCAGCATCCATGTCGAGCGCTCCTCAACAATGTATAAGCCCCAGAAAACTTCACGCGATGAATCCTGTTCTTCAAGGTGACTGTCCCGTTTTGGAAGCTTTTCGCTAACAACATCTCCGCATCCTGAATTAATGGAATATACCTTCCAAATCCTCTTCAATATAGTACGTGAAATACGACTGTACCAAGTGTGATATAGAAACCAGTGATTGAACTCATGTGGGGACACTGGTGGGTCAGGGAAGATGGGCTTGGGGAAGAAATGATAAGATGCCTGCTGCGGGCCAGGAAACTCGGGGGTCAAGGGAGCATATGCAGCTTGTAAAAATCTCTCGAACTATCACAAAATTAGAGATTGAGGTAGGACTATTTTCGTTCAACAAAGCAACCATGAACGTACCTTGAAAAATTCACAATGTGAATACCTGTAGATCCCAAACCAGGTTGGAAAAAACCCTCGATAGGCATAGTACATCGATCGAACCCATGAAAAGAACTCCTCATCATTCATAGAATTGACTGAGGTTTGGGCAAGTCGTTTTGAATGTCCAAAAAGGGAAGAACTTGTCACAATAAGAAACACGTGGCGATTAGGGTTACGTCCCGGACCTGACTGCTGCTGTTGTTGGGAGGGTCCAGGTTGAGGTTTGAGAGAATCTGGATTGTGAGTTCCCCGCTGACCTTGATTTAGGGGCTGACCAGACTGGCCAATTCTGGTACTTAAGCTTTGTGATCCGAAAGCAGTCGGAGTGGTGTTTGTCGGAGGTAAAATCTTGGTAGCGCCAGTGACCTTTTTTGCAAATGATAAAGGGACTTCGACCCATCGAGCTTGACCACAAGCCTAGACAAATTGTATTAATATTGAATGGAGATCATTGAACCATCATACAAACAGAATAAACAAACTCACACATTGCCAATGTAAGCGAGCCTCATCGTTCCCTAAAGCGCGCATGTAGGGCCTGAGAGGCCACCAATCCCATCTTTCCGCTGTAAATGCCTCCCATAAGCCCTTGATTGTATTGAGGATTGAAGTATCCTCATCAAAGCTCAATGCTATCTTATCCGGCGGGACATGTTGCAGCTCACTCACTACTACTTCAAGATTAAGAAGCTGTGTACTCATAAATTCTCCATTTCTCCGTTTTTCCAAAATCCATTTAAAAAGAATGGATCGCATAGACGGAAAGACAAAATCGTGAAACTCTCTCTCCATCATTTGGAAAGCATTCGACTGGAAAATGAGGTGCTCTATCCTTTGAAGATCGTCCACCAGCGTCCGTTCCGCGATCTCAGGGGCATCGGGAATGGAATCTGCCTCGGAGTCGGAGTCAGAATCCAATTCGTCACGACCCTCTGGCTTGCCTTGAATATCTGGCTCTGAATTCTTCACAGCGAATTGCTCACTTTGAATTAGCTGAGATGTGTCTTCTCGTGTTTGAAGATAGTCCAAGACCTTAGCTCTAGAACTCTCTTCCTCGACTCGGCGAATATTGGATTCCTCTAGCCCGGAGGGTCTCGTTTTGCTGAGTGATTGCATAGTAAGGCTTGCGATTCTGAGCTGTGCACCGCGAAAAAATTTGATGACGTGAGGCTCGACTCCTAATTCGGGATCGCGAGTTAAATGGGATGCAAAGCGACCAAGCGCTTTCTTCAAGTTTCTCCGAATGCGCTTTTTTGAGTAGCCGCTTTCCTCAAGCGCAAACCTGCAGACTTGTTGAAAGCTCTCCATACCCAGAAGTGAGGCCGTGAAGACTTCAACTGCGGATGTGACAATCGAGTTATTGATGGATGTAGTTGAAGAACTACTGCCCGGAATGGACAAGCTGCTAATGACGGATCCGAATTCGGAAATATCCGAGTTATCATCCTCGTCAGGAGATATACCTTGAGCTAACTTCATCTGAGAGATTTGCTGAAGTAGTAAAGTTGCTTTTGTTGCATCCGGACTATGCTTTCGGGGTTCCTTTGCTCGAAATTGAGTGACTGCCTTTGCTAGTCCTTCGGCTTCTTCCCATTGACCCATGTCAAAAAGCAAAACCGCCAAAATCTCCATGCTATCTAGGGTGTCTCCATGCTCCATGCCAAGGATTCTCTTGCGACAACTTACGACCCGACGCTGAACTTTTTCGGCCTCATGAGGGCGTTTCTGTTTGGTAAATATTAAGGCCAGGGTATTCGTGCCTTCCAGAACAACGGGATGATCTGGGCCAAGTGCTTTCTCGAGGACTTCGACTGACTGTTTCTGCAACAATTCCGCTTCTTCAAAATTCCCTTGATCGAGGAGAACTAAGGCCAGCTTCCCTAAGCTCTTTGCGGTGTTTGTATGGTCTGACCCAAGATGGGCCTTGAGTGTCGTTATTAATTGGCGGTACATTGCATTGGCCTTTGCCAGTCGTCTTTGACTTCTGTAGATAGATGCTAGAGAATCCATGCTAGAAAAGACATCTGGATGCTTAAGGCCGAGTGTTATCTGTTGGCCTTTCAGGGCTTGCTCTTGAATTGCTTCAGCTTCATCCCACCGCCTCTGGCTCGAATATATTGCTCCCAGGCTTACTTGGCTCATCAAAGTATCGGGATGGTTTAAACCAAGGATCTTTTGCCTTCCTTCAATCACCTTCACTGCAAGTACCTCGGCTTCATCCTCTCGATCTTGGGCCCGATATATCCTTGCTAGATTATCCATCCCGACAAGTGTGTCACGGTGTTGGATCCCGCGGAGTCTCCTATAGATATCAAGCAGTTGGAGAGAGAGCTCCTCAGCCCTTGAAAATTCGCCTTGAGCATGATAAACCGAAGCAAGGTTGCTCATGCTACTCAGGGTATCCGGATGCTCTGCGCCTAGGATATCCCTGCGTATCTCGAACACTGGTATGATGAACGTTCTCGCTTTCTCCAACTGACCTTGCTTTTCGTAAATTACTGAAAGATTGTTTTTGCTGGTTAATGTGTCTGGATGCTCTGTACCTAGAATGCGCAAGCGTCTCTCGTATACTTGTGAGTTCAATCTTTCGGCTTCATCCCATCGACCTTGGTTGTCATAAGTCGCCGCAATATTGCTCATGATGCTCAAAGTATCTGGATGCTCTTCACCCAGCGTGCGTCGAGCTATGTCGAGCAACTTCAAACTTGGCAGCTCTGCCTCATCCCATCGACCTTGATACCATTTTGCCAATGCGAGTTGCCCTGTGACAAAGAGGGAAATACGGTGTTCATCCCCTAGCACACGGCTGCAGCGCTCCGACTGCTGTTCTGCTAAAAGTTCTGCTTCGCACCACTGGCCCAATAGCAGATACGCTAAGATGACAGACGTGAAAGCATCTATTGTCTCCGGATCATCAGGACCTAGCAATTCCCGTCTCACCTCCGCCGCAGCCGTGGCCATTCGCTTCATGTCTACTGTTTCACTAATAGTCCAGGCATAGCGCGAGCCTCTGTGTAGTAGGGTTGCCCATTTAAGAAGTGATTCACTCTGGTCCGGAATTGGACGTTGTTTTATCATAGCCTTCACATGCGGGAAGAAAAATCGCCAATGGCTTGTACTCTCGAAGTTCATTTCTGCCAGCTGATAGCAAAGGCATTTAATAGACTGTGCTATCCATTGATTGGTTAGACCTTCTAACTTAAGCTGACGTTTCAGCTCCTGTTGCACTGAGCCATGCATTGTTATTGCGCTCGAGTCTTTGACATATATTAATGATAAATCGGCGAGAATGTCGATGGAAGCGTCTAATTCTGTGCGTGGCTGATGCCGCTGGTAAATTTGATTCAGTGATTGCGTGGAGGTCTTCATTCTAATGCTTTCATCATTCTCACTGAGGCTATTGTCTCCTCGTGTTTCAAAAAAGGTTTTAGGGATTTCCTGAGGTTCAAAGAAACTCATCAATGACAATAGCTCAAAGGCTGCCGGTCTTGTTTGTCTAATGTGATTGAATGCAATGTTCAATATGCTATGAAGCGGATGAGAATGAGGAGCAGTATGCTGAATTGGAATATGAGCATCTAGCCGTTCACAAAGGGTTGATATGCTCAACTGAGGAGGCTGAGACTTGATCAAGAGGGCTGCTTGGACAACCGCGAGTGGGTGAAAGTTAAGCTTTTTGACAAGGATGCCGAATCTCTCACCATTCGAGCCTCGACCGAGCTTTCTATGAAAGAGTGCCATTGCGAGAGGCTCGCTCATAGGCTCAATGCCAATAAAACCATCACTTGTAACTATTTCCTTGGCTACAAGTAGGCTTCTTGTGGTCAAAAGTACAGAACCGTTGAGGCCCTGAGGTAGAAATCTTTTGAGTGGGTTAGACAATGTCTTTTTTTCGTCATTCGGTATGCCTTCTAGGCTTCCTGTTGGAGCTATTTGAGGAAGATCACTATCACTATCCATGCCATCGAGAACAATGATCCATTTTTCTTGCTGCTTCTCAAGCCAGTCATGAACAACGTGAAAAATGTTTATGTCGGTGGAATCTCGATATGGTATATCGAAATTATCGGCAATATCGCGGTAGCACTGATTGAATCGGGCCGCGCTATTCGCGTAAATCCAGAAAATCAAGGTCTCTGGCGATTTGTCTCGAATGCGGTACATGCATTCGATGGCTAGGTGGGACTTTCTTCTCGATGTGAGTATGCAGTCTATCCTTGGGGAGAGGGACGTCACCCTTGGGAAACCTACCCAATACCACCCAGTCCAGCCAGAGCCACTCGAGATCCAGGAATAGAGAGCTTGCTGCTGACTTGGTCCAGGAGCTTCTGGTCCACAATGAAGTCGTTATCTCGTCGAAAAGGTACAGTAAAACTCGGATTTCGAGAAGTCCTAGGTCTTGCTAAAATAGTATCGCCATTAGCAAGTGCTTAGCCAGTGGAACGCGGAGCGGGCGATGTGTTTGTTAGATCTTACCAGTTGGGAAATCAAATTCAGAAGATCTGATCTGTCCATGATTCATGCCCACCTGGAAGCCATGGTTTGAGCTCCCAAACGTGATAGAGTTCATGATTATGAGAGGGATTCATGCCAATTCCTGGGTATTCGAGTGGGTTCGGTTTGAATGTGCTAAGCTGCGTAGCTGGAGGCCAGTGCGACGGCTGCGGGGTTCTCGCCCCATGCAGCTCATCTCCGCTCAGTCACATTCAAATGAATAATCTTTCAATTTCGACATGATGATTGGACAGGCGAGCGAGTGGTTTCATCTCTCAACTTGAAGGGGAAGCCGGTGCCATTTCAAATAATGTTTGCGTCTTTCCAAGTGTTGCTTACAAAGCGATGGAGTAGATGATGATGACTAGGTTGGTCCTCGTACGCGTACCTGATGGACCCGCACCGCAATAGATCTACGGCACGTCCTGTCTACCGTGGCAAGATATGTCTGGCAGGCGAGCAGGGAGAGCTTGTGGGGATTTATCAAGCTTGATAGAAAGAAAGATTGTTAGAATATACGACGCGTCTAGACTTTCTATAAAAAGGATCCTCAACTTCAGAATATAATACTACTGTGAGCAGTCTGACTGGTGCTCCTGAAAATTCCGTCTATCATGAGAAAACATATTGAACCCTGAGATCCTGAAGACCTGATTCTGAAGCTGATTCGTGTAAGCCCTTCCTTTTCGTTCTTATTGTTATTAATCTTCTATCTGAAACAAAAGCCCGGGTATCAAATATCAAAGTAATCTGAAACCATATTTTAGAGAGACAGTATTATCATTGTAGAATTTTTACTGCGCCCGGACGAAAAGGATACCCCAGCCCAGACCAGATTGATCTTCCCGAATATTGGCTTATTTGACCAGCATACGGTCCGTCAAACACGCCAATTATATCCAAGATAAAACGGCTTCTAATGTCGAAGTCAATGTACAAAACACTATGGCATGGGTATGAAGTATCGGTTCAACGGAGTATCGGTTCACCGAGTTCAAGTTTAAGTTCACTCGCTTGCTAAGTGAGAATTGCTTTTTGTGAAATAGCGCTATCTTAGTTGTATGACAGGAAGTGGCTGGACTCTCTGCAGTCCCAGCACTTTCATCCGGTACTCTGTAAAGCTCCCACCATCACCCCAGCCTCCCATGGGCAACTATGGGTTCTCTTGGCATAAGATTCAGATCGGATCTAATGATGTTGGCCTGTGCGAGAGCCAGGATTTCCAAAATCTGTGAACTTTGTTCTCGAGATTCTTGTTCACAAAATGGGTGAACAATATTAAAGCCCTCCACTAGAAGCCTAGGCGCAATTGTATCCACCCGAAGCCATCATTTACATGGCTAAGGAGAGAAAGAGGGCTATTGTCGCTGTTGACATTCAGTCCATTACCCGCGGCAGCAGTGTCTCGGGAATCGGCAACTCTAATTGTGCCGATCTTCGGAGATTGCCACCATCGGATTTAAGACATTAACTTCATTGTGATGTCATTTGTTTTGGGGGTCAGGCAAATTGCTTGTTTAGGTTGATTTGATGGATCTAAGCATCCAGTTATTCCGATTGATGTTATGATGACTTATTTAGAATTCATGTGACGAGGATGTGCCCCTCGTGAAGATCTCTAGACAGAAATCATATGTGTCTGGGACATATTGATGGGACACGGGGAAAGCCTCATAAGCATCAGCATTATCTTAAGCGCAGCAACGCAAGTAAAATAAATAAAATTATAATTATGATTAAATCCATCATATTCAAAAAAAAAAAAATCCAATTATGAAATTCGTTGACCTAAATCCTGGGGAATTTTATCTATCATCATCTATCTAGGATCGTGCTTTTGTCAAAAATCACAACGCATGAAAGAAAAACGTAAGTCATTGCTCTCGACAGAGGCTTTTATCACCAGCCGACAAGATCTCAATTGATGTTCTTAATCAACATATTTGGGGATAGTCTTCGCAATGCCATCTCGCGAAATATCTTCCAAAGCCTTCGTAATCTCAGTCATAAATCTCTTATCGGCACGTAAATCGTCACCAAAAAGTGTCTTGATACCGAGGATGGAAGAAGGATCAGTACCGCCAGCACGGGCCTTGGTCTGAAGCTCCTCGCGCATGGGATCGTCAACCTCAAACTTGTTTCCGGCGTCATCGATGCCGTTCACGTAGCGGAACCAAGCGGCTGCTACGAAGCAGAGACGACGGAAGGGGCCGCTGGACCAAATTGCTTCGGCGATAGAGGGCATGATGAATTGTGGGATTTTTCCAGAGGCATTGAGGCAGATGCGAGGGAGTTGGTCCATGATTGTTGGGTTGGAGAAACGCTCGACTAGTGTCTTGGTGTAGACGTCTAGATCAACGCCGGGGATGGCGGGGAGGAGCGGCTTGACTTCGTCTTGCATCATTTGGACGACGAATTTGCTGAAGACTGGGTCTTCCATCACTTCGTGGACGAATTTGAATCCCGCTAGGCGGCCTGGGTATCCGATTGCTGAGTGGCTTCCGTTCAAGAGTCGGAGTTTGTGCATCTCGAATTGCTCGACTTCGTGGACGTTCTTCACAACTTGTACACCAACCTTTTCAAATGGTGGGCGGCCATCGCAGAAATGATCTTCAATGACCCACTGTGTGAAGGGCTCTGTCACGACCGGCCAGGAGTCTTCGATACCAAAGTTCTGGGCAAGGTCGACCTTGTCCTTGGGTGATGTCTGAGGGGTAATGCGGTCGACCATAGCATTAGGGAAGTGACCTTTCTCGGAGATCCACTTGGCTAACTCGGGGTTCTTCAAGCGCGCGAAGGAGTCCAGCATGTGACGCGTGATGGCACCATTCTTCTGCATGTTATCACAAGACATCACGGTGAATGGCTTAAGGCCTTGCTGATGGCGACGAGCAAGGGCAGCGTATAAGAATCCAAATGTTGTGCGAGGGGCATTCTCGTTGGCGGGGTCGAGATCGAATTGGATATCGGGGTGGTTGCTTTGCAGCTCGTGTGTGTTTTCGTTGTAATAGTATCCGCTCTCGGTGATGGTGAGTGAGACGATGTGGGTATCAGGGTGTGCGAGTTTAGCGACAACAGCTTCACGGTTGTCTGGTGCGAAAAGGAAAGAGTTGATGCTACCAATGACATTGGCGTAGCTTCCCTTAGCGGAACGTTCGATGAGGGTGTAAAGGTGATCTTGGGAGCCCAACGCATCACGCATCGTAGCATCGAAAGGTTGCAAGCCAACGCCACAGATAGCCCAGTCCTTCACGCCTTGTTGCATCAACAGATCGACATAGTATGCCAGGTGAGCGCGGTGGAAACCACCGACACCAATGTGCACGATGCCTTCCTTAATGCCAGCGCCACGTGGATAGGTTGGAACCTTGATTTGGGCTTCACCTGCTGAAGCAATCTGCGACAGGTTGTTTTTGTTAAGCTTGAGAGGTGCCATGATGGGCAGATCGAGGGAGAAGGTGATCAGACGAAATCAATGGCAAAGATGGGAGTGAAAGAAGGGAGGAAGAACACGAAATGATAAAAATAAAAATAAGAAGAGATCCAGTTTGCCACGACTAAAAGAGCGAACAGGCAGCTTTATCAAGGTCACCGCTGGTTTCTTCTCTGCTGACAACATAGGAACCGGAAAGTGTACAGCGATGGTATTACATCATGCGGTGGGGGTTAAAATACGGGGCTCAGTGGATCTCTTTTGTGGAGTCGGATGCGATGAACTCCAGTAGAAATCTGAATCCGGATCCCCATTTCTGGACATGGAGGTGAGAGGAAGCAGGGAATCGCCACGATGAGAAACTCCACCCCGAGCCAGCCTTATCGATTGCCTCCTGTTCAGATAACCTAAACTCTCTCCAGGGGAACCCCATCGCGAGCTGTCAACCCCATAGAATCCTTCAATTGTTCTCGAATCCCCTTCGCCGAGGATTAACCCCTGAATAGATTTTTTTTTTATTCTTGATGATCCGCAGTGCTGGACGCGAGGCTTGTAATATTCTCGTACTCATTTTTAATTGGCTAAAGCTATTGTGGGGTCACATGAGCATCTTGCTACACTGAATTGGCATTTTAGCCGAATTCAATCATCCATGTTGGTATTAACACTACCAGATACTACTCCAGATACTACTCCAGATACTACTCTAGATACTACTCCAGATACTACTCCAGATACTCAATGTATCCTTGCCATCCAGTCAAGGTTCTTCATCTTGCAAGGTCTCTACCCCTCGCTTCGGCTGAATTCCCAATCGCTCCAATTTACGGAGTACAGCTCGCTTGCAGCATCAGCAGACCCGAAACCAAGAAAAACAAATACAAAAAAGCGTAAGAATCTACTTCCCGCTTTTGTAGAACACTGCCACCTCTTTTCATGGCAGATGACCTCTACGCCTCTATCAGATGACCAATTGTCTCCATAATTTGTCCTTTCTGCCGACTCAATTGATCACAAATCCATGGGCTAGATCTTGAAAGGCCCGAGATGACCCCCAATACGGGTGACAACTCGTAGATCAAGCTATAATGCAGCCCTTTATCAAATGTTAATACAGAAACTCAATGCGATCTTCACTGGCTGCAGTTCTTCGGTCGGTACGAATTGAATCCTTTTGGCGCATTAATATTCAACAGTTTCAAAGATACATGACTAAATGAGTGGTGCTTTTGTTCAATATTTCCAACGGGCTCGGCTAGAGGTACACTTATCTGTGTATCCATTTATAGTACAGCCAACAGAATTATGAAACAGTGATTCAACCAGATGTTGCCTACTCGTCCTCATTTTCCACTGAAACATTCGTTTGAATGTACTGCTTTGTCTCAGAACTACTAGCCGTCTCAATGTTTCTATAGATTCTGGTTCATGTGGAGTCATTCGTCTTACGTCGGTATCCACTTCCTCTAAACTCCAGTACAGCAACAACGTAGTAAATGTACTGCGGCTTATTTGGAAATCTTGCTTTTCTGCTTATGCTCATTACGGGATCCTCGGTGTCAGATTTTGATTTAATAGCTTTTGCATTGGGTCTGTTGTATCTTCCCAATTTTAAGAGTAGGCCGAAGAAGCCGCCGGATCCGCTAGCCCTGGAAGCCGATAATTTCACTTCGTATTGTTAAAGAAATACATTCCAATCATCCCATCGCTCAAAATTCTTAAAACCGAATCTTCTCCGTTATGCGCGTATGCACTGGCTCAGAGTCGTCAATAGCATCTTTGAAGTGAGCCATTTTGATCAGCCATTTTCATCCATAATACGAAAACGAAGGCCTTGTGTCGTGTGTCGTGTGTTCAATTCACACCGCAAGTCTTTTTTTTTTACTTCTTCTTGCCTTACGGATGGACCCCTACCGCCTTCTCATATTCTATGTAGGACTTCCATATCATCATTAATGCACTCATTTGATTTGGTAAACATTTGTAGGCGTTGACGCCTCAGGGTTTCGGGACTAGGAGAGTTGGCTAGGAGAGTTGGCCTTTGGGGGCCACAACCAAATGCCCCACGTTGGCACGGAAATCCAATCTAATTCGCATATGGCCCAACAACGAAGGCATTGAGCAGGCATTTTGCTCAATTATGCAAATCCTCCAAAAGCCGCTCCTGGGTCAATATGTGCGCGAAATAAGATACTACCGCAGGCCGACTGTAGCTTCGGTCTGGAAGAAGGAAGTGCATGGCCAACACCCTCGTGATTGGACCGATTCAGACTGCAACTTACTCGATCTGGCCATAGACAGAGCTGGTTTCTCCGGCGATGAGACGAAAAGGACCAATGTGAAACTTACTGATGGGCTTCCTGATAACCTGAAATCACTTTCTATTCTTGGACATCGAAGTGAGTGAGAAGGGAACTAACAAAACCCCCTACAAGAGTATTTCAGTTGTGGAAGATTGGTTCAAATTTTGACCGGGCTTCGTGTAGAAGATCTGAATGTGACTTCGAAGTCATTCTACAACACAATGCTATTACAGAGTATTTTGCGTCTGTCCCTAGAAACCTTTGAAAATAGTATTCCCCGGGGCCATCAATCAACGTAATATAGTAGTTAAAATCTCAGCCACGTGCCACCGTCAAACTTTAAGCTTGCTTTCAAGCCTGAGGTTCCAACTTGAAGGTTAGATATTTGATCATTATTCCACTTTCGTAGAGGACGTAACTAAGTTATCAACATTTCGCGTTGACGGTGTCTACAGGCCCATCCGATACTGCACAAATGAAGCGTCCGCCATCGTGTCATAAAGCCGACGAGCCTGCACATTGTCATGCTTTGTATACCATTGCAGACGAAGACAGCCCTTCTCCTTCGAAAGGTCCGCAACGGCTTGGATCATCTTGCGACCGAGGCCTTTGCCTCTTAATGATGGGTCAACGAAGAGATCTAGTGACTCATGTCAGTAAAACACCGAAATTCCTGTGCGAACAGCAACATCAAAGAGAACTCAGCACATACCATGCAAAAGCATAATCTGTTTCTCGCTCCACGGAGTCTGTTGAGGGAAGAAGTGTGCAATGCCGACCATTTTGGTCTTTTGAGATTTCCCTTGACGCTCTCTCATCACTAAAGCATCCAAGTCACTTTCCGGGTCTAGGATTCGTTGAAATGTCTTCTCATATTGCTCCTCGGGTATGGAGGCCCGGTAGAAGTCGATGTAGCCCTTGAAAAGGGTAGCCCATTCATCAAAGTCATTTTTATTCAGCTTTGTGATGCTAATTTCATCTGCGGATGCCATTATGGAGAAACGGGAACTTTGTAAGGAAATGGACTGGCGGTGCTTGAAATTGATGTTCCTTAGTTGAGCTTTGGTTCGAGAACTTGAACAAAAATGCGTCACGCCCGTGTTAAACGCCCTTGAGTGAGAGCAGGTCGTACTAACTATTCGTGGTTGCTGTTTGGCTATAGTGTTTGTGGTATTTGCGACCGTACGAGGAATCTTCTTCAGGTTCTGAATGACCATTCCTTATATTGTTCGTGGACGTGAATTTCAGTGTTGACCTTTGATCTTGATCGTGCTGGGAATCCTGTGTACTTTATATGGATGACTCTACGCTTGAATGATCTACGGTTGTCCGCTCAGCGTTGGGATTTGGTGCGATCCGATTGGTTCGCGGCTCCGAGGTGCTTCGCTCTCCCTTATCGGGCCTGGTGTAAACGCGGGGGATAAGAAGCAGGTCGCTTTAAAAGCAGGGTAAAGCGTGCATTGAGTCAGATTTTAACTTCAAAAATTATGCTATTTGAGAAACTGGTTTCAAGGCCTAATGCAAAACAAATGAAGCTTTTGTTTTCAAGGAATCGTCAGCTTAGACGAAATCGTTGTAAAAAAGATTGAGATAACCTTTCATGACAGCAGAAGGCAGAAATTAGAGCCTGCTCTTGTTGGGTGCGAATCGATTTGCCCATTCCGGCTGCTATTATTTTTGGAAGTGTTGCCCCGAGTCGCATATATACCGTGGTGAAACAACCAGAGTCTATATAGTGCCGAATGTACTAGTAGAAACTCATAATTAGTTTAGACAATATAGATACAGTGTAAATGGCTTATCATTAGTAAATCACTCTGCAAGACTCGAATATCCCTCACGATATCTGCTGATAGTGTGCTTCTCTGTGCCTTGGCAATGAACATACTTCCCACGTCAGCATAGCCTGCCGTAATAGCCCCAATGCTGAGCAGAGGGAATATAATAGAACGAAGGGCCATGCCGTCAGGGTCTACATGCGTACCTGTCCTACTTAAGAGATAAGGCAATTATGTCCGGAGAGTAGTCGGCGATTGAAACGGAAGATCCTTCCATGCCATGTGAATATATTGGTCGAGGAATACAAATTGCATTTCCAATGGAATCGTATTTAGCGGACCTGGGAGGCTAGGGTTGAGAAGGGGATGATAAGATGATTTGGAGGCGGCCAGCACCTGGGAAATATAAACCAGAACATCTTGATGCTGCTGACTTTGTGGTCTCGCTCCGGGATCTATTTGTAGACGGTCGTTTGATTGCAATTACAAGTCTAAGATAAGACTAAGTACGGCGGCTGATGACGTAGACCCAAAGGCTCTGGTAACGGTCCCTCGTGAGGACAGCCTGTCGCTTATTCGAAGGGTGTTCAAGATCATCTGTAGCTGGCGCAGATCCCCGTCCATCCCCACCGTGGCAAGTGACGAGGTAACATTAGTCAACGAAGCAGTGGGGAGTTGCAAGGGGGTCGATGAGATGCGCTGACTGGAGGCTCCTCCGGCTGCATCGATTTCCCGTCTCCGTACTACCTTTCAGAATTTACACTGCACCGAAGTTTTTTTGCACCGCTCACAAGGGATCAAGCCATTGCATTTCAATTTGCGTTGCCGACAGGCTTCGCATGCTTTGTAAACATTCGATCGTTGAAGCTTAGCAGTAGTCAGAATGACGTTCGATAGTCTCATGGCTTCGTCGTAGGGCATTCCCGTCATGCTGGAATTGATTTTGGTTGCGCTGGAAGTTAAGCATCAAGTGTACCCGAGTGGTTACTCATGCGGGGTCCGCTAGTAGGTCTCGGGGAATAAGTACCCCGAGGGGTCTGGACCTCGAACAAGTGTACCTATGAAAAGCAGGTGCAATAAGTGAGGCCATTGTTTCTAGCAGTATATTCCTTGTCGGCAATTCTGCTGTGACCACCTAGTACGGCTCGGGAGGTCTATACCATTTGAACACTGCGTTGATTCCACTTTTGAGGAGACTTACCACCAGGGCTCCTTTGAGCCTTGTAAACTGGAACTTTGATATCTCGAAAACCTCGGTAATTCATTTTCTTCCCTTTATTATCAATGGATATCAAGAGGTGACATGTTATTTGATGAAGCTTGACAGGCTCGGCGATAACTAACGTATTTCCCAAGCGAGCGGCCACCCCAAGCGAGCGGCCACCTGACCGCCTACTTTATAGTTTTAGTTATAATTTTAGAACAACAACGCCAATATATTAAAATATTCAACTAACTATCGCAATGGTCTGATCTATGTCCTTCTTTTCCACACTTGCGGCATGTTGGTAATTTTCTCCTAGCTGGCTGAGCTGGCAAAACGCGTGCTACTGGCTGTGCTACGGGAGGGGGAATTGGTGCTTCAATCACTTGTGTAGTGCGCTGTATAGTATCCTGGGCCTCTTGAATAGTTATTCTACCCTTATTAGGCATCTGCCTAGTAGACTGCTGGCGCTTTTGCTTTTGTTTCTCATATGCGGCGCGTAATTTGTGTGTTTTAATCTTAAGTAAAGCAGTCGAATACATCTAAATTTCACAAGCCTTTAGAACTTGATTGATCTGTTGATTCAGGGGACTTGGAGGGCTGTTTGAGCGCTGTTTTAATAGTGCTTTAATAGAACTAGCCTATTGCTGAAGTTGTTTAAAATTCTGGGGTGTTTTTGGTGAGAATTGGTTTAATCGACTAGTTGGATGACTTCCGGGAGGAGTAGGTGTTCAAAGAATAATATTTAACTTCGATAGTATATACTTTAGATCAAATAGTATTAATCCGGCTGTTGTAAAGCTATTTTGAATAGTTTTAGCCTGGAAGGCTTTCTTACAAGTAATTAGATAAGCTAAAAGGAAGTTGAACTTGTCGATATGGTTAAAACCAAGCCGCATCTAATTTTTAATAAGCCGCCTATACGTACGTTTTAATAGCGTAAAACATCCAACATCAAGTAGTTAATGAAGATAGGAAGAATATGCTGGCATACAGATCGGAATAATATTATTCTCTTTATAAATTTAATTGAATTAAGAAGTTAAATGACTCCTATAACTATCTAGAATTAGAAGTTGATATTTCCCAACTGTACGATTAGTTGTTGTTGGAATAAAGTGTTTTTAAAGCCATCGAAGTCCAATCTCATCTGTTGTCCATCCATTTGGACTTGTTTTAAAACGTCAATTAGATAGAAGGTTATCGAACTAGTCTTGAATTAGTACTTTGCCTTTAAAAATAATTACAGGAGTAAGTGTATATCTAGATCCACAGATAGTTTTAATAATTGTTACCCATTTATAATTTCCAGGCTGTAAAAGTGATTGCCGACTATAGAATTCAGAGCGAGTAATAACTTTAGTAGTTGCTGTTAATCCTATTGTAAAGCTAGTTTTATCAAAATTATAGATATTCTCTAAAAGAATACTATTCTCTTGAATTGTCTGAAAAACAAGATTAAACTATTCTTTAACAACCTTTGGATCCTCTATCTTTGTACGCTTATAATTATATCGTCTAGAGAACCGAGTAGTCAGTTCTAGATGGTGTTTAACGAAGTTTATAACCCAATTCTTGTCGACAGTATAAGAAGGGGTCTCGCCACGTACTATAAGTAGAATATTAGCCATTTCTTAAACAGTAGCTGGGCGGGGGGTAGCTCTATGTATATCTATAGAGATTATCCACTGGACAAGCGAGTTCTCTTCATTCTGATTCAGTTTGTGACTATTGGCACGAGTTTTAGAGCGATAAAGATGACCGGTAAGACGACGCCGTAATGTAGAGCGGGGTATATCGAATAGACGTGCTGCTGTGGCGACCGCTGTAATTTCTTGTTTTTTTATAGCCTCAATAGCAAGTAGGATTCTACCTTCCTGTTCTAGAGAACTTTGGCTTGATTGAGTGCGTTTTGGTGGCATGGTGGGTGTTTGAAGATGGTAGGACGCGTTCGCGACGCGATTTTTTGGTTGGGTGGCCGCTCGCTTGGGGTGGCCGCTCGCTTGGGAAATACGTTAGTTAGTTAAGTTAAATATTTGATGCCTTATTCTGGAGGCTTCAATAAGATCGATGCCTGACCGATAAGGAGATAGGCCTAACTGTATTGAGACTAGTGTCATTTAAATTATTCAACTCTGCGGCCGCGATCTGGCAAACACCTCCTGGTCGATGATTGTCATTGTCGTCTGTCGGGAAAGTGCACAATTTGGTGTACATTGTCCGATTAAATTTCAAGGCACGAAAGGGTCAGACGTGCCCTGCATTGTTTGATTATGGTCCTTCCAGGATGTGTCTCAAGCAGAGCTCTGCGCAGCCGATTATTACAGCAACAGCTCACGCGCTCCATTACTCGACAAGCTGCACCATGGACAACTTCGACAACTAGGCGATTTTCCTTGACTTCGGCGCAATCCCGCAACGAATTTTCTCCCCGTCGAGATCATGAATTTCGCAAATCCAAACCCAAATTCAAATCTGCGCCCTGGTCCAATCGTCCAGGCAAAACTTCCGTCTCGAGCACTCCGTCCCAGAAGATATTTGATCGAGGATTCGGACACATAGGCGATGATGATTTGTTGATGGAAATCGCGCAAGAAAAGACGCAAGCTGTGAATCGCAAACGAGTTCGCCTAGAGATGGAATGGGTGAAAGATCCGCTTCTGTTAGCCACGCGAGTCTCTTCTGCTTTGCGCGCTGGAAATCCAGAAATGGCAGCGAGGCTGGCTCGCGAGGCAGTAAAGGAGTCACCAGGTGACAAATATACTGTCGCATGGAATCGTATCTTTCAATATTGTATGGACCGGGGGCACCCCAAGCCTGCCTTGAGATTTTTCAATGATGTAAGTCCATCTTCTATGAGTCGGATATAAACCAGGCGCTGACCCGAATCTTTCCCGATAGATGAAAAAGCGCGCCGGAAAACCTAACACTCGAACCTTCACTATCCTACTTACTGGGCTTCGGAAAGCTCCGAAAATACCTGGCTTCAATATTGTGAAAACCGCTGAACATATCTATAACTCGATTTCTGCGACAAACTCTGAAGTCAAACTCGATATAATCCATACAAATGCTATGCTGTCGGTCTGCCAGTATCACGGCGATGTTGATTCACTGTGGCGCATTGCCGGAGAGCTCTCGGAGCAGGGGTCCGGTGCACCGAATATGAGAACCTATACGGTCATTCTAGGCGCTCTACAATATGCAGCCCGCGACGATGTGAAAAGGATGGATGCTTATGATATCAACGGTATCTTTGCGCGAAAAAATCAGCTGATGATTGATGCGAAACGAATTTGGGCCGACATTATTCACCGGTTCAAGGATGGGGATGTATTGCCTGATAACCGTGTGGTGAACAGCATGGCCGAATTACTTCTAGAGGGTGCCACTGAGCAGAATTACTATGATGTTTTCTCTTTATACAATCAAACCATGGGTATTCCAATCCTCTGCCCCCGCCTTTCAGCAAACGCCAAAAACAGGCCTTCCATCGTTTGGGAGGTTAAGCAACGAAGAGAGGGTTACCAAGCACCCGAGGAAGAGAATGTTCCGTTTGTCGACGAGAACAACCAAACTCTGAAGTTGGGCAAGGATGGAAACCGACAGGAAGAGCTTATTCGTGGACCAAGAGAAGAGACGTCGGATGTTGAGGGGGAAGAAGAGGTTGAAGAGAACTTCGATGAGCTTTTCGAACCTCTTGCCGATGGGCCTGTTCCAGAGCTCCGACCGAACAACAAAGATCTTACTCTCATTATAGATGCATGTCTCAGCATGTCGCAAGGCCTCGGGCCGGGTGCTAAATACTGGAAGCATCTTACGTTGGAATCAACGCCATATAAGATCCAACCGGATAGTGCTGCGACTATGCATTTATTACGTCTACTTCGCTTGTCACGAGCAAGTAAAATGTCCGTTCAAGTCATTCGGGACCAACTACTGCCGCTAGGAGAAGTAGATGGAAAAGCGTTCCACATTGCTCTCTCTGCTTGTCGCCGTGATAACCACAATCACGCCTGTCTCGTCAACGGAAACGAGATTATGAACATGATGGGTAAAGCTTTGATTCTGCCTGATCCTCGAGCTCTGGAGAGCTACGTCGATCTTGTCAGGAGACTTGAACGCCTGCCAAATATTCTTATGTATTTGAAAGGCCTCGACATTGATGAAAAGCGCGAGGCACGCAACATGCAATCATTAGGCAAGAAGCTGTATGTCAAGCTTCATTTACTTGCAATTGAAACTCTCCGCCCTCATATTGCCAAACTCCACGAGGCTGTAGAGAATGGAAAACCGGCTCCGCTCACTCGTTGGAATTCGGTCGCCGGCGGGAAGGAGAAGGTACATTCCCCTGTCCAAGGACTTATGCTTGTGAAGACAATGCCTCACATCCGTCTCATGATTGACGAGCTTTTGAAGTCTGAGTACTCCTCTTTCATCTCGAAAGCCGAACGTCAAGCTCTCCAGTCTGATTCTAAGCTGCTGAAGCCATACTCTGACCAAGCCACAATTGAGAAGCTCAGCGGCGAAGTTGTCTTCCCCACACAGGAGCAGCGCACCGCGCACCGCGAGGCAAACGGAGGATTTCAATTCCCTGAGTTAGAGGAGAATGCTGGAGGGGAAGAAGTGGAGACTTCTCCCTCGGACTCCAAATCTGAATCTTGATTCCTTCCACCCCCTTCTTCGGTGGTCAAGACACTGGTGTGGCCTTGATCACTTGTACAATACATGTATATCAGACATTTATTTTTATTGGCGTTTTGGCTCGCATCTGTACAGGAACATCATGGCCCGTTTCTACTTTAAGATATTTGCAGAACATAGAAATACAACTACATAATTCACTCAATATTCCTCAATCACCTTGTTATCATTGTAACGAACATATGCCCGCGTGCAATCGTTCCAGGTCCAAGAACCTGCCTCTGATTTCAACGTTCAAGTGAACAAGCTAAATCGTAGGATCAACATCTCAATCCAAATGCTAGGCCGAAGGCAACGTTGAAAAGGAAACATGACGGTACATAAAAACGGGCGGGACTGCGGAGTTCACGGTAATATTACCACGTAATGACCATCTGGGCAGCACGGGACAACGTAATGCCACTCTAGCCTTTCCGGGACAGCTTGGACCATCAACACTGCTTCGTACATAACCCCCAGTCCGAATATCTGGACACCCGGCCCTCATCAAGGAGCTTATGCTTCTGCAATCATAATACTTCAAGTCCTCCTACCCCCTTCAATCGAGAATTATACCCCGCGCAAACAATCATGGCCGGTGTGCAATACAGCCAGGCGCACGGCGACCTGCATGACGACGAATCACTCCTGGACGACGACCTGATCGATGCTGAGGACGGTAAGTGTTTATGCGCCCATCGTGGAATTACTCCGTCCGAGTGGTCCTATATTCACAGTAAACTAATGCTCTGCTGCTCATTTAGCGATCGAGGCTGATGACCCCCTACACGAAACATCCGATACAGCCCCTCTCCGAGGCAACATTGATTCCGGCTCCAGCTCGCGAGGTGGTGGTGCATCTGGCTATGGAAACTACCTGACAACCTCGATTCCCGGCGAGGACCGTCGTGCGACCCAAAATACCATCGATGAGACTGTCTGGGCTACCCTGTCGCGCGACATGATGGCTGTCTGGGAAAAGATGCGCCTGGTTCTCTGGCCTAAATATCTCCTGGGAGGCATGATGCAACGCGGTGGTGGTGGTATCAATGATGCTGCTGAGAGAGGCGAGGTTTCTGGATTCGGTCACAACATACGCGGGCTCGTTGGACGTTGGCCGGATGCCGATGTGGTTCTGCAAGGTGGCATGAGTGAAGGACTTCGGGATTGGGATCTGTGGTATGTTGCGATTCGCAAACTTCCTCTATTATGATTTTATGTGTGGATGAAATGACTAAGTCCTTTCCTCGTAGGGGTCCGTTGATCTTTTGTTTGGTCCTGAGTCTGTTCTTGTCTATCGCAAAGGGAGGACAGTCAAATGTGGTCTTCTCTGGTGTTTTCTGCATTGTCTGGATTGGAGAGGCGGCTGTGACTCTTCAGATCAAGCTCCTTGGTGGTAAAATGTAGGTTCCTTCCTCGATCCCACCCCCTGCTAATAAGCTTAATACTAACAACATGCTTCGTCCATAGCTCTTTTTTCCAGTCGATCTGCATTATCGGTTATACCCTATTCCCGTTGGTTATCGCTGCATTGCTCAGTGCAATTGGTCTTCCTACAATCGCCAGAATACCCGTTTATCTTGTTCTCGTGGCTTGGTCGCTAGCAGCCGGAGTCAGCATCTTGGGAGGCTCGGGTGTCCTTCGAAACCGAGTTGGCATTGCAGTATACCCTCTTTTCGTGTTCTACATTGCGATCGGATGTCTATGTTTCATTAGCTAAAGGTGTCTGAGCTTCTCTGTTCACTTTTTTACGATCAACAATAAGCGTTGCTTGGTCTCCGCCGATGCCCAAACTCTCCGCGGAAACAAATCCGTATGAAATTGCAGTACTGACATGTATACATATTTGATTTGCCTTGATTTCCTTTTCTTTCCTATAGTAGCTATTCAAATGATAGAGTGTATCTAACATGCGTTGTCTTGAACTGGTGCCTGGTAAGGGCGTTGCTCAATTAGGCTGTTTTGTTTGTATACCCAACATTTGTCTTCCTTTCACTTTCTCCTCTTCAACTCACCCACGTCGCAACTGCCCACGACAACCCACGATACGCTCCATTCTCATCGTTTTAGTCTTCTTCGAGAATCATTTGCTCTGCTAGATATCTCTGAGTCAAAAAACCGTCTTCAATACACTCGTCAACGCCTAATCGGCTGCTTGCTTCACATTTCAGTGAACAGGCCAATTTTGGTGAAGTGAAGGTTCACGATTTCCTAAACGAGCATTGTAACTTCTAGGCTTCACTCGCAGAGTCACAGCCTGTTCATTCAAACCTGTTGTCATACGCACACATCTCCCAAATCGGTCCAAAACGGACATTGTATTGATTTGTTTTCAATCAACGAATTCTGTGATTCACTATCCGCTGCGGGGCGGAGCGGTGACCCGACCAACGCTATTTTAATCCTCGCCGATTCCCATCTTCCACTCTCTTTTTCTCCCAACCCTATTTCCGCGTCCATCTTTGATTTAGCTGGTCTGAATCGTCTTGGATTCTTTTGTCCGTTCTTTCAATACCACCCTTTCAAGTCTCATACCTCGCCCTCCAGCAGGTATCCATCAACCTCACTTCACAAACCGATACCCATCACTCCTCGGTACTCGAGGTCTGTGTGATGACCTCCACTACGGATCCGGCACCGGCAAGCGGTGGTGAGTACAAAATTTCCTCAAGCGCATTGTCTTGACGATCCCCCGAGAAACGAGAATGTCTACTGGCGACAGCTGCAGCTGTGGGGAGAACAGCGAGGGCATAGGCCAACCACATGCTCAAGGATTCTGTGGAGAACCGTTGGTTGCTACAGCTTCCCAGCCGCGCATAATCCCCCACACACTTGCTCGCTTGCGCCATGACTCTGTTCCTTGCGCTTTTAACACTCTCTTCTTGAATTTGCGTTTGCAGCAGCTAATTACCTCACTTCTATTCCAGTGACCGGACAACCTCAATCCCCACCTTCTGACAACGATAGCGGCGAACGCCCCGTCCGAAAGCAACTCAAAGAAACGTCCATCAAGTCTGCTCCTACCACCACCGAAGAACATGGCAACGGCCGTAAGCGTTCCTTCGAAGACTCCCGCGACGAGCCCGACTCCCGCGACGACAACGGCGACAACGGCGAAAGCCGACGAAAGAGATCCCGAGACTGCACACCCCTGGATGATACTGAAATTACTACAAGCCTAAACGCAAGCGCTAGCGCAAAATCCGAAAATGTGAGTGCACTTAACCCCATGGATTCCCCTTTGGCAGACCCCCTGGATACTGCCGAAAAAAACACCTCCCCTGGACCCAAAACTGGACTACTGGAGCATGAATTGTCGGAAAATCGCCCTGTTCCAAAATCACCAACTTTTCAAACCGATTGCACGTGGAAACCGACAAGCTGGATTCCTTATGATGATCCTGTCATCTCCAATGCCTGGCTCGAATTGTTGAGCAAGAAGGCAGATCCTATTTTGAATGGCAGCAGCTCCGAAAGCGATGAAACTTCAGAATGCACGGAGCTGGATCCTGAGATCCTCCCGGACAGCGAGGATGAACAATCTGAGTGGAGTAATGAATCTGATGAGATCAACGAACCCATCGACTCGCCGGTGTATCCGCACGCTCATGAACTTTATGGATCGAATGTCACCGAGTCGACTGCGCGCGCTCAATCGCCACCTCTTGAGTTGTCGCATATCTCGATTGAGTCTGGATCTCGTGCTCAATCTGCTCTTCCAGTCAAACCCAATACACTCTTTGGATGCAGCTCCCACCATGAACAACTTCCCCATCCTGATTGCTTTAATCTTGGCTACTACGACGATTGCTATCCACCGTCCGAGCCGCTTCATATTCATTCCCCTGCTCAAGTTGGCTCCAGCAGTGCGCCGTACTGTCCTCCGGAATATTTTGATCTTGACGACGACAACTACCATCCACGATCCGACTCGGATCATTCTTCTGTTCGAGTTGAATCTCACGGTGCGCAGTGCTCTGAGTCTGACGATGACGACTGTGTTTATCTACGAACCGAGCCAGTTAAACATCCTTCTAAAGTTCGTTCCAATGGTGTGCCGTGGTGTCCTCCCCCTGAATGGGATAGCCCGCGCAGCCCTGTCCGATTGGATAATGTCAACCTCGAACGTCTCGAGTTGGCTGAAACCAACTCTGGGCATCAACGCTATCCCTCAGCTTCTTGTCACCCTCCCGAAGCTGTCCGCAATCCGCAAGCTGCTCCTGCCCTAATGCCACTCTTTTGTTTCGCTGGATACGCTCCTCAACCTATCTGGACTGGACCCTCTAAACTGCAGACCCAATATCCTTCATATTCGGATTCGCAATCCGACGGTCTAGGGATACCCTACCCACCTGATCTTTTTGATCCTCTCGATGCCAAATATGACCCCGCCACACTCGAAGCGGATTATGGTACTCCGCGAATCTGCAGTGGGCTAGCGATAAGCAATGCTGGATTCGGTGACTCTTCAAATTTCCTATCCCAGGAACCCGTGCAATCGTCATTGGATCTTTTACCAGAACATCTCTACGACCAAGCTTCGGATTATTCGGAGCTGGACATCTTCCCCCCTGGTCCTTCCGATCATGACGATTCCATTATTTTTAAAGTAGAATACGATGAACAGCCCTCGACTCCCTCCGAAGAGCCAAGTGCCCATTTCTCTTCTGAGAAAGAACTTTCCAGCCCACATACCCCATCAATGACAGACCTGGAAAAAAAAGATAATGAGAATAATAACACCAACGCAAAATTACAGGACCCCAAACGATCGACGACGACCGATACCCCATCTAGTACCATAGACGATGAATCCTTCAAGGCATTGAACAAAAAAAGAAGCCTTGAACAACTCGAAGATTCCGGTACCAAGAACGATACAAAGAACGATCCAGTACAAGAACCCACGTCCACTAGTCCCGCCAATGCGAAATCTACAACCGATGGAGAACGAGAGAAGAAAAGACACCGTGATAATTCACAGGAGCGAGAAATCAAGAATGAAAACGTATGCACATCCAGCTTCACCCTTCCCTTTTGTGTTTAATTTTTCTTCTTCTCCGCAGGATACTAACAACCCCATTTCTCACCAACAGGCATTTGCCGCAAGTGCATTTGGAAAGGCAGCAGCAGCTTCTCCATTCGCCTCCCTAGGGTCTACTAAAGACTCTGCAGATAAGCCAGCCTCCGCCTCGCCATTCGCCTCTTCTAGCATGGCTGGCTTCGCGGGTTCTGAAAATTCTCCATTTGGTACATTAGGAGCTTCGACTCCTTCTGTTTTCAAGCCTGCCGCCACTGGAACAAGCAGCTTTGCCGCCCCCTCCACAACTTCTGGCTTCGGCGCCCTGGGAAGTGGGTTTTCAGGAGTTGGCGGGGGTTTTGCAGCTGCAGCAAAACCTGGCGGCTTGACCAGCTTCGCTTCCAGCAATGCCCCAGCAACTCTGGGTACAACCAAGACCAAGACATTTGGCGCGGAAGACTCCGAGGGCGACGACAGCGATAACAATGACGATGAGGAAGAGACAAATACCTTTGAAGCGGCGAAAACCGATGAACGTTTCTATGAACAAACCAGTATGTACCATCGGCATTCTCATACATGCCCAACTTACTAACCCTGAGTTCTCAGTTGAAACTGGCGAGGAAGAAGAAGTTACTGTCTTCTCATGCAAGGCGAAATTGTTCAGCTTCGTCAACAAGGAATGGAAGGAGCGTGGCATTGGCACTTTCAAACTCAATGCTACACAAACTGACGACGGCTACGCAAATGGACGTATGATTATGCGTGCTGATGGAGCCATGCGTGTCATGCTCAATAGTCCCATCTTCTCGGGAATGAACTATGGTGACAATGATAACAATACCCCAACTACGAAACAAATTCTGCTTACTGGCAACGAGGAGGGCCGCAGAGTTCCTATGCTGCTTCGCGTAAGTGATATTTCTACCGTCGCTACTGATATCCAAAAACTTGACTGACATTTCTCACAGACTGGGAGTGAGGCCCTGGCCCAGGAACTCCATGAACATATCAAAGGATTGTTGGGCAAGTCCGACTGAATTGATCGACGATGAGAGTTTAAGATGAGGAATGAAGACATGCAAAGAGTACACTGGGGTTAGGTGCATGTGGAGTTTAGTTTCTGTGATGCCTCGGTGTAGCATATTAACACCTGGTGGGCATTGTCTGATTATTAGCGATCATCAATCAAGTTAATTATTTACACTGAACTTAGATTTAGCATGAAATTCTACACTTCTTGCAACTTGCTACTCCGACCTGCTATTCATTTGGAACTGTAATACCTATGCTTGAACCGACTTGGCGTGCTATGAACTGGATCGTATTCGTGGGCACGCTGTAAAAATAATTTGTTTCGTCCAGATCTATCAATTAAAAGCTTAGGTGTTAAATTGAAGTGTCAATCATCTCGACGCTCAGATCGCCATCCATCATGCTATGTCCGATCTCGCCACTACCAACCGCTGATGCTCCTCTCCTTTCCGAAACTCGCACTCCCCACTATAACTTGAACCACCCAAGCTTACTTTTACAAATGACCTAATTGCGCAACACTGAATTGAATTTATGTGTATCAACCTTACAGTAACATCGGAATCCCTTTGTCTACACCGATTCCACAAGACGTGACTCCACCATGGCACCTCGACTACAAATCCAGCCCCGTTATGTCTTGAAACGACCTCGAGCACAAGAAAAGTTATCAAGAGCCTGTATATGCACATCCAAACAGGATCCAGTCTCCATGGGCCTTCTAGACGACTACCTCAACATATCGCCCGCGCACTTCGCACACATCCCATCATCAAGGCTCTCCTTAAGCGTCTTCAACGATGCCATACCACCATTCTCACACCCAAGAACAACCCAAGAACAAAAGACATCACTAATAACTCGCCTAAAGCCATTCGAGGTCCTATCAACCATGCGCGAGCGCACCCCCTTCCCAGCCTCCTTGCTGGAAGAGCTCCCGAATCTGAAACTTCTTCTGGCAACAGGAACCCAATTCGAGACATTTGATCTTACAGCCGCACGCAAGCTAGGCATCACCGTTGCCGCTGCACCAGGAAAAGGCCGTGTGGACGGTAAGACGATCCCTGGTCGTGCCGTTAGCCCGAAACTCGATATCAAGAAGGGTGGCAGCCACCCCACGACGCAACATGCCTGGGCACTTATACTTGCATTAGCAAGGAATGTGGCTACAGATGACGCGGTGATGAAATGTGCTCACCCTGTCGTGGATAGTACGTGGCAGACCGGCCTTGCGAAGGGGCTTACGGGTTCGACCCTGGGCGTTGTTGGGTTAGGAAGACTTGGTGCGGCGGTTGGCAGAATTGCGGCGTTGGGATTTGGCATGCGAGTTGTCTGTTGGAGCGAGAATCTCACGCAAGAAAGGGCTGATCGGAAAGCCGAGGAGATGGGAATGGATATATATGGGCCTGATGGGACTCGGACGTTTCGAGCTGTCAGCAAGGACGAACTTTTCCGTGAAGCTGATGTTGTCAGTCTGCATTATGTGCTTAGTGAGCGGTCCAGGGGACTTGTTGGAGAGCGAGAAATAGGGGCTATGAAGAGTAATGCTCTTCTTGTGAATACGTCGCGTGGGGCTTTGATTGATGAGGATGCTTTGTATGAGGCTTTGAGTGAGGGTCGAATTGGTGGTGCTGCATTGGATGTTTTTGATCTCGAGCCGTTACCTGTGGATAGTAGATGGCGCTCGAAGGATTGGGGGTTTAATGGACGGAGTCGGTTGTTGCTGACGCCTCATATGGGGTATGTGGAAGATGGGATTATGCATAATTGGTATGAGGAGACGGTGGAGAATCTCGAGCGGTATTTGGATGGAAAGGAGATTCTTCATCGAATTAATTAATGGATTCGTTGATAGAACATCATCATATACAAGTGAATTTACCATCTATCACATTGCTATAAACTGATTGTACAGAGAAAATGGCGACTATCCAGTTTGAACGAAAACAATCTCACTGCTTAATAGCAACCACAAACAGTCGTGGATACTTAAGTAAGACTCGGCCATCGACAGAGGATGGATAAGCCTCCTGCAAACGCTTCAAGTACTCTTTCAAGAATGCCTCCTTCTCTTGAGGATCCAAAGGATCCACGTAAGGTCTGAGTCCCGTCCCCTTCACCCATTCAATAATAGCTTCATGATTTTTGAGAGAATGGTAATAGCTTGTATGGAACAAATTAACCTCCGAAGATAGAGGCTTAAGTTGATCATAAATCTCCTGTGGCGATTGGAAAGTATCACGACCAACAGACTGCAACTTAGTTGCCCACGGTCCACTTTTAGCAGTCTCTCGCATCAATACATGCGAAGGTTCACCCAAGTTATCGGGGACTTGAAACGCAAAGACACCACCGGATGGTTGAGTCGCCATCAGTCTCTTGATGACGTTGATTCGTTCTTCTTTTCCAAGCCATTGAAAGACAGCATTGGAGTAGAAGATATCAACTGGCTTTTGGGGCTCGTAAAAATTCAAGTCTTCGACGCTAAACCCAAGATGCGGGATGGTTGACTTGGCTTTTTTTATCATGTCTGGGGATGAATCAATCCCCACCAGGTGTGCATCGGGGTAGCGGGATTCTAGCACCGCGGTTGAGTTTCCGGGGCCACAGCCTAGATCCACGATTGTCTTGGGGGTCTGTAAAGGAACCCGAGCAAGAAGGTCGCGAGCTGGCTGGGTGCGTTCATCTTTGAATTTCAGATACTGCGTTGCGCTCCAATCGTGCGCGGCGTTGGCAGTTGCGGATGTAGACATGGTGACTCGTGTCTTTGATAATGCGGGGGAAATTCGTTGAGATAGAAGTAGTCTTCTTGTTGACTGTTGAAATAGACAGGACATCACAAAATAAAGTTTTTGGTTTGTGAACAAGCAACGTTAGATCCAGATGTTCAGTGGATACTGGGACTTGGCTCAATAAATAAGCAGGTTCGAGTCATCGGTTTAGGGGGCAACTGAGGAACTGAACTGTGTCGATCACTGTTCAAGCGATTTAGGATGGATGTACCCCTAGACCGGCGAATACTTTCTGTCGAATTACGTTGAAACGGATATGATCCGCTTGTTGTAAAGGTTGCACGGAGGTCCGAAACATGCTCGAATTGTATTGCGGAGTGACTCCGTGTGTGGCGTTGGAATGCCCATTGAAAGCGCCGATAATCGGAGATGGGGTAGACATCGCCGCAACGAAGTTTAATATGCATCTATGCCAACGCGGAGATATCCAGGCAGCCATTCATTTTCTAACACTGGCAGCATTGTGGAAACTACTCAATAGTCTAATATAGCTTTGTAGACAATTGATATACAGCGGTCTTTCAATTCCACGCGCCAGGCCATTTGTTTTATCAAGCCCTAGCAAAACCCGCACCGCGTCCGCTCTCTTCTAATAATTGATCACGTAGACTATCCATTTCAGCTTCCATAGACTCAGTATCATCATAAAAGCTACTGTTCTCAAAATCGATAAGTCACGCATTTTCGTCTCGGATAATGAAGTTGTATCTGTTGACATCTCCATGGAGGATGCCAATTTCATGCAAGCGCTAGAGGCTTGCTTCACAAGAACCTAGATCATTTATATCCGCGTCCCAACCTTCAAGCTTTTCTAATAAAAAGCCAATGACACGGCCATGCTCGTGGATATGACCGAGGAATTTTGGAGCAAGTCCAGTACTCTCCAGCCTTTGATATGCACTAGTTTCTTACGACAAACGAGGCACCTCCCATTCAAACCGGGCCATTTTTGCAATGAGTGGCGATTGATTCGGAATTGAAGACATATCGCCAGAATAGGTAAATTCATACGTGGTGGACGTCAATAGCGCTGTCTTTTCAAGTTAAGACAGTCGATTGAATTGGGATGCCATCGGTCCGCCATGCCCTTGAAGACTTTTTGCTGCAGTTTCATTTTAACCTGCCCGTTTGATGAATCTCAGCCAATGTCTGCTAGATTTCAGGTATTTTTGTCTTGAGGAAATTCGGACAGTGAGCTCAAAGGCATGGAAAGTGTTGAACGATCGAATGTGCCGACTCTGGTAATCAGTTATTTAATCTGGTTTCCAAACAGGATTCTGTATTTAATCGCTATAGTCCATGCTTGAGACATCCATGGAGAGTACCACGGGAAGAGAGAAGACTCGGAGCTCATCTGTAGCCTATCCTGTTTAAAACCGCACTGCCCTGCGTGTCCAGCCGAGACCCACAGTATGATGTCAAGCCGCGAGACTCACATGTCGCACTACTTCAATACCCTATCCTTCGTTGCTGGTTTTGACTTCCGTTCTCTCTGGTCCTAACCGGCCCTTGGTAACACTTCTCACGATTGTCTTGAGAGTTTACTAGAATCATTCTGTCATATTACCCAATTCTTCTTATCCTTAAGCACCGGTACTATGAAAGATGGGACGTACCCACGGTGCCTTTTTTCCTGTAGTCTGCGCCACTCCGCTGAGTAAAGAGGTCAGTATCGTCTTTCCTCTCCTCTTTCCCTCCCTGGCCTTAGCTCGATCCTAACCTCTAGCGAGGTTTGCAGGTAATGGATCGTTTCATTGAGAAAAACAACATTGATAAGGATCAGTGGAATCTTATATTCGTGGACAGCATTGACGACTATTATGATGAGGCATCAGAGGCACCAGTAGAGGATGAAAGCAGCCTAAATTCTCCATTTGCTGGAAAGACGCCTCAAGAATGCCATCAACTACTCTCGAAGCTTGTCAAAGATACAGAGTCGGAAATCATGACTGAATACTTTGCCATTATGGATGAGAGGTCAACAAAAGACGATACTGTCCTACTTGTGTGCGCAGAGAGGGATATTGAGGAAGAAGTCGTGGCCTGGCCGACTGTCCGTGCTACCTTCGAGGTTACGGCTGTCTCGCTAAAGTCTTATCATTCAGGGCACCGCAGTACAGGGGAGGATTCAGAGCGTGCTGAACGTGAACACGACAATGTCTATCGTGCACGGTAATCAACAGATACTGTTAATAAATCTATCTTGATAGACAGTAAGAGCGGAAGGAGTTAAGGGGGAAAATTGCATCGAAATAGGAAGAGGAAGAGTTACTCCCTCCGGCCAGAATCGAATTCTTACAATATCTCGATAACCAGGGCCTCTTAGGCCTTGAGAACCAGTTCATATATCAAATAACTTGCACAAAAACTCTTACAGAAATTGATTGAAGAAGAGAGGTGTGAAGAGGAGTGTACGATCGACATGAGTACTATTCCTTTTTCAAATATGCGCCGGCGCTAAATATTATTTAGCCTAGCCATAACTTGAACCTCGTCAATTCGAATGTGTTTGCACTCGTCTTGAACCTTTGATATCAGCCAGTGAGCCAGCTTTTTACAGTTCTATGACCTATCAGTCCGGATATTTCAAGAAAGCGATCCACCCATTACTCGAGCACATGCGGCCTCTCTATACTACGACCAGGACTCGCCCCGCAATAATATAGAAGGATTTCGAGCCTCAAAACTTCCCTCAAAAGACACTTGTACACTTTTCGCCTCCTGACCACGGTCGAATTAGCTTCAAACAGTTTACTGTTTCAAATATTTAAACTCATGTTGCCTTTTCTCGATATCATATTCTCAAAGATTACGAGTGAAAATATGTATACTAATTTTAGCTATAGGCGTTCTAGGCCTTGAAGACTATAGTATGAAAGAGGACTTCAATTTAAGTCTTACTTATCAGATAAATGCAGCGTATGGAGTCAGTTTTGAGCCTCTTTGTTATTATCCTGGTGATAGTATCTGGGATGCCATGGAACTTGGGATCAGATTTGATGACGACGGTGAAGACATGTATAGTGAGCTGTAATTACTTGAGAATGAGTTATTTACGTTGATCACACAGACGAGAGCTTTAGTACTTCATGGGAACAAACGAGGCTCTTCAAGAAAAAAACTACACCCTTGGGGTTTCATCATGTAGGACTTTGTCATTATATCTACTCTCGTGACGCTGGGATGCTTGACTATGTGGCCGTTTATAGATCCCTGGCGCTATATTAATTATGAATTACTAGTTAAAAAGTATAACCAGTTTAGTACTAGACGCACTTTAGCTGATTTCGAAACTCACGCCTTCAAATTTTAACGTTCTTGTCGGAAATGAGACTGATAAAATACTTTTTCTCCGATACCTAAGATATTCAAGTTACTCCAGATGTGACTCATGCGCTTGCAATGGCTATCCGATTCGTGGAGCTTATTTGTTCAAGCCCATGAGCAAGTTTGTCTTCTATAATTATCAGTATCCAAATATCTGTCATCTGTAATAGTGTCTATAGTTCACCATTAGGTACCTAACAATATGATTCGAGAACATCACTGCAATCACTCCCTAAACAAAAAGTTTGAAATGATACACATTACAGCAAATCAAACAGAAAGAAAAAACTAGATATTAATGCACTGATGCATTATCCCCTTCAAGTTCCCATTAGCCGTGTCTTACCCTACGATCTGGACACCAAACACCACTACCCGCATTTGTTCAAGGCATTGAGCAAAAAAGAAGCCGTGAAATGCGGGTACATAGTCGTGTTTGGTGTCCAGACCGTAAGGTAAGACACGGCTAGTTGGTTAGTTACTTCTTGGCCCAGCCCCACTGCTCACAACTTCCATTTTGCGTTAGACATCATGCCTCGGTGTGGGGCACGGTGCCGAATTCAAGTTGATGTGGGACTATATTGGGGACAGCGGCCACACGGGCAATGCTTCCTATTTCAAATCAAATGATCAAGTAAGAATCGAGTTCTAGTAGATCTTTGGAGTTTAATTATCAATTCGAATTTTACATATATATATGAAGGTAAAGATATTTGGCCTTTTACACATAGAGCATCTTTTGCATTCTGTCTTTCCATCGTGAGTGTCCATCAGGGCTCCTATCAGAACCCTCAATAATCGTGGAGCCATCGAAGACGATCCTCTTTTACCTCTGAACGCCCATTTAAGATACCCGACATTCGAAAAATGACGGTAATAGACCAGGAAATTGATTTCCCAGGAGAAAATGATCACTATCCAGAAGGAGGAATCAAAGCATGGTCTGTTGTTCTTGGGGCTTGGTGCGCCATGATACCATCAATGGGTCTATTGAACACTCTAGGAGCTCTTCAGGCTTGGACGAGTACTCACCAACTCAAGGAGTATTCTGAATCAAGTATTGGCTGGATCTATGGAGCTTATACTTTTTTTTTTTTCCTTGGGGGAGCACAATTCGGTGAGAATATCTTTCGGTATTTCGAAAATTGATCTAGTTGGCCTTGAACTGATCCGGATTTTAGGTACGCTTCTTGATTCTCATGGACCGTTATACATCATAGTTCCTGGTTCGATTGGAATCGTACTTTCATTGGTATTTCTGAGTTTCAGTGAAGGTAAATTCGCCGATTTTCATTATTCCCCGCCCAAAATATTGCGTCTCTCAAGTAAATACAGACACATGCAGGTCTTGAACGGCAATACTAACTTCAAAAAGAGTTTTATCAGATATTTCTTTCTTTCAGTCTATTGGGTGGTATATCGGCTAGTGCTCTCTTCACACCCCCCGTCGCCTCGATAGGTCACTGGTTCAACGACCGCCGCGCTTGGGCAACGGGGGTGGCTTGTACAGCAGGGGCCATTGGAGGCTGTTTGTTTCCTCTCATTATTCTTTATACGGCTCCCAAGATTGGCTTTCCGTGGGCAATCCGGATAATCGCTCTACTGTGTGCAGTTCTATGCTCTATTGCATGTCTCACAATCCGGACAAAACTCCCTCCCGCGAAAACCGTTGCATCCCTGAATTTCAGAGCCCTCGGAGATATCAAATATGCTTCAGCATCGCTTGGCATTTTCCTTGTTGAATTTGCAGTCTTTGTTCCCATAACTTATATTTCATCATACGCACTCGATTCTGGATTAAGTGAAAAGATGTCCTACGCGGTTTTGATATTTCTTAACCTTGGTGCTGTATTTGGACGTTTTATTCCAGGTATATTGGCTGATAAAATAGGTCGATTCAACGTCATGGTTATAAACTGTCTGATGTGCTCCCTATTAACTCTTATCCTTTGGCTGGTCGGTGATTTGAAAATTCATCCTCATAGTCTGGCGATATTAATCACTTACGCGGTATTCTTCGGATTCTTTTGTGGGGCAGCCATAAGCCTTGCTCCGGTTTGCATATCTCAAGTTTGCGAGATACAGGACTATGGCAAAAGGGTTGGTACAACTTGGACATTGGTCAGCTTCGGCACCCTCGTTGCTATTCCTATCGCTGGGGCTATCAAGCAAAGCACAGGTAGTTATTACGGTCTGATCAGTTTTGGGAGTGCTTTGTATCTCTCGTCTACTGTTGCTTTTGCTGTGTCTCGTGGTATTTGCAAAGGTTGGAACTTGTATGCAAAATTTTAAGATTTTAATTAAAATGCATTATGGTTGATCATTGTTCCTATCTTAAAACTTATGTCATGTTAATCAATCGCCATTCTCTGCATTCAATGAAGGCGATGGGTGAGAGAGACCCGACACCCGACATTCGACGACTTCTAAATCTCTCCAATGGAGCTCTGTCAAATTGAGATAAGCACACACTAACTTTTGACTATTGTCATAGAATCTCTATCGACTGGCCTTCATATTCTCCTTCTCCGCTTCTGACAAGTACCTCTGTCTCCCCGCTCTACAGCTCCTCATTTCGTTCCACCAAGATTGAGCCCACTGACATTCCCGGAAATGAGACATGAATTCATCATCGGAAAAAACTTTTCGTAGGCCATAACTATTATCAGGAGACCTTGATGAATACTGTTGACAGCCTTTACAGGATCGTCCACGTTCAATAACACCTGATTCGACGTCAAAGTAGGGCAAAGCGGTAGCTACCATGTAACGTAATGATTCCTTCTCTTCTGTCTTTACTCTGCGTCTGAAGTGGAACATTGATGGCTTGCGCTCCGACAGAGAAAAACTACGAACAGCTTCTATTGGCACTATCTCGAGCCTTCTTTCACATCGCACCTGATATTCTGTGTATTTACTCGGCAGCGATCTGACAATCGGCAGCAGATTGTAAATGTCACTTCCAGGCTTCATCTTGAAGCGTCTTTTAACGGCAGCAATAGTTAGAGTCGAAGGAATGTGGTCGTCCCGAATGCAAGAGAAGCAACATCTCGTAAGTGATGGAAGGAAAATAAAGCCACCAAAGAAGCCACAGACGGAACAGTCTCTCGTACAGAAAGTTGTGTATAGATCGGGTAATGTGAACCATGATGCAATACTTGTTTTGAGAATGACAAAAAGAGCCTTGTAAGCATGTGTCACAATTGTTTCAAAACCACGAGCTGTTTTTACAATTTGCCGAGCGCGGCGATTGGCATGGCGGAAGTTAAACAAAGACCGTATATCAAGCAAGAGAAATATGTCACGAAGAATCTCGAGTGGCAATGACTCAAGATTTCCAAGAGTTGACGAAGTAGTATCATGAGATTGAAGAAGAAAATCCCGCATCTCCTCGTGGTCAGGGAATGCTGGCAGCTGTGGGTCGCCAATGATATTACTTCCTTTAGCAACGCATAGCTCAAAGAAACCGAGATAAAATGTAGTATCATCGAGTATCTCCGCTTTTTCTGTATCGGAATACGCGCAAGCTAACGATGTCGCTTTCCCTGATACCATTTTTGGACGCGAGAAATATTGTCGGATGCGAAAAGCTGTATCTTCCGAGATTTCTATTAAAACGCCAATGGATACCAATATCGTAAGATGATCTATTTTCGAGAGGATAGAAGAGGTTTTCCTATGATATTTCAGTAGAGTCTGGTGTCTTAGGCAATATAAAGCTCCTTCATGCCCACATTTTGGTGTTGGTCATTCACTAGTCCGGAGCCAATAGAGGCGCGCATTCGTGGGGATTTAACCTCGCTGGGGGAGATATAGGGAGCAAGGATCAGGTAGGTAGGGCCCCAAGCAATGTGGTAATGAGGACACGAAAAGTTACATATGTCAGGGATGTTCAAGTTGGCTGTCTCATGATTGAAGGGTTGAAATGTTGTGGCCAAAGATAGGGGAAATGTCACAACAGACTAGTAGTTCGCCCCGGGCTAGAGGAAACATCGGATCCACTGTATTCCACCTATGACATATATACACTCTCTTCAGTTCATTCATAGTATCAAAATGCCTCAATTAGTCGGTAAAAAAGGTAGGATACATTTCTCTTGTACATCCATGGATTATTTTATTTCACTTGCCATTTTGGGTTATATTCATTGGGGTCATGTGATCTCGCGTTTTCTGGAGCCAAGATTATCAAGCTCCGTGAACCCTTGCATCTTCATATTCTCGGTTCTTGTCGAACAAAAGCCTTGAATACACTCGCGATGGAGCCATCAATATGACAGACAACTTCTTAAATACCTCCGATCATGCCAATGTTCTCAAACGCAAACAACCCCAGAAAAACGACGAATGGGCCACCGGACCCGCCGCGGCGGCATCCTCGACGGCATCCTCGAACGCGTATCTAGAATCAACCAGTGCAACGACATCTACAGAATCTCGTCAAAATACACCGGAATCGCAGACCTCGCAGGATACGCAAAACAAAAGAAAAAAGCCCACGCAAAGCAAAACGAAGGCTCCGAAAAAGAAAGCCCCCTCCACCCCTTGGCCAGATGCGCTTCAACGCCTGTCGAAGACCCACCGCGCCCTCAATCTCGTCTATACTTTCTGCTGCACGCGTAAACACTTCGCAACTACATTCGATAATATCAAGCAAGCCGTCCAGGCACAGTTAGGTCAAGGCCAAGAAGTCACAATTGAAGATGTTGCGAGAGTTAAGGCGTTGATCCCACATGCAGTGCGGTTCGAATATGTCGATGAAGCGCGGCTAGAGGTCATGACTGTTGGAGAAAAAGACACCAGTGACTACGAGTTGAAACACAATCGTACTTTTGGTACTTCGGAAGACTTGAGCGTGGATAATTCAGGTCATAATGACAACCTGGACATAAAACGAGATGTGCTATTATTCGAATTCCTCGATGGAGATCTCAAGCGAGAGATCCTGAATCCTAAAACGGGAGAGCCAACTAAACCTTTCCGTCGAATGAAAGATGAGGACTTGAAAATGCCAGTCTACAGTCAAAAGCAGATGCTGAAACTCATTGAAAAGCGAAACAATAAATTTTCTGATGCTATCAATGCATTTTTGGTCCGTTGCGAAGATCAGACTATTGACCCCGTTCTCTTGCTGGAACAAGAGAAAGATACATTCATTCCTACACCTCCTGGGAGCGGAACAAATACTCCCGCTGCATCGAAGCCCCCAGCTACTATTCCAAAGGAGCGCAAATCGATTGCCGAAATCGTTGCAGAAATTCGAGATATGGAGTGGTATCATGCCCAGATCGTCCCAGAAGGTCACCGAGTATTTGACGCTCAATCCCCTATTTATGGCGATTTGAAGTTCCAGCTCTCGCAAGATCTCGTTAATGCCTTGTACAATACAAGAAACATTACTCAACTATATTCTCATCAGGCGGAAGCGATCAATCATCTTTATGATGGTCATAACGTCATCGTTTCTACCTCAACAAGTTCCGGGAAATCACTGATCTACCAGATTCCTATGCTTCATGAGCTGGAAAAGGATCCCGATAGCAGGGGAATGTACATTTTCCCTACTAAAGCTTTAGCACAAGATCAAAGAAGGAGTATGATGGACCTTCTGCAATATATGACCGCCTTCCAGCATACAATGGTTGAAACCTTCGACGGTGACACACCCATGGCAAGTCGCAATCTCATTCGCGATGAAGCACGGATCATCTTCACCAACCCGGATATGTTACATGTTACTATCTTACCTCAAGAAAATGCCTGGCGCACATTTTTGAAGAACCTCAAATTTGTGGTCGTTGATGAGCTTCATGTCTATAATGGGCTATTTGGATCCCATGTTGCGTTTGTGATGCGGCGTCTTCGCAGAATTTGTGCTGCGGTGGGCAATCGACATGTGAAATTCATATCTTGCTCTGCTACCGTTTCGAATCCAGAAACGCATATGAAGTCTATCTTCGGCGTACAAGATGTGAAACTTATAGATTTTGACGGCTCTCCGTCGGGTCGTAAGGAATTTATCTGCTGGAACACTCCATTCAAAGATCCAGCAGACCCAAGCTCTGGGCGCGGTGATAGCGTCTCAGAGACGGCACGACTCTTCTGCCAATTGATTCTCAGAGGTGTTAGAGTGATTGCTTTTTGCCGAATCAGGAAACTGTGCGAGGTTCTTCTTCAAGCTGTTCGAAACGAATTCAAGGCTCTCGAGCGGTCCGAAATTGGTAAAATGGTTATGGGCTACCGAGGCGGATATAGTCCTCAAGACCGTCGCCAGATTGAGCGAGAGATGTTCGAAGGGAAGTTAATGGGCATCGTAGCCACCAATGCCCTTGAACTGGGCGTTGACATCGGCTCTTTAGACGCTGTCATCACCTTGGGATTTCCTTATTCCATCTCCAATCTACGTCAGCAAAGCGGCCGTGCAGGAAGACGTAACAAGGACTCTTTGTCCGTCTTGGTTGGGGACAGATATCCAACAGATCAGCACTACATGCAAAATCCGGACGAAATTTTCACCCGGCCCAACTGTGAGTTACAGGTCGACCTAGCCAACGAGCTCATCCTAGAAGGCCATATCCAATGCGCCGCTTTTGAGGCACCTATTCGCCCAGATGAAGACCAAATCTACTTCGGTGAACAACTCTACGCAGTAACAGCCACACGCCTCGTGAAAGACAACATGGGCTTTTATCACTGCCATGAACGATTTCGACCACAGCCTTCCCGCTGCGTCTCGATCCGCGATACAGAAGACCACCATTTCGCCGTGATCGACACAACCAACAACCGCAACGTGGTCCTTGAAGAAGTCGAGGCCTCGCGCGCCTTCTTCACAATCTACGAAGGAGGTATATTCCTCCACCAAGGCGAAACATACCTAGTCCAGGAACTAAACACAGAACGCTTCCTTGCCCGCGTTACCCGTGTCCACGTCGACTGGAGCACAATGCAACGCGACTTCACAGACATCGACCCCATAGAAACCGAAAGTATGCGAATGATAACTACGGATCCATCTGGCAACCGTGCATTCTTCGGCGCCGTCCAAATTCACGCCGTCGTATACGGGTTCTTCAAGATCGACAAGCGAGGCCGTGTCCTCGACGCAGTAGCAGTCGATAACCCCCCAATCGACATATTGACAAAAGGAATGTGGCTCGATGTCCCATCAAAAGCAATGGAAATCCTCAAATCACACAAACTGAACATCGCAGCCGCCATTCATGCCGCAGAACACGCAGTGCTCTCTCTCCTTCCCTCCTTCGTCATCTCCTCCCCCGGCGACGTCCGTACAGAATGCAAAGTCGCCAAAAAGGAACTCGGTCGTTCGCTCCGTGTAGCTAATGAGGCCTCTTCGTCTGAGAGGAAGGAGATTCAGAAACTTCTCCAGCCACCTGCTCGTCAGAGACCGGCTCGTCTTACCTTTTATGACGCGAAGGGTGGATCTTGTGGGTCCGGAATCGCTAGTAAGGCATTTGAGTTTATTGGATTACTTCTTCGGAGGGCTGTTGCGCGTATTGAGGCGTGTACGTGTCTTTCTCCGCAGGGTTGTGTGGAGTGTGTCTGTGATGAACGGTGTAAGGAGATGAATGTTGTTATGAGTAAGGCTGGTGCTGGTGTTATTTTGAGATGTTTGCTTGGTTGGGATGTGGATGTGGATGCGTTGCCGTGGGGTGAAGATGTTGATGGGGAGGAATTTGGTGGTGGTGCTGGTGAATTGGCGGGTGGGTTGGAGACTGTAATCCGAGCTGGGGAGATTCCGTGGAAGGCTGGCTGTAGTGCTAGTGAGAGGGAGGGTTGATGTTGATTCAATCTTCCCTCCGTGCACTCATTCTATTTGTTTGTATATTATTGACCTTGGAAAATTCCAGCTTGGGCTGTAAATAGCTTTCAGTTGAATATTAGAATATGTCCACGGATGGGATGGGCTGTTTCAAACTTGAACATCATGACACTTTGTTTCCTCGTAGGACCTTGATCAATAAAGTTGTGATTGCAGTCGATCTATTCCTCATCCCACCGTCTAGGCGCAAAAAGAGATATAATAAAGAAAAGCGAAACTAGCGCGGTTCGCAAAGGAATCACCCCAAGAAATGCGATTTACGTCTTTTCTTTTCCAATAATGAAATGTCCGGACAATGGGTATATATAATAAATTTACACGTCAAGTCATGACCGAGGAAGTGCCCAGGTGGACAACATGGACAGGAATAGCATAGGATATCAAGATAAGGAGGGTAATCGCGAGCGGAGTTGGTATCAAAGTGGGTATACATGAAGGTCAAAAGAAAAAGGAGAGGATGTGGGTGAGGTAAGGAATGCAGATGATTGGGTAAGGAATAGGATAGGTAGTTTGCTTTGAGCAGGGTTTGAAGCTGAACCGATCATCGGAGTTGTCCGTTGGTTGTATGGTTGAGTTGGTATTCAACTGCGCGAGGCGTTTTCGGGGATCGATAGACGAAGCGTATGGTTGGCCTAGTAGAGTCCGCTTTGACTACCACCTTGGCTGCCACCCTGACTACTACCAGGACTCAGTTCGTCACCCTCGTCATTCATATTAAGGGACCAGAACATCGACTTCATGTCGCGCACGTTGGAGCGGAAGTCATCGCGTGGCTGCTTTAGGCGATCATCGGTCATATTACGGATATCGCGAATAAGATCTGAGAGACCTTCGTCGTTCGGAAGCCACCAATGGTTTAATTCAGGTAATTGCCAGATAGCGGAGAGGAGTGCGCGGAATTTAGGCTGCAAGATGTAGCTATAGGGAAAGAAAAGAATTAGTAACTCGTAACCACCCCTGGGGTAAATGAAATATCCACCGGCCCATGGACTTACCCGGATTGCTCCATCTGGGCGATCTTGCGCCGAGACCACATCTGATTCTTGATGTCTCGGGGAAGAAACATGCTGGTTATTCCAATACTATTCTTGAACCCGATTAAAGCGCCGTTCCCTTTATCTCCCCAACGATCGATTGTCTCCATTAATTGGGCCTGTTCCCATGCTAGATCTGTCACGTCTGTTTGGGGAGGTTGTCGCAGCGCTGACATTGTTTGGTATTTGTACATCAGTTCTGTAGAAAGGAGATCAATCCAGATATAGTTTGCGTCCCAGAGAGCTTCTTTGTGTATCCGTCCTGGAACATAGGGGTCCACGATATCATCTTCTGTCAAGGGTTGTTTATCGGGATACTCGCGGACAGTGTACTCAGAGTCATCGAAAGCCCTCATTATATCCTTTGCTCTCTCGATTGTTTGGCCGAGGAGTTCGTTTTGAACGACAAATTCTTCGAAGGGGATCATTCCTTGAGATAACTTGGCGTAGAGCGAGGCCATATCTAAGCCGAATCGGCGATTAATGGAAGCGACTAGTTCGAGCTGTTTTCGTGCATCGGATGGGTAGAGTGCGGCTTGATCTGCGTCAAATTGTTCTTTGGTGAGATACCACTCTCGACCGAGTATAGCTTCTGTGCCGGCTAGAATTCCCGCGACGACATCGAAGCGTGCGTACCAGAGGAAAATGTTGGTGTGTAGTTCGTTTAAGTTGGCGGATTCAGGTGTGAGAAGTTCTCGCATTAAGGCGTGGGCGGCTTGGTGGTGATCTATTAGGTTTACCCAGTCTCCAATGTATTCCTGTGAAATTGAGTAGTGTGATTAGCGGGGATTTCTCAAGGTGTAACGGAAACAAGGGGTCTCGGAATCAGTCAGTCAATACCTCGAATGTAGTCAAGACCAGAACAGTGCACAGGGTTGCTTCACTGTGCTCCTCTCCAGATCCGAGTGACTTTCGTAAACAAGTCAGGGCTTTATTATAATATTTTAGGAATGTGTATAGTTTCCCGCCGGGACTCTGTATTGTGTGGTGGTAGGCTGCGAAGCCCACGAGAGCATATAGCAAAGGGTCATATTGTAGAGCAAGCTCGATAATGCTGTGGTGAATGAAGGTAAAACTGCCTCGTCTTAAGAAGAAATGACCCGGGGTGATGAACTCTTGATAAAAATTGAGATAAAATCTCACATCCTCAGGTAATCGTGCCGCATTGAGCATATCAGCCGTCGACTGCGTCACACTCGCCGACCGCACGCTCACCGACTCAAATCGCGACGACGACTCCGTAGAAGGGGAGCTACCAGGATCCATATAAAACGAGCCCGATTCGGAAACTGTCTTCAGGCTAGGTTTTTGCAATGACTGCCCGCTTTGCGTCCTATGCAGATCAGGCCGAGTCTGGCTTGTGACGCTAGACGGCGAGGGTCGCGAACCCTGCCCGGCGGCACTATCGGTTTCATCTTCATCGATAATTGGTTCCAAGGCATTGATCTCCTCCGTCTCGATTTTCCCAGAAGAATCACTTCCCTGAGAAGGCGGGCGCGCACCACGCCCCTTGGCCGAGGTACGAGCGCTAACCTTGGACGAGCTAGATGTGGGGGACGGATAGACACAATCACGATTTCCTTTCCGGCAGCGTTCGCACATAGGGCGAGATTCATCGCATTTGATCCGGCGAGCGCGACAGGTAAAGCATCCACTCCGGGTGCGTTTATGTTTCTTTTGGTCCGAGATAGGGTGGAGTAAAGTTGGTTGCTTTGAATATGACGGGGTAGGCACGGTTATTGGCGCGGCGGAGGGATCATGCCAAAAGGCGAGGTTTTCGGGATATTGGGTTGCGCCGAACATTGAGTAGGCGGACATGCTTGGATCCTGTTGCATTGAATCGAATAAGCCCGCCATAGTGGCTTGGGACTGGTGATATGAGGAATCCATAATGGTTCGTCCCAGTAGTTAAGCTCCGCGCAGATCTTCCCCCCCGCATGGAATATTAGCGTGAATCTCCCGATAATTGCATCATCGGGAAAAGGGAAAAGGGAAAGGGGAAAAGGGCGCGGGCCAAGTTTTGTCCTTGGAAGATAATCTTATAAAGTAAAGGTTTTTTTAGGGACATTGGAAGTAGAAGTACGGAGATGTATTATGTGTGGGGAGTGTGTGTAGGGGGTGGAGTGAGGTTCGACCCAGACTATTGGATCCAGGATGTGCGGAGATTAAAGAGAACCAGAAAACCTTCTGCGTTTGGGAGAGTCTTTTTTGATTTAATTGATATTTTATTCTGTTTTCTTTTTCTCTATTTTTCTAGATATTTTCCAGATTTTTATTATTCCTTTTATGCATAGCATGGATGATCTGAGTTGGAGTGCTATTTTAGTATGCCGAGACCAATGAATCATGATCGGCGTATGGCAATACGAACCCAGCAGAAAAGGGGAGTTATGTGTAGGCTGGAACGGTCAAATAGGAAAACAGTGATTTTTCTATATTTCCTATCACCTCAGCTGATTCAGGAACTACATCCTCCGCGCTATTGAACTTTTTGGTTCTTCTTGTCTTGTACGGCGGAGAAGAGCGGAGGTCGTGGAGCCCACGCAGAATTTCTAATCTGGTCGAGTTGCTCCGTCCTTTGAATTAATTAGAAAATATAGAAAATTAAAGCAATCAATCTAGCACAGAAAAAAGAAACTGATCCGCACGTCGTAGTGAGGTTGTACTGAGTTATGGCCCCTTTCTTCCCCACTCTCGAGGATCTGCCACTTGGGCTTATTTTTATCCTTAATATTCTCCCACTGGTCTCTCTCTCTCTCGGAGTAGACGGCATGAGCAATAAGAGTGGCTAGTATATTCACTAATTCCTGACTAAACTAACAAAATATTTAATATTTATATAAATTAAAAAAAGGGGGCCGGAACTCTTTCTTCTCTCGTTTTTTCTTTTCTGGATGACGATCCCTTCTACGTACTAGCCACAGGGGAAAGACAAGGTGATATCACCGGTTTCCATTTTCTACACAAGGTTTGTGGCTCGAGCCCCGACTATCCGGCTCCATACTTATTGGAGGAATAAGTGCTGTAATGCAGCCTATATGCACCCTGAATGAAGAAGGGGGGCCGATCCTGTATGATCAAAGCGCCTGTCATCCTCCGACTGGCAGTCCAGATTATGATGCTGCAAGCTGAGAGCCACTCGGGCCATTTTATTCGAATGGAACAATTCCAATGCTGATCATGGTGATCATGGGTGATCGACCTGGATCTCTTTTGACTGATTGCCCTTTTTAAAATAGAAAAAAAAAAGCCTCGCAAGGATCCTCCAACCTTGGAAAACATAGAAGGACTCCGTTTTACGTAGAGCTCTGGAGAATAACTGTAGACAAAGAAGGAAATACAAAGTATAATCAAAATGGATCAATAGATCCGCTGAAAACCAGTGAAAACCAGGAAAAATTCCCCCCCCGACGGCGGACCCCGTCCGAGATCCGACCAGGGAAAGGAAAACAATACCATGAAATCAACTCATGTGGAACCCCGACGACAAGAAATCAAAAATCAACAATGGGGCTCTTGAGGTGATTTTCCTCTTGGCGTGGGAGAGCAAGGCAGATACAATTCGGAAAGGTTCTTCTCCCGAGCAATATAGAGTGTGTGTGGTGCTACTAAACTTAACTAACCAAGGTATTTGGCACGAGGCGCATACTACTATATGCAGGCCTTGCATGTATACGGAGTAGTGTATATTAGTAGTGTATATTAGCACGAAAGGCAAAGGGTCAGCCATTTCTCGGCATATCATGTCCACGCGGGTAGGACGGAGGTTCCGCTAAGATAACCATACTCGGCAAATCTGAAACCTTGCCAGTCACCGACGTATCTCGAAAAAAAAATGCCGAAAACGTTCTGTTCGTGACGGCGATCAGATTGGGTGGAGTCGGGTTGACTAAGGGACTTTGCGGAATTCGGTGGAAACCAAGCTTCATTCCGGAAGGAAGAGACCTTTTATGATTCATGGGTCGTGATTCGTGATTGGGACCCCTCATTTAATTTTTAGTGTGAAGGACGGAGGAGCTGAAGGGGGTGGGAAGTCGGGGATCCGGCACTGGATGGGGGGAAGAGAATGGGATTGAAGGGGGCGTGCGGAGCCCTTAGAATGGATTCAATCTCTTGGCTGGGAGTTGTACGAGTTGTACATACATGGAATGCACATGTATGATGATGCTTACGAATAAATTTAGGAGATTGGTGTCTTTGCTTCCTGGTTCATCTTTACCCTTTTCCATGGAGGAATGAATCGGGGGCGTGTGCCTGATCGACAGAAGGTTTGATTGACAGCAGACACATAGGTGGGCCAAGAAGATCCAAACCACGCTAGGATGAGAAGGCTTCTTTGGGTTTGACTACTCCGTCCGGAATACTCCATTGGCCCCCAAGTCTAGTAATTAGTGTACCTAGGCCATAGACTTGGTTACGAATACGGTCGACGGAGTCCGGATATCATTGGGGGTGAAAGTGCGAGAGGGAGAAAAAAGGAATGATCTCACAATTCCAAGAAATTCCCCTGCAGACCATCGTATTCTCAAAACAAGATCATGCCCATTTTCTCAGCCCCCATAGTAAAATTGCAGGAACAAGACATACATAATGGTAGATCACAAACAAGAACAGGGGACGGATCGTGGTCCTATTCGCCCATAGGAACAGCGGCTTCAGAGCCCTAAGATTTCCCAGGCGCTACTTCGACCTGCCGGCAGCTGCACGCGCACCGACCCTCCGACATTTTCGCCATGTGGGTGAAAGGTGGCCCGACCAGGCGCTAAAGACTTAGCAGACCGTGCTTCCTGTGGGCCGTCGGTCCCATGTGGCCCGCGCCCCCTTGAATGTCTTGTCTTTCGCTGCTCCCTTTACTACATACGGAGAAGAAAGCCAAGGCGATCCTTGGTCTTTCGACACGCTTGTCAAACTAAATATTCGCGCTGGGCCGAGATTGGTAACATCTCCGAACAGATCTATGTCTCCCCACCCTATGCTGGACTTGGGGAAACGCTGGTTGATGGCCTCCACTTATTACTAGCCGGATGTGGTAGGCCTAGGGAGAGGCAAGAAAAAGAAAAAAGTCAGCCTCACAATGCACTGTCATCAATGCCTAAGCAAACTGGATCTACTCCTGAGGGGCCGGGTAAAAAGGGGGTGCGTGCTCGCAAGGTCGTATTCATCGTACAAGATCAAGATCACGACCTTGGTGTTCAGCCCTATATATTGGTCGATTGAACGGCTTATGATCAACTTGAAATTCTCATCATATGTATGTACTTATTGCTGGATTGGCTGACTAGGTAAAAATTACCCGATTGCGGGTTTAGGTACAATGAACATCGAAACGGTTGATAGGGAACTTTATAGACAATTTGAATAGATCTATAGAAGCTAGAGTGCAGCTCAGTTGCAATAGAGCCAACGATATGCATGTAAATTGATAAACTCACCGGATCTGAGCTAATTTTTGGCCAGCCAGCCAAGGCCAAAAAGAAAAGTTAAGATGGATTGCTTTCAAGATAATCAGTACCATACTAAAATAGTATGTTTCAGCTACGTTGGATCGTCAACAATTTAACCATGGAAAGAATTTCTTTTCTCCTGAGAAGACATATCAATTTCTGTCGGATAGGATGAACCCGAACACTCATGAATCCACAAATCTTAATCTCCGCTGGTATACCCTTACTATGCTAACAGTGGAACATTTGAAGTCACATCAATTCCACCAAGAATAGAAAAAAAAACGGAAAATACCTCACTAAATAAGGTTTATTTACCGACTGGTCATATACTAAGCATACAGTATGTATGGCTATAAAAATATCAATACTGTATTATCAACCAGAGCCTCCGTATAAAGATTTAGGTGTAGTACCTCGAGACATCAAGCTCCCAGGATTGAGATAATGTAAGTACCAATGCCAAACGCCACGCACCCGGGGAATTTTTATTCCCCCGACCCAAAGAAGTGTAAAGATCGGCCGATCAAACTCTCCGTCGGATATGACTGCCTGCAATTGAGTTGATGCCGGCCGTTTGGACTGTGGCCCCCGGCGCCCTGAAAGTCTGTGCGGAAAACAGTTAGTAGCTCCTCCGTTTTGCTGGATCTTCGTCCATCCTAGACAGTCCCCATCCAGGTACACCCTATATCCACCAGATTATCCACCGGACCGTATCCTGGGGACCGCACTTCAAGTTGGTTGCATGTACTTTTGTACTAACCCTTGTCCATCATGCTTACGAAACACCCCGTAGCTGGGTCACCTTACTTAGGATTCGGGACTAACTCAGAGGAATACTACGTACTCCGTCCCTTTACCAGGATAGACAAGGTTATGGGAGCGGGAGCTCGGCGCTAACTGTTCTTTGACTCGAATTGGACTAGTGGCACATAGGTACTGACGGAGATAGTGTACGGATTTTCCGTATGAGAGTAGTTTTCGTATTGGAGCTTTGGGGCTTTTGAAAAAGGTTCAGCAGGTACTATGACTACGTACAGTATACGGAGTACGGACCTCGGATGTAATTGGTACTTTACTGTACTGTGTAGTGTAGGCTGGGCACTCGATGTGACTAGGGAATTCATGGCGATGATCCAGATGGTGATCTCGGTGACTGAACCGGTGGATCGACCAGCGCTTCGTTGGCGCTGAGGACAGCCACATTGATCAGCACCTACATGGACTTCCCTGTCGATGAGTCCAACGGTGTGGATTGTGGATGTCCCAGGATTACTGGGGTATTATTGCTGGTGCGCAAGGTTGCAGTGCAGGAACATCCACTATGGATGATCCAGTGAACAGGTGGCTGAATTTGCCTCGGATTGGGAACTGTGCAGGAAGTTGCACCTATCAGCATGTGACGAGGCTTCGACCTGTGAGATGAAGCCAATTTCACATCCCTGTTCGAAGGGCGTTTCCACACTTCTTCCTTTGAGGGGTATCGGTGTGAATTGTGGACTGTGGACAATTTCTTTTGACTTTGGCTTGGTGATGAGGATTCTGGATTTTGATCTTGTTGTTCAGCGGCAATGTTTGCCGGTCTGTAATCTCCGGGTTGTATTATCCAGATTGCTTTTTAGGCACTTCATACGGAACAATTAAAGGTTCTTTCTAATCTCCACTGGCCCCAGTTCTGGCGTCCTGCTTCCTATTACAGTGGATATTGCATCTAGGCAATCTTTTTCAGATGGATGGATACTTGCCAATTGCATCATCTGCATGTTGCATCTCATATTTCTTGGCTGGCAAGTTTCTCTTCCTTCAATTCTCACGGTAGTGTATGACGGCAGTCAAGTTCTTGGTGTATACTTCTCTTATCTGCGCAAAAGGGGGAGAAAAAACCCGGGAGAATGGGAAAGTAAATCGGCAATGGCCGTTTTTTCTGCTTTGGGTTCTAAGATTCGTACATTGTATTTTAGATAGTCATAAAATCGTCAACAGGCCGATGATCTACATCATCGACGAGGGGGCCGCCTTTAGTGGCGAGTAAGCCTCGTCCAGTGATGGTCTTAGGTTGTTCGCGCTAGCGGACAGGAATATATCCGCTTCAAGCTAATTTCCGGGCCCCCAGCTCCTTGAGTACCATGGCCACACCCTCGATGACGGTACCCCATTCTGTTTCATGAACCCGCTTCTCAAATGCCTCGAGATCCTCGTCTTTTCCTTTTTGGAACGGAATCTCACGGACAAGGATTGGAGTTCCCATGTCCACTTCGGAAATGACGTCGTGGATCATGACGCCGGTCTTGTCGATCTTGCCTTCCATCCACGCGGCATGAGCACGCTCAATCGCATTCTATAGACAACAATTAGCAACGGAACTAATTATGATGCACTAACATTGTTCTGTAGAAATGAGGTCGTCACGGGGTTTTACGTATCCTCTCTTCCATTCTAGGTTGTATCCAAACTTACCACACCATTGAAAGCACCTGGCAACGCAGGGTGCAAGTTGATAATCCGCACCTTGGCCACCTCAAGTGGCTCCAGGAATTGCGGGAGAGAGAATATGCATAAAACCAAGACAAACAACCAGCTCCGGTTGATCAGCGATGATCAACCGTGCTAACTCAGCGTCGTACTCCTCACGCGCAGCCTGGACACCCTCCGTCGTAGCGGGATGCTGCTTCTTGTACTTAACAAGGTTATGATATTCTGTAGGGATGTTGGCTTTGCGCGCGCGCTCGAGACCGAAGGCATCTTTGCGGTTGGAGAGGACGCGAATGATATTGGCGTTTAGAGTGCCGGCGGCGATTTGGTCGATTACGGCTTGGAGGTTTGAGCCGTTCCCGGAGATGAGAACTGTTGTGCGAATTGGGGAAGACATTTTGAGGTATATAGGTATATTCTAATGAGGACTCAAGGGCGTTTCGTAGGTCTCGAAAAGACCGAGTATTTGGAGGGGTTGGAGGGGTGTCGGCGGAGGTTCAAGCTTGGGCTAACGGGTTGCTTTGGTGAGTTGTTGATATATACTAAGAGGTGCCACTTTGGGCGGGAGAGGATTCAATGGAGTCCAAGTTATCATTTAAGGATAAAAAAAGACATACCTGTGCAATTGAGAATGTCAAAAATCCACGATCAAGTATTTCGAGCTTCCAGAAATTCCATTCCGCACTGGGAAAGTTTTCTTGCACGTGACCTCGTGGGGCCGCGGGGCAGATTCATGTCTTGTATAGTTCGCTATGTACACTAGACTCGAAGTAGAGCTACAATTAATGGATATTTTTATTTTATTTTTTTTTGAAAAAAAGAGAAAGGAATTGAGATTGATATCATGAGATAGGACTTAAGGCTAATAGCTCCGAAATATCCAATGGCCTCTCATTGCGCGCTGGGTATTATGAAATGCCTCCAAACAGCCAAAACGCCAACAAGGAATAAGGCAGATACAAGGGGGCTTAATTGTAAAATGAACAAGACCAAATTGGAAGGGCTGAGAAACTATGCAACTTCTAGACCTCATGGAATTTTGACGATCGCAAAGATGTAGAGAGCAAAGGGCCGAAACACAGCCTGAAAGGACGGAATGCCGAAGGGGATATCAATGAGAAAAAGTCGTGAGTGCTCTAAACAGACGCTGAATGCTAGTGGTAAATGAGAAGAATACTTGAGAGCCTAGAATAGGAGTAGGGATATTTGCATGCACAGCAAATCAAATCGGTGTGCTTGTAGGACCGGGAGCTGGAGCTGGTGCTGGCGCAGCAGGATCAGAGGGGGTAGGTTCATCAGGGCTGGCTTTTTCATTGACGCCTTGGCCTCGACACAAAGGACACGAGTTTCTTCCAGTAGTCAACCACTGGAGATTTTGTTAGTAAAGATTCAACGAGGAGCTGGCTGTCCGGTTTTGCACTAACCTGATCGATGCAGTCCTTATGGAACACATGCTTGCACTGAACAAGCTCTCTGACTTCTTCGGCCACCTCGTAGTCGCTCAGACAGATCAAACAACGCTCTCCATCTTGAATCTGGATGTTTCCGGCATCATTCAAAGATTCTGCGACCAAGGAGCCACCGTATTCAACTAGTCGAAAGAGACCACCTGCTGAGTTGATGTCCGCTTGACTAGCAACCGGAGGCTTGGCTGGGCCCAGTAGTGATGAAAGAAGAATCATGTCTTCATATGTGGGGTTCTAAAGAACAATGTTAGCAAGATTATTCAGCGATACTAAGGTATGATATGATGAGGTGCGAACATACATCAGTGAAGAGACTTGGGGTAGTAAGAGCAGGATGGTTTTCCGAGAGATTTGTTCCGACAACATAGATCAGCCAGCTGCGGCCTCCGCTTGGCGGAGGCTGGTCAGGTTCAACAACGCCGTTGCGACGGACTGATCCAGAGCCGAGGGCGCGATGGCGAGCGAACTCAGAGTCGCTTCGACGACGCTGGCGCGCAGTACTCGGTGGTGGTATAGAATCTTCGGTCGATTCCACGGCCGGATGCATAGATTGATTTTCATGCAATTGAGGCAATAGACTGGGCGACATAGCCGACGCAGACGACGGCCGTCGGCTCGGAGTCGAGGTGCCGGATGAGACAGCCGATAATCCCTGATCAGCGGGTGTCGATGGTGGAGGATGAGGGCCCGGGGGGCTTTCAGATAGTGCGGAAAGGGGGAAACTGGGGATACTAGGGCGACGGAGTGGATCAGACAGTCGAGTAGATGGGTTTGTACTTGACCCTGGGTGGCGTAGGAAATCAGGAATAGCAGATGTCGGGGATCCTGCAGCCCCCGGACCGCGTGGTGGTAGATGCAATCTTGAGGGTCCATCGCCAGGTACATCCGGAGGTCGATGCATAGCATTTGGTGGCAGGAAAGGCATGCCAAGAAGAGCGTCAAGTCCTGGACCTGCTGGGCCCCCTGGACCTGGTGGTCCTTGTTCGCTGTTACCGCCGCTTCCCGCTGGCACTGATCTGACACCAACAACGACCAAAGTAACCATACGCCCTTCTCCTGTTTCCGCAGGCTCGTCTATTGACATTCCATCAGACTGAGGCGCCTGGTTCTCAGAACCAGTAGAGCTTCGGCCGGGTTGGTTAGCCCCTAGCGGAGATTCAGAATTGGCAAATCTGAAAACTCGGAGGAAATTTACTGGAGGCGATGGCCCTTCATTGACGGGGTTGCTCGGTCCCTCCCCTGGTGCAGTCGGTTGTGGCTGACTAGACGTGGCGGTTTGCAGGCTCTGAATGAAGTTTTCTAGGGAACCATCTAATCCATCATTTCCCAGTGCCTGTATGTTTGGTAGTGGTGGCCCATTAGTGCCGGATAATTGAGCTGCAATCGCAGCTGCGGCAAGTTGAAGTACCCGAGAGAGAGGCGTCTGGTCTTCCCTCCGTATTGCCCGGGTAGATCTTCGTGTTCTCAAAAGACTAGCAACATCGGGAAGCCTTGTCGCTGACGGAGAATTCGACTGACCCAAACCAGTAGTCCCATTTGGTTGCACGCTTGGCTCCACCGAATCAAGTTCGTGTAGGGGCTGTCCAAAGTCAAGACTGGTGTCCATGCTGCTCGGCAGTAGGCTGTTGTTCATAGATAACCCGGGTGATATATGAGGTGAGTTCTCATGCGGTGATGGGATACCTGATGGTGGCTGGCCGAACATATGTGAAATAGGTGACGATATGGAATGCCGGAATCGAGTAGCACTGCGCCGCCAAGATGCACGATGGGTATCGGATAATTCTTGGGCAGCATTTTCGAGGAATGATAATTGTTGGGCGGCATTATCGAGGAATGATGGGTTCGGTGTAGTATCCGCCATAATTGTTGATTCCGCACGGGGTGGTATTGAATATCCTCCTCGGGTAGAACGGCGGCGAATGCCTCGCGAGCCAATAGCACTAAATGGGCTAAAACGGCCACTGCTATGGGCCGATTCAGATCTCGGTGGTGTCCTTGATACCAAACCATGTCGATGCGCAAGTCCCTCGGCAGGTGTCTCTTCTTGACTACTGAGGAGACCACGGATCACAGAGTTAGGTAGTATTCGTGAACCTAACCTTGACATGGCAGATTGCCTTCTCGCTGCCAAGCGTCTGATGAGTGTGGAGCGGTATTCCCGTTCACTTTGTTCCATGCTAGAGACAAACTCTTCCTCGATGCTTCGCATTTGTTGCGGTGCCTCTCCGGGCTGTGGTATGTTCTGTGGACCTGGTTCCGACGGGGTATTCGATTGGACCGGATCCGGGTCCACGCCATTATTCAGGTTCATGTTCGGTGTAGATGAGGGACCTGCCTCTCTATTCTGCTCGGGGGGTTGCCTACTATCCATATCTTCATCGCGCATTCTAGAATCGCGCGCATTCGAGACCGGGGTCGAATTATCCGGGGAACCAATATCAGGAGGATTTCGTGCCGTGGAAGAAGACTGTCCCATAGTAGCAAGGTCCGATATGTCTTATTGAGTGCGGAGGATTTCAAAGGCCGTCCACTGCCATAGAGATGCCTAGATCACTAATCGCCATCATATCAGCACCCAAAGTCCGCCCAACGATAAGAATTAGGATAAATTGAGGGAAACGAACCTAATGACGGTCTCTGGGTGATGCGAGAGGGAACCAAAAATGATACTGTTTCTCTACACCATTCAATGTATGAACCTCGGTTGCTCGAAGTATGTGTGAGGTGATGAATTGAGGGGGAGTTAATCACCCGGTGTTTCAAGATGGCGAAAGAAGCAACAAAGGGGAAATCAAAGAGACGGTGAAGGGATGATTGCCAGCAAGCAATGGGCAGCTATTGTGTAAGATACGCCACTGTCCAACGTACACGAGTCACAGCAGCCGCGGCAGTCTCGAACAGTCTGACAAACCCACAGTCGAGGTCGCCGATACCCGCCGGGCGTAGCGAGAATGTAGCGATCGGAGAACGGGTTATGACGACGCCCCCAAGGCGGCGCGAGACTGTGGGGAAACGACAGGTAACGGTGTCGAAGAGAATTCAGGGGATCGAGTCTGAATAGAGAGGTAAGGGGGAGGCCTAGAAGACAGGGGAAAGGAGAAAGAGCGACGTATATATGTGAGGGAGAGCGAGAGAGGCCGGCGATAGCGATAAGTGATGTTTGTCTACTTTGTTTCGGAAAACGCCCCATTTCTTAGTCAACGACATCGGAACCAACTAACTAGATGGTCTTTCACCCTTTCAACTTAGGCTTCTGCAATAGTCTCGGCTGTCTAGTAGCCTTGGATTGAAGAATCTAGATCTTTCCAACTCTGTTAAATCGGGTTTCAGTTTATTTTCATAGGAACTTTAGCAGTTAGCATTCTAAGGGGATTTCAGGAGAAACCTTTAGCTTGGGGACATGGAGAACGTCGGCAAACCTCTAGATCATTTATACCGATATTAGAGACTAAATGATTGAGAACTAGAACTTGAACTGAATAAGCTTTGAATAAATATACTAGTATTACTACTTAAAAAAATGAATGCCAGATATATCCATCATTATATATATTTATAAGTATCACTGGCAAACAAAATATATATTCCCATATATCTCAACGTATAAAATACTTCCAACAACGCAGTTTCACCTCTTACATGACAACCTATTGTATAAGAGGTTTATAACACAAATTGACACTAATAATAGTTTAAAACTCATCTCAAATTAGACAATACTTTCATCCTAAAGCTGTAGCATGGCCATTTAACCTGGGCAGGAGGAATGGGTTCCACGTGATCACGCGGTGATCTCGTGTCGGCTCAGCCTGATAAACCGTTCCAGAGATTCTTTACCCCTGGACAAAACCAGTTATTGAAATCAACACCGGCTGTTGGAATTCGTATACAAACCTTGTTCCAGGCAAAATCCAACAAACTTCCTCCATTCATCATGGGAGTGGGCGATTACGTCCACTCCAGAGAGCCTGGCCAGCCTCGCGCACCTACAGACTTGGCACCCTCTCAACGCCAATTGCGGGCTGCCCAGGCAAAAGTCGATGTACCAAATACTCAATTAGGTGGCTTTCAAAGTCCCGTCAGGCCTTCCCCTCCAAGCTTCCAGGAACCAAGGTCCATTCCAGACCAGCAGCTTCGCTCAGCCCAAGAAAATGGAGCGCGTCGCGATGCCTTTGACACTGATGTGGAAGGGATCGATGATTCAACCATTGCTGGAACTAGTGTCTACGGATTCGATGATGGCCAGCCCCATGCATTTGTGAATCATGATGCTCCATACACGGAGACTTCCCCGCGTCCCTCTTACTTGCCCCGCCCTGTCTACCGTTCCAGAGCATCCTGGCTTGACGAATTGGGGAACAAAGCCATGAAGAAAGCAGCATTTGATTCCGATGATCCAGATGACACTTCTAGTCAAGTTACATCGTCTGCAGGAGCAGATGATGAGGGGACTGAACACCTCTCACAGCCAGCCCAGCAGCAGCAGGCACAACCACAGCAACAAGAGCAAGAACAACCGCAACCACAAAGCAGTTGGTATCATTCTCATAAGTATCGTTCAGCAGAAGAGCCGCTAAGCAAGCGCCTGGAAAGTTTCTGGTCTGCAAGCAAGAGAACATCGAAGTCAGTGGACCAGTCACAGACAAACCCCCAGCCCCGAGTTACGGTAGACCCTATTCCAGAACCTGGTCCTCAACCACGTAAGCTTGGCCACATGCTGCCACCCACAGCTGCTAGGAAGATTACTCTTCCACACAGCATGTCAGCCACACCAAGAACAAGAACACGCTTCAGTCCGCCAAAGCCGTCACTGCTGGACCAGCTAGATATTTCACCAAGCCGACTTGCTTCAGAACCACCACCACAAGCTGGACGAACCCTCAGCATTACAGCATTTGCTATAGATGATCATAGCGACCATGATGCAGGCGATGTAATGGATGAAACAATCAGATTGAGTAGCAGAAGAGACAGCGGGCATTCATCAAACGTATTCGGCATAACCAATATGTCAGACTTCGACCGTGACGAATCTTCTCTCCAAGTCGGTCAGGATCCATTCCTCAATCACACATCATCCACACGCAGCCGTCGCAATACAGTCATAAACACCAACAAAAGACACCTGGAACCAGATTACCCCCCTCAACAACTCTATCAAAAATCATTCGCAGAGCTCCAGGACGAACCATTCGAAAAAGCACAATCCACTCAACCCCCAACTCCTGTCAAATCACCCTCTTTACCACCCATGCCTGCTGTTGTCCCTAATGCCGACTCAACCGATGAAATGGGGTCTCATCTCCTAAACCTGACTGGTGAAGACCGCCGAACTTACCTATCTCGCTTGTCTGTGGATGAATGGGAATCCTGTGGAGATCAACTCCTCGACCAATTCAGTCATCTTCTATCGGAAATGAAGAACTTGCGTCGTGCTCGCAGACATACAGCGCGGGTGTTTGAAGATGAAATTAAACGCCGCCATAACCAGGTTGAAGAGCAGAATCAGGATCTGTCTGTGAAGCTGGAGGAAATGAGAACCGGAGGCGCAGAGGTTCTGCGTGGACGGAACTCATGAATATACTCCCTTTTTGCCTGATTCATACTATCGACTTCTTTTCGGCCTTATTATTTGGTTGCTATTACTTATGATATGCTCCGTCTTTCGTTTTAAAATTTATGGATTGAGACGTTCTCTCTGTTCATGCCCAATACCCCCTTATGCACCAATTACCCCATTTTGATGATTATGTTGTTCTCTTCTAGGGAATTGATTGATATTACTTAAGTAGATTTTGATACTTATTCATGAATAGAAATAATTTCCGGTCACGTTTATATGCTGTGACGAACTACTTCTCCTACCTATATGTTTCCAGTTTCCAGTCTATGTAGGTTATACGTAGCTGAATTATGAATAGGGTTCAAAATGGCACTTGATAAATTCCAAAATTCTATAGGTATCACATAAAATGAGTGTCGATGAACATATTCAGCAGCGCTTACCGAAGGCATGTAGAATACAAATGAATGAATGCTTGTAACGCCATACCTAACCCGCAATGCAACACCGTCAGAAATGTATAAGAATCAAAAATAAAAGCCAAGAGACGAAGAAGCCCTCCATAGTGGGGTAGGCTAATAGCTCAGCGAGATCCAGCCGCAGATTTTTGTAATGCAGCTGCAAGTCGCTTGTAGTCCTCTAGCAGGATAGCGACATCTCCAAGACGTAAATCACTCGCATTCTGCGTATCAAGGAAGCGTTGAATAGGAGGATCAATCTTCTGTAGAGGCAGCGGACTTGCTGGCGAACTCTTTATCTCAATTGAACTGGGCGAGATCCTTAGACGATCCATCGCTGCAGGGGAAAGCGGTCTTGTATTGGGGTTGGGAGTGTCTGGAGTAGACGGGGCATTGGGAGTGTTACGACCAAAATTTTTGATCATTCCCGGAATGTGATTGAGAGGGTTTAGTGAGTTTCCGAAATTTCGCATTGACTCTAGTGGATTCTGGGGGTTTGCTGAGGACGGACTTTGAAGGGGTTCATCGCGGAGAGATGGGGCAATGGATCGTCTGCCGCTTGCTTGTGTTCTTGCGCTGTCTGTGCTTCGATCACGAGGAGTGAATGTTCCAGCTGTTAGACCTGTGGCTCTTGAACTGCTTCGTGTTTGGACACCGTCGTCGGATGGGACTGAATTGATCGATGAGATGTCATCTTGGATTTGTTTACTGGCGAGTGGCTGGGCAACGAAACGACGGGCCTCGGCTAGAGTCTTGGGCAAATTAGGTCCACCTTGGGAATTGGGAATTTGATTTTGTAGTTCCTTGAGACGACCAAACAGAAAATTGAAAGAATTGTCTAGTGAAGTACCGATGTTCTTGAGACTTTGGTCGGCTGTCGTGCGAACTGCATCATTTGCTGCTTCGAAAACCTTTGCGGGTGGTTGGAACAAGTTGCTAAGTCGTCTTTGTTGGGGTGTGGGCGAGGGCCGAGGCCGAGGCAGAGTAGCAGATGCTGGCTCTTTGTATTCCGGCTTGGATATTTCAGGCGATGCAGAGACTGTTGTTACGGACAAGGTTGTACTTTCTTTGGTTGGTTTGAATGGATCAAGGCGCTCGGAGGAGGGAGTTGCGGTCTCGCTGGGGGTTTTAATAGGTCCTTCCTGTTGTTCATCTGCGCGCAGACTGGACAACTCGACATTCTCCAGGAAGCTGATAGCTGCTTCGAGATTGGTCAAACAATAGGCAGTTTCACCATCGATTCTGTTGGCAGATCTGAACCGTTGGATGAAGAGCAAGTTGCTAATAACGTTGATTCCATCGGGTGGGCTAGTGATAAGTGTATAGATCAAAGTTGGGAGGATTTCATCTGCAGACGATGATGATGGCAAAAGTTTCGTTAGGGCATCAACAATAGCTTTGTGCGCTGCCGCTAATTGTTGAAGTTTACCGAGAGGATATTTGTACTCGTTCATTTTTTCCAAAAAGTCTCTGGCCTGGCCTAAGCAATCGTTTGCTTCCTGTTGCTTTGCTTCCTCGATTGTTGATAAGTCGATATCGATACCCAAGTCTTTCAAATTGATACCCACCAGCAACAAAGCCGCAGTCTTTGAACGCAACTTCTCATCTCGAACATCGTCCAGGGTAGTTTTATGTCTCCAAACTTTGGCATATACCATTTCACAGACTCTTCTCTCCGCAGCCTCTTCAAGCGCAGCTCGTTTATACTCCAGAGCTTTACGTGCTTTCCGCCTCTCGGCAACTTCCGAAGCTGTCAACATCTGTCGACCACTAGATCCTTGTCGAACATCATCCTGGGATATCTTGTTGCTCAATTTTGAAAGTGCACCACCTCTCAACTTTGAAGTAACCTGAGGAGCCGGGTCACGATTGATACGAGAGGCAAGAGTAGATATGTGTGTAGCAATGTGGGATTCGGCGCGATCGTAGAAGACTTGGAAGAGGGAGGATATTTTATCGATCGTCGGTGGCGAGTTGTGTACTTTTGCGCTGAGCGAGTTGACGAACCTAACAAGTAATTAGTATATGAACATGGGTTTAATCATTGACAGCGTGTCCACCTACCGATCTGTCAAGCTAATCAGCTCTATGGGAAGCTCTTCGGAGGGATCTTGTACACTCCTCGAGAGCACAAATCCCTCGTCTGCCTGGGTATCTCCGCCACCAGAATCTGCAGAGCCTCGCCGCTCGAAAACATCAGGTCCATCTTGCTGCCCCTCAGAGTCTACGGGGAGAGACATGGGCGGTGTAGAAGTTTCTCCCTGATCGGTCGATGTTTGTCTAGCCGGTATGGGAGGTCGAGATTCTGGGCTCTCCATTCTGGTAAAGGAGCGGGTAGTATGCAGTGAATGGCCAGAACCATCGTCGGAGGGGCCAGACATGCTCTAATTAATCTCAAGGGGCGGCGACTGGCCCTATGGCACTAAGTCGTAAGTGACTCCGCTAGGGCCAGCTGATAGGCTCATGCAGATCGATGTCCGAGCTCCCGACGTGCGGCTGGTGTCCACACACGCACTCGCAAGGTAAAAACGCCCGAGCAAGAGAGCAAGAGGAACAGTTAGACACCGTTACAAAATGAGGGTTGATAGAAGGTGTTTTTCTTGCCACCTTGCCCATTGGACAAATGAATGAATGATTGATAAGAGTGATTATACTGTGAGATCGAGCACTTGAGTTCATGGTGGATCAATCACGCGTCACCTGTCACGTGGACGATAAGCTGATTAGCCTCATGCCTCGCGTCAGCCAAGGCTTTTAGGCAGTCACTTGTCCACACTTCGATTAATAGGACTCATGATGTTTTTATACGCTCATATGCTGGCACTGCGCATTCTGTTACCAAATTAGGATTCCATGTCTTACGGAGACCAAATAACTATGCGGCACTACGGGGCAACCGGGCAACCTCAAATCCTCAATAACATATTAAGTAAAAGGCAACAATCAACCAAAAAGCTTTCTTTTTATACATTACAGTATTATGTTACAGACGCGCGACAGGAGCCACGTTCGCCTCAGTAGCGGCCTCAATCTGGGAACCAAGATCCTTGTTCACATGACGGAACATCTGGTAAGTCTGCTTGCGAACACGCTCATGGGCACCGCACAAATGACCGGAGATATTCTTAACAAAATTCTCCTGCTGGCCGGGTTGACGACCAAGGACCTGCCAGAGACCATTGGCCTGAACGTAATCCTCATCGGTGACAGGAGCTTGTTCAGCAACGACAGCACCAGACCACTTCTCATGCTCCTGGCTTGCCTTGACGGGCTTGTAAGCCAATGGACGGAAAGTCGAGGGGTAATTGGGATTGGCGCCATAGTTGCCATTGACATTCATGGGACCGTCACGGTGCCAAGGGCTAAAGCCGCGAACGGGGCAGTTAACGGGGATTTGTTCGTAGTTGCCGCCCAGGCGATGACGTTGGGTATCGGGGTAGGAGAAGAGACGGGCCTGGAGAACTGGATCGGCGGAGGGCTCAACACCGGGTACCATGTGGGAGGGCGAGAAGGCAGCCTGCTCGATCTCGGCGAAAAAGTTCTGTGGGTTCTTGTTGAGAGTGAAACGACCGAAACGGCGCAGAGGAACTTCGCTCTGGGGCCAGACCTTGGTCAGATCGAAGACGTTCCAGCGGAACTTCTCAGCCTGCTCGGGACTGAGCACCTGGACATAACAAGTCCATGAGGGGTTCTCGCCCCGCTCAATGGCGCTGAACAGGTCCTTAGTATGCCAATCGGGATTCTCGGCGGACAGCTTGGTAGCCTCTTCATTGTTAAAGGTCTTGTTGCCTTGGTCGGTCTTACAGTGGATCTGAACATAGTTGAAAGTACCATCAGGCTTGATCCACTTGTAAGTGTGGCCAGAGTAGGCATTCATGTGGCGGTATGAGTATGGGGTACCGCGGTCGCTAAAAAGGTGCATCACCTGGTGAACTGCTTCCTGGTGAGTCGAGAGGTAGTCCCAGAACATCGTGGCGTCCTTGAGATTTGTCTGTGGGTTACGCTTTTGCGTGTGAATGAAGACGGGGAACTTGGATGGGTCACGCAAGAAGAACACCGGAGTGTTGTTGAATACCCAATCCCAGTTACCCTCCTCTGTGTAGAACTTGATGGCGAAACCGCGTGGGTCGCGGGCACTGTCAGGGGAGCCCTTCTCACCACCCACAGTAGAGAAACGAGTAAGCAGCTTTGTTTTCTTTCCAACACCTTTCAACATGTCGACAGTAGTCTATTGTGTTATTACATTAGTGAAAGGTTATAAGATATGGTTGTGTATGAGGCGGATACTAACGATATCGCTAATGTCGTCGGTGACTTCAAACTCGCCGTAAGCGCCAGCGCCCTTTGCATGGACGACACGCTCGGGAATACGCTCACGGTCAAAGTGTGCGAGAAGGTCGATCAAGTGGAAATCCTGAAGTAATAGCGGACCATTGGGTCCCACGCGCTGAGAGGCCTGGGGATCCATGACCTAAGTTTCCTCGCGTTAGACTGTGAGCTTTCCTTTGGGCAAGGTGTACATACTGGGCAGCCATTGGAAGCTGTGTAGACCGGAGTCTCATTATACCGGTAGGTATCTGTTCAGATAGTAGTCTCGAGGTCAGTCTTAGAGTACTCAATAGTAGTAGAACCAAGTAGATAGATAGACATACTGGGTTCATCGTCTTTGCCCATCTTGATATTGGTGATTTTCCCGACCAGTCAATTGATCAAAGCATGCAGAACAGAATTGCGGGGTCTCAGTGCCTTACTAAATAGCTTTTGAATCTGGAAAAAATAATCTTGTCATGGACCCACTGTTGATTGTGTTGATATGGAATCATCCGCTGCCTATTGGCCCAAGCACCAACATCTGCGCGGTGACCTGCCGAGTTTGTTGAATTGCCATTTTGGTGCCCAGCACGATGGCTCCACGAATACAGACTGATCTTGACCAGCAAGTAAGCTACAGGAAGCTCCCTTCTCTTTCTCCGGTCTCTGTCTAGCCTGTCTTCGGAACAGTTTCATCGCCGTTGACCAAACGATACTTTCCGGTATTTTCCGACATTCACCAAGTAATTTCAACGGTAGAAATGATCGTTTGTCAGTGGAGCAAACTGGCTCGAAATAATCTCGGGTATCAGCCCGAAAGAGCTTCACTTTAGTCATTCGTTGCCCGTTCCTGGCCCCAATGATGTCGTCGTCCCAGTGAGGAATACGGAAGCTATTCCGATCCAGAAGGTTGATCCGAGCCAATCGCCGGGGGAGAAAGTTGAAATGTGGAACACCCTATATCAACATGGTGGTGAAATGAGAGAGAAAAAGCAGGATGGTTACCTACGTGCTTAAATTTCTATTCATGGCGCATCGAGAAATTAGCATTAAGCAAAGGCAGAGCCAACTCTCCGGATTGTTCCGCTTCTCTCGTCGTATTTATTTTGTGTATTTATATCGGTGACCAGCGGGTCCAAAACAACTGGTGTAACTTGAACCAACTTCAAGCGGAGCCTCACCGAATTGTCTCTCGGCACAACGATGATGTCTTCTCAATCGACCGCATGCATTGATATTATCCAAAGGCTTATAGTGTTCTTGTACAAAACATGTATGCAACCTTGTAATTACTCACAGTGGCTTCGAGATTACATAGTACTATTATTTTAAAATGTTGTACTCCCTACTACTAGTAGCACATTGTATAGTAGATACTAGTCAATAGATACTACATAGTATAAGGGATTGAACTGAATGATTCTTTAGTATGGAGCCGGATGACCGGTAAAAGAATATATTGGAAGTTTATTTCTTTTATTTCTTTCTCTTTTTGCAAAAGTTCATCTTGCTGTTGAAACTAGAGGTCACCACCGGGGTTGTTTTGTTCGTCATTCCCCGAGACATAGGCTTGATCCGCTTGGCATTGAGGCCATTTCAGTCATAACGGCAAGTTTTAGTGATGGAACGAGATGGTATTGAGCATCAGTTGATGATGAACGTAGATTTTGCAGTGTGAATGGTGGCGATCGAGACTGCATCTGTCCAATATCTTCCAAGGGTGGCAGTAGGCATCACTTAAATGCAGCTTCAGCATTCTAATATAATGACTCTTCTTTATGGGTGATAATGACGCAATCGCTCAGCGGATAAGCGACGCAGAGTAAAATAAACTTTGCTTCAAGATGATCATCGTCTAGAAAAGATTGATCACTCTGATCAACCTCACCCGAAACGACATGTCCAAAAAGCTGATAGCTCCATTACCCCTCAATCATATATCTTTTTGTGGATCCTTGTTGTTATTTCTACTATAGCGCGCTTCAATTCAGTTGACTCAATATCTTGTATTCTTTTTTATCTTCATTCCTCTCAATACCAAGAGATTACGTTCGCATCATGTCAACAATGATTGAATCACTTCCCAATCTGAATTAATATCGCACCTAGCCAGCCTCACACCTCCCACACTCCTGGTAATTTAATTTTACACGCCATGGACAGAATACTCCACGCAAATGAGCACTGGGATGACTACCCTCTCCTCATGATGCCAAGCCACAACCCTTCCGACCACATCGTTCGTCCGCATCAATGCCAAAGAATTGGTCAGCGTAGCAAAAGAATATAAAGTCTCAAAAGCAACCTACTCCCCTGTATACGTGACAGTCAAGTAGTCGAGTCAATTGGAGGGTTTGACGTCTCAAAGGTCCATATTGCTCTGGAGCGCCATGTGGGCGTCGATAACATCACGTTTTCTCCCCCTGTTGACCCATCTCCTACACTGGAAGAATCAAAAGAGGCAAAGGAGGCGAAAGAAGTCATCATCGCCCGCCTTACTGAGTTGGTAAAGTCTACACCAGTAATGCTATTCATGAAAGGTACACCAAGTCGCCTCTATGTCGGTTTAGCCGGAGATTATATTTGTATTTTCATCTCGGGGTTTCCTACCTTTCAAGGTTAGGACTCAACCTCAATCAATGGAACACATTGGCGGGTGTGCAGAGGATCTTTATCGCTCTAAGTCAGTCGAACTTACTAGACTGTGGTCAATTAAAGGCGATATGTGCTCCGGTAAAAGAGTTCAACACCTCTTGTACTACTTTGTCCGATGGGCGGCTGGGCTACCCCACACGCGGATACTCACGCAAATGCCAATTTCGTTTGCATATAGAGAGACCATGAAGCTTTGCGGCCTAAATAGTTCATGTGACTAGAGCTGGGCGCCTAGCGCCTTCTCAGCGCTTTCACAATTTGCGTTCCGTCGCTTAAAATACTTGTATTGAACTATGCCAAATCCTTATCTTCCAACTAATTAATATTGTAAACTGAAAGACCCTCGCCTAAGAGTTATGGCGGTATGGCCTTTAATTAATTATGAGCTCCGTTACATTAAAGAGGGCGATAGAGGCTAGGATAATATCCCAGCACAAGCGAATCGGAGAATATTGAGTTTCAAGCCAGTGACATCTCCACGTTTAATGCCTGTCATTTTTTTATAGAAAACTTAAGATGTAAGCCTCGTTCGTTTTACACAATCGCCTTTACACATATGAATTGCTGATTTGCTTGGTAATTCACTCCCATTGTCATTATACCGCAACTCCAAAATGGGGTATCGCTTCAAAAATGACTCAATAGGTCCAACAGTCAACGTGATTAGCTGGTTTCTCATGGTGGTCAATATTCTAGCCGTTCTCGCAAGAATCGGGGCTAAATTCCGACTGTTTCACAAAGTGAAAAGTGATGATCTCATCATCATCGTATCAATGGTAAGGATGTATGGAGAGCGAGCAGGCACCTATCCCCATATGACATTTGAGACTAACATTTTTCTCGCTTTGGTAGTTGTTCAGTATTGTTCAACTTATATGTGTTTCTGTGGCCGTCGGCTCTGGCTATGGCAACCATTCAGACAAGATCAGTGATGCTGAAGCCGTTATTGTAATGAAGGTAAGCATAATTTCATTTCTTCCGTTTTCTCTTGCCCATTACTGGATACTATTTAATGAGATGCTAAGCATTGTGATTCCAACCCAGAACCTTTATTCAGGGTATATAGTCTTCATTGCGAGTCTCTGCCTCTCTAAATTATCGTTAAGCACATTTATCCGAAACTTCACTTTGATTCCTGAGCATCGTCGCTTCTCTAGAGTGGTCAGTAGCTCTATAATTGTGTAGACTATTATCGCTCTCATCGGCGCTATCTTCGGTGCTGCTTTTCGATGTGGAGTTTCTCGGATTTGGGCTCTCTGGAATGTTACATGTTATAATTTGGTAAGCATTGAAAAACCATCCACACCCCTGAAAACAGCTCAAGCGACGAGAGTTAATACTTCATGTCATGCAATCATAATTTAGATATCATGGCGTTACTTCATATGCATATCGAATATCTTGACAGATGCTTTAAATAGTCGCCCAGGGCTTAATGATCGCATTTCAAATCCAGGCCGCTTTAAAGAAGCGTGTGCTTGTAGCTGCTGTTTTTCTATCGAGAATCCTGTCAGTACGATCTCATGATTAACCCGTGTCAGGCCTTCTCGTTGATCATATTCAATCAAATTGTTAACTTGCATCAATTGTAGTGTGACCGGTGGCATAATTGCTGAACTCGTCTTTACGATTCGCGCCATCAACTCTGTTGATACTGCATACAAGTTCTGTATTGTCCCAATATTACAAGGCTTAGTCCAATGTTTAAGTATTGTTACGGCTTCTCAAGGCCAATTGAACCCTTTCATTGTTTTGATGTAGCCAAGACGACATGAAGTTCGCGATGACACTCTGAATCAATCTGAATCTTTGACTTCAACTTCTGAGCTCCCTTTACTAGCAGTTCCTAGGGCAGCATACATAGTTTGACGCAGATATTATACCTTGGTTTATAGAAAAGAACGAACATGCTTTTTGTATAAACATCAAATATTGATGTGATACATTGTTGCGGAAGGAACGAGACCGCCCTCGAAAGGTAGTAGCTGAGGCACTGGAATAGTAGGAAGCGATTTAGGGGAGAAGAAGAGATCTTGGAATTAAGACTTATATTATTCAGACAGATAGTTGAAAATTGAATGAGCATAAATAAACATAGTAGATCCAAGTCAATATTCCTCCAGGTATAATGTGCGCCGAATCGATATAATCTTTACATAATGCGTGTTAACCTTGAATATCCCGTTTCCCCCAGTGAAGCTCCACAATATCTTCTCCATAACGAAATCCTCTATTTTTCATGGCCACAAGGACATCCTTGGTCCATTGCCATTCATTGTGCCATCCCAACTGCCGAAAGGCCGACAAAGCTGTCTTCAAAGGAAATATGAGCCATTGCATACCCTGAAACCCGGTTGTCAGTTGCGTGAAATACGGGACTGACTTGGCGATATTACAGGCACAGCTCATAATTTCTGCATCGCTGTCTTGGGTCACGGCGCCCTGAGCAATTGAGAGGCCACGTGAAATGGCGTGCAAGAGGATGCGCAAGGACCAGAAGAAGGCCATGGCGTCGGCGACGTGGAGGTTGAGGAAGTCAAACGAGGTCGTAAATGTGCCCGGCGAGATGTCGGCAGAGCGTGATATCAGCTCTGCGGGCTGCTCGCAGTACGGTAGAACAGAGAAAATATTTAGGAGGTTATCGTGCCAGGCGTGGAAACGGCTGTCGATGCGCTGACATCTTTGCTGGATTTGTTCACGTCGCGGGTCTTTACGCAGGTCTTTTATCTCTCTCAGCTCTTCGAATATGAATGGCAGGACCAATCCAATGTCATATAATTGTTGGACATAATCTTTTGGTTTGTCTCCCCAGGGCTCGGCACACCATCGGTCTTCACCCAAGAAAGAGGCCTTGAAGAATTGAAGGCCACGCATCATCTAATTTTTTGGTCAGTAATAAGCGTCGGCATATTATTTGTTTGAACCACGCTCAGAAGAGCAGCAGCATAAAAAAAAACTTACTGCGCTTCTTCTGGTTTCTGCAAGCAACGCATAAGCTAGCTCACTTTCATATTCACTGTAGCTTGACCCTCTCAACTGGACTATCTGATCAACCGCTTCTTGATGACTTGTCCAACCGGCGATACTTCCAATCGTTCCCTCGTGCAGCTCATACGTTGCCAACACTCGTATAGCCGCCTGCGTTTCGTCTAATATTGCTTTGTTTTTGTCGTTGATTACATGCTGCAACATCCGCAAACCTCGACCATGTTCAGTCATACCTTGTCTCAGTAATACCTGGTCACCGATCTCTCTCGCTGTTTTTGTCATACAAAGAGCCCGCAAGGCGACAGTGAGAAGTGATCCACGATTGGGGAGAGTAATTGCGACACGCATCCAGGATGCTGCCGGAGTTGTGATTTTATTGGCGTGTTGAGTTGGTTTTAGAATCGATGAAGAGGGTAGATAAGCGCGAAGGAATGTATTTAACATTCCGTCAAGATAGATCGAAGCACAATTAGGCTGTGGAGGCATATTCACGACCCATATAGAAGTCACCCCACTTTGATCCTGGCCACTGGACACCGGAGTCTCCCAAGGAGCAGGCTTCTGGGATCGTTCTTCGCCCTTCCGAAGAAGTCCCTGGGGCGTGCGGTGAATAAATGCAATTTCCTTCTTGAAGCCCTCGCACTGACGGCTGCTTTTTCTGCATTGTCCACATTGTGGTTCTTGCATATCACACTATACGAAGCTTAGCATTCCAAGTTGATTTGTCATCGCAGGTGCTTCCCTAGTTATTTGATTTACCTTAATTTTTCGTCGCCTGCATGTTTTACATCCTTTGGACCGACCTGGCACCCCAACCATGACTGCCTGGTCGAGTTTCAGGCTTGAATGGCTAATGATTATACTGTTTCAGAGACGAGTAGAGATGTAACCTTGCCCATTGAGCGTTGAATCTTTGGGCTGTCCAGCCTTAGCCTTACAAAGGCTCCAAGGCGCGAGGGGAAGTACATGTGGGGGCGGAATAGGCCGCAGTGAAGAGCGCTGTTGGTCGCAACTTGCATCACACTAGACCCTATTCGGTGACACTTGCAGGACGCTAGGCTCAAGCTATCTTTATCCTCCAGTCCCCTCAGCCTTGTTACAAAAGGGGAGCATCGGGGGCAGGGTTCATTCACTCCGCCTTATGCCAGATGCTTTTGCCGACAGAAATTTAATTCAAGCTTTAGATCCCTAAAATAATAAGAAATCCGGATGGGAAAACGAGTGCTAATAATAGTTTGAGCTATATTGAGTGGTATCAACGGTAAGTCTTCCTAAGGGTATCTGGCTATGCATGGACTAAATCCCTATCTCTATCCCCTTCTCATCAATAGCGCAACTATAATAATATACAATCCTAGTGAAAGCGCTTTTTTTTAGAGTTGTGTGACGATCATCTGAGTTTTGACGAGAATGGTAGAATGTCACTCAAATGTCTAGAATTGGAATACGCGATTCTTCAGACTATATAGATAAACACAACAAAGGTCAAGAGCATGATTTACTCGGAGTTATAAACTCAGGGTTTTAGCCTTTCACTGTTTCAATCTTCAGCTTATTTCACGATGCGTCCTTATGCTCATGAATGATTCCAATGTCAGCGGCCACATTAGCCACCTAAGCTCATTCGCAATGCGATCACGCTAGAGACAGTCTTCCGCGCTGGCCTCATCTGCAAAAACAGCGTCAATCTCCTCAGGTGTCAAGCCCTTCAATTCAGGAAAAAAGAAATACACCGATAATAAGCCAGTCGCATAGAAACACATGAAAACTAAACAAGTCTCATAGCCAATGTTCGAAATCATGACGGGCGTTAACTTGTGCGACCGCGAAATTCATAATCCAATTCACTGCAGAGCCAATAGCAGACCCTTGGCACAGATATCGAGTGATGACGATTCGGCAGCGATGATCCATCCGACGGGCCCATAGGGCATCGCGTAATCCACAACAATCCAGTTCATGAAGAATGTTGCGGCGTTACCGGCGTTTTTATGTGAAAGGAAGGCATGTCTATACTGGGAAATGAGAACGGCAACGATAGCATGCGCGACAGCCAACATGAAAACAATGCACCAAGCTGAAATCGAACGCTATTTTTGCATGTTATAATTCGATTATAGACTTACCTTTCTAGAGAACTTGTCTGCAAGTGGACTGCTGCTTAATGCCTCGAACATAGCTCCCAGTTCTAGAAAGCGTACTGTGGCGGCATAGCGATGTTCGAAGTCGCCCATGACCTGGACCTTGCTGAATACACCCTATATTAAGGAAATGGTTAGGTAAATGTCTCCTGAGGGGGCTCGGTACACCCTACATTGCACCCTGATACTGTTAGTCAAGTCAGCTGCTTTCTTCTCGAATAATTTCGTTCATTTCGGTCCCTTCGCTTAGCTCCCGGCTTATCTCGGTCGCGTTCGTCTCGTTCATTTCGTTCATTTCGCTTATTTTCGTTCGCCTTGCTCATTCCAACCTTGCACCCACACACATGTACATTCAAAGGTAACTAGTCTCCGGGGCTTCAATATGCTGCTTGAATTCACGGGCTTGGGCTCAAATTGACTCCGTATCCGTGTATACTTTAGAGGTCCGTATCCGTGTCGGCACTCTCGGTTCCTTAAGTCATCAAAATCCCTCTATTTTGATACGTCGAGGTCTGAGGGCTTGTGATCTAGGCTCCACAATTCTCATGATATTTTGCTGATATCACCATTGGTGATACCCCGCAACAGCCTTGCGCATTCTAACCGGAATTCGCATCTGGCCGCTCCCGAGCACATCATCACGTGTGTTAGGGATTTCTGGCTTTTTTAAAAGAGGCCTTATATCCTTTATTAAGCCCCATGGGCATCTTTGTAATTCATATATTGCGATTGTTCTGTCAAGAAAAATGAATAGCATTCTGAATTTACAACCCAGTGTGGTACTTGTGCTGGTCACAGTACTAGGAGCCATCGCCTACATATCACTTAAAGGCTTCTTTATCCGTCGCCAGTTTGCACGCGCTCATGGCTGTGAACCAGTGGCCAAGGCCGCTAACAAAGACCCCTTCTTTGGACTCGATACGATACCAGAGACTCTCCGCGCGATCAAAGAGAACAGGATCCTTGCGAGAAGTCCCGATTTTTTTCGCCGCTTTGGCAATACACACACTTTCAGGGGTCTAAATAGTTACCAGATTGTGACTATCGAGCCAGAAAACATTAAGACTGTACTATCGCTCAACTTTAAGGACTACGGTCTCGGATTTCGTCTACCCTCGTTCAAACCACTCCTTGGGGAGGGCATTTTCGATACCGATGGCGAGCAATGGGCTTCATCGCGTGCTTTGATTCGACCCAGTTTCACTCGCGACCAGGTAGCTGACTTGACAATGCTTGAGAATCTGATTCAGGATTTTTTCGCATTGCTTCCGAGCGATGGTCAAACCGTCGATCTTCAGGATCTCTTTTTCCGCTATACAATTGACTCTGCGACCGAATTTTTATTCGGTCAGTCTGTTGGGACCTTGAAGAAGTCTGATACGGAGCCTGTGTTTGCGGAGGCCTTTCACAAGGCCCAGAAATCGATCTTGACGCGAGGTATTCCTTTCCCATTAAAACTGGTCTTCTCTCATGATGAGGCTGAAGAGTATAATGAAATTTGTCGGACATTTGTTCAGCGATTCGTGGACGAAGCCTTCGAAGCTGTGGAGCTTAAAAAGAGCGAGACGGAAACCACAGAATCGGAGACAAAGCGACCAAGGCACATTTTCTCACATGAGCTCGCAGCACGAACGACTGATAGAACTCGCGTCCTTGATGAGTTGGTGAATGTTCTGCTAGCTGGTCGCGATACTACTGCAAGTCTGCTCAGTAATATGTTCTTTATGCTGGCAAAGAACCCAGCTATATGGGACAAACTGCGCAGAGAGGTAGCATTTTTGGAAGGCCGACCACCAACTTATACAGAGCTGAACAACCTGAAATATGTTCAATGCTGCATGAATGAATGTAAGATAGCCCCATCGAGCTCACCGTCATCACCATCATGATATTCTTCTCCCCTTTATCTTGAAGAACACCACTAACTGTCCTAGCACTGCGTTTACATCCAGTCGTACCCCGTAATCAGCGCAAGGCGCTGCGAAATACCGTCTTGCCCGTTGGTGGTGGAAAAGATGGCCTCTCGCCGGTTTTTGTACCGGAAGGTGCTTTCGTGTCTTACAATGTATACTCGATGCATCGACGAGAAGATATTTACGGACCAGATGCAGAAGTCTTCCGTCCCGAGCGCTGGGAAGATGGAAAGTTGCAGCCACGCTGGGGGTATCTGCCCTTCAATGGTGGTCCTCGAATTTGCATAGGCCAAAGATATGCCCTGACTGAAGTTGGATATGTTCTTGTTCGGATGGTTCAGAGGTTCAGAACAGTAGAGAGCCGCGATTCTGGGGAATGGGAGGAGTCGAGGGGGCTGACTATGACTTCTAAAAATGGAGCGAAAGTAGCCCTCACGGCTGAGTAAATACAACGAATCGGGTGATGGCGTAGGAGTGCAAGCTCTTGTTAATGTTTTATTTTCAACCTTGATCAAAACACTATTGTCAATAAGGATCAGTGTATTATGCTGAGAACATCAGCCTTATTTATTGTCAAAATTATTCCATAATTTTCTTCTAGTCATTTATTCATTCATAAGGGAAATACTTGAAATTTGTTCCAGGCGTGGATGTCGAGAGAAGGCTCTAACCGACGACCAACGGTGACCTAGTGGGACCAACGCCGGGTCGCCGGCCTGTGGCGGATTCTTTGCCCATCGCCGGAGTACGTCAATAAACCGTTGGCATGATTGGCTTGAAGCTCGTTGAATGTCTCTGAGACAGTTATGACGGATTTTGCTGCTTCTGAAAGTGGAGACCAAGGCTAACGAAGGTCAGTTAAATTTTTTGAATGCTTTTTTTTTGAAAAAGTCTCCGCTATATCTGTGAGGAGCCCTGAAGTAAGGGAAACGGAGTCGTGATCCTCGAATCGGTCAGAGATATAAGCGGTGACTATCCTGGTCATTAGACGAGCAAAAAGGATTTATGCCTATCTCGGAAACTCACGGTTTGTTGATCAATGGCAGACAGGTGAAGCATCAGCATCTCGAAAATTATGTTAGAAACTTGCCAACCCCTAGACATGTGTAATCAGCTTACAACACTCCATCATTTCCGACGTTGTGCCTCTGTTGCTGTGTCATCCAACTTACGCAAATGAAGATCCATAGCACTAGTGACAGCTTGATTTGCGCGACTCCGCATTCGTGATAGGTTTCCCCGTTGACAGTATCCGTAGACACTCAAAGCAACAAGCACCAAAATGGGACGTAATCTTGTCCCATTATCATCGACGACAAGAGTACGCGTTCTAGTGCACCCTGTAGCCATTCCGTCGAGGTCATTCTCCATTTCACGAAAGGCTGATTCCGCATACGGATGTGCATGTGCACGCCTTTGCTGTGTTTTGGAGGGAGAAAATGCATTCAAGTCGTCGAGTATCGGTATCAACACCAAAATAGCAGATAACGCTAGAGTTAGGGAAGTCGTTGGCCAATGTGGGATGGAGGATCGATTCACAAATGTATCATGAGAATTTAAATTGCCCATCGGCGCATGATTGTCGCAATATAAGGGTGATGTAGGTGGTGATAAAATCGGTAAAAATGGATCTATGTATATGTAGTACATTTAATCTGCAGACATGTGAGCTGTAAGCCCAGTTGTGAGAGAGAACGGATAAAACACAAATGCGATGCTCAAAAACAGTACTCGCACACTCACATGTCTTGATCGGAGACATATAAACGCAGTCTAGGTGTCTCAATGCTATGAAAATTTTCGATTCCTGCACTATCACCATTGTTTGCAGCCTGTATCCAAGGGCTTGTTGGGGAGTCATTGGGGATAGCATCCAAATTTCGAACCCCACCAAAAGGATTCAACAAATCAACAACACTCTCAACTCCATGAGACGATGATGGTTTACCTGTGTTTGGCAGATTTTGTTCAGGTATTACTGGTCTTCCCTGTTGCCCCATTGTCTAACGGGTGAAGCAATGGGTTGGCCTGAGTCAAAGGAAGGGACATCCCAGCATCCGAGGTATAAATAGGTGTCCGTCGAACACCACCACGCTGACTAGGGAGATAGTAGCATGTCAACTCTTTGAAAGACCACTACACCGTTGGCTCAGTAATCACACTCCAGATACCCAGGTACAAATTTGCGACGCATTGAGTCATACCCTTCTGCAGGGTTGTTTTCCATCCCACCGGCATTTGGCGGCACGACTAAGCAAAATATATTGATTTACGGCTTTGGGCTGTGAAAATTGAGGGACGAACCAGGATATACATTCCGCTTAAAGTGGGGGCTTATGGCTTGGGCGCCCTGGTGATCCACGACTCGGCATGGTTGTGGTCGACAATGTGAAGTTATGGTCGTATCTCCAAGCCGCGCGGGTGGTTCTGGTATCTCGCCTCTACTAATTTCCTAACATTTTTGTTACATTTAAAACTATCGAGATATAACAATTTCCAGGATTTTATGCAATTTTTTTAAGATAACTAAAATAGAAAAATGCCGTGAAAGTATCCAAATTCTGTAACAAAACGCCGAAAATTAAACGAGAGCACTATTCATTGTAGGCGTCTATGATATCCTTGCATTGGACAGAGTGCCATTTAATCTCAGGAAATGTCTCATCGCCATATGCTTGGCATTCCCCTTCTCCAATGGATGTGAAAGTTTGTGAAGTATTATCAGGATCTGTACAATCACTAGTAGTGAATACATTGCATACCGCATCGGTGAAACCCCAAGATCCAGGGGTTGTTAATGGGCCGTCGGCACAGGATGTCCATGATAAGTCAGTGGATACGTAGTTCCAGTAAAGAATTTCATCATCTGCTACGGTTGTCGTCATGTCGCTTTGGAGATTGACGCATCCTGTTGTGGTACCTGATACATAGTAATAGTCACCTTTGCATTTCTCCTTGGCAAAAATGAGAAGCGACCAGCGACCGCCTGTTTCTGTGGGAGATGAAGTACTTTGGGTCTTTGTACTCATAGTTGTAGTCTTGGTTGAAGATAAGGACATGGTCGATGTCGACTGCGTGGTGGAGGTTGAAGACGAGGTAGAATGTGTAGTGGAGGTATATTTTGCGCTGGAAGCAGAATCCGTGATTGATGTCAAATCCGTGGTAGAACCTGAAGACGAGCTAGTATGTGTAGTCGACGTATAATTTGTAATGGTAGTAGTGACTGGGGACGTAGATAAGGAAGCCGAAGAAGCTGAAGAAGAGTGAGAAGCCGATAATGAGGCTGTTGTAGATGTTAAGAAATAACCTGTAGAAGAGACCAGGGAGCTGGAATACCAGTGCAGGTATCGCCGAATTTAATCAACGTAGACGAACATGCAATAGTTTGAGCCTATTCAAAATTTAGTAAATAAAGTTGACATGGTAAATTATTTTGATATCACAAACGGACAGTTGCCGACGCTATAAGTACTAGCATAAATATGTAAATGAAAATAGAGCAGTGGGCGGCCGAATGCCAACATATGGATGCCTCTCCATTATGTATACGTGCAACTGGTAAAACCCGCAACTAGTACCTCAGATAGACACCTTCGATGGAATTAATCTTCTGTTGGATATCTGTTGTTTTATATTCGCTCAAAGACAATGTCTAGGTATTCAGAGAGTATTTGAGCCGCAGGAATCTAGGCTCATAGACAAAGCCCGCCTTGCAAAAATTTTCGAAGCGACATATATGCGATAATAGATTACTGAGCACCACTGATTCATCTATGACCCATTAACAGACAAATTCACCTATCAGGTCACTTTTATCGAAACCCTTCTTTGTATTCCTGCAGTACTCGATGTTATATGCCCCTTCATCGATCGATGAAACATTTTCAGCACTCTACAAACAAAATGGCTCCCCCTCTTTTCCAACGTGAGATCTCCTTAGTCATTGAACTTTCTTTTTGTTCGTCCATATAATAAAGAATGCAACCAAAGAAGGGCCAGCAAAACAAAGGAGTCACGAGTTAGCTGGTGATTAAGCAGAAACAGCCACTCGAAAGAGCGATCACTTAGCCTATCACACATGAAACTCCTTTGTAGGCCCCTAATTGTTTCAATTATGATACCCTTTCATCCGACAAGTTACCTTTGATATTCTTCTCAATATCATGTTAACTGCACCAGACCACTGGCAGCTGTAGGGGCACAATAGTGAGGGCCCTACGATCGGATATCTAGTCAAAGTCGATAATTAAAGCTTTACCCTATCAAACCCCCTCAGTAAGCTCATTCAAGTACACTTACAAATTTATCGCTCGAAAATCCCAATAAAATCACCTATGTCTTCGGTAATCGTAGCCCCAAAATTCACACACGTATACGCACGCAATCACATACTATATATCCACTTCAGCCCTATAGATTTACTTTTCACCGGGCACCCATGGATAGCGTGGACGCCTAGAATACTGACATGTCAACTAGGTAGGCTTAAGAGCCACATACGGCTTAGTGGTTCAATCTGAAATTCTCCGAAATGCTAGTTTGTGGCCTAACGCTCGAGATTTATGCTTAAATGGCCCACAACGAGGCTGTGCTTGCTAGCGTTTCCTGGCACTAGTAGCGTTTTCACAGCGTCGATTAGGCTTACTGGAAGAAAGGTAAAATAAGAATACGCTAATGCGGTGGTGGATTTCTTTTGCTTTTTTGGTTTGGTTTGGCTTATTATATATGTCTGTTCGCGGTTTATCTGTAAATATGATGTATGTTTACTACTAAATACAGCTACACTAAGTGTGTGGTAGTACTACTACTAGGTATTACCATGATCTTAGATTAGGTATTTTGCCAAGCCAGATATATCTGGGGTTCAAGTTATGAAAAGAGCATGATTTTTTCTTTCGCTTCCAGGTTTCATTTCTTTTCATAATTAATGAAAGCAAAACTAATGGTTGAAGGATCAAAGACATGAGGGGAAATTGAAAGGCGTATGCAAAAATCCCAAATCGAACCCCGAACCTTGATCGATCGCTCCTCATTTTTGAGAAGCGCTTCCAAGGTAACTTGCCTATCTGCCAACTCACCAAAGTCCACAAAAGTGTTCATTACCGACCGGATGCAACTCGCATGCATTGAGCCCGAATCTCCTTAAACCTGCATACATTTCCTGCACCTAAATTCCCAAGAAAGCATCGTGCAGTACACCAAAACTTGAACTGCATAAGCGCCGTTGACGTATCCATGCCGTATGTTTCGTGGGATTGATTTATGTGTACCACATTTGCACACATCCTTACATCTGGGGAAGAAGACAAGAGGCAAAATCTCCCAAAAAGGAAAAAAAGAAAGAAAAAAAAACAGGCTAATGGCCACCTTCTCCTTCCTTCTCTGGATCAGATCCCGGTCAGTCTTACCTTACTGGCCTGAGCGTCAAGCCGCATTCCTGGTGGCCAACGGACGCCAACGCAGGATGCGCTAGCAGGCTACGGCCCCTGTCATGCAATGCAGCGGAGGGGAGAAGTTGGACCCAACCCGATTTCCGTCTGGTGGTAATGTACAGAGCAGCCGTAGAACATGCATGGAAAATGTAACTCTGGTCGGTTGCTTCGGCTGGTATCGTGCTTAGGGCTTGCTGGTTGCCTCTTTATTTTTGGGTTTTCATGCCCGATTTGCCTTGGCGCCTGTCAGCGTTCTGTACGGAGTATATGCCCAGGTGTAGGTATCAGGGCTTAGGGATTTGTTGGATTTGGATCTGCAATGGTTGCATGGGATAATAGATTTGGGATGTTATTATTATTGTGATGAATATTTTTAACAACTTTTCCTTGTTTTTTGTTCGGTATCCTTTATTCTTCCTGCAATCATAAGGCAGATTAAGCCTTTCCCCCACATCATGATTCATGATCATGCAGGATTCACTCCTCCCGACCCTGTCTGTATGTAAGTACAAGGTTTTTGAATTAGTAGGCGCATAGATATTATTGGTGTGTTGGACGTTGAGAATGATGATATTTGGAGAACTTTCATTAATTGTATTTCAAGTTGATCTGGGTTGATTTTATCCGGCTTGGACTACCTAACATAACCCCCCTGTCTCGGGGATTCGGATCCTTACCATCATCCTTTGAGAAAAAGGTCAAGTCTAAATTCATATTACGGAGAAACCTTTTTTCTGTCTCCTTTGGGTGGGTTTTCTTCCCCTTAATTCTTTTTTTTGTTTTTTCTATTTTTCCCTTTTTTCTTTTTATCAGCCTCTCTTAGCCCCCCGAATTCCCACACCCCCTAATTCAAATATTGACCCATTCAATGTAATTCATCTCTAACCGAGGAGGGGCCCATGTCTCACGCAATTATCTCCTTCAACGACCCAACTTACCAAATATAGGCCCGGCCCATACAAGATAGGGGCAAACCGGCACAATTGGATACAGTATCGAGGGATCATCATTTGGCATTGTTTTGCTTGCAACAGCAACCCACACTTGCTCCGAAGCGGCCTAAGTCGATTCGATCTGCCGAAGGGACAAGCGGGTAAGACTTACCGTGTACGGCGTAGTGCTGCCTAGCACGCCCATTAGCCAGCACAAGATTTCCACGGTCCCGCACAGGCCATTGTAGTGTGGATCCCAGGGAGATTTCCTATTGTTGCGGTGGCCGAGAGAACCACACTGACTGGTCCATTCTCTGAGCACGGGGCAGCTTTGTCCTGATTCCCTGGAGTCTCGGCAAGAGTGGTACCGTACTTAACTGGTAAGCAAGCTCTGGTGGGTGAGGTACCCGATGCACCAGTCCCACTGACAGGTCCGTCGTCCCTTTCCTTTCATTTCTTTTCTGTGGTCCTTGGGGAAGGATCATCGTGAAGACGTGTTCCCGCTGGCGTTGGCGTTGGCGCGCAAGCTGGGATTGGACTTGGACTTTGTTCTGGGGAACGCTGGGATCGGCTCGAGGACTTAGGTTGTGTGCACTTGCACTAGTTGACGGAGCCGGAGTATACCCGTGTAGCTCGACCAGTCTATCTGGCGATGCTTACACGTGCATTTTTGTTACGCATTTCGGAGATAATGGTGAATGGAGTCCTGTTTTGGGATAGCCCCATGTTTATTTTATTTTGTAATTTTCTGTTGAATTTTATTTTGACTTTGAATTTACTGTACACGGCTGAGAATCTTCGTCTTTCTCAACATGTGCATTCACAAATACAATAAGCCACAGCCGCGGAAGCCGCCTCATAACGGTGCCCGTTATTGCAAGGTAAACAATCACAACAAAAGATGAAGATGTTAATGATAATGATAATGATCATTGTGTAGGTAGTAGGTCAGTATCACCAAGCTCCCTAACGGGCAAATCCCGACCAATTTACTCCGTCTACCAAAAAGGCGTAATCGTATGAATTACCATCTAAGGACACGTCAAAAAAAGAAAACAAAACAAATTAACGATTCCATCCTGCAAACAAGAAAATGATAAAATCACGCCAAGCTCTCCTGAATTTCATGTCCGTACTCACCATCACAGTGGGTTCTGATTCGATCAACCAAATAGCGCTTCGGTGGTCATGAAAACATGAAAACTGGGGACACCGAGCCCACTTTCGGAGGGATCGTCCGAGGTTACAGTACGAAGGTCTAGCATAACCTCTAAGTACCTAGTCCAGTCTTTCTCTCCTCTCCCGCAACTGGAGCCCAGCGGCTGCGGCGTCCAATGACTGACGCGCTATATGGATTTGATATCGATCATCCCGGCCTTGAGTCCGGAATTCCCGTACACAGCTACTTGTGTCCTGTGCTCTCCCTCCGCGGAGCTCTCCGCGAGCGGGGCCAGCGGAGCTACGAGGTGCCGATGGATGGGTGTGGGAATTCCCATTCAAGTTCATTCCATTTATGTTTCCTGGGCCAGACTAGAGACCTGACTTGATTCCGTATTGCTTGTTTATGTATACATGGGGAAAGTTCGGGAGGAAAAGAGTGGTTCGGTTTTGGTTTTGATTTTCGTTTGGGGTGGATGGAACGAGGTTGGTTGGTTCTATTGGAGTACATACAGCTGTGTAGGTTTTGATTGATTGATTGAAATTGAAATTTTGGATGCATTATCAGTTTTATCGTATATTAGAGTACACCTGGTAGAGAGCTGAAAGAAAGAAAGGATTATGCCGAAATTGCCGTATTGCCAAGCTCTTTACTCCAACTCCAAATTGTTCTCCATACGGAGAACAGTTCATAATGTAGTAAATTAAAGCGAAAGCGATAACGCAGCATTTACATTTCGGACCCCATTCTGCTTTTGTCTTTTGTCTTTTGTCTTTTGTTTTATTTTATTTTATTTTCTCCTTCACCGGCAGTGGAATCAACAGGTTTCCGCTCTCGCGCGGGGGTGAGATCATACCCACTTGTTGTACCTTTAACCAATCAGGGCATTCACGCGGCGAAACTTAAGCAGTCGCTTCCGAGGTGAGAGCCTTGCAGCACTGTGCACCGAATTGTCCGTGTTCTCCTATCTAGAAATGAAAATGAAAATGAAAATTGAAATAAATATGTAATATGTAATTTTGTAATACAATAAGGAAGAGAAATTGTTTCTCTCGTCTTTCTCAGTAGTCCATAAATAATATCTCTTGATATGTATTACAGATATTAGATCCGCTCACTGTACTTCTCGAGGCTCCTCTAGATCTGTAGGTGCATGCACCTCAATGTTGTATGTAAGCCGGAGAGCCGCCGATGCTCCGTCGAACCAAGCAGGCCACTAGTCAAGCTCCATGGTCAATCTGGAGTAAACAGGAGCCAATGACCAATCACTGACCAATGCAAGACAGGATCGAGGGTTGTTCCATGGTGGGCGGTAAAAAGGCCGCCCCCTTTTTACTGTTTAGGGATTTTGGGTTTTGGGTTTGTCCCATCGACTCTCCCCGGCGCTATAAGAATTAACCTGATTAGCCTGGTTCATATCGTGAGTCTGGATTTGTGAAGGCCATGATGATATCCATGATACGAGTATATACTCCTTATAGTATAATTATAATTATATTATAATTTGGTTGATGGTTGATGTAGATTAATCTGGTATCTGTATCTGTATCTGTATCTACACAGTACAGTACCACGGTTTATCAGCATTATCTTTCTGGTTTTCTTTCTTTTTTCTTTTTTCTTTTTTTCGTTTTTCGCTTTTCGCTTTTCGTCTCCTCCGGCCTCTTTTCGATCAGATCAGATCAGGAGAACCTCGAAGAAACCTCAGTGGGGGTCGACCCATGCACGAAAAAGGGGCATTTTGCGACATTTCTTGTCATCGTATCGTACCTTTTCCGAGGTCCACCTCTTCTCTTCTGGGGAGTATGTATTGTTAGTTTTGGTGCAGGGTTGTTAAATCCATAATCTATAATTCAATCTCATGAATAATAATATTGGAGGCTAGTCCTAATGTTGGAGGTGTCAGGGAGATATAGCCTCCGATCACCGGACGGTGGAGAATTGAGTGTTGTTCGCTGGTTTTTTTTGGTCTTTTTTTTTTCTCTAGGGGATCCACATACGCGTTCCTGAGATTGTATGGAGTGTGACATCGGATTACGTGAGAGCCGATTTGATTTTGATTTGTATCTGTGAGTAAGAATGGAAATGGAAATGGAAAACCCGAAGTTGGAAGACGAGAAATGATACAATACTCAGCTGTCGGGTTTTGGAATAAAAGAACTTGAACCTTGGGAAAGAGTTTAGGCAAAGGGGATAAAGTGAGATGTTATACGCAGCTACTGGTGATCGTCGACAGGGGATACGGAGTACTTCTTATATGTATATCATATTAACGGTTTTGCTTCTCGAGTCCAAAGCCTTATATATCATTATGAGTAGGGTGAAGCTAAAAGCACGCTACTTTCCGGGGATATCAGAAGCCTCCAAGGGCTGTAGGTTGAAGCTGGTTGAAAGCTGTGAAAAGTACCGTAATTTAGTGTACGGTACTGTCACGCCCGGCTTCAACCGCCTCTCGGCTTTTTTCATACTTTGGCGCTAAACCCAAAACAGCCTCGTCTCCACCCTTCCACACCGTCCACGCTAGCCATTCCACTAGCCCTGGTCTTCCCGAGTACCATCGCTTCACCTCCAATCGTGCAATCTGTGTTCTGTGTTGTGCACAGTAGACAGTGGACAGTGGACAATTGTTCAATCTGCTTTCCCCAAACCTACACTAGCCCCAAGATAGGTCTAGTTCTGAACAGGCCCTAGTCTGCTTTTGGCTCGGTTCCACCCTGGCCCCCGTTGAGAAGCTCAGGTTCCTCGGGCACGCCATTCCTAACACCGGTTTGGTTTGGCCCCCTCTTTTCTTCTTTTTTTTTTTTTTTTTTTTTTTTTTTTTGACTCTTCTTTTCTCTGGGTCAGGTGAAAGAAGTCCACTGGACGGAGTAAAAATTACCGTCTAGTTCTGCCTTGCCCTGGTCTGCCCTGTCTGACAGGCTTTGCACGATCTTGGTTGGTACCCACGGACAGGAGACGCTAGGTTCACCGTCGTGAGACGCGCCCGAGTTGCGGGTAGACTAGTCTGGTGGGAGGCTAACCCTTATCACCACTTCAAGGCCGAGATCAATTTTGATATGATATTGAGCAGCCTTTTGATTTTATTAAATTGTACTTAATTGTACCCCTAGGGTATCTACTTTTCTTGAGAAGGGCGATGTAATGAATTTCGTCACATTGACGTCTTGGAAGGATCCGCTTTGAAAGAGAGAAAGGGAAGAAATAAAATAAATCTAAAATACTAAAAAATGACATAAATTCAATAATAATGGGAAGAAATAAAACAAATATAAAATATAAATATAATTCCTATCACACGGACATAAAATGGAACACTTAGCCGGGACTTGGGACGTGTGAGGGGAAAAGGGGGCCAACCCAGATCAGTATGTTCGGAGTATTGGAGGGAAGGGGAAAGGTCCGACTCATTACAGATTACTCATTTAATTCATTTTGATTTTGGTTATTATGATCGCTTGGATTACTGAGTGATTCCCCGATATTTATTATCAATGTGTAATTAGCGATATGCAAATCTAAGGGGTAAAGCGTAATCTCCAGTTCTGTGGTTTGGCTACGTTGCATTTGATGTGATGATTATTTTTTCTATTTTATTTCTATTGTATTTCTATTTCTAATTTACAATTTACGTGGATCGTGGATTGTCGTGGCCAAAGAATCAGTAGGAATGTGTCCAGGATGATAAACCTCAACGACCTATTGTAGGTATACAGATACCCAGGTGTAAATCTTCATTTAATATGTATGTAATATCATATTGTCATATTAATCCCTAATCATGAATTCCCATTAATATTATATTTATATTTATCCCATTTCCATCTGTTAATCCATTTCCTGGCTCCAAAATTACACTCCACCCGGCTCCACCGCATCCTCGGATCCCACGAGGACGTTCTGCGCTGCCGAATCGTCGTCCGCGGCCTTTTAGGTGCTTTGCCAGCCCCTCAAACCTCTTTCTTGTTCATTCTTCTTTTTTTTGTGAATTGGAGAATCTTTTACAACAATTCGACCAGAAGTGCTCCTAACCCCTAAAAAAGTCTACTACCAAGCCTATCTTAGTACGGTATTTCTCCGTACCTCGTGCTTACCGCCACCCTGCAAGGCATCTTCGTCCTAAAAAGCGAACTAAGATTTAAGCATCGGGGTATCGCTTGAACGCGCTTTGACAAGAACGCGTCGATCCGCCCTTTCTCTTTTTTCTCTTTTTTTTTACTGCTCTTTTGATTTCTTTTTATTTCTTTTTGATTTCTTTTCTTTTTGGTGCTTATTTTTTTTTTTTTAATCTCCACCATCGATCTGCATTTCACTGCTCGCCTCCCCCGGACTCAAAGTAAGTCATCTTGGTTCTTTTTTCTCTCTCTCTTTCCAACGTGGTGTTCCTTTAGTACATTGTTAGTCCCTTGCTGTTTGGCCTGGGTTGTACCCGTTGTTTCCCCATCTTAGTCAATTTCTCCGTCTCTTCTTTTTTTCTTCTTACCCTTGTACCTCACCAACCCTTCAACACCCCCCCTTCTCCATTCCCGCCCTCCTGGAAACCTCAACCTCCTCTCCCGCTAACCGCGCGCCCATTACTTGCGATTAGGCGTAGGGTGAAATTTGGTCTCCCAATTCCAACCCTGAATCTCTCTCCAACGCGCACCCCTCCCCTTTTCAATTAAAAAAAAAACGCCCCGAGTCCAATTCCTTGCGGACGCGCCGATCTTTTTATGGACACCCGGCCTGCCTCCGAGTACGCACAGTCAGGTTCGCACCTTCCAGCATCTTCACAGCTCCGGCTTTAACTACCGTGTGCGATCAACACACGAACTCTTTTTCTGAAACTTTCTCCCCCTCTCTCGCTGCAGACCAAACTGCTGCTGCCAGTACTCACTACGCTCATACCCCGCAACCCGAGGTCCGCCCAACTCAGTACACGCCCCAACCTGAGGTGCGACCCGCCAATATTTCGTCCTCCAACACGCCTCAGCCCGAGTACGGTCTGAATCCTCCACCGGCTCGTTCCCCAGCTTATCATCAGGACTACCTGCCTCGACCGCAACCGTACGCCCCGAATTCTCAACCCGGTGGTGCTCCCAGTATGGCTCAAGCATCCAGTCCGTCTCACCCCATTTCTACAACCCCGCGCAGTCCGGAAAAAAAGTCTGACGCGGCCCTTCCTATAGATCCCTCGCTCCCGGCCAACAGCCCGACCTACCCTCCTCCTTATTCTCCCTACCAGCCCCAGGGACACGAGATGCAGTACCAGGGTCACCCGCCCCCTCCACACCAGCTTTACGCGAGACCAGATTGGCCTCATAGCTATGGACAACATCACCAAGGATTGCCCGGCCCCTACTCCTCTCCCTCTACTACGGTTGGTTCCGCCTCTCCTATTACTCCTACTGCTACGACCGTTGCTCCACGTGGTAAGGTATGTTTTTGATGGTTCCTGGTTCTAAAGGCTTCTTTTACCGTTGTCTTGGACGCGCCTCTGGGCTTTCGACCGGTGTCTTTTCCGGTGTCCGGTCGCCCTCCCAGGGATCGTCAAAAACAGCACCTTTCCCATTTCCCCATCTGTTGATTTTTGTTGTCGCATGCGACATGAAATACCGATGTTGTGATTTTGAAAATTTTAGGATTTTTTTTGGCATTTTTACGACTCTGGTCCAGATCACTGATCACAATTCTTCACTATCTCAGGTCTACTCTTTCGTCCCTATTCCCGGTGCTCAACAGCACAAGCGTCCTCGTCGTCGGTACGAAGAAATCGAGCGCATGTACAAGTGTGGCTGGCAAGGATGTGAGAAGGCTTATGGTACCCTGAACCATTTGAACGCACACGTGACGATGCAATCGCACGGTGCGAAGCGCACGCCTGAAGGTGAGTTTCAATTGAGTCGTTTTGCATCATTCGCGCGTTTTGTTTCCATCTTGAGTTGGTTGTCGCAAATCGCTGGATTGGGTTAGCGCCGGCTGGTTCGCGCTAGTGAGTTACACTAGATCTCGCGGGGCCGCAGTAGCGTGGTCGACGGCGTGGAGGTTTAACTTGCCCTTGTTATCCCTTCCCGCCCCGCCAGATTCTTGTTTTTTGTAGCCGCTCATCATTGTCCCCTGCCCTTTTACATGCCATCACTTTACATTCCTCACTCATTTGCGCATTACTGACTTAACTTCCTACTACTAGAATTCAAGGAAATTCGCAAAGAATGGAAGGCTCGCAAGAAGGAAGAAGAGACACAGCGCAAGGCTGCTGAGGAACGTGAGCGCGCTGCCGCTCAAGCTTCACAGGCTAGCCAGGTCGACGCCCCTGGTGGTCCCTCTGATCCCCAGGGTGGACAACCTGGTGCTTACGGTGGTGGTGTTCGCCCTCAGCTTCCTCCTATCGGCTACCAGCCGGCGGATAGTCAAGTTCCCAGCCAGTACGGCCCTGGCGGCGGCATGGTTTACCAGAGCAATGGACAAATGGGATACCCTCCCAACTACCCGCACTCGCCTTACCAGAGCGGTCCCGTTTATCAGCAACGTGAGTAAAACCAAAAATCAAAAGGATCATTCAACAGCCAGTCGCCATCTCTGCTAGGATCGACTCTTTACCCCCCCCTCCCTCCACACTTGGACCTTTTGACCCCTTCGATCTACAATCGAAACGACCTCCCAGGAATCGGTCGGCTGATGAACTTCGCTACGGCTATCCAGAGACTCCCAACTACCCACAATAATCATCTAATCGGCTCTCTCATCAACGTTGTGGAACGGACTGCATCTACGCTTTTCCCTTTTTATCTGCCTTCACTGTTAACCATGCTCTGTCTATTTTCCTTTTTCTTTTTGATCACGATATCCCATTGCCTGTGACTCATGTCGTCTCGGATTCGGTTACCTCCCTGCTAAGTTTTTTTCCTCGATGATACCAACCTCTGCGGCCATAATCAACCCAACCCAGTCAAAGTATAAACGACTTTTGACTGTCCTCCCCTTTTTATCCCTGCAATTATCCTCCCTCTTACTCTCGCATCCAGCTTGATGGGAATGCAATACTTTCTCTATTATCGAGAAATGAAACGACCAGAAACGGCCTCATCTTCTCTTCTTCTGGCTGCTTATTGCGATGCGGGATTGCCTCACGGAACGGTTAGGTGGCAGAATTTTATTTGCATCAATGTCTTTCCTTACTTATGCCCATGCCTAGTTTTTCTAAACTTTTTTATACGTGGTGAAAACAGTTTTTTCCCACAAAACGGTTCCTATTTTTCATGGGGGTTTTTTCTTTTTCTTTTCCTATCTGTTCTCAACTGGTTGCCTTGTCTGTCTTATGGAACTTTTTGCTTTGCAGGTATGCTTTTGTTTACCTTGCCTTTACTCTCTTATCTCTCCTCTACTCTACTATAACGTACATTTCTGTTGCACCGGGTATATTGGCCTGGCATTACCTTGTGCATTTTTGATCTGATTGAGTCTGACCTGGTTTCATGCCGTTTCTCTTCTCTTCTGTTCTGCCCTTCCTTTTCAATCCGGATGGATTGTATTGTAATTTGTCTTATTTGCTTTACTTATTGCTTCATTCGGGTTGAACTCGGGTCGTCTTCCGTACATATTTCGATGTGCTAATAGTCAGAATAACAGACTTTGCAAGCTTTGATTACGATTGTAGATAGAATAAGATCTTCAATTTACCGGATGCAAGTTTAGTAAATTCATTAAGAGTAATCAGCAAAATGGCACCAGCAACGAAATAAAATCAAAATCTCCGTATTAACTCGACTAGAAACAGTGGCAAGAACGGTGCAGTCTACAATACAAACATCTGCCCACTCCCCACCAACTTGGTTAAACCCTACTTTAAACCCTACATCATAGCCAGGCAAGCTAGTCAGCCACATCCGAACCAAACTAACAAAGCAAACCCAATCGAAATAAAATAAGGTTAAACAAGCGTCTGATCTAGTCCAGTCTAGTCATGTCAAACTAAGAACATGAAATAAGAAACAGAATTTTCAAATCCACTAGTGTCATATTTCCACAATCCCCACAGGGCTGTACTTACTAGCTGGGCTGGATTGTATGGTTCGGTCCGGTTCAATTCCTTGGCTTGATTAGCTTGATTAGCGGGAGTCTAACTCTGTCAGAAATGGCGCTTACGGCGATCTTACTAGGCTTGTTTTGCCATGCCTTGCTTTGCGCTAAGTGCTGCACGGTGCATACGCATGAACTATCTATACGAATGAACGGACGGGGATGCGTCTGCTGCAGGTACAGATTATGAGGATACATTAGTGGGAATTTTGATGACGTATGCTGCAGGGAAGGTGCTATAGATCTGTCATGTAGGTTGTGCTGCGGGTATGTGCATCATGTACTCCAAGTGTACTAGTTTAGTTTATTCTATTCTATTCTATTCTGTAGAATGTGGCTTTGTTCTGTTCCAGTTCTTATTCTTGTTCTTGTTCTACTTCTCATTATGGTTAATTTAGGCTATGAATTGATGTATGATTTTATTACGATAAGGCTCTCCAGGGCTACTGCACCACTTACCGCACAAAGTACTGTGTGACTGTGATTGTGACGACTGCGTGGCTGAGTTAGTGTCGGTTCCCTGCATGGACTAGTTTGAACTCGATTAGGGTTAGTTTGTGCGGGTGGTTGCCACGTGGGACCCTGCCGATCATTGTCACGGGGTGATACTTGTACAGTACCGGCTTTAGTGTTAACCTTGAACTGTTAGCGTTGGTTAGTGTGGAGAGGTGTAGCTTTTGATCTTCTTCCAAGGTTAATATGGCAATGAGCATTTCATCTGGGTGGAATTTTGTGTTAAGTTGAAAGATGATATGCATTGATAATTTTGAGATTCGAGTTCCTAAATCCTGCACAGCCATGATCATATATTCAACTTCTCAAATCGCGAATGTCCTCCTTTAAGTCATGTCCCTCCCTTGTAAATCGCCGTTCCATTTGGTTAGAAATTCGTCGTTCGTTTTGCGATCTGTCGAGCTCATGGCGGAGAGCTTTCTTGCACATCATGGATTTTAAAGACGACCCTCAGGATGAGAGATACCTCTAACGAGTCTCATAAATTCATCCGCAAAGTTAATCCATCTCCAGCATTGTCCCAGACTTTCTGCAAGTCTTCAGCGCATAGATTGGACATCAGCCAAACCCTCACTCGGCGCGACCAAATGTCCAAGATGATACCATCCGCGTTATTCTCACGGGGGCGCATTTGAAATCAGCAAACTCTAGATCTATCGCCTAGGCCTTCAGCACTTTTCCAACCATAAACCCCACAGAATGGTTGAAGGCACTCTGAAGGCCCGTCTCGTCGCCAATGAGGTGTGATTTGGCCTCAGGGCTCTCTAAACGACGGATGCACTTGATTACTTTTTGGCTCCACTTCTCTTTAAACCTAGGTTTCCACGAAACGAAGAAAATTAGACCAACGGTGCAGCTGACCCACGAATTTGAAATAGTGAAGCGCACTGGACTTCGTCCCCTTGGGGGTGGCCGTTCAGGGGAGAATGTAGGCCGGCGTCTCCTTGGGAGCGACTGCGTGGAAGATATAACCGTTGCTGTAAGAGAAATTGTTTCCACAGAGATAGTTGTGGCCTCGGACGAAATTATTGCTCGGCGCCTTGAAATTGACTCAGTAAGGGAGAGCGTTTCCTGGTGCTCTACCCAGTCACCTTGAGTAGACGAAATCGTGGCCCGGCGCTGCGTTGCAGTTGACCGGACAGGAGAAGATGTGTTGCGGCGAGACATAGTAGTTGAATCTCGTGAATGAGGTAGAAAATGAAATTTGCTTTCAGAAACGAAGGTGGAAAGTGAGATTTCGAAGTCCACAAGATGACGGAAGGTGGAAGAGTTTAAGATGCTTGGAAGTGAGAATAAATAGGTGCCGTCCCCAGGCACCACTGGCAGGTGACCATATAAAATATTCTGGCATTCAATGTTATTTGCTCGATTTGCAATCAATCCAATAGTGATTCTTTCGAAAGACACTCTTACGCTCGCGAATAAATATAGCATAATTGATGTATATTAACTTATATATAGGACTTCTGTCAGAGAATCTTAGCAAGATGATTATATACTAACCCGTTGTAGCATTCGAATGATTAATAGCAAAGTCGGAGAGGAGAAGGGAGGACAGTGAGGCAGGCGACATGAAGATATACATGCAGCCATATGGAATCACGGGACTTCCTTATCATCAAGGGCGTTAGGCGCAGTCCGTGACGATACTAGTACTGCTCAGAATGTATGTTAACAGCGATATGATCAAACCAGATGTATTGCTATCAGTCACTCAAATCTCCAACTTTACCACTCTGACCCTGCTGCCTATTCAATCTCTTGATACTACTAAGAGGACTTCCTTCCTCCAACTTCCTAACAAATACAATCATTCTAACCAGTGAGCGTCGACCCTCCTCATTTATTCAATCCTTCCTGGGCCTGATGATATCAAGTGTACTTCGATGTTAAATCAGACTACGTTGGCAAGTGAAGGTTGTAGGCGAAGAAAAGTATTATGTACGACGAATATTCGACGGGGAACGAGTCAGTTCGTAATCAGATACTCCAAAGAGTATGAATATTGACGAACCAACTGAATTTGTGGAGAGTCAGCAATATAGCTCACCTAGTCCAGGCAAGAAGGCTTATACTCTTCAGGCAGGTCAATGGATCCACTAGTCCAGGCGAACAACCTCAATCGGTATCTTCGCATGGGACAAGGCTTGACCGAAACCTCAGGAACATACATCAGGCTTCAGATTTAGTGTTTTGATACGAGTGGCTAACACGTGACAATATAGCACTGAGCACCGTAGCCGCAACCCAAGAAGTATCTTCTTCATGATTTTGTGTGTATCACTTTCTTCATGTACTATAGAGGAAGGGGGATATATTGCTGATCAATCTCAGGCTCATATAGCGTCAAATGTTCTCCCACATCATGCAACGGGTGCTGTGGTCCAGTGGTCAAGACCTGACATTGTGGTATTCTTACTAATCTGTCATAACCCCGGTTCGATTCCGGGCAGCGCCAAGATCTTTTTTTTTTTCTCACTTCGCATTCACCTGTTTGTGGGCCGACGATTTTTTATGCCACACAACCCGGCGAGTTGCCATACACACATTACCTGGAACCAAATTTGGGAAACCTGCTGTAGTGTAATATAAGTCGGGAGCTATCAATGGCCATGTCGGACGGCCAAACTTCAAGGCCAGCGGCATCGCCATACTAAAGGCCTTTGCTTACAAGCAGGTTATTTTTTATTTTATTTTCTGTGGTCCTTCGGACCCGTGTTAAAACTTCATACTAGTACGCCCCCGGTGGTAGGATCCTGAAGAAGTTTGATATCCACGGTAACTTTCCAAAAAAAAAAATTGCAGTTCTAGTAATTCTTGAAAGCGAAGCCTTTTGCAACGCACCCAATGCTAATCTCCTACGGGCTCTGGGAAATTCCGGCATGATGGCTTCAAAACATTCAAGTTGATCGAGGCTGATTTTATACCTATATCTCAGCCTTGGAAATACGGTAGAAGCTTGGAGTGTAATCGGGTTATAGTTGTATAAAGTAGTACTCTCATGTTGCGACGTATAACATCAGCTCAAGTTATATTATACAGTATTCGGAATGTGCCACCTGCTAGGAGTAGTGAGTTGTCCGTTCAAGTTGAAGTCACGGATGTAGACATATTTTCCAGTTGGGATGGAGTGGACATGGTACCAAAGTTGGGAATGGTGGGCCTGAGGATTTCTGGGTACTAGAGGTACTCTAGGTAGTAGTAGTGTACATAGTACCTACCTACTCTCACCTGGGCATCATCCTTGGAAGTGATAAATGTTTAATTGTTTAGCTAAGACCACAGTATGGATATAAGCCCTAATTTAACGTTGTTTAATCCGCTTCAACATGCATCTATACTACCGCCAGAAATCCAAATCCATGGACTTGGCCGGTTCAAGTTGTGGACTTCACACGTTCAATTGACAGCATAAGATACAGTCGTAAGGAGAACTTTCACAATTAAAGATCTTGAAAGCCAAAAATTCGTAACTTCCAACATACTGATATGCCAAGAAATAATGTATATGCAGAGTGGCTTCTTGTACTCTTTGGCCCAGTCATGGATGTTGAGGGTCGTTATCTCTGATCGGAGTGTAGATTTACGAAGCGTTATTTTTCGTCCCAATACATCAAGCGGGTGCTGTGGTCCAGTGGTCAAGACCTGACATTGTGGTATTCTTACTAATCTGTCATAACCCCGGTTCGATTCCGGGCAGCGCCATTTCATTTTTGTTGCACCAACTTTTTAGTTGGCATTATAAAATTTTCTTTCTGGATTTTTTACTTTCAGTTTCTGTTATAAAATTAAATCATTGAAACGAAGGGGTGCTTTTCATATAATAATAGTTAGCTTTGAAAAACAAAGCAAGGAAGTAAGTTGCGGACCGTCACCTCAAGGCGCCCTGTATACCATACCGGCTTCAGCTCACGCCTTACATCTCCTATTTCTTGTCATATTCTTGCATTGACCACTATCTTGCCCCCCTATTCAGCTAGAATTTTCTTCCAGAAAACAATTAAGATCGTTCAAAACTTTCCCGGCCCGCCTCTTCCATCCGCGGTGGAGTGTGACAACAGTCAGACTACATAAGGGGAGGCGTCAGCCAGTGTCTCAGATTATCGCCGTCATGTATCCCGTTCAGCCTTACCCGCTACAAACCAATGCAAGCCTTGAAACGAGGCAGATTGGGCGAATGTAAAAGATTCAAAGGAGAAAAAGAAAATCTAGAACAGCTCTCCCAAAGAAAGTATCGTGAGAATGCACTTGCTCAGCGAGATACGCGATACTCACAGATTAACAAGCCATTAGGTCAACCAATGAAAGCCCGCTTCGAGAGAATTAACAATCGATTATCATGAGAGATCAAAATTATATAGTACAGATGATTGCAGTCAGGCGAGGGATTGTAGAAGTCTTGACGTTCAACTGGGAAATTAAATAGCTGATCATGACCATATTTCACTAGATGTACAAGAAGGGCCGAGCATCAGCACCGGTGACTGTCAGCATGAGTCTGAAACAGGTACTTATAGAGCAGCTCTATTGATTTAGAATATTAGATACTGATTCTTCTATGCAAAGTAACACTGAGCGGGTTAAGCCTTACCGAACTTGAAATTCCACACGACCAGCCATTCAGCCTAGACGATGTCGGCAGTGTGGGCTTCACCTTCCAAACCCCCAGCGATATTTGGGACTCCGAAATCATTCCACGGATCCCGCAACAAAATACGAGCCCTGACAATCTCTTCGGTTCAGCATCAACACAGGAGTTAAATGAAACCACAAGTAGCGAGTCGAATACCGGGATCGGCAGGACGAGCTCTAATCAAACTATACCAACAATCCCAACCTCCCCTATATCAGTAGCTGCGATATCTCTCTGTGAAAGGGTCGAGCATATTATCGAATCGAATGTGCCAAAGAAGTCGGCTTTAACAACGTTGACTCCTTGGCCGCAGCATACTATAACGAAAGCTTCAGTGATTTGTCCTCTGTTGCTTATGACACGGAACAGCGACTCAGTCGGAATAGACGACTTCCTAGAGTGGTTTCGGATATATTTCAAGCAGCCTGTGGTTGGAGTGAGTGGGAAAGAAGAGGCTTGCAGGAAGAAATATTGAAACAGACGGAGTCCATGCTCTTACTTTTTATTTCGCTAAGGCAATGAGGTATATCTGTATGATGAAAATGGTCGCTTGAATCACGTTTGATCTTGGAGCTAGGCGAATGGTGTTCCTTGCGATGATTCAGGGGATTTCTCCAATTCTACCTGTAGTATTCCCCGTATGAGAGACACACAATGCATCGCATAAAACATCATATTCCCCTGGCGAGGGTATATGTCTCATTGTAATTGGCCCAAATGAAACCTTTTCGCTTTGCAGTTATCGCCGCCTCAAATTATTCATCATTTTCGGGTGACATGTCTTTGAATGTCGATATTTCTTTGAACATCTTTACCCTGGACTGGCCCGCTTCTGATCGACTTGAACCTTCATAACAGATATGAAGCGGCGCCCTAGAATAAGCCTGGAGCAGAAACGCTACGAAGACAAATCCCAATAGCGCTATACTGACTGAACGCCATAGTGATATTTGCTGCGCAGAGAAGCCCATACTTGAGATAGGTGGATAGTTCAAATCTAACTTGCAAGTCAACTTGATGAGGATCGAGGCATCTGCCAATCACCGAGATGCGTTAATCGCAGAGACTAGCACAAGATCCAAGCATGTTTCACGATTATTATGAGAATCTGGCTCGGAAATTCCAACAACGATCTAGAGCTTGGTTACAACTTTAGGCGCCCAGCCCAGGTCGAGGTTATTAAAGAACATACCTTTACATTGGCCATTTATCTATGTTCATTTTCATTTTTTCATAGTTGAAATGCCATTTATCTCGATGTTTAATCGCGGAGGGTTCATAAATTTAACCTAGCCGTGAACCCCAGGTAACGGGCTTAGAATAGAGACCAGATAATATGTAGTACTCTCGGTGCTCATAGTAGCGGGAGCAACGTAGTGCAGCCACCCCTACCTTGGAGAATAACATGCGGGGTTGATTGTAATAACTCATTTACCCCATGACATGAACCTAGATCGATATTAATGTTCGCCATTAAGTTGCAGACACGTAATAAAACTTACCAAGGTTGAATTATCTCCCTCGGTGTTGTCGCAACACCATCTGGGCAATAGAATCCTTAATTGAGGTAGTAATTACTGTTTAGATGAGACGAACTTGCTCCCAGCTTCCAATTTTCTCTTGTCTACCATCTCTTATCGAATATGATAAGGCGCCGCACAATCCTTTTAGTTCTAAGTTCAGTTTGTTGTTAAAAATCACATCGCATCTTCAAGGTACCATCCCTGCTGTATCTGAACGATCAAGGACTGTTCCAAGGTCTGCTTCAACACAAATTAAATCCTTCAACGTTATAAGTAACCATAGCATATTAGCTTAGTATAAAATAAATACATCTAGCCAGGTTGTCTTTAATATAGCCATTCGGATCAAACTTAAGAATTGGGTGGTGCTTGCGGCCCCAATTTTTAACCTTGTCGAAGTCCCAACAGCTATGAACATTGTTCGCATACGCGACGGCCCGTTGACTTCTTGAATCAAACGTCTAAGGAATAACACTGACATCTGAAGCGCAAGTCAAGGCCTGTCCAACAATTTCGAGACAATGACTGATATGGCCCCATCCCGAATTGCCGTCTTCTTCGAATTCCTCTGGTCCGTAAATATCCTTGTAGTATTCCACAAACAAATCTTGATGAAGTCGATTCTATGACAAAGGTTATTATTTGTACAATACTTATCGAGGTACTGGCACTTACCAAGCAGTGAAGCTGGTGGGATACAGCCAATTCACCAATGTAGTAACCTGGATCACCAGGGTAAGGGTATGTCTTGTTGAGTAACCGACCAGCCTCATCTCTGTTCATTCGAAAAGTACCCCATACTTTGATGGAAAATCACTGTTAGCATTTATGTAATGGACTAGCAACTGTGTATGACACATCAAAGGATCTCCTCACTGTCATTTAGGTCAATCCACGCTTGGTCAACTTCCTGTGAAGGCTTTTTCTGATATATGCTAATATCATGATAGAATCCCGTTATGAAAGCGACTGGGTTATAGTTGGCTTCGTCTTGGGCTGGGGCTATTCAGGAGTTAGAAATCAACGCCAATATAGGGAGGAATCGCAATTACAGTATGCCGTTTGCTTGTGCAAAGGCCCACTTTCTGTTTTATAGATCATAACTTAGAGTATCGCTAATGCAATAACCACGTTGAGAAGACAGGAAGCTCCTAATAGTGCTTTCAAGACTGGTTTTTGAGATGTTCATGTATCGATGGGCTCGATTGTGTTACTTGGTGGGAAGGAGTGAAGCTGTCAAGTCAATCGACTCTTCGTCGATCCCTGCATCGTCAAGTTTTCCGTAGCGAACATTTGAGCTTGATATTGTCATTTTTCAGTATATTGTTCCAATACAGGTAACTTCACGTCTTGAGAGTCAGAAGGGTGCTGAAAGTTCCAGGAAATGGAAATTGGAGATCTATACTCGGGGATTTGATTCGCTAGATTTCAGCCTCAGTTCTTGTTCCACAGTGTTTAACCTTTCACCATCTTGGATTATCACCGTGTTCATCCAACGTAATGTGGATCCTCGAGTATTAAAACTTGGAGAGTATCAATCTTACATGAATCGAACCACTGATAATTGCCACGCCAAGATTCACTTAACTCATTGCACGACTTTGAAATCCCCTCCCATAACACCTATGAGAATTTAGAACTTAGATTGCTCTCTGCCAAAGACCATTTGTCTTATTTAATGACTCGAACTGTCCTCGTTAGTTTCGAAAGGACCAAAGCGGTTAACACTACACTCTTCGACGGGAGTGGTTTTCAGTATATTGAGCAGCGAAAATCGTTTTCAATATGAAGAACATTCTTCAGATTGTCCTTCTACTTCAAGCATCTCTTGCTCTCGGAGCTCCAGTGCCTGGAGTAGGATATGAACACGCCGTGTGAGGTACAACTGATGCTTTAAACAGTGTCCCCGGCAGCCGGACTCCTCCGAGTCCCCCTCCGAATGGCATCATGGTCATGACAAGAGAGAAAAGATCGATGCCTCAACCGAGGCTTCGACCGATATTGTGAATAGTGGTCCAATCGCTTGGATTTGTCCCCCGCCTCCTCCTCCTCCTCCTCCTCCTCCTCCTCCCGCCGAAAATCATGGTGATCATGATAAGAGAGGCATGGCCGATGCTTCGTTCGATGCTATGAATACTAGGCCTGGTATCTGGACTCCTCCGCCCCCCCCCCCACCCCAATGTGAATTATGTCACAACAAGAGAGAGCAGCTCGATGCCTCGACTGATACTCTAAATTATCGTGCTGGTACAGAGTGGGCTATTAATCCTTCCGTTCCAGACCCAAACGTATGATATTGCTTGGGCCCCACGCCCAAAGCGCAAGATTCAACCAGTAAGTGCCGTTCTTGCCCCTTTGCCATTAGCAACAAAATGAAAGCGGGCTAAGACGCTGTTTATAGAGTATAGCGCGTTGTTGTTCTTTACTATTTACTATTCTTGTTGTTCCCTCTAGTCGGACTGCTTTCCCTCTTTCATAAGCAGATCGCATTTGGAGAATGAAAATTGGCAGGAATTATCCTCTCGTTACAATATGGGAATTTGCAAGGTCGCGGTTGATTATCATTTTACTATCTAACTTGTGTCGAATGAAGGTTGCTGCTGTATGATACCTTCTTCTTAGCAAAATGAAATATGATAGTCGTTGTGTTACAACTAATCCTTTCCCCATTCTAACGTGACATAACATACATTCATGCTATAATGATCATCAGGAAATGATAAGAGTCCCTTACTAGTATTTAGCTACCAGACGTTGCAATTCTTATTTTATTTTCCATATCATTTTTTCCAAATAAACATATTCCAAACGTAGAAACACTGGAGAATAAAACAAAGTCCTACCATATAGAGCCAAACAAAGCCAAAGTTTCAATCGGACAGCATATCGATCTACATGATGGGTATTGTGCTGTCATATACGGTTATGGGGCCTGTGGTCACTAGATTATTTTAGCGGGGTGCTGGAGGCTTTTGAACCTTTGAACAATTCTTCTTCCCCGGTGATTTCTATGGAGCAAGCGTATCGTTTCACTCTCAGATCGACTCTTCCTCAATCCATAAAAATCTTCAAGTTCACTCTCGGTGTTGGGATAAACAAATCCGACGGAAAATTAATTTCCGTTCATGCAGATCGAATTACCCCGGATACTCAGTGATATGCGGGGTTAGATGCCAGATGCAGATCCGTGGACATTTATATAGGGTCGATCTTCGAACACGAATATGCAAATACTTGCGAACATCAGAAGACTGGAAACCGAGCCTAATACCTGCTATTTACGAATAGGGAATAATTACTTCACAATGTTACAATCCACTAGTAACGTGATTGTGACTGCTCTCGCCCTGGCATCGGGGATCACCGCATCTGCAGTGCCCAGATCAACAGAGAAGTTTAACTGGTCCGCCAAGAAAGGCTTGTGAGTCTTCATGCACTTGTGAAAAGCTTGAAATTACTAGTCTATTTTGATTCTTCACTTACATCTTGTTTAAGGCTCGCTTTCGGAGATTCGTATACTTATGTCCAAGGAACACACGGACATCAGAATTTCAGCTTCATCGGCGATCAATTCATTTACGCATATGATGAAGAGACTCTTCTTTCCAATAAGATTGTCCAAAATCAAGTGAGTAGCCCTCAAGTCATCCACATCCACATTCTCATCTGCATAGCTGATATTGACCATACCTTCTTCTTCATAGACAGGAACCGCAGAAGGAGGTCCAAACTGGGTAGAATACCTTACAGGATGCGGCGAACAGCCAGGCCTGACATCGCCACGTACATGCAAAAAGCAACTCTGGGATTTTGCCTTTGCCGGTGCAGATATCTCTACTGAATAGTAAGTATTCTCTATTCTATTCAAGCTAATCAGCATTTTAACTTCAAATGAATACTAACATGATACATATCAGCACACCCCTACACCACAATTTCACCGTGTCCCTCGTAAACCAAGTCGAACAATACGCAGAATACGGACATAAAACTCTCACCAGCTTTCTACCCACAAGCGAAACACTAGTAGCCATCTGGATCGGTATCAACGACGTCGGCGACAGCGCAAAATACGCTGTGAATTTCCCAGACTTCTACGCAAATTTGACAGGCACCCTGTTCGATTCAGTGGAAACGTTGTATGATTTTGGATACAGGTCTTACTTGATTATGAATTTACCGCCGATGGATCGCGATCCATCGAATTTGGGAAGTAGTCTTCCGACACCGAATGCGACGCAGGTGAGTTGGTGGAATGAGGCGTTGACTGGGAGGGCGGAGAGGTTTGGAAAGGAGAAGGGGAATAGTGTGGAGATTCGTGTATTTGATGCGCATGAGCGGTTGAGTTGGATATTGGATCATCCGGCGGAGTTTGGGATTGTTAATACGACGGGTTATTGTGCTGGGTATGACCAGCCGGATATTGAGTGGAATTATCGGGCTTATGGGTGTCCGACGCCGCTGGATGAGTATTTCTGGTATAATACTGGGCATATGACTAGTCATACTCATCGGATTCTGGCGAGTGAATTGGAGGCGTGGTTGGAGAGAGTTTAGCTTGTTAGCATAAGGAAGGACATAAGTCTGCACATGTAGTCTATTTTGTCTACTGCTACGAACGAAGGACGACTTGTTCCATGAAAACAAGACAATGATGAAACATATGAATGATGATAATCGTATTCAATTATGGACATACAAACAACACTACCATCGGCGAAGAGTACAACAAGGCAGTGAGCCACCGAGACAGAAAAGAAACTTTTTGCGGATAGTCGACATGCATGAATTGGCGTGAGAATCCAAGGTCTAGGATTGCCGGGGAACTGGGAACAAATATTCGAAACAAGGAGCACGTCGATATGGGAACCCCCAGAGAACAGGTGAAATCATGTAAGACTGTCTATGACATCGAAGAAAAAAACGCCGTCCGTACCGAATTACGCGGGAAACCGTAGGAAAACAAAATGGAAAAACGGGAAAGGAAGTCTACCAGTATCGCAAGACGAACAAGCTCATGAGTGCGTAAGATAACGCGTCTACCAGCGGCGGTTGCCGGCAACAGGAGCAGCGTTAGAAGCAGTGTAACCACCGCCGCCGCCGCCGCCACCACCACGACCACGACCACCCCAGCCACCACGGCCACGGCCACCGCCCCAGCGACCGCCACCGCCGCCGCCGGAGTAGCGGACCATCTCGGCCAGACGAGGATCGATCTGTTGCTTTGCCTCGGTGAGAATGGTGACCAAGTCACGAGCCTGCTTAGAGTCTGGAGAAGAAGGCCAGTTAGCTATCATGTAACCAAATTTGGTTCGAAAGGGAGAGGGGACGAGAAAGACGTACTGTCAGTGGTAAAGAAGGTGATGGCGGTACCCTTGGCACCAGCACGAGCAGTACGACCAATACGGTGGACATAGTCCTCCGAGTTGTTGGGGTAGTCGTAGTTGAGCACGTGAGTAATGTCGCGCACATCTTTTTACAAAATTGTTCGTTAGCAAACAGAGCATTAGTGGGATAATAATAGGGTGACCAAAAAGAGGGCCCTTTTTTTCACAGTCGTGCAGGACTTGATGCATCACTGCTCTCTTAAATGACCTTAAGGGACTTTCTTGAATAATCATCTTTCTTTTCAAGAAAGCCCCAAGGGGAAGCAAGTCCATGGGAATGGCGGTGGATACCGCGGTCCTAGAGAAACCTTGGAAAAAATGCAGGTTTAAAACAGTTCAGGAAAAACGTGGGAATATATAGACTCCAACTCGCTTGCGAGTTTCTGCCAAAGGAGTCGGAGAAAAATCCTGTTAGGTCTGCTTTCTGTTACGCTGCACTGTGAGTCCAAGATCCTCCTGGCATTATAACCATTTGAGATGACCTGACGATCCGCCTGGACGAGGCGTGTTCACACCAACACGCTTCGAGAGAGGTTGAGCACCGTGCCATTGTATTATACAACGTTCAACACGGGTGAGTTTTACAAAGGGCCCCATCAAGGGGGTATAGGGAGGGGGAAAGGAGGGGAGGGGGATAGTAGTTTGATCATACCGATACCACGAGAAGCCACATCAGTGGCCACCATGATTGGGCTCTTGCCCTGCTTGAACTCGTTCAGAACCCAGTCACGCTCGTTTTGTTGCTTGTCACCGTGGATGGCTATAAGATAAGAGGTTAGTGAATGAAATTGCAAAGTAACAGGCGGGAATTCAAAAACGTACAAAGTGCGGGCCATCCGTCTTGGCGGAGGAAACGGGTAATCTCGTCGGCAACACGCTTGGTGCCAGTGAAGATGAGGATCTTGTTGGAGCGGTCCTCCATGATCTTCTCCATGTGCTTAATCATACGGTCACGCTTCTCGAAGTCGGACATAACCTCGACGATTTGGTGAATACGGTGGTTGGCAGACAGGTCGGTGGAACCAATGTTGACCTGAATGTACTCATTGAGGAAGTCAGAGGCCAGCTGGCGGACCTCCTTGGGCCATGTAGCGGACCACATGCAAGTCTGACGGTCAGGGCGAATCTGGCCGATAATCTTGCGAATTTGAGGCTCGAAACCCATGTCCAGCATGCGATCAGCCTCGTCGAGAACAAGGTAGGTGACACGGCGGAGGTTAGTGCGACCAGCCTCCAGCATATCAATCAGACGACCAGGAGTGGCAATGCACACCTCAACACCACGAGAGAGGTCACGAATTTGAGGACCCTTGGGGACACCACCGTAGACACAGGTGTTGCGAATGCGGGAAGACTTGCCGAACTTGGTGATCTCAGTCTGAATCTGAACAGCAAGCTCACGGGTAGGAGCCAGAACCAGGACGATGGGACCATCGCCAGGGGCGAGGAGAGGCTGAGCGTTGATGTGAACAATAGCGGGAAGACAGTAGGTAAGGGTCTTTCCGGAACCAGTCTCCGCAATACCGACGACATCACGACCGGAAAGGGCCATAGGCCAACCTTGAGATTGAATAGCGGTAGGGCGCTCGAATCCCTGAGACTTGACCTCAGTCAGGACGTAGGTAGGGAAACCAGCCTCGTCGAAGGTCTCGACGGGGCGAGGGACATTGCGGCCTTGAACAGCCATATCCTGGGCCTTGCGGTACTCCGCAACCTCGGCATCAGAGCGAGCAGCAACATCAGCGTGCTCCTTATAGAAGGACTTATCGAACTTGGGGAGAGTGTCCATGTCTAAGATATTCTTGTTAGTTATACTGCGTTGAGAATCACCAAATGACTAAGGTACGCTGGAACTTACCCCAGTCTTGCTTCTTCAGGCCAGCGCCGAGGTTGGACATGCGATCACCACCGGCGCCGCCGCCGAAACCACCACCACCTCCGCCGAAACCACCACCGCGGCCACCACCGTAGCCGCCGCCACCGCCGCCGCCGTAGCCACCACCTCCGTTGGAGTGACCATTTTCATAACCACCACCGCCGCCGCCGTTGCGGGAACTGGTTTGAAACTATGTCAGCGCATTATTCATTTGGATGCAAGTGATGTTAAAGAATAGCGGATGATGAATGTTGGAATGAAAATCGGCCCTGGTCGCCAGCCCAACAAGGCCCAATGGACCATTCTGTGCAGGTTGTCCCAGTTACAGCCAAAAACATCCATTCCAGGGTATGAAGTAACACAGAAATAAATCCGATCACGGGAATAAGATGTGCAAAGAAGAAGGATAGTATGAAAAACAACCATGAATTGTTAGGCAAGGACATACCGGTAGGAATCACCGCCGCGCTGATAACCACCACCGCCGCCGTAAGACATGATGGATAGAGAGAAGAGTGTTTCGGTAAAGTGAAAGAAGAAGAATGTCACAAGAAACCGTCTGAAACACTGATGGAGAGAAGGGAGAGAGAGAAAGAGAGAAGAGAAAGAGGTACACGAATGAACTTGAGAAGGAGCAGAAAAAAAAGTTGTCGCGCCAGGGGAGAAAAAAAGGAAGGAGGCAAAAAAGACAAAGAAGACAAACCAGACAAACCGAACAAAAAGAAAAAAGAAAAAATCAACTCCTTTGCCGTATTGGGCTTAGGGTACACGTGATTTGTAAATTTTTTCTTATTGTAATTTTATTTTTAGTCTTTGAATGTATACAGAAGTGATAGCCCTGAGATCCATATAAATCATAAGAGAAATACTATATATTAGATGAAAGAATAACCTTAATTTTATTTCAGAACAATAAAATATGATCGTAGTTTAGATACCTTACTATTTTTGCCCTCTCATTTTATTCACAGTTTCTTCTCGCTCATTCCCATGTCCCAGAAGCTGATTTCCAGCTCGGTGGCTCGGACAAATATTTTAATCAAAGACTCGACGCGATCGGGAGATACTTTGTGCATATGCTTTTCCAGTAAAGCTGTATTGTGAGAATTAATTAGTAATGAGCAATCGTAATAAGAACCTTTAGAAGAAATATATTCTTACCTGATCCAAGTCGTACGGCTTCACTATAGTCATCGGCGACGTAGTTCTCGATCCATTTCCAATAGTTATTTCCCTCGCGAAGAGTCCCTTTGTCGGAATGAAGTCGTTTGGCAATGGCTCCATACCCGATCAAGCAGGGGGCGAGAGCCATCTGCAAGGCAAGCCAATCCTCAGACTGACCCACATCAAGAATGTAGCGGCTGTATGCGGTGCATGCTAATTGATAAAAAATCAGTTAAATATTTTCTTGCACAGATGTAAAAGGCGGGAAGCCTATTTATATATTTATTGATCATACCGATGGTCTCCGGGTGTGCTTCCATCTCCTCCTTGGTCAGGCCAAAAGAGGCACAGTATTCCAAATGCAGCGCCATTTCTCGCTGGATGTGCAGAACAATCTGGGCAGACTGAGGTATAAAGTCAGATATGCTCAGTATCAATGCGCTTCGAAATATACTTACTGCTGCTATTGAGTCCATACTTTGGGACTTGTATGAGGCCAGTGCGTTGCTTCGGGCAAATTGAACCTGTGCCGGTATTATTAGACACGTTCTTGCCACTCAACTCCAGTTCCAATCACTCACCAAGTACAGATAGTCTTGAACAAGATACTCTTTGAATCTCTGCAGGGGTAGTGTTCCATTACCCATTCCCTCGACAAAGTCATGATGAGTGAACTTTTGCCATACCCGTTGAGTATCTGGGCGATCCAGTACATACTCGATAAATCGACCACTAATAAAATCAGTAAATAAGCCATATATTTATAGCGAAGAGGGAAACAAACGGTGCAAAAGGCATAGTATATATCGAATGGAAGTGGTTAATCGGTCCACTTCCCTTTCCTAGATCAACGCTGGTTTTGATACCCGCCTCAACAAATCGCACGGCATTGCGCACAGCCCGCGACATATCCTTCCCCATCGCAAGGTTAGCAGCGATCGCCGAAGCGAGCGAACAGCCAGTTCCGTGTGTATTTTTCGACACCAGGAACTCCGTTTCAAAGAGTTGCGTTTCGTCGGTGACGCTGTCATAAAGAATGTCGATTACTGTTGTTGCTTCTTCGGGGCTTCTGGCGATCTTGTGGTCATTGGTAAGTGGGAGATGGCCGCCTTTGAGGAGGACAGCTTTCGGGCCCATTGCGCAGATCTTCTTTGCAAGATCAATTAAACCAGCCAGATCGGAAGGTTCCGGGGCATCAATACCAGAGTCCTTGAGTAGGAGTTGTGCTTCTGGAATGTTAGGGGTCAAGATTGTGGTGATTGGGAGTAGCTTGGTGCGAAGCTCCTTCACGGCTTTTTCTGGGAGTAGCTGGGAGCCACTGGTAGATACCATGACCTAAGGGAATAATCAGAAAATCTCATATATCGGTAAATCAAAAGACGTGATTGAATTACCGGGTCGAGAACTATAGAGGGAACCCGGTGCGCTTGTAGCGTCTCGGCAATGACATCAATTGTCTCCGCGGACGACAGCATGCCTATGTACTCAGAGTAAGCAGAGATATAGAACACGGAAGGTTTAAGGTAACGAACCTAGTTTGACTACATCTGCACCGACATCCTCAAGGCCTGCATTAATTTGCTTCCTTACAAATTCCGACGGGACGACAAAAATGTCCTGCACGCCGAGAGTGTTCTGTGCCGTCAACCCGGTGGTAGCTGTGAGGGCATAGCATCCATGGGCGGCAAGAACCCGTTGATCGGCCTCAAGACCACTTTGAATAAGTAAGCGATCATGTTATGTATATCTCCCTGGTTACTGAGATTGATGATTGGCGAGTGAGGATAAGTGTGATGAAATTGCCGAAATGAGCCAGGTTTGGACACTTCCGCTCAAGGTATTGATACATCATATCGGGAAAGAGGATTGACTTACGCGCCACCGGAGCTGTCAGAGCCGGCAATAACGAGCACACGCTTGACCGACATAGTTGCAGGAGCCAATCGGGGCGAGACGACGATAGTTCGATGAAAAAGCCGAAGATGGAAGAGCGTGGGGGACTTGATGGGGGGTTGATAAGGGAGATAAGATAAGGATATACGAGGGGAAAATTTGACACCGAAAAATTCTACAGTTTATACAGTGACGAACAACAAAGTCATAAAATAAAATGATAAATGACATTATGCAAACTCAATCCATCAAGTAAAGAAACCCCGATCCCAAGAATGTAGTAGCTATTTACAAATCCCCAAAGTCATACGCCACCGGGGCGGCACTCATTGTATCATGAACTGGAACAAAGTATCCATCTCAACCCATTGTCGACCACACTTCTTCAAGTAGGCATCCGCCACAGTCCGGATCGTGTCGAAGCGACCACGGTTGAATTCGGCCATGGCGGAGATACTGTCTTTTTTCTCGCCAGCCTCCTTGCTAGAAGCAGCCTTGGCCTTATCCACATCCCATAGACCCGCAAAGTACAGCAACTGGTTGTACATCTGTTTCTCATTATACTCGTACGACATACGACCCGAGCAGCCTTCAGCACGACCTCGGGATCCCAGACAGCGATGTCCATAAACACTTATTTGGCGAGTTCGGTTACCACAGGCAGAATCATCACAAACCAGCCAGCCCTCGTAGTATCGGTTCGTCTGTTCGCGAATCTGGCTCTCCAACTGGGCGACCAAAGTAATGACTGAGAATGATTTCTGACAGCTCTCGTTAGGGCAGACAATACCGTTCGCTGTGCACATCTCTGGCGAGCCTGCCAAGCCTTCAAAAACTGACTGCTCTTTACAGAATCGGCATGTCAGACTCAATCGTGCTGAATTGGCAAAGCGGACTGCGTCGGGGATCTGCGATTCCAGCGGGAAGATTTCCGCATTTTGTTGGTTGCTAGCGCTGGAGGTGTTGATCTGGTACTTGCGAGTATCGAGTCCCAAGCATTCTGCCAAACGAACGGCGTCGGTGCCAGGAATTGGGGCACACAGACGCTCAATGGGAGGGAAAATTTGCTTGAGAATATAGAACTCAATATCAGGTTTGAGCTCTGATGTTGGCTTAAGCACATCTTGTGGGGTATAAGATCGCTTGGCGGGTGGAAGAGAGGACGTATCAGCGTCACCGGTTGTCACAATGTAGGAGATGACATCGTTGGGTCGAATATTCCTGCCTCGGGCGATCTCCCTAAGAGCAACCTGCGCTGGAGGCATTGTCTCCTTGTTGGGATATTCTTCTGGTCGCTTTGAGAGTTTCTGTAGAAAGATTAGCATTGAATTGAGAGCTTTTGCTGGGGCGTTGACATACCGTGTAAATGACATATTTCTGATTAGGAATCTGATACTCTTTCATCTTCTCTGCAAGCTCTCGCAGGTAGTCATGTACGTTGTTAAGGACGACTTCTTGATCCTCCCCAGAGAGAATCTCGTTCAGCAGTCTTGACGACACCTCCTTTGAGAGAGCACAGTATTCACGTCGCTTCATGTCCAAGCCCTTGACCTCAAGCTTTTCAACGTACTTGCCATCTACTTCTGTCATGTTGACAGCTGCATACTTCTTTTTGGCATGTAACAGTAGTCGACGGAAGACATTATCAATGTCAATTTCCAAAAGCCTATACCGCTCATTGACCGATCTCTTGAACTCCTCTCCAACCTTAAGCGCTTCGCTCATGGTGTCCATATTCGTGTTGATCATGACGGAGTCAGTATCACCATAAATGACACGCAGCTGCCTGCTCTCCGCCAACTCTTTGGTGCTTCGTAAAATCTCACGACCCTTGAATGTGGTGAGCATGGCCAGAGGACGGGCATAGAATCGACTTTGTGTGTAACCCAAACAACCGTACATAGAGTTGGCAGTCAGCTTGAAGGCAAGTTGCTTTGTATCCCACAAAGCGAGCTGTTCAGGCGTGGCATGTTTGTCTTTCATCAAACTCTTCACTTGACGACGACGACCGACCAAAGTCGCAATAAGCTTAGGAAGAATACCCTGAGATTCCTCCGAAGAGGGGATTTCAGGAACCTTCTCTTCATTTTCGTTCTCCGCCTAGCAGAAGGTTAGTATGAGACTTGGGTAATATCAACGAAGGTTAAGCATTCCATACCGAACTTGTACGATCAACTGTAGTGAAACAGATGTTGTACTCTTGAATAATCGAAGGGTACAAACTGTTGAAATCCATGACCAAGATGAATCGGTCGTAGAGTCCTTTCTCAGGCTCGAAAACGAGACCACCCTTGTATTTATCCTTCTTTTTCTTGTCACCGGCTTCATCGTCATCGGCGTCCATCTTCTCTTCAGCCTTTTGCATGCGAGAAGAGTACTTGTCTGGGCAAATATACTTATTGCGATGGAACTCGTGCAGCAAAATGTACTCGTTTCGCTCAGCACGAGTACCACTGAGAGTACGTGCCCACGAGTTACCGGCAATGTTGGTCAGGACCTTTGTGAGTGGCAGCATCTGCAATCGCAATGCCAAAGCAGCAATGAAATACGTGTCAGTATCGCAGTGGTTTACAAAGTTCATCAGGCCATCCTTGGTCGAAGCCCAAGACTTCAAAGCTCCTTCAACATCCACGTCTTGACGGCCGTTGCCCTCGCCGAGATAAAGTTGACACATTTCTGTCAAACTCCAAGATTGACATTTCATCATCAAAGACTATGATAAGTTAGCACCTACATTTTGATAACTGTTAAGTGATGTCAAGGGAACTTACTTTGCCCATATCGTTGGCCAGATCACACATCAGTCGCCCAGCAATCAGCTGTCTCTCAGCAAAGAAACCACTGTTCTTACTGTAGTTCTTAGGCCAATCGCCACGCTTGAGTCGACCAAGACGATGCCATCCAGGAGTTTTCTTTTCTCGTAACCGATTGAGAAGAATTCCTAGGTCGACATCTTGTAACTGATGGCCCATGATCACATCTGGGTCCATTTTCTCGAAGAGGGCCAAGAATTTGCTGAGCAGAAATTGCTCACTCTTCTCAAGCATGACAGTACCCCGCTGCTTTCGGCACTCGGCTTCAAAATGCAGTGGATATGACGAACCAGATGGACGCATCACAGTGAATGTTTTACACGGGAGTTTCTCCGGTGGTGTGGTATCTGAGAGGGAAACATTCTCGTACACTCGTGCACTTGCGACCAAAATTTCCTGCTTATTCTCCTTCACATTAAGTTGGGTTCGGAAAGAAAGAGAAATCAGAGTCATTGGTGGCATCTCCAGATTTTCCGTGTCAGGAACAGGAGTTATCGATTGAGGTTTGGATGCTTGGCACTCGAACTTGCACCAAGAAGCATTGTTGACAGCAGAAAAGTCGGCCTCGTCAACCCTGAGCCAGCATGGTCCCATAATGTTCTTCCACAGAACGAATTGCTCGAAAAGAGAAGTGTTTGTGCCGAATACATGAGAGAAGGTCTCACCCTTTGTATCCATCTGCAGTTGTGGTTTATCATAAGGATATAGTAACTTCAGGTATTCCGCCTCCTTGGGCACACCGCGAAGCTCAAACGCATATTTTCGGGTGCAAGGTTTGATCTTATGCATGCCAACCTTAAGACGAGTCATCATCTGATCGACTTCTTCGTAGACATGCTCCATGCCGACCTCCTCGTCTGTCTCTTTCATATGTTTGTAGCGGTGTTCACGGGGGAGGAAGTAAAGTTTTCGGAGAATGTTATCGACTTTCACGAAGGCACTGGCGTATGAGTCGGTTTGCTTGTTCTTAACTTTTCCGAATAAACAAAGGCTGCCATTGACTTCTGTGAAATCAAGCCAAAAGAAGCGCAGACTGCCATCCTCTTCCACGACATCTTGGGGCCGGAGCTTTCCGAAAGAACGCATTTCCGGTGCAGGGCTACTAAGAACATTCAACTTGTTTCGTACATCGTTCCAAGAGGCATCGACGACCTCTGGTGCAGCCTTGACTGGTGACGAGCTCGCGGGTGTTGTTAAGACTTCCTTCTTGAGCTTAGGCGGCGGACGACTTCCAGTCATGTTGATGTTTTCTGTCTTGATGTTTGAGGATACAGTGGCTTCTGCAACATCCATCATATCAATATCCTCCTCATCTGAGTCCTCCTTCTTGATAGGCACTGTGATCTTTCTCTCTACAGCCTTGCTAATTGGAGAAGAGGGCATTGGATCGCCCATGGAGATATCATCGTCGTCCATTATAGGTAGCGGAGCGTCATCAAGGTCATCGGAGTGAAGTGATGGCTGGCCCTTCGGTGGGGAGCTGGGAACTTCATTTTCGTCTTTCGGTTCGAATTTCGGGCGGCGTCGCTTCTCGACCAGTGGTGGTGAGAGAACGCGAACTTTTCGGCGGGCATCAGACTTAACAATGTTTCGCGTTGGAGCAGGGTTGGAGACAACGTTGCTGGATACCTCTCCGAGAAGGTCTGCCATGAAGGCATCATCTTCAGCAGTCGCAGCTTGCTGTTGGCGAAATCAGTATTATCATTGTAGGAAAATCTGAGATGGAAACGTACCTTAGGCTTGGGAGCCGCAGCCGCCGCAGTCCCGCTGTTAAAGTATTTTGAAATGCCATTATTCATTTTCTCTTTGCGTTGTTTCTCCTCTTCACGCTTTCGCTTAGCCGCTTTGCCTCTTGCCGGCAATTCATCGCTGTCGTCACTGTCGTATTCAGCTTGGCCTTCATTCCAGACCTCCCGACCGTCGTCTGCATATCCGGCACCATTGTCGTCGACGACAAAGTCGTCCTCGTCTAGTCGGCTGCGAATGATCTTTTTGTAGCCGTCGTCATCGACCTCTTCGTAGATATCGCCCTGTTCCTCGACTTCATAAGTGGAAAGACGTTTTTTTCCGGAGGCACGAAGAGCCCTGAGCTCAGCCAGTCTATCTCGAGCAGACGGCATGATTGTTGGAAATTATGGACAATGGCCCATTCACAAAGTGGGAACACAAAATCACAATGGTTGCGGGGAAGGAGAAAAGGGATCACGACTTGAATCCAAATCCAGGGCGCGCGACTGGAGGACGCGCAGATCCCGCGACGCGTTATAGTGGTTTAGGTAAGTTAGGAGTGGGTTGGCTCCTGAATTGTAAGGCTTCAAGGCATCAAGGTACACGACGCCAATATGGTTTAGCTTCGATCTGATATCCAATCCCCACCAAGATTTTACCAAGGATGTATACATGTATTCGCATTTGAATTGGCATATACGACGATCATTCATAATATACCCTAAGTATTTAGGCTATACCAATAAGCTACATGAGCCTGGAGCTAAATAAATTAGGAGTTCCCAAGCACTACTAATTCTTGCTTTACAACATCGAGAATCCTCTTCTCCCCATGTATCCTTAACGATTTGCAATGAACAACTTTAGAATGCCAAGTTCATTTTCTCTCTTCTGATTTCCGCCGACCACAGGTGTAGCCTATGACATGAAAATCATCTTGTATAGTATAATTTCTGTCAGCCGAACGTCGTAGCTGAACTATATAGGTAACGCGAGGGTATCGAAAAGCATATTAGCCATATATACACCTAACTCTAAATTGCAACTATGCATTTATCTACACTCTAAATTAGAAGTATTCAGTACTATGCATAGGTCTAGTGAGATGACTGACGTCTTCGGCCAAGAGGATACTAAGGCGTCTAACGAGAAAACTTCAATTGGCCAGGCAAACTAGCTTCGTACTCAAATTTCAAGGAAATGGTTAGTCTCTATTATTACACTGCACACGGCTATATCCATGAATGCGTGGCATCAGTTTCTGCCCAGGTGCAACTTGAACTTCAAGTTTAACTCGTACTACAGTACTATCACGAAGCCGATCCCTCCCGTGAAGACATCTTAAGAACCTTGGAATATGTATATACCTTTGAGAATCGTAAATGAACATCAAGTAGTATACTATGTACGCTTTCAATGTCCACTTTACGGGCTTCCAATTTCTATCTCTCTTACAACCCCATCCTTGTTGTCATAGACATAGCTAATAATGTGGTCAGCAGCCTGAGGATGTGGCTCGGTTTCCAACATTCGGCATCGGACTCACCATACCTACCCGAGGAGCTAAATCTCCACATGGAGCTTACGCGACCGGCCTTTGCAGCTCTTGGTCTTACTAGTGATCTATTTTTCAGAGAGAAAGAGCGACAGAGCACAAGGAGTAGTGGGAGAGAGTATATCTAATACCGTGGGTCATTGCGTAGGAGCAGGGAGTGAGTGATATCACCGCTATACAGATCTGTGAAGCAACTCCGTATTTGAGTGAGTTCGACTTGGGCGTGAAAGAGACTAAGGCCATTCAGTGGCTTGTCAAGCGATACATGGGTCTATCAAGAGACTGTGTGGCGTACTATAGTGGGGAATCTGGTGTGGAGTATGCATTTTCCAGTCTACAATGAGGTGGATTACGTCTGTTTGATTCATTGCGGGTTCAAATTGAGGGAATCAAGTTATCGTAAGGTGGGTGTGATATTGATTCGGCATGCAGTATGGATATGGCGGGTGGATTTTGAATAAGTAGCTGGCAGAGTATAGATAGATATCTCCGTCATCGTATGTGTTGTCGGCCGCGAGGTTGAGTAGAATCCAGTTGCGATTTGCGATTTGCCCATGCCCAATATTCGCAATAGGCACAGCCGTTTCCTACATATCAATTTCCTAGTTTTCCCCACAAAGTTCACTGTCGAGATTACCATGCATACGTGGAAGAAACATACGAGCACGGACTATGCAACCCAATGAAATGAACAATAAAAACCCGGTGTATTTGAGCAGATTTTCCTGACCTATGCTAGGTATATTTTCCAGCCATCGTGAACAGCGCCAGTGAAAAAATGACATAGGATATCCAATCCTCCACAACACATCAGCACCGGCACCGGGAACGAGGGCCTTGAAACGTAGACACCCCGCGACACCGATCCTGTTCTCGCCAACCCACGAATGATCCAGTTACCGAATTCATCCGCGGCAACAAATCCTCCCTAGTTACCCAGTCCAACAAGAGTCGATGGAAAACAAGTCGTAAAATGATAAAATGAAGACATAATTTTCCATAAACCCCAATATTTTTCCCGTTTTGTTTTGCAAATTTCCTTCGTCGCAGTTTTTCTTGTGTAAAAACAGAAAACGGAGAAAATTTAACGGTAAGACTTCTGGTAACGAGAGCGGGCACCGCGACCTCCGAACTTCTTGGGCTCGGCGCGACGGTTGTCGGCAACGAGCAGGGTGCGGTCGTACTGGGCGAAAGCCTGCTTGAGCTGGTTCTTGGAGTGCTCGTCCACGTACTTCTGGTAGTAAGCGACAATGGACTTGGCGATGGCCTGACGGATGGCGTAGATCTGGGAAGTGTGACCACCACCGGTGACGCGGACGCGGATGTCGACACCAGCGAACTTGTCAGAGCCGACGATCAGGAGGGGCTCGTAGACCTGTAGCGATTTCCGTTAGAAAAATGATTCCGATATTGTTTGCTCCACCATGTAGATGGGAATGTTTCCGGTAGTAACGAAACATTCTCGTATTCAATTTTGGCGAGTTGGTGGTTGAAGTATGGGGTCGGCGAAAGGAAAAGGGCAAGTGCGTACCTTGAAGCGGAGGATCTCAGGCTGGACCAGAGCGAGGGGCTGGCCGTTGACCTTGATGAGGCCCTTGCCTTGCTGTAAATCAAAAAGTCTCAGTATTCTGTCTCTCATTTTGTGTTGTAGTCCCATGCGCCATCATTGCGTTGAATATTGCCCGTCCAAAAATATCCATGATCAAAGTCTTATATCCACCGTGCACCATGTTTATTTTTGGCATAATTCGATCCTCCATGTCGTAGTAAAATTGCCAGGCAGTTCCATCGAGCTCCGATTGACGCAGTGGGACGTAGAAATTGGGGGGAGGCATCGTCTTCATACCTTGCAGTGGGCGACAGCGGTGGCTATTGAAAAAGGCGATTAGGAACATATTCACGGAGCGTTTGGAATTTCGAAAATGCAAAACTCACCCGTCTTCTTCTTGCCGAAGCATTGCACACTCTGGACGGAAGCCATGATGGTGAAATGGCCCTTGTCGGTTGTCGATAGAGGGAGGGAGTGTGTTGTCGAGGGAGATGGAAAAGAAGTCGACCGCGAATCCCACACTGCAGTGATTCGCCTGAATTGCTGGTTTGTTAGTGCGGGTTTCGCTTAGGACGCGCTATTCCGAAAGAGGGCTAGCTGATTAACCTGGCTTAGGGCTTTGTCACATGACATCAATTTACAGGCACGTGACCGGGTCCAGGCGGAGTCCGAATCTGGCAGGCGCAGAACTTCGGGGATTTGCTGAGTTGCGGTTGCTGTTGTTGTTACAAGTTTACCCTTCATATTCACTAGATACAATGTCGCAAACAGTCGGCAGGGTAAGTCTATCCCAAATCCTTCTGTGCTACATGGAATATTGCTCTTTCCATTCAATTGCATAACGGAAACGCCGATGCTAAAATTTATCTTCTCCCCAGACCCGTCTTGCCTACTCCCGCGCATGGCACTATGTCGATGCCGGATCTGATTCACGTTCCCTCGGTCGTCTGGCTTCTTCAGTTGCACTCGTTCTGATGGGAAAGCACAAACCGATCTATGATCCCTCCACCGACTGCGGTGACTACGTTGTTGTTGCCGGCTGCCACGACCTTAAGACCACCGGCAAGAAGCGTTTCCAAAAGCAGTACTACCACCACAACACACGCCCAGGTAGCTTGAAGAGCATGACAATGGATCAAATGTTTGCCAAATGGGGTGGTGGAGAGGTTCTGCGTCGCGCCGTCAAGGGAATGCTGCCCAAGAACCGTCTCCAGGACTCGCGATTGGCACGGTTGAAGAGTGAGTTTCTCTTCATGAATCGACTTCATGAACCGACACTACCCGTCAAATCATGCGGACTACTAATATAATATGTCTTACAGCTTTCGAAGGTCTTGCCCACCCCTACAAGGATAATATCGTCAAGTTTGGCGGCCAGTCAGTGATTGGTGCTACCCGGGAAGTCGCAGAGGCTTTCAAGGAAGCTAAGGAGGCCCAGCCTTCCGCTTAATTATCTCGTTCTATCTTACAACATCTCTTCTGCTCATAATCCTTGGCCTTTGCCAAGATCTCCTGTAATTTATATCTGCGTTATGATCCAAAACCGCAAGCGCATGGGTGTGGAGTCCATCTTGGGATTTTTTTTATCTTTTCCATTCTCCTTTCTTTTGAACTACTTTTGTTCCAATACTGTTGACATCTAGGATGTTTCCTACACTGGCATGTACTTATATATAGCAAAGCTCCTGGAAATAAAGAAAAGAGAATGTGTTGCCAAACTGAAATTGGGATGTTCATTCCCAGAGGTATATAGAGATAGGTATGTACAAGAATAAAACATTTGAAGGGAATGAAATGGTATGCAAGGGACTCCAGAGTCCGGATCCTCCACTACGCGTTTACAGCTTGGCCTTCTGTCCGGAGCGACCAACGGTGCACTTGATAAGACCGTTGGGGTTGGACTGGGGAGCGTACACCTCGGCATCCTTGCCGGTGTTCTTGATACCCTTGTGCCAGCTGAGATCTATATATTCCATTAGTTCGACGGTTCCAAAGAACGAATATTTTGGAAAAGGAAGAAGATGACATACCAATCTCGAAGTAGTGGTTGTTGGGGAGCGCATACTCCACAGTGTCGATCAGAGGTGCTCCAGCCAGAATCAGCTCGCCCATCTTGTACATGGTAGCCTGCACACTGGCGCTGTTATCCTCTGCGAAAGTCTTCAGGGTGATATCACGAGCAGATTGCCAGGCCTTATCGAATCCGGCAGTGTTGGCCCGAACCTCTGAGACGCTGCCGAAGCGGCGCCACTGCCAGTTAGCATTGACATCAGTGCTGAGAATACGGTCCCAGGTCTCCTTGAGAGTAGTGAACTCATCACGGAGGAAGCCCCAGAACTGCGAGCCAGTGCTCTTCAGCACGGTCAGGCCGTTAATGGAGGAGTTGATGTCAATGCCCTTGCCCTCGATCACATCGACCTGTGTGTTACGGGTCTCGGGGCTGTCCTTAACGAACGAGTGTGGGTGGGGCTTGCCCTCGATGTTCATGCGCACCCAGCGGTGGGTGATGATGCTGACGTGCGCGGCGTGGATGTGGTTGTACTTCTCGACGAAGTGGGTACCGAGAATGGCACCGAATACTTCGGGGGTAGTAACGGGCTGCTGCTTAGCAGTGATGTAGATGGTGTTTTTGATGGAGTCGGTGGCGACAACAACGCTATTATCGGCGCGAGTGTAACTAAAGCGCAATTGTGTTAGTTGTCGGTTGCTTGTGATTCCCCGCTGATAAGGCTATGTGAAGCGTATCGTTCGGAGGTTTCGGGATTATTCTCGGGAAATGTTGATTACTTACGAGGTTTCGATGTCGCCCTCTAGCAGGACGCAGACGGTCATCTCAACCACAGTCTGGACACCGGTCTTCTCGTCACGGTGCACCTTGTACACACGGACATTGTCCTTGCCGTAGCGGGCAGCAGCGAGAGCGCTCATGATGATGTCGGTTTTGGGATAGGGAAGGTTAATGGGGGAGAATATTCGTAATTGGACAAGCTTCAGAAATGCAAATTGAAGATTGGGGTAGCTCTCTCATGAGAAGGAAGAGCGATCCTTATTTATTTAAGTGAAAAATGGGCTGATGCGCTCGCCAGCGACTAGTATCGGGCACCTCCGATGCCCGCGAGTGGCCGCGGATCCCCACTTTGCAGCGATCTTATCGGCTCCTGCAAACGGTTGAACGGCATTTCCCTCCCTTTTGGATAAGGGTTCAGAATGAAAGGAGTAGATATTAGAAAGAGGAATCCTCAAATACATATGAAAATCTAGCTATATGAGTCTCTAACGCGTGCAAACACTATCTAAATCATGGAGATATCGAGCTGAGTTTTCTCCCCCAGGTTTTCGGCCTCGAGCCGCAAGAGCTTATTATCCGGCAACGAGAACGCGCATTTCTTTTTACGTATCAACTATTCCTACCTGGGCCTTAGTTCCTTTCTTGCTGCTGTTTTCCAGGTCCGAATCCCGATAATCCGACGGCCGAGTTTTCCATAGCCCTTTTTCCCCCTGGTGTCTGCTCCAAATCCCTTTGTTCAGCAAATCCCGCAATCCGGACGGCGATCTCCACCGGTCGGGGAAATGCGATTATGCGGCTGTTTTGGGATCGAGGGATCTTTATATAGCACGTCAGACCATATGGACAGATTAATCTGCGGAGAAGAAACGGTAAAATAGATAGTTGGTTATCTTAATTTATTTTGGTCTGTGATAGGTATGCACGCATAGGCCATCTATTACTATTACCAGCTTTTGATTGACGACTGACGTCATTCTGGTCATGGATCTAGAATATTTACAACAATGGAATCTTTAAAACACATCATTAGCTTTGAACTCCGTAAAACAATATCCCATATTCGAGTTATATTCCTCATTTTCTCACAGACGATGTTCACGGGCAACTCGTAGCCCATTTTGTGTATCTGGGGGCATACATATACAAGATAAGCACACATTGAGCCCTGCACATGTGGAGTATAGAACTAACATGGTTCATATCGATCAAAGGCAACATACACAACATTTGGATGTCTGTTTCCTCTAAGACAGATTTTCCCAACCTTTCTGATCTCCGTTGAAGATTGTAATTCCTACCTAGAGTAGTTCGGGCGATTTCCAAGCCCTGGCGGAGGTTGTTTTCAATTATTTATGTATATATATATCTCGTAACTGGTCGTCATCTTCATCATGATACTAGTAGGTACCGTTCATTGGTGAAGGCTCTCACCGCGGAAGCGTGCCCTGTTGATGTTAGGGTAGAATTGAACGTCTTGTCCTGATGACAGTTGACAGTGCAAGAAAATGATCCGTGAAATTTTTCACTCATAAACGATGCAGTAGTACTTTGGTATTAGACGTAGAGCAATATTTTGAACTTGCATTCTTTTCGTGCGCTAGACGAGGTCGGCGTTCGGTTGGATTTACAATCATCGAATCAGATAATAGATTCGGTAATACAAACCAAGCCCAGTTGATCGGTGGTGCTTTTATGCAGTTTCGATCCGAAAGTGGTTTGGACGATTTATGATTAGGCTGGGACATGGAAACGAAACTGGTCGTTGCAGGAGATTAATGCACTCATCGACTCACAAATTCAGCGCGATTAAATTGCAAGGAAGACATCTCCTTTCCTATTTAACTGTCCCTTCTCTTCAAGGTTGTTTCTGCCTGTTATGATTCTTTTACTGTCCTTTTTCGAGGACGAAAAAGATTAGTATTGCCGATAACCATGGTGTCCAATATTATCGCGGGAGATAGAAGTACTCCATGTCTATTACGGATTCGGTCTTCGAATGGCTTTATCATAGCGGCTATTTGGATGTCTACATTCACGATATGTTAGATGTAATCAGTGGAGTTAAGAAAATTCAACTAATAGAGACATGACAAGGATTTCTTGTTATATGCAATGGTAAGTAGTATGCGAAACAAGGCTCCTCTTGAATCGCTATACAGGAAATAACCCAGATCTTGTAGATCGTCCCAGTGATGCCTAAGGCGCTCATGACCCGAGCAAATATCCCATATAGTGAACGTAAGCGCTTCAATCAAGTAAATCTATCAGCTTGCATATACTTATTAGGATAGGTGAATATTGGGTTAGCGTTCTACTCATGTGCGAAGCTGACACCGCACTCGCTTTCTGTCCTATCTTCGGGTACCTCGTCGATAGAGCTCGTACGCGCCGATTCCCTTTCCTAACCGCCCTGGTCCTGTTAGCCGGGTGCATGATTATCCTGCATACAGCCCATTCTATAGCGATGTTTATCATCGGTCGGCTGTTGCAAGGCTGCGCAGCCGCAATAGTTGTAGTTGCATCTTTCGCGCTTCTCAATGATTCCATCCCACAAAACCGCCTTGGTCAAGCGATTGGGTATTTGGGTTCAGCGATTGCGCTTGGTTTCTTGTTAGGTCCACTTTTGGGAGGTCTTGTTTACCATAGCGGTGGGTATAATGCTGTTTTCTATGTGGCGTACTCGATTATAGTGATTGATTTTTGGGATGCGGGTGACCATGATTGAGAACCGGGTTGCAGATGAGTGGAAGAAGTGCTCACAGCCGGAACAGACGATAAATGGGGATACTGTTGATCCTAGCGTTGCTGATGCTCCCGCCGAGCCTGTGATATGCGAGCAAAGCCGGGATGACTGATCTCAGAGGCTGGGGGTTAAATTTGCGATCTTCCGGAGTATCAGACAACGACGAGTTTTGATATCTTCGTGGGCACTGTTGGTGCAGGGGATCCTGCTGTCTGCATTTGATGCTGTTCGTGATCCTTCTTGAGCCTTCTTTTTATTGTTGAACTGCCGAGTATGAGCTGACTGACTCCCGTTAGACACTTTCTATCTTCGTTGAAACACGATGTGGCTGGTCGGCATTAGGAATGGGCATGATCTTCCTTCCCATGGCGGCCCCCGCGTTTTTCGAACCAATATTCGGTCAGGAAATGCTCCACTGTGAATCTTTTGCGAATATCGCTAACGTGACACAGGCTTTATCACCGATCACTGCGGCACTCGAATTATCGCCTTTGTCTGTTTCACCCTTCTATCTCCCGCACTGATATGTCTACGATTCGTGGATCGAGATGACACGTCAAATATCGCCCTGCTTATCACCCTTCTTTTTCTGATCGGTCTCTTCATCCACGCGTGTGCGCCCGCAATGTTCGTAGAGACACAGCAAGAATTGATAGCCATGGAAAGTCGAGAACCAGGTATCCTGGGATCAAAAGGTCCGGTGGCGCAGGGGTTTGGGTTACAATGTATGTGCCAGTTTGCGGGGGTGTTCTTCGGGCCACTCTGGGGAGGCCTGGTGGAATATCGGTTCGGGTGGGGCACAATGTCGGGATCGCTGGAAATATTGGCGGTTGTATCGGCCGTGCCGATGCTCTGGTTGGGAGGGGAGAGAGAAACGGGAGTAGATGAAGACGAAGAGCCGATCTGCGGGTGCTGAGAATGCATGAATTTCACCTATTTAGGCATCTGTGAAGCATTTCAAGATTTGCTATGTCGCGTTCTCTGGGGGTTGCATGAAAGAGGAAGTTAAACTGAGTTTCGCTGTTGGATCATCGGTTCCGCTTTCCCTTTCGGGGCAATAACTGACAGTCGCTGCGATCGACGTCACGCTGGGATCCACGAGTCAACGATCCACGGGTCTTTTTTTTTTCTTATCGAAGTTTTTGAGTGCAACCAGTCATAAATATTTAATACCGAGGAATGCCTCATTCTTTTATTCAATGTCAACTCGACTTGTGTCTTATTCTACGCGCCGTGGACTTTATCACAGCTACACCGTGCCTATAGCGAATGTGGGTCTTGTCATCTGTCTATGCGCTGCAGGGTCCAATTTTAATATATGACTGACTTTGATATAGAGCTGCCTGAAAATTCCACAATTTTCTACGAGAATCAAGCTGTTTAACTGGAGAATACTCCCATTAACGCCATACAATTGCTTTACCACCTCAACCACCACCATGGCAGCAACAAAGACCCTTCAGACACAGAATGACCCCACAAAACAATACACATATCTCACCGAAACAACTCCTCACATTGCCACGATCCTAGGCTTCCCATCGCGTCCTTCAACCTTCCCAGCGCTGTATACTCGCACCTGCACCGAGATAGTTGATCTAGCATGCACAATCGCAGCCTTCGAGCCCGTCCGACTCCATGTCCGCCCAGAGGATGTCCCTCATGCCCAAAATCTGATTTCCAAACGTCTCCCAGCAAATGATACCAACAATGCCACGCAAAAAGCCAACATTACCCTCACGCCTGCCCCGACAAATCACTGCTGGGTCCGCGATACTGGCCCTGTCTACGTACGCGGTGTTAAAGATCCTAACCAACGATACGCAATCGACTTTCAATTCTGCGAATGGGGAAACAAGATCAAAGAACTTCTCTACAATCATTCGGAAGACAAAGCTCTCGCTGGAACAGAGGAGGGAGACTGGCCAACCATGGACTCATCGCGACAGGCCGAAAACGGACAATTTGCGCGCCGAGTCCTGGAAATCGAGAACACGAAACTAGACTCTAACCATGTTATCCGGGTTGAGTCAGCCATACGCCTGGAAGGTGGTGGGATAGAAATGGACGGCGAGGGAACCTTCATGGCGGCTGAAAGTAGTGTGATTGTCCCATCGCGAAACGCAGGTATCTCGCGTGAGAAGATCGAGACCGAATTATCGCGACTACTCGGAATTAAGAAGTTCATTTGGATTCCCGGACGAGAGGGACTCGATATCACAGACTGTCACATTGATGCGGAGGCCAGATTTGTGCGGCCCGGTGTAGTTGTGGTATGTAAGCCACATGTGAAGTGTGAGGCTGTTTACTGGGATATCTACCGGGAGGCACGGGAAGTTCTGGATAATGCCGTTGATGCCCAGGGGCGGAAACTGGAAGTTATCGATATCGAGGAGCCGGATCCTGATCTTGTCAAGGGGGATGTGCCTGGCGAGGAGTCTTGCCCTGCAGCATCATACGTGAATTACTATTTTGTGAATGGGGGACTTGTAATTCCTGCCTTTGGGGACGCAGAGACCGACAAGAAGGCCTTTGAAACGCTCAAAGCGCTTGTACCGGAGCGTGAGGTTAGACAGGTTTCTGTGAATGCGTTGCCGAGGACTGGCGGTGTCTTGCATTGTACGACACAGCAGGTTCTGTGAGATGCCTAGCTTGTTACTGTGTTTATGGCTTAGCATGGGTACTTGGAGTTTTATCATTACCATCTCATCTTGTATTTGCTTTATTCAAGAAATCAATCATCATTCTGATATGACTACTGAACAATCTTTCAATGTATGACGGCTAGATAAGAATGAAGATTCTAAGGCCTCGAAATAGGTAATCTGCTATAGTTCTACATTTGATTTGATCTCTTTCTATTGGCTATGTTTATACTAATTAATCCTCTCACTAGCTGAATGCTTCGTATTTCTTTGCTATTGCTCCTCGGCGTCAATAACTCCTCGTGGTTCAAAGAAAGTCTGATATAACTTTACATCGATAATCTGCTATAGCCTTACAGTTGCTCTTTTTACAATTTTTTGTCTATGCGTACAATTGATATCTTTCTCGAAAACTAGATGTTTCATATTTCTTTGATATTACTCCGCGTCATCAAAGACCCATAAATTATTATCAAGGCTACTACAATCCTCAGCTCTTTGTCTAACGCGTATCAGCCGAACAAATATGAAGCTTTCAAGGTCTTGATATTGATAATCTACTATAGTCCTTATTTTACTTTGCTTAAATTTCTTTCTCTGTATACAACCTTGGAAGCGATCCCTTTGTCACAAGCTGAATGTTTTTTATTCCTTTAAGATTGCTCTGCAGCGTCAAGGACTCGTTGTAGTCCAAAGGAATTCCGATATAATTGTAGGACCAATGCAAATCAGATATCACTGTATAAAGCGTTGAATCTTTCCTCGTGTGCTTCATCTTTTAAGATATTTTAACCATTATCACTACTTCAAATTATCAGTTCACGGGCGACAGTGCTGAGTACAAAAATACTTGAATCTATCCCAACATTCCATAATCACCGTGTTTAGACCAAAAGACCAAAATTTCCAGACTCCAGAACAATTCTTTTGCTTTGTCTCGCATAACTCGAGCTCTTGTTCAATCTTAAGTTTTCTCTTACAGCCTGAAATGGGGAAGCCAATGGACGTCGACGTCGATCCAAAACCTTTGAAACGAAAGGGGAGTCCAAGCGGCTCAGATGACTCGGGTATGTATTCACCTCGTGAATTCATCTTTCAAATGAAACCTCAAAAAAGAGCAAAACTAAAAACCCCATCTAGAAAAAGCGAGAAAGAGAAGAAAATCTCGAGCAAAGTGTGACGGCGAGCCTCCAGCGTGGGCATCGGTAAATGTTGCATTTCCCATTATATGGAGTAAAGCTAACCGCTTCAAAGGAACGATTTGACCTTTGTCAGACGATAAATTGGTTCCAAAAGTATTTGGCAGGTAATCATGAGATTAAAAAACGGAACTGCATTGGAATTTTGATAGACGGTAAATCGGTTACGGGTGAATATATGGATGAAGAAATTATCATAACACGAATAAGGTGCAAAATTTTATAAGTCGCTCTACTTATGGTCTACTGGGATCCTTGCTAATCATTTAAAGTGATGGGAAGCCTTTTGTCAACCCCGGTGATCAGACCGTCAAGGAATCCTTCAATGCAAAGGCGATCGCTCACAGTATGAGAACGGGTACACCAATTGGGGTAATTATAGGTAATTGCGGCTCAACCTTTTCTTGTGAGAACCTACAAAATGGATATCAAATTGACGTAAAGGTTAGGCGACAAGAGTGATCTTCCCAAACAGAAGATGCCACATCGTTATAACGTCATAGATTTCTTCATGGTTGATGCTATCTGGCATGAGAAGATAGGAGAAGATACTGGAGTTAAATTTCGACTTCAAAAGCTTGATCTCTCGAAGAAGAGTTGGTGGGCTGAAAAAGGTTCGCCTGATCCGACTCTTTGTAGTGAAAGAGACTTCGATCTAACCCCCGACTCTCATACATGTGGCACATGCAATACTACAAATCATCGGGTTTACAGAAATATGGAAATGTGTCTTAATAATGAGTGTCCTGAATTCTGGAAAGTAAATGGAGTCGATCCACCTGAGACGCGAGAACTTGATCCAAATTTCTTGGCCTGGCGCCAGAACTATGACCTGAAAAAGCACCTTGATCTAGCCCCTCACGAACTGATCCCTCAGATTCCGGATATTACACCCGAAAACCACAGAGAGTACCGCTCAGGAGACAAGGCAAAGATGGGGATTGTTTGTTCGCAGTGTGGGAGATGCCTTCCTCGGATAAAACTCAACGGTTGGAGGTGTGACTTTTCGCATATGAATATTGTGAGTTATTATAACTTGGAGAACTCAGAATCTCGAGATAATGACACTGGCTGCACCTGGAGCCTCTTGTGTGACCCCGATCCTATCCGAGTCGAAGGGTTAATCGACCTGGATAGCCTAAGCCGGTTTTATGCAAACCCTCATAGTGATATTAGCGGGGAAGCCATCACGAAAAGTAGTGATTATACTTCTTTTGCGCCTTACAAAATGGAAATGTATACGATTGCTGGTGTAGGAACAGTGACGCATTTTATCTCCAATACAGACATCAATCAAAATTTGAATGGACCAAATCATCTATTCGAGAGCTTCCAGATAAATGACCTTGGGCTTCGACGACATCGCCCTGATAAAATACAGGGTGAGTTATGGGGATTATGAACCCGGATATCTAGTAAGATGGTCATTGCTAACATCATGAATAAATAGATAACACAGCAAGTGCAGTGACAAATCAATTCTTAGTCAACATCGTAAGTGTTGAACAAATCTGTCATTCCTATGTTTCTGTTGTGAGTACCTTTGCTAAGCAAACATTGAAATAGGGTCTGCGATATCAAAATTTTACTTCACTTCACTTTTATGAGACGCATCGGGATGTTCGTCTCGCATACGCGCGCCTCGACTGGGCTATTCGGCGTGTAGTTTTAGCATCCCGCATTCAATACGAACTGCCAAACGAACTTTCAATTATAGGCTATGTAAAGAACATGGCAATGGAGGTAATGAACCCATATCTACAAATAGATGGAATATTTGGAAGTCCGCTAATGCAGGTTTTTCCCTTAGTTTCATGATGACGGAACGGTAGGCTCAGCAATTGCAACCCTTTCTCTAGGAGAAAGGGCCACCATGACCTTCCGGATGAAGCAGGAATACTACTACGGTATGAATAAGTCAGGAAAATTAGTTGAAGATGACCCTGTACTACCAGGGTGCCGGAACTATAATGCCAGAAGGGAACTCAAGGACAAATTTGATGGAAATTTGTTAACCAAGAAGGAGTACGATGATCAGCGAAAGGAAGTTTGCAAAAAAGCCGGCACTTCTCCAGTCTGTCTCACGATACAGCTTTATCATGGCCATATGACTGTCATGAATGGAACTGATATTCAGAAATATTACGAGGTATGTATCTACTCTCTTTTCTCTGTTTTTTCTTGCCACATCGAGTGATTCTGATCTCTTTAGCATTGTGTGACACCTGATGGTGGGCTGCGATTTGCAGTAACGGCTCGACATGTCCCTGAGAATACTGTTCCGCGGGAAGATCTCTCGAAGGGTCAGATTGAACTTGATGTCGACGATTTTTATGATGGAGATCCATTGTTAGCTTAAATCTCTCGAGTGGTCAGATTGAACTTAATGTCAGCGATCTTTATGATGGAGATAAATTGTTAATTTAACTTGAAACTGGATCAATCAATCACAGTAGGCAGATTAGGTTGGTTTTCCTAGCAATGGAGGCATCTTTTATCAAAGTTCTCATGAATAAAGAAAATCATGATATAATTACTACTATGTATTCAGGGCGAAATTTGGAATAAAACTTGTACATTACAAGACTAGAAACCTTGGAATATATATGATCATATTTAACCGATCTATACTCCACGATGCACCAGCTGACCTATTTTTTATATAAGAACAACATCACGTTGGATCCGTCAGCACTTGAGCATTCTCTGGAGGCCCTCATAGAGGCGGAACACAATTACGAGGCATTGTGGATAAACTTGTGTATGTACAGAGAATAGAGAAATGATAAAACCATGTTGAACAGGCAACCATGATCCTCAATTCTCTCTGATTTTTGTAGTCCTCGTAACTCTCCCGGGGCTCATTCATGGGAGACTAGATGGGAATATCTGAATGGACATGGTGTTGAACCTCCGACGCAATAATGGGAGTGCTACCCACCGACACAGACGAATTTCCTATCACATCCGCGGTGTTAGATTTTTCCGAGGCGGTACATCAGGGAGCAAATATCAACATCCCTTTACAAGAACTTGAACACAATGGATCGTCCTCAATCCCCAGACTACCAAAAGCTTTATTTAGAACTGATGCAGACAAGTGACAAAACTACATTTGCTGAGTTTCTACGCGGTTGTCATGATTTGTTGTCTCGACCCCTGCAAATAGAACCGCCCTCTCGCCCCACTACCGGACAGGTCCCGTCCCCGATAGGAAAATATTGCCCAACGAAGCTACGGCAATGGGCGGATTGCGCATCCCGACAACAAAAGATTTATGATTCTGTTTGCAAATACTTCGGAGACATTGATAATCAGCCACACCGCTTGTTTTGGAGTATTGGTTGTCTGCAAGCCACTGCCCGACATTTACCGAAATCAATACATAGTGAAAGGACATTACGGTTCTGTGAAGACATTGTTGTCAACGCAAATGTGAGGAAGATAATTGAAGGGCTATGTCAATTCCGTCGGGCTCGTCAAGAATTTCAAATTGAAAGAGGGGTGTTTTTTGACAGACATTCCAATTCATTAGAAGTGGACAATCCAGGAGATGAACAATCACGACCTGATCATGACTGTATCCACCGACTTGATGGTACACGCTCCTTGCTTATGACGTTGAAATATCAACCGCCGCATATATTGACTACGGAGCATCTCCGACTCGGTCTACGTGAAATGGACTTTTGGCAAGATGTAGTACGCAAGGATTCGGAGACTACAGCCGCAGAAAGTTCTGAGAAGATACAGCACGATGCGGAACGAACTGTAGGAGCTGTTTTAACTCAGGTGTATGATGATATGATTTGCCAGGGGCTCGAATATTCATGGATCACAAATGGCCTCGCACTTGTTCTTCTCCACATACCATATAACGAACCCAGTACTTTGGAGTACTTTCTGTGCGACCCTCTCCAAGTTAAACCGGGCGATCTTCAAGAGCCAAATACCGCCGTCGCTCGGGTACTCTGCCTTATCTTAATGGGCTGTCTTTGCTCCCCCCGGGATACTCCATGGCGAGAGTCTACGAAACGCTCGCTCCACCGATGGGGTTCTGCTCTTATCTCCAATGAGAGACAAGAAATTTTCAACTTTACATACCCCGGCTCTAGTGTTGATCCTGATTTATCATCCTTAAGACCTTTTTGCACCCAAAAATGCCTCAAGGGACTCCAACAGAACAAAGACTTAGATCCTGTTTGTCCTAACGTTCATCTACATCAGCAGGACAAGAAGGACCAAACCCAACATTTGATCACGATTGAAGAATTTACTCAGCAGCTGAAAGAGCAGATAGTCCATAATATCGATCGATGCTGTATATCTTTAGGAAACTGTGGGATTTCAGGTGCACCTTTCAAAGTTATCTGTTCTCAATATGGCTATACAATCTTTGGAAAGGGAACAACCGACCAGCTGTGGCCACATGTGTCTCGGGAAGAGCAGGTATATTACATTCTACGAGATCTGCAAGGCTCAATTGTTCCTGTTTTTCTCGGTCCAATTGATCTCTGCACGACATTTTTCCTTCACGGAGCTGGACGAATTCGACACATGTTACTAATGGCCTACGGAGGCGAGCACATCGATTATGAAAAACCTTACCCCCGCCAGATACCGAAAACCAACCGTGCACGGAAGGCAATAAGTTCCCGGGGAATAGAACATGGCGACTTTCGTCTGGAACATCTTCTATGGAGTGCTGAGATGGAGTCGGTCATGGTTATTGATTTCCATGCGGCCATTTTATTAAAGAAACGTCGACCTGGACCCAAAGAGAAGAAAAGAAAAGGAAATGAAGATCGACATACATCCCATGTACGCCAAAGCGGCCTTAAAGAAAGCATGTCGAATTAATACCGATTTTCCGCTGTAAAGATACTCTCTATAAGAAAAAATAAAACAAGCCCCGTGTACGTGGGACAAGAACGATCACCTGGGAAAAAACCTACCACATATATATATCTATTACAGCGTTACCTGTACTGTGAACTCTACATAAATAGAAAACCAAGTGGAAAGACAAATGGAAAGACAAATGGAAAGACAAGTGGCATATTTGAAAGGGAAATAAAGAAAAGTCATTTTTTCAAATATCTTAGATTGTTTTAGTGAGTACATTTAAAAACTCAATAAGAAAGAAAGAAAGAAAGAAAACCTATATCTCGAACGTATACCTTAAGCCACCTAGCAAGATTGAAACTCATGGACTTACAAAGGCGTAATGGGGTGTTATTGCAATACAGATATCGTGGTTTTCTGCCGGCCGAATCAGGCAAAAATGAAGTTTTTCCAGATGATCGCTATTGTCCCCGTACTCATGATCAATTGGATTCCTGAGAAACTCTCAAAATTGATTAGCGCCGCTCAATCATTAGAATACTTCCAAAACATTTTAAAGCAATAAAAAGCTGCACATGAGGCACCGGGAACATTTGAACATTCAAATGTTGAAGACTATACATGTATTACGTAACCCGCGTTTTCGCGATTCTGGAACGCGAATCTCAGACAAACCATCAATCCTAAAGAACACAATATCCACTCTTTTTGCTTCAGAGAGAATTTTGAATATCTCAAATCCTCGTCCAAAATGACGAGTCTAAAATTATCACTCGCCCCTCCCGCTTTGGTACGACTACACGATGCGTTGACCTGTCTGGCTAAATTCAGCGACACCGTCGCCATCGAAGCCGAGCACGACCTGGTTAGACCCACAAATTTACAATACTCACTTGAGCACAACTAATTATGCTACGCTATAGCTGCGACTAAGTGCCCTTAATTCGACGAAGACGGCATTTGCATCTTTTGTGTGTGAACGGGAGCCGTTTTTTGAATCTTATGAATTTACTCTTGGGATGGCGAATCGAGCTTCGGTTCAGAGTCAAGGTGGAGATAGGTTTTATTGTCAGATTTTACTTAAGGTGTGTGAGATTTTGTTCTTATGAAGACTTAGATTCAGATTAGGATTTGAATTCGGATTTGAATGTCTAAATCATGAGAGAAGTTTGATATTTTCTGTGTTCGGTACTGATATTCTCAGGCTTTATTATCTGTCTTTCGAGGAAGAGTCGACCGAAACAAAGATACTGCAGTTGAACGATGCGAAATGGAACTCCATGAGGATCCGAAACAGACAGAGTGTCGACTTACTATCAAGATGATTTGTGGTCTGGACGTTATTAAATTGTATAAGTTGACCTATGAGCCTGCAGCAATTCAACATGCTGTTTTTGATCGCAGGAAAACTTCGAATCAGTGGAGTGCGGATCCGCGCTTCTTAAGAAGAGTTGTTGATCATTTTAGTATGTCGGCTGAGCAACTTGATATGTTTTCTCAGGGGGAGCAGGCCGTGTTTACGAGTTTCACGACTAAGATTACAGAGGGGAAAGGTATGTGAACCATCACTGGTGCTTCTGTGAAAGATTACAATGCAGTGTATGTGAGAGGGTCTTTTTTAAAGATATCTAATTGCTTTATAGAAATTCTAAAACACCCAGTCCATACATCCGTCGCTGCAGATAAGAGAGATTTCGAAGAATACCTCGTCGAAGACAACATGCACGTTGCTATAAATTTAAAAGATTTCAAAGCCGTCGTCTCCCACGCCGAGACAGCAAATGCTACTGTAACAGCCCGATATACTCGACCATGCAAACCACTTCAACTCGCCTACGAGTTCGAAGGCGTCAGTGCAGAATTCACAATAATGACACGGGGCGAGACAGAGAACGAGGAAGCACCATCTTCGTCACGGGCGACTATTCCACAGCTCTCAAGACGGACTCAAGCTGCGCCAACGCCTACTCCTGCCCCTGTACCGATTTCAGTGAGGAGTGAATCTTTTCGTGCGACGCAGAATTCGCAGATGCCTCCGCCTCCGTCACGGAGTAGATCTATTAGGCCGTTGAATGGGTCTTCGACGCAGCAGCATCTTTCGCAGACGCCTGTGGTGGAGAAGATGGAGCAGAAACAGGAACAAGAACAGGAACAGGGACTTACGGGGTCGGCGTCTATAGAGTTTGATAGTCTTTTTGTTCCGCAGGATGATGATAGGCAGTGGGATGAGATGAATGATGAGGAAGAGCCGCAGGATATTCTGGGTTGGGATGCGACGGGTGGACAGGTATGTTATCTTCTCTTTCTTTTTCTTTGCTTTGTTCTACTTTACTTGGTTTGTGAATATGTCTAATGTGTTGAAGGATACATTCGAGGGATCACTTCGTGATGCGGAGCCGGATTTCCCTAAGACAACGATATCTCACAAGCCACCGCAGGATGATATGGGCATTCCACCCACACAACGCATGTCACAGGTACCTCCTTCCTTCTCTCCTTCTCATCTTTCCTGTTTGCGTTTGTGCTGATGTTGATATTTAACAAATCCAGGTCCGAGGACTCGGTCTCTTCGACTAAACACTTTATTATACAAATCCATTCATCCAATGTGAAGAACAGAATAGATTCAACGTAGTTCAATTCAACCTTCAACCTTCAATCCAAAATAACCCAACTAGTCGCACACCCAGCCCCAACACCAACCACCCTCCCACTCCCTCGCACCTTAGCACTAGTATCAGGAAGCGAGATCACCTTGTACCCGGACACATTGCCGCGATTGTCCGTATCCGGTCCACAATTCCCATGCTCGCCCCACCCAAACGCCGCCACGGACCCATCCCCCAAAAGCACAAGCGCATGTTCACTCCCAACAGCAAGTTTATGCACTGATGGAAGTGCAGCGTCTGGAAGTTGTCCGCGATCATTTCTTCCCCAGGACACAATGATTCCATTCCCATTCCCATCTTCGTCTTTTTCATCGTGCTTATCAGAGTTGGGATTAACAAATCGGCCATGACCATGACCATGACCACGAGTGCGAACAAGCACATATATTCCATGCCAACTAGCTCCGATATCCTCAAATCCAAATCCCCACTGACACCATGACTGTGACATACTAGTACTACCAGTAGGGCTAGTAGCACTAGTACTAGCGTGAGAAGATAAACCCACACTAGCTCTAGCTCCATCTCCATCTCCACCTTTTTCTTTTTCTTTTTCTTTTCTTTGTTCTCGGTCTTGGTCTCGGTCGAGTTCTGATTCTTCAACTTGAATCTCCGAGTCCCATTCTCGTATCCGTGTCCGTACTCGTTCCCTCAATCCCTCCCCATCCCTAACATCACATATCCCCCACCGATTAAATTGATCCCCAAAAACAATAATTTCTCCCTTCTCTTTATCCCCAACAATGACTGTGAATTCACGTCCGGATACAGCGTTCGTAGCGTGGAACGGAACATCGATTTGCGATGGAGTATAGATGATTTTCCCGGCTTTCAGGTTCTCGCCCAGTTGACCTTTTCGTGATGCGCCCCAGCCGTAGACTGTACCGTTGCATAGAACAGTAACGGTGTGGTTCATGCTGGATTTAATGCTTCTTATGCTGGTGTTTGATGGTGGGAAATTGGGTATTGATGTTCCGGGTTGAAGAGTAGATCTTTCAACTCCCAATTCTCCCTTTGCTGACGATCCATGCACGAATACTCTATCTTGTGCAGTTCCGTCGTTTAGTTCGATTTCAGAAACAAGAAGAGATCCCTCCCACGTAGCGGCGATACATTTGAATTTCTTCACGGTAGTGCCCGTTTCGTGATCAATGAGGACAACCCTTTGAAAAGTGTTGATGTTGATGTTGCTATTATAATCTTGAGTCCCGGCTTGGGTCTCGGCCCGGGGTTCTTGGTCGTTCAATTCTTGTGCTGCTGGTGATGGTATCCCACAACGACTGTCTGTATTGCAGCCTGATGCGTAAACAGTTCCGGTTTCTGTGAGGATAAGGGTATGGTTTCCTCCAGCGACTATCTGGATGATTTTGTCATCTTGCTTTTGTTCGGTTGGATGTGTGAAGAGACATTTGGTTGGTGTTGATACGTCTTCCTCGTGGCCGAGTCCTAGTTGACCGGATCCGTTGGAGCCGAAGGCGAGGAGGTTCATGATAGCCCCGCTTTTTGTTCAAATTGTTTTTGCTTTAAGAGTCAAGATCTGGTTCTTGTTTTTGGAACTTTAGGACATGCCTGTGGGTTATTGGTCTGCGGTGGGGTTTAATTGTGTCTGAGGGTGTGATTTGAACGGATTGGCAGCATTACGTAATTCGTTGAAGCTGTGTTCAAGATCTTAACGTCGAAGGTCCTCGTGGTTTAATTACGGTAAAGATGGTTTTATGAGACTTTAAATGAAATGGTATATTATGTCAGAATAAGATTCAAATCGAATCTATTATCATTCAAGTCGAAGCAGGGTATGTAAGGTATAAATCAACATCTAATAATAACCAGGCGCCACATCAATGCAAGTCATGTAATGTCCAAACAAGCGACTAATGTGCTTGATCCAATGTAAACAGCCCAAAACCAACTTTTCCCGGTCCCAAACAGAAAGAATAAAAAAATGTATAAGAATAAAAAGAAGCAATGCCAACGTATGCTATATGTACCGAAGAGTCTGAAATTTACAAGACAGCGTCTATGAGTGTTTCTCACTCGAAGAATATGTATATGTCTCGCTTGAGGATCCGCGTTGCTCGCTGCTATGCGTATGTGTGTTTGTGTTTGTGTTCGCACTGGCAGATAGCATCTGCTGCTCGTTTGGAGGAGTCACGGAAACCATTGCGGGGTTATCGTGTCGCTCTGAGTGATGGTATGCGTCTTCATCCAATTCTGCGGCGGGGGGAAGTGTGAAGTCGTCCTTCTTGATTGCACTTGATGATCCGGGCTTCTCCATGGGACTCATACCCTTGAACATGGGACTGGTGCGGTGGAAATAAGTATGCACGTGGCCTTCAAGGAGGGAGTCATCTGTGTCTTCGACGATGCTCTCTTCACTCTTGTCTTTCTCGGCAAACTTGGATGCCATTGCGGCTTCCCATTCGAGACGGTATTCCTCGACCTTGTGCTGATAGTCTTTTTCGGCATCGTAGTTCTTGCAGAGACGGAGCACGAAACGCTCGTACCAGGAGAGATGCTTAGGGTGTACTGCGGGGCCGTGGTATTCTTGATCACGACCTTGGCGGATGTACTCCCAGCGACGCTCTTGTTCCTTCAAGTCCAGACCTGTTGTATCGGGGAGGAAGGCCAGAGTCAGGACAACACCTGCCAGGCCGAACCAGGGCACGACTAGGAACTTGGTTTGGTCGTCGATGTAGTTGTATAGCACGGCGGCGAGGAGAGCTCCGGATTTACCGGCTGCGGCGGAGAGACCGTGGGCGGTGGCACGGATGGGGGTAGGGTACACCTCAGCTGCGACCAGGAAGGTCACGGAGTTCGGACCGAATTGGTTGAAGAAGGAACTGAGGAAGTACATTGCCTGAAAGCCCTTGATGTGTTCGGACGAAGTATAGTACTTGTAGTGGAAGGCGGGAATGACGAAAAGAATAAAGCACATCAGGAAGCCGAATGTCTGCATCCATTTGCGACCATAGAGCTTGTTGTCGATGAAGAACGAGGCACAGTAATATCCGCAGAGAGATACACCGACGTTGACTAAACTCCATAGCCAAGTAGGCATAATTGAGTCTGATGCTGGGCTAATCACAGCAATGAATTCACTTTGGAAGAGCTTGTTGCCGTAGAAGAAAACGTCATTGCAGAACCAACCGCCTGCAGTGGCAATCAAACGCGGACCGAAGAATTTGAATGTGAGGCGCAAAGAGTCGAAGTCGTAGCCTGTCACTGATGCCTTCTTCTTAGCTGCAGCCAATTGTTTACTCGCAGCCTTCATGTGGTAGGCACGGTAGTAAACCAGCCAAAGTGTTCCGACGGCCGGAAGAGCGAAGGAAATTCGGTATGTCCATTGAGTCGAAACGGCGGAGTAAGGGTTATTGCCACTGCCATGGTGGAAAATGAGCAGAAGAATGATAAGCAGAGCCTGGTTGAAGAATTGACCCCAACCCTGCATCAAAAATGCGCTAGTGACTTTGCGACCACGGTGGAGACGGTCCTCCTTTGTCGAAATCTTTCCTGAACCCACAGCATTTTCCATACCACTCGTCGCAGTCATTGGGTATTCACCGCCTGAATAAAGTGTGTTAGTGACCGGCAGAACTATTTTTTTTTGGGTGAGGCGCAGCGCGAAGGCGGCGAAACTCGAAGGCGGCGAAATCCGAAGTTAAGACTTACCGACTCCAACACTGTAAAAGAATAGGGACCATGCATAGCAGATCACCCAGCCGTTCATGGTCAGACCCCACGCGGCTGTGAGCATAATGAGACCGAGAAACATGATTGTCGCATCTTGAATTAAACCCCAGCGACGACCAAGCCTGTATCCATGTTAGACTGATACTAAATCTTTTTGTTCCCACCGCCGAGCTTCGACCGAAATCATGAAACTCAACAATTTTTTTTTCCGTGTTCGAACATACCAATCACCAACAATTCCCACCAAAATCTGACCAAAGATAATTCCAATAATTTCCAAATAATCCACCGCATTAATCCATTGTTTATTGCATGTGGTCGCTGTGTCCCAGCAGTCGGGAAAGGTTTTCTCGAACAGCGGCTTGATGTTACCAATGGAGAAAAGCACGTAACCTTCCAAGCCGAGACCTGCACCAGGCAGAACCATGTTGTGAAAATAATATGAGATTGGCGAAAGAGGATCTTCTTTAATCATTCCCCAGATTGTACCGAGTTCCCGTTTGGCCTCGCTGGCATCGTAGGAGCTCACGAATCTGATCTTCTGGCCCAGCGGCAAATCCGCCCAGTAGGTACCATCCTTGGTATAGCTGTCGTCTGGGCGAATTAACTCGTCAAAGGCGCCTTTTTCGTTGGGATCCATATTCATCTTCTCCAATGGGTTGTGAGTACCCGTCATATCTGGCCCATGAGGGGCACGTAAACCGAAGTCGGCCATGGCGAATGGAAGCTGCCGCCGAGCTTGAATCGTAAGTTCAAGCAGGAATTGGCGATGTTTTATACCGGATCGGAGGGGAGGAGGGAGGGAGGTGAAGGAGGAAAAGAAAGTTCAGAGTGGAAGGAAGTGGTAGGTATGGTAGGGACCACTATTAAAAAAAATTGGGGGGAAGAAATGTGTGTGGCTACTGTTCCCTAATCCGGGCGATCAAGATCTTATATTTTTTTTCTTTACTACAACCTGGGCAGGCAAGAGAGGAACGGGACAAGCGGAAGGGAAGAGTCGAGCCCCGCTCCAGAACTCCAAGGAAATGGTAACTGATGAAAGATAAGTGGTGGCAAGCTCCACTGTGTTCTGGTTTTTTTTTCCATGAGGCAAAACGGAGAGGAAACTGGAAACTTGGTGGTGGTTCGCAGTAAAATCTAGTAAATTTCAATATTTTACGTTCGAAATTTCGAAATTTCTAAATGCGGTGTTCATCCCCCGAAAACAGAAGGCGCGAGTGGGGCTCCTCAGTGGGGCTAACTGGACCCCGATGGAGAATACCCATAAACCAATCAACTCTGCACGTGGTGGCAGAATCCGCCCATTTTCGCACGAAAAGGACCCCACCGCCTGCGAGATTAGGTCGCTAGATCTACAGAGTGGAGTCATGGCTTTGCTGCTCGGATCCATCGCGGCCGCACAGAGCCCCCCAGACCGACAACTGCTCGTATGAGGGGGGATGCGATCAACAGATAATCCTGGGGTTTACGGCTCCCAATTGTAAGAAGGGTTTTAAAAAAAAGCAAGAATGAATATCATCAACCCCCAGGCTTTGAGTCGATATACATGACATTTGTGCCTGGACGCTAGGGGACCGGCAATGTCCGAATTCCAGTGCTCGCGTGCCTTCTCCCGCAGCTTCCAGCAGCTTATCCATTGCACACGTGCTGCATTTCCTGAGTCTGACTAGCATGAGAATCCCTCGGTCTTGCGTCATCTTGGCTCTGTGGTTTTATTTTTCAGTTTTCATCTTCTTCCCGTTATTTTTGTATGGAAGTGTGAAGGATCGCTTGAACCCCTCAATGATCTGACGTCGGAAACCTTTTAACTTCCACGCTAGTCTCTGGGGAGGAGGTGCCCCATCAGCCAGTCAGATCCCCGGATATGCGCACATGGTGTCCTTAGCGCCCTTTTCATCTCAGTCCGTGTCTGTGTCGTCTGCGGTCTGCCCCCTTACGGACAGGAATGGAACTTGAACCGCCCAGATTCAAATCACTGTACGGAGTACCAGCCAACAAGCATCTTGGCTGCTTGGCTACTGTCGCTTGCCGCGGTATTTCATTTCATTTCGTATCTTGAAACCGAGACTAATATTGCAATATTCATGTTGATTTCCCAATTCGATCTACATACCGGCTCTACCTCCCACCGAGCATGCATCGTCGGCTCTGACATACTGCGGATCCACCGAACCGTTGGATTGCTATCAAAGCTGTGGGACTCTGGATACCGCTGACGATTGTTCGTTTAATCTTTAACCGAATGATAACTAATCAACTGACAATTTTGATCCTTAACTATACAGTCTGAAAGTTATGCATTGTCAATAATCTCAAAAGCCCTTTCATTCATCATTACCATTAAACACTACATCATCTTCCCGTTCAACCCCAGCCCACATCAGAAACCAACAAATAACTCCGAACTTCAATAGTTCACCCGTATTGCGCCCGCTACGAAGAATGCGAATGCCGTCTCCACTGAAGCTGACGCAGGTCGGCATATCAAATCTTCTTTGCATACCTGCCAGGGGCTGGTGGAGAGCTCGTCGATCTACATCAACCCTGGAGCTAACAGCTATACCCCAGCCAATAAGATTGCCCAGTCATGCCATGTTCTCGTCCACAGGTGCTTTCAGCCCAGCCAGGCCAGCCGAAGGAGCCGCCGCCTGCATGAACTACCGACTTTGTCCAGGAGCCCAACCCCTTCTAGAAGGTTGCCTTGTAGAGGAAAGTGCCCCGGTGGACCTACCTTTCATCCTGGCGATCGTATTGACAAGGTCCCGAGTCTGGTGGATCTCATGTTGTCATAAACCTGTTATTTTGGGTTTCAGGTTCAACTACGGTGCTCTTCGGAGTACAGAGTTTATTCTAGACCTTTCTATTTCTTTGTCAGGTATACTGTAATCTCCCTGCCGTCTGCATATCCCCTTTTGGGGCTATCATTGCGCCCGACTTATGTACAGGCACTAAGATCAGCTACTAATAGTACAGAGTGCGTCAATAGATCGTCCTTCAGTACTCGGGAGAGCGGCATCTTTCTCGTTTTGTTGGAAAAGCTGGATTATCGTTAAGTAGTTACGGTATACAAGTGCGAAAACGTGTTTCAGCCAACTGTTTAGTTCAGGGCGCTTTATCTTTTACTAATATGGCACAAGAAAAAACAAAATTCGATTTGCGTTCATTAAACTTTTCTCGTTTGCAAAATTCGAAGTTCAAACAACCCCATCAAGATCAAGATCCTCCCAACTCATTTCCCATTCCACATCTCACATCATGAATCCACGTCCATAGGTCCCTGTCCCTGTCCTTGCACTTGTACTCCTCTCTCCTCTCCTCCTCTCTCCTCTCCTCCTCTCTCCTCTCCTCTCCTCTCCTCTCAAGTATCCACCGGCTGGATAACAGAAGCATCTCCCTTCTTCCAAATAATTTGCATAACAAACTTTCTAACGTACCATAACTCCCATCCTCCGAGTCCTGTTCCTTCTCATCCCTAACAAGCAAAAAGTGAAAATCCCCCCCCCCAGTCGTGTACTTCGAATGCTGTACCGTCCCAAGCGCAAGAATCAATGCGCATTTACTTGCTTCCCTTTCGCTTGCGTACACACGAACAATACTCAACATGTGCGTGGTATCCATTGGTCCGATTTGGTGAGTTACCCACTTTGTGACAGAATTAAAGCCGAATATAGAGCGTGACATATTGGGCTTTGGTGGGTTGTTTTGTGTAAGATCGAGGTTAAATTCGGCATTGATTTTAATTTTGGGTGTTCGTAGGGAATAGTTGGTGGATATGAGATTTGTTTTGACGTTTGAGGTGCTTTTTGAGGGTTGAATTGGGTTCCCTGGGGTTGATTGACTCTTGTCGGGCTGGATTGTTTCAGAGCCGAGGATCTCGTCTTCTTCGTTCAGGTTATTGGTTGGTGCCATCTTGCTAGGTCTCGTTGATTTAATGATGTTGGGATTGGGGTTGGATTGGATTGGACTGGTGATGTGGAAGGTAGAAGGTGGAAGGTAAGATGATAGATTGTTTGTAGCTTGGCCCCTTAGGTGATATCCCCAAAATTTAGATTGTGTCATTCACAGTTGACATTTTCGGCCTAAAATCCTGAATGGGAATGAATGTGAAGATACTATACTCGATGTGGCCCGAAGTAGTACTTGTGAAGGAAGCCTGGTCATTACGCGGCTGTCGTCAACATCCCATTTCACCTTCTTGGCCGGAGGTTCTTGCTCGCCCTCGTCACTGTCACGCTCAGGGTCATGCTCAGTTTCCGATGTCGGGGCGGGTGCAGGGAAGTTCGCAGGCGGTAGTCAATTCGAGAAAAGAACGAATTACCTGGTCAATGAGTTGTTTGCACCATTTGGATAGAGAGTATGGCGCCATCTGTCCTGGCAGATTCGCGAACGTAGTCCAGGGCTATATCCCCACGTAATATATTAGTATTGTATCTTCACACAAGGTGTATAGCAATGCTAGTAGTGTATTCCACCAGTGAGTTCGACAATTCCAAGGCCTCAAGAGGAAAATTGGATGCACAAATTCTTCCTGCGTACCCCTTGAAAGCAATACAGCACATCCTGGATATCAACATAACAAAACCAACGTTCCTCATCAGCAAACACGCGCATCTTCACCCCCTTTGCATGAGCAAGAAGCTTCTCAGAAACAAGTGCGATTTAATCTTTGTAGATTGGAACGAAGGCAACTTCAAGTTGAAGACAGCCTTTGGTTGGCTCTCTCTTTGAGGGAAATCCGATGGCGAGGCCTCAAGTTCTTCGAGGTCAGATTTTGAAATAGTGTTTGGCACTATCAGGAGTTATTCGGGATCGGACTCATCCTCTTCACCTCCCCACTGGCTCTGCTCTTCCACTACCAGTAGGTCTTGAGTTAAACGATAGCCCCGACTTGAAGTACTTCTGCCCAAGTGGTTGAAGGTGTACAATATTGAGCTTCTCTTGATTGTAATTGGGATCGGGGTCGAGATCGGGATGGCCTGATATCCTCTGTAGCCAATCTTGCTGCTTCACAAAGATGCTGTAACTTCTTTCGAGCAAAGCGTATTTGGACTTCAAGATTATCAATATCATCATTTTCATCCATCGAAGATGCAGAAAGCATTGTATTACCTCTTCTTGCAATAGCTGCGAATGTTTTAATGATTTGGAATGGCTATAAATATATACTACACCTTTGGGGGTATATCACGGCGCAGGGCTTCCTAATCATGGCAAGCCATTTCCCGAGGTCCTTTCAGAATTCTGTAGCCACTGTTACAGGCAAAGCTGACGAGTCGGGGGAAGCATAAGATTCTAAAATCCCTGGTGTGCTATCAGTATTTGTGGTGAATGTCTACTTGAAACGAGATCAATGTACTTTGTTCCATTGTTGAAGTTGTTTGCGCTGGCAAGAGTGACAAAGGTAACATCGCACAGAGAGTGGTTCACATCCCTTGACGCCGAATACATCGATCATTTTGTTGTTACCCGTAAAATAACAGACCTAAGGTACTTCACGATGAAGTGGCGGGGTGAGTAAGATTAAGAAGCATAGGAAGGAAGCCTCGGAGAAATATAAGAAAGAAAATAAGAACCAGTACTACTAAGAAAGGGGGATTAGGTAGGGTATCAGTGAAGAGAAGATAAGTGAGAAAGCTGCTGGACATCAGGTTTGATTTTTCCAAGTCCTTCGGCTAACTTGTCGTTAGGCTTTCAATCGGTACTTTCTTCATCATTTTCTGTGGTGGACGCTGTCAGGCTCCTTCTGTCTATAAGTATCCTACTAGTAAAGTAGATTGACCCAGTGAGTGGGGAGGCTTTACTTACTTCGTGCATCGCATACAGGGTTTGCCTGAGATGTTTCTAATTGCCATCTGGATTCGAGCACCATTCTTATGCACACGCAAGGCATACAGTATCATGGCATGAATTATGTGGAAGGCAAAAAACGCGTTCATTATCGACCTTTATCAGATTGCATTTCGGTTTTGCATGCTGAAGCCATGACCTGAAAACCGCCTCTATATATCCATTGATATGATGTATGTTACGGAGAAACAAGAAATGTGGGGAAGTCTCTTGATATTCTGACTAGGCTATCTAGCGAGGAAGAAGGAAACGGGGGCCACATGACACACGGCAACAATGTATGTGGTTATGAAAGCATACTGGTATCATGATGTTTTGTATCTTGATGAAAGGCGGTCAATGTGTCATAATATCGATTGCGAAAATCTTCCTAGCGGTTTCTTGAGGATGGGATGCTTCAATAAGCAGATATTTCTTCCTCATTCGACGATTTGCATATATACTCGCATATAGGCAATGGTGTCTTCATAGATGCGATGCGTTTCTTGGAACTGTTCAATTGCACACGTAGAGAAGGTATATAGGAGATACCATGATGAAGCTGCAATGAAATTGGGGGGTTTGAAAGGGACAGAAGAAAGGATCATGTATCTTGCGATTTGGCTAATTGCTCACGGTCGATTAGGCAGTAGAATGACTTGTTCCGCCACTTTTTTGCGAGCTTCTTCAGTCGCGTATGCCTTCGTATTCCTTTTCTGAAGAAATCTTGCACATGTAGAGTTGCCTGATAAGAAGATATCAGAATCGAGACTTGCTGTTATTCCCAAGGATAACAACAAAGTTACAGAAAAGAAGAGAGAAAGGAATGAATCAAGTAAGATGAAGAAAGGAAGAAGGAGAAAAAGAAAGAAAGGAAGTAACTTGAATATATAGGCGTCCGTTTGATATTATGGGACTTCCATATCTGCACATACTACTACATCCATTGCTGCCTGGATAACCTCATCGATGTACAAACAAGGCAGATCATTTCAGGCACCTACCAGGTTTGACTCATATAGTAGTTACAATTTGATCTCTCTATCTCCCCAAATCATATTTTCTCTCAGTAAAAAGCTGCCTTATCTATAAAAAATAGCCGCTTACTTCAAATGTTGGTGGTGTGGTGTGCAAGATCCCAGGTGGCTGGCAACATTCCAACCACATCGTCCGCCCACTACCCCTTCCCGGGCCAGATCACCCACCAAGCCAAGCCCAGGATGAGAAAAATTCAAGAATACTGTTATCATTCTTATCCCGATCGATACATTTTCGGGGAATTCATCCTGAATGACAGCCCCCCGATATGAAGGGTTCTGCTTAATCTTGCTTCTCCCTGTTTGATGGCTTGCTAGCCTACAGTAAGAATGAGGCACACATTCACAGTGGGGGATTTTCAAGCTGGTGGGAAGTTATAAGAATTAACGGACTTGCTGAATCGAAGATTCTTACTTTCGTTAATCACATTTTATCTTCATCATTATTATCTACAACTTTTGTAGGTCCTTCATCTGTTGAAGTACTAAGCTTGCTAGTACTAATCTATATGCAACCAAATAGGCTTATGCACTGTTGATCCTTTGATCTTCAAAAGATCTGAATACTCTAATCCCAGTTCTTGGCTAGGTACATCAGATCGACTTGGTGCGCCCCAATAACTATGAGGCTCATCCATACTCCCTGTACTAACTGCATCCATCCAGTCAACTCCGATCATTCAAAATGGCTCGCCCAGACCTAAAACGCATCTTCCCTGAAGTAACAGCATTCATCGCATTCATCCTCACTCTACTATGTTTATTCGCGGGCACACAACGAAACCTTCTCGACAACGCCGATATCCTCACCGTATGTTCATTCGATCTCAAGCCCCTTCTCTTCCCCGCAAATGCAGTGCATGAAACCCAAACCCAAGCCCTAAACCAAAAGCTAATCACCACGTCAGCTTTACACACCACAAACAGACCTAGCATCCAACGCCTCAACCTTCTACTCCATCCACGTCATGTCATATTGCCAAGGAACAATAGGATCAATGGAATCGGGTATGCCAGGTAGTGCGCGCAACGTAACTTCGTGTTCCGATCGCAATATCCTATTCTCATTCGATCCTACTGAAGCCTGGCCGGAGGAAGAGACGAATGGGACATCTTTAACCTGGCCCCGGGTTATTAGTGATGATTTCCATGCATTCAGACTTACTACCCAGTCCATGGCTGTGTTGTATTGTATTGGACTTGCAGCTATTGGGGCTGTTCTCCTGGTGCGCGTGTCGTCATTTCTTGCGCCCAGATCACAGTATGGAATTTTTGAGTTTGGATTCTTAGTGGTGAGTCTCTTGTTCAATGCTTTCATTTGTTCTTGTTCTTTTTAGAAGTGCTCGCACCTCTTTTCTTACCCCCTTGATTACTTGAGATCATCCATGAACCCAAAACATGGCCAAAAGAAGAAACATGCGGCTAACAGTCATTTGTATTCATCAGCTGGCTTCTCTAAGTATGAACATTGCCTCGATTATTACCACGGTCATTGCGTTTGAATTCGTGGCTTTGATCAATGCACATGGGCATGGGCTGGATGTTTCGGCTAGATACGGAGAAAAGTTTCTCGGCATGACTTGGGCTGCGGCGGGTTTGTTGCTTGTGGGAAGTATTGCTAGTTTTGTTAATGTTTTTGTGAGGGAGACGCGGGCGGAGGCGCCCCCTCCTTCGAAGGATGAGGAGGACCTCGAGGGCTGAGCCGATGCTGAGGTCGGACTCGAGCTTGAGGGGTTTGGGGTGGACGTGGACGGATGGAACGGAAAGAGGGGGTAGTGCTTGTGCCGGTGCTTGAGCGCGGCGTATCGCACTAGGGATGCATTTTTCGGGGAAATTCGTACGATGTACGGAGTACAGAAGCGCATCTTTTTTTTCGTTCTCTTTTATTATTATGTTATTTTATCTTGTTCCGATATTTAGTATTATATGAGCGGTGATGCCACCTGAATGAAATTATTATTTGCAAACTAAATTGAATTAATATACTAGGGACATCAGAGCATGATCAGATCATGATACTTGAACTAAAAAGAAACGGAGATGATTTTGCCAAGCACTATACTACGGAGTAAAGAGTGGCACTACGGGGCTAGGTTAGGCTAGGACTCCACTCCATACATGAGGTTAGAAGATCCTAGAAAGACCAAGAACAGACTAGTTAAATTGCCAGCAATGAGCATCAGGATCGTATCCCGGCGACTTTCCTGACTTCGTTCCCGGTGAAAGAAAAGGCAATGAACAGAAAAAACAGACAAGAAAATCACTCAGTGCACTGTTACTGTCACGGCCAATGATACTGCACTGTCAAGGAAATCAAAACCCGTGCTAAACTAGTGACCAATAGACAAGAAGATTGTACCCCTTTTAAGGCAACAGGATCGATTAGGCTATAGGCTATACAACCCCCTCTCTTTGTCTCAAAGGATCAGATCAAATCAAATGCAAGCACATCATCAATAGACAGTGATGGAATGTTGAAGACGACAGAGTAAACTCGATTAAACCTCGGGATCCTAGGGTACTCATCTGCGACTAACGGAGAAAAACTGGGTCTGACGGCTTGTGACGACCTATCACCCGTCGCACCCGGGTGCAACTCCTCTATGAGAGTGGGGAACGCGACAAGCCGATCAAGTAGGTTGTTCTGAACTTTGCAGCCAGTGCGACTATCGCGTATCAGATTGATGTGATGCGATGCCACCTAGTCAGCGCCGTAAGCCATAGGACCACAGTACTCCGGCAGGGCTTGTTATAGTCCGGGGTTAGTGAACAACCGGGTTGAGTTAGGTTGGGTTGGGTTAGGTTACTCGGCTAAGCCTCTTCAGCCCAACCGTTGGATGGAGAACTCTGGAAGGTTCGGGGTACGGAAATTCGGGAATACTACGGAGAGTTAGTACATCATCGTGGAGTGCCGGGTTAGTGGTGGTGCTGGGGAGTTGCGCGATACGGGATTTCCCGGTGGAAGGGAATAGGTGCATATTTTGCATATGTGCATGAGTTTCTAGTTCCTATTTACCCCCCCCCCCCCACCTTTTTTTTTCTAAGCGTGCTCTTGTTCGGGGCCTGGAACAAATAATCATCGAGATTTGGAACATGAGGTGGAGATTGGGGAATGAGGGAATGGGGAGGGCCTGGGTCTAGCAAAGTTTAGGTTCCCGACGTAATGCAAGCCATACGCCATCACTTTTCGCATACTCTCTACTATGAGAAGTTACCGTTGAGGTTGTACATGGGGAGATGTGTTACACTAGGGATAGTGATAGTAATTATTGTTTTTATTATAATAATGAATTATAATTGTAAAAGGAAAAGTAAAAGAGAAATGGAAACAATCAGCTATCATAATGTCCTCATGGCAGTGATTCATATTTGGCGCCCAAACAAGGCGGAGGGGACTTCCGTGCGCACCAGGGATCGATGAAGTCATCCACTTGATACTATCGTGGGTTCCCTATGACATTGACAATGACTCTGACTCTGACCCTAATAATAATAAATAAATAACCTTGGAATAAATCAACTTAAATCGTACGCAACAAAAACCCCTCATTTACCCTTTCTCCTTGATTTCCTTCCTTCCCGATTCGGTCTTCCCTCCAGAGCTCCTTCCCTTTCCCCCACCTGCTTGAACTCTTTAAATACTCGCTATCTCTCCCTCTTTCACTTCTTCCCCTGCATCTCAATCACCTGCATATCAAGCCACCACTACGACCACATCAGCATCCTCTCAGATCACGGGATTTATATATCCTTCTCTTATTCCTTCTTCTGTCCAATTACTATCCTCCATTTCAATCATGGCTAAGAAAGCCATCCATTTTGGCGGCGGCAACATCGGCCGTGGCTTTGTGGCGGAGTTTCTTCATACCGCAGGCTATGAAGTTGTCTTCATCGATGTGATGGACAAAATCATCTCCGAATTGCAAAACACCAAATCCTACACCGTCACAGAAGTCAGTGATGAGGGTGAAACCACCAAAACAATCACCAACTACCGTGCCATCAATTCCAAAACCAATGAAGAAGATGTCATCAATGAGATCTCTACCGCTGATATCGTCACTTGTGCTGTTGGTCCTAATATACTCAAATTCATCGCCCCCGTCATCGCCAAGGGTATCGAGATCCGTTCCACTCCAAAGCCATTGGCTGTCATCGCTTGTGAGAACATGATCGGTGGTACAGACACTCTGCACGGTTACATCAAGGATAACACCGACTCGGCCCGATTGGACTCTCTCGGCGAGCGTGCTCAATTCGCCAACTCCGCCATTGACCGTATTGTTCCCGCGCAACCACCTAATGCCGGTCTGAATGTACGCATCGAGAAGTTCTACGAGTGGGTCGTCGAGAAGACTCCCTTCGGCAATGTCGGACACCCTGATATCCCTGCTATTCACTGGGTCGAAAATCTGGAGCCCTACATTGAACGCAAACTCTTCACCGTTAATACCAGCCATGCCACCGCTGCTTACTACGGGAAACACAGTGGGAAAGCAACCATTGCTGAAGCTATGCGCGATTCCTCCATCAAGGATGCTGTCCGTGACGCCATGAATGAGACTGCCTCGCTGATCGTCGATAAGCATGAGATCACCGCGTCGGAGCAGCAGCAATACGTCGAGAAAATCATCAAGCGTATCTCCAACCCTTATCTGGAAGATAGTGTCGAGCGTGTTGGACGTGCCCCCATCCGCAAACTGGGTCGCAAGGAGCGCTTTATTGGTCCTGCTGCACAATTGGCTGAGCGCGGTGCACGCTACAAGGCACTTCTCGGATCGGTGGAGATGGCACTTCGTTTCCAGAACGTCGAGGGTGATGAGGAGAGTGTGGAATTGGCGAAGATCCTCAAGGAAAACTCTCCCGCTGACGCTACGGTTCAACTTACTGGCTTGGAGCGAACGCACCCTCTCTTTCAGTCCGTGTCGGATGTAGTTTACCAGGTGCAATCCGAGTCGAAGTAAGTTTTATTGTGGCGAACAACTCTTTTTTCTTTGCTTTTTCCTTGAGGGAACATTCAGACTAACTGTTCCACCTCAGGGAAACGGGTCAACCCCGTATTTAAGGGCTTCTTTATGTTCCCTTGTGTACTCTTTCTCAGCATGGACCACGGGCATACACGGCGCGTGGAGTGGCTTCTGTCTTTTTATTCTTTCTCTTAATATGATGTTACGATTGTGAAAATATAAATAGCAAGCAGTGAGCTTTAAGCTCAAACTTGAAATGAAACAATATACTTTAAGAAATTGTGCCTCGTAGATATGAATAAGTTCAAGTTGTTGGCAGTAGTTCTTTGTGTACATTGAGTAATCAACTCCACGCACCTACACTACATCTGCATCAAGACGCTTAACTGCTATTATCTTCACAACAAATACTCAACTTCCAAACTTCCAACTTTACCTTCACCCAACCCAAAAGTATCGAGAAACCATGTCCTCCATCGAAATACCATATCATTCCCTCCAAGACACAATCAACACCTTCTTTTCCAACCGCACCATCACACAAGAAGAATGCGACCGAATCGCAGTTGAACTTACCAGTTCAGCTGTAGAACCCGTTCCCCTCCAAGAATCATCCAGTTATACTGTAGCTACCGGTGAGTTTATTGTAGAATTCCGTACTCCCAGTTCTCCCCTGGATGTCGAAATTCTCGATCTTTCCCGAAAGATCTATGGTCCCTTAGTGCCAACTTATTTTCATAGGGGTATTGTTGGAGCATCGCTTTCTCTTATTGTTTATGTTATGGAGAGATGTCCTGGGGTAACTTATATCGAAGCACCCAGTATAAAACACTGTACGCCACGGCAAGAGAGAACACTATCCGATTTTGCAATGTATACTCTACATACTCCACTCTGTTCTAATCGACTCTGCCCGACTCCATTACATTCACGACATCAAACATAACTACAGCTTGAACCTGAACTAAAAGATACAGATTCTTCGCAAAATCATGGATAAATAGAATATCCACTATCAATGGCATTCAACCCTCCACAAAACCATCACTCGACCTCCAAAAAGACTCAATTTACTAATCTACTACTTCCCACTCCGCTTCACAGGTACAATCCGTACTCTCCTCGAAGAAATTCCCACTCTGTTCAATCAAAACTACCCCCTCATCCTATCACACAGCAATCTATGCGAAAAGAACATCATTTCCGTTCCAGATTCAGGGGGGATCAACGGTATAATCGATTTTACCATTTGGATTATCTTTGTGGAGTCTTTGAAATATGCTTGGATCTATGGACGCGGGTAGTTGGACTTATTACGAGGGATATGAGAGATTAGAGGCTCTCTTCTGGGATAAATTTTATGGTTATGCTCATGCTGATGTTTCTCATGATGATAGGAAGAGGATTAGAGTTGCTGAAGGGGTTGGATTAGTTCTTAGGTATGGGTATACGTTAAAAAGTGGATTTGAGATGGTTGCCAATGGTGATGATTCGTCGATTAGGTATTTAGATGCTTTTTTGGATCGTTTGAATTATTCGGGTGATTAGCTAGAGCTATGGATATTGCTTAGAGTCTAGCGGGTTGTATTCGGAATTGATGAGTCGATGTCCCGGTCAACGTCGAGTCGACGGCTAGATCCACATTTTTTTTTCCTGTGGATGTCATTCATGTTTCTTATCTGCCTCATTCGTCATCGTGCAATTGTAGTATGCATGTGTTATACCCCTGTCCGTCATGTTTTCAATCCAGCCGAGCTGATGCAATGCCTACGCAATCTAGACTGCTAGTGGGTCTATCAGTACCGACTCCACTTCGGCTTGAAACCCACCTATAGAAATGCGTCGAAAGCGCCGCCTAAACGTATATCCACATGAACATTTACATCATATACGGAGTAAATAATCTGGAAAGTTCTTTGTTTATTTCAGCTCTAGAATATTCTTTGTTGGTGTTCGGAATGAATTGCTTTGATATTGAGAGAAACACCAAGAGGAGATCGCTCGCTGCACAATCTTTCTATGGCGTGTTCTGAAAAACCGAGGACGACCAACCATTGATTCCGAGTTTCGTCCTTTTGGAGAGACTCAAATATATCCATTGAAGCCTTACGAGATTGCGGAATATTAGACCAGGTTCGGACAGTGTATCCTGGTGGAAATTGATCCATGAAACCACTAGACGCTCGGCTTGCTGATTGTTGACTTGCGAAAGACATTGTAGTAATCGTGCTTGCGGTCAGTGCCCTCGAGGTGGCACTCAGGCTGTCTCCACTGTCAGAATATATTAATGCCATCATGTTAACTGGTCTAAGTCAAGATTGGGGTGATATGAAATGAGACGTCTACATACTGAGGAAGATGGACTGAGGGGAGCAGTCATCAGCAGCACACCCTATGGAACTTGAAGGTTATAATTATCAAAAAATCGTTTCCAATCTATACCTGGGATATAGCATCTAACATGCTCGTTTTCTTCTCTCACAGCATCGCAGCCTCAGGCTCCTTATCTAGATACAGATACAAAACATCCATAACACCCGCCGCTTTCTTTCCCTCCTCTTTGTTTCTTTTGTTAATGATGGATCTCTATAATTTTAATGATTGATATTATTTTGATAATCATACCTGGATATTTGAGGTTCTAGGGTCTTCAAGTTCCCCAGGTCCATAGTCCAACTTGAAATTTGCCTATACACCATCATGTAAATGCCTTGGTAGGTAACATGTGAACATTGAAGCACTTGAGGTTACTTATAATTTTACTGCTTTCGAATGACTACATTTGATAAATCTGGTGCTTTAGTGATTCAACGTTCTATCATTTTATACCTATATAAATGAGGTAAGTTCTGTCAGCAATTGAAGACTCGGATGAACTGTGGCTGCTCTAGTCTTCTCAGACACAGAGCCTCATGAAACAACATCAAACATCTGACATCTTCCCGCAACAACTTGAAAACCCCACACTCAAAATATTTTGATACCTTACCTCATCCCAATCTTTTTCACCCTCGCTTCATTTTCTTCCAAACTCTCATTCTACGTCCAAAATTCATACCATACCCGCGTGGTATTCATCTCGCGGCGCAAAAGTCACGTACAAATTTCTCAGTTTATTCTCACTCGGTGCCCAAGAGCAAGAAGATATACTACCACCTCCGAATTTGCCACAAATGGCTACTACGGACATGTTCCAAGCGAACCTGGTGCCAAATTTCTCTAGTGTGCGAGGAGAAAACGTCAACGCGTACTTTCGATCATGTAGATTGATGTGGATGCATCTTCACCCTGGCGACGAGTACCCAACCGCTGCTCTAAAGAATTTCAACGAAGCATGCGCAATCCAGGCATACAATGGTCTTAAGGATGAAGCCCTAGAATACGCAAATCAGCTAGAGGACTTTCATCTATCGAACTGGGACATGCTGCAGATGGAGTTGAAGGGCCGTTTCCCTTACGAGCCAGAGGAATCCGAACCAGTATCTACCCGGGTTTTTGGCCTGAAACAGCATGGCAATACGTTGGATGCCTACTTTGAAAAAGCAAGAGACATCCTTTTTTGCTATTGAAGGCAATAGATCCCTGGAATTGATACTTTCTGTATGGTGGCTTCGGGGTCTCACCGACGAAAGGATCCGTGATCACCTGTGGAGTCAATGTGGTAGGCAAATGTCGGAGGGAAAACATACCGTGTTATCGACATCGTGAGAGGTATTCCCCAATATTACGATTCTGTTTAGCTTCCACCGTTAAGGAATTTGCTGGGACTGCTTAACTTCTCCGTGTGCTGGTTGATGGGGCGAGTCTATTGAGTGGTGATGGGGTGATTTATTGCAAAGGATTCATATGGGGTCTTAGTCAAGGGTGCGTCACGTTTCCACGGTTTCAGATAGTTTGAATGAAAGTTAAGCATGTTCTCTTCGTACTTTCGTGGTTCCTTTTTATGGGAGTATACTTTTGTCGTTATTTTTCTTATATCGTCCTGTATCCTGTATCATCCTGCCTTCTGAATTTTCCTTTATGGGGCCATCTACTTTGTTAACTGCAGAGTAAGGCCATCTAAAGTACTGTAATATGGTGGGACCTCTCACCTCACTTGTGCCGGTTTTACTACCACAAGTTTTGGTCACGTTCTCACACCATGTGGACCCCAAGCTACTCTTACACGCCACCCGCCACCGGTGATATTCCTCGCGAGGACTGGGAGGTTTTCCCTGTCAATTGCATTTCCCACTTCTACTTCAAATTGGGATACTCGGGGTGTTGATACCTATTTCTGCACTTCAGACACCTGTAGAATATAGTACTACCTTCATCGGCACTCTGGCGCGCAACGACTTTCAAACGAACTTCTATCAACCCAGGATTCGATGACTGGTATCCTGATGGCGCGGAAGGGAGAACTAGCGGAGCTTCAAGTGGAGGATTCGCTGAAACTGCAGTTTCTTCGTGGTTTGATTGATGAAGAGGTACTTACATTGAGCGGTGATGATGCGGGCTATCGTAAAATTCTCATTCGAGGTTTTATTCAAGGATGCGCTACTGGTATTTCTGCGGGTTTGAATGATTTGAATTATGGTGAAGCAAAGTCTCTTCATACTTTTATGGGGAGTTAAGGATTGCATCATGAAGAATAGCAGGACCAGAGCGACTCATATTCAACAAAATGTGAATTTCCACAGTCAAAAACCAGAGAACGAATATCAAAATCTCTACTACAATTTACTATCCTTCCAAACAGGCGCTCTCTTCTCCACAAAAGCCTTCAATCCCTCCTTAATATTCTCCCCATTATACAACCTCTTCATCCAATTCTCACTCAGCATCACCGTCGCCTCATCAGCCCCAATGCCCTCCCACCCAAGCTTGATTCCCTCCCGAGTAACCAGCACCGCATCAGGACTATTCCCCGCAATAGTCCCCGCAACAACAACAGCACGCTGAACAAGAATCTCATTGCCCTTTTCAAGAGATAAATCCTTCTCAATATCAACAACTTCATTCACTAATCCCCATCTCTCCGCTTCAGCAGGTAAGACATTTCGTCCTGTAAGCGCCATCTCCATGGCCCGTTGCTTTCCCACTGTTCGCACAAGACGAGGCAGTGCACCGGCTTGCGCTACGACGCCGCGCTTTACCTCTGGTAACCCGAAGACAGAACGGGAGGATGCAAGAACCAGGTCGCTGTTGATGATCATTTCGCTGCCTCCGCCGAAACAGAGACCGTTTACTGCGGCTATAACGGGCTTTTTACCCTTTCGGCGGGCGAGACCGCCAAAGCCGCTTGATGGTGTTGTTGCGCGGCCGTTGTTGGAGGCACGGTTGTTCCATTCTGGGATTTGTTAGTGAGGATCTTATGATTTTATTCGTTGGTTTTGGTTTCGTTGGGGTTTATTTACCTTTTAGATCTGCTCCTGCGCAGAATGCTCGACCCGTTCCTGTTATTATTCCTACTCGTAGCGAGGGCTCTTCGTCCATCCATTCCCAAATGTCGTGGAGGTCATTGTGACCTTGTGAATTGATGCAGTTTAGTTCTTTTGGTCGATTGAGCGTTACTAGGAGGACATATGGGGCTGGGTAGGAAAGGAGGGCGTGTTGAGGGGTTGGGGGTTGAATGGTGAAGTTCGGCATCTTGATTAGCACTTTTTGTGCTTTGATGTGTGGAATGGTGTTGAGCTAGAGTTTGCTCAAAATTTGTTATTTATAAATGCGCGTTGATGTCGAGGGTCAAATCTATTGATTGGAGTGAGTATTGATTTAGGTGACGATGTTGGAAATGATGGGGGTTTAGTGCGGAGAAGCTCCAAAATGCCGAGGGCCGATGTGGAGAGGATTCGGGTATGGATGAGCTGGACAAAGACTAGTGATTTTGGGGATATTTGGTTTTTAACGGCCGGGGTGTATTGGTTTACGTTCGTTTATGGGTATTTGATGTTTGGGTGCTCGGTTTCTACTAAATTATGTATTACGATCGATAGGAAAGGCATAGAATATTCCAATCGGTGTATCATTACCACCCCAGTGTCTTGGTATGTGAACACATCAAATCAACACCATCCGTCTTTCACGTTGTAAACGCCCCAAACATACATAAAACGCTTCCAGATCAAATCACAAATAGATGTCGACAGCAACAGAGACTCGGAAAGGTTCGCGCTCAAGCATCAAGCCTAAATCTTATTGATCCATCCACTATGCACCATGAATTCGTAGATACGGCTGGTTTTGGTGCCCTCGATCTAGAGAAAATTTTAGCTTGTTTACTGATAACCATTTTTATCAATTATTGGAACTCACCTTGCAGATCGCGCGTGCATCCTTCTTCTTTAAATTGCCGCCTTGTTTCATGGCCTCCTTCAGTAATGTTTCCTTGACAACCAGGTATGGCTTTGGCATCAAGCGAAGCATGTTACACACTTCAGCCTCTTCTTTTGTCAGGAGGTGCATGTCAGCCGCTCCTTCGCTATCCAGTTTCCAAGGTGATACCCCACTCAATGGCTGCACCACGTATTTCGTCTTGGCTGGTGTAGGTGGAGGGGCATCGCCGTTCATCTCAAGAAGACGATCAAACTCGTTTATTTCTGCAGGGTCGGGCTGTTTATGTGGGTTTGCAGCGCTCTGAAGACGTAGGGGAAGCTCGGGTGTTGTGAGTTGGAGCGCGGCAGGCGAAGCCTCAGGCACCTGGTTTTGCTTAGGTCGAGAGGTGGCAAAGCGATCGAAAGACCCTTGGGGCAGCATTCGCTGTACTCGTTGCTGTTTGTCCGCCTCGAACTTCTCGCCGGTTTTCAAGTCACCGATACCCATTTGGCGCCACTCTTGAAGTTGTGAAATCGCCAGGCGCAAATTGTGCTCGTATTCCAGACCATTATTGAGGTCCTCGAAGTCTTTCATGTTCATCATCCGAGCTAATGGTTTTGCTTTGGCGAGGAGATCTCGCTCTTCTTTCGAGCGTTTCTTCTCTAGCGCAGTGTTCTTTCGATACTCTAGGAGATTATGCTGAAAGAGGATCTTCTTGCGCTCTGTACGTGCTGTGAGTCGGGAGTTGTAGATATCAACAACAGTCATCTTCAACTCGGACTCCGCATCCATCTCTCCGTTAGGGCCAATGCCTGCGCCAGGTTCAAAGGCCATGTGTTGAACAGCCTCTTCTGCATCGTTCAAGAATTCTGTTTCGAACTCCAGACGACCGGGCATGTAGCCTTGTACTTCGTGACAAGCCGGTACACTGGCAGTGGGCTTCTGCTTAGGGGTTGTAGGGGGTGCAGCCTTAGCCGCCTCCTTGCGCTCTTCAATGCGCCGCTTCTTGCGCGACTGAAACTCTTCTTTGGGAATTGTATCCTGAAGACTATGATCCTCTGGATCGGCGCGGTCGGGAAGTGGGAAATGCGAGCTGTTTATATAGGTATCAACGTAGTGATCGCGTACTTCATCTTTGCTGCGGTAACCACCGATATGGTCGGCGATATCGGCCCAAGAGCCGAGTCCGTAGATCTCAGCGCCCTCGAGCAAGAGGAGCTCCTCATCAGCACCCCATTCTTCTTGAAAGATAGGGACGGAGTTTTGTTCGATAACTTGGAAGGGGTGGGTGGCAGGGTCGTGGTTCTTTGATTTCTCGCCAGCAGCGAAACAGGGGACACAGAGGTCGTATTCAGGGCAATTTGGGTGGGCGCAGGAGATACGGACCTAGACCGTGTATCAGTATTCCGTGATAAATGCGGTCGCATCATCCATATTCCCATAAAAGACTCACTGTTGATGTCACGTCGACCGAACACACGTCGCAATGGAACTTGGTGCCAGCTTCGGTGCCGCGCGAGGCGGTCTTTTTGCGTATTACACCCATCGGTTCTTGGGTCCTTTCATCCTCCACTGAATCCGAAGCCGTCGCGAAACCCCAAAATCGCCCTCCAGATATCTGAGAGGACAATGACTGATGTAGGTTAAGATTCCAGGAAGGAGGGAAAGTAGAGGTGAGGTTGACGTGATAGCTGGGGTAGGATCTCCGCGCAGATCGGGAGCGTGGGGAGATTCGATTCGTCGAAGGGTAAGAACACGCAGGGAACAAAGAGTCAATGCGGGACAAGGACAAATTGATAGGAAGAAATCAGGATTTTGAGAAAACAATTGAATAATTATTGGTCTGTTGTCTGTTTGAACTTGCAGAGATAATTCTCCACCCAATAACGAGTAATAGCACAGTGAACAACAAGCTTAAGCGTGTAATGAGCCGCCAAATCCCTTTTGTGGCGCAGTCAAGCACTGCCCTGTGGCTGGTATCTTACATAACCACTGCAATACGCAAAATAACCAAAGTTACAGCCCTATTGCATATTCAACTAACCCCCTCGTGTCACTCCCGAGTGGAATCCTCGTATTATCCATACACCCACTTCCCCTCTTTCTTTCTTCTCCCCTGGACAACTTCTTTCTAACCCTCGAACTCTCATAACTTCCGGTTGTTCTCTCCTGCCAAGAGAATTCACAGATCCGTCGAGGAAAATAGGAAACAACTGTCCCGCGAAAAAACAAACACAAGAAAGAGATCAGGATAGAGGTAGGATCGTCTCGCTGATCCTGTCCCGTGTGGATTGCAGAAAGGGAACTTTCAGATGTTGACTTTGTTTGGTGGCCCAGTCTACAACAGTCGTGGTCTTGGTCTTCCTTGTTGAACCGTTTTTGGAATAAAACAACAATATAACAAGACCGCCCACCATGTCCTGGAAGCTCACCAAAAGTATGTTCAGTTGGTCTCCCTATTCCCTTATCCTCCCCCCTCTTGATTATACAAATGTCGCCCCTCCGCGGTGGATCGGTGTGCATGAAGTGATTAAAGGGATTCCCAGGGGTAGAACACTCCGGCTAACATTCAATTTTTTTCTACAACAGAGTTGAAGGACACGCACCTTGCACCTTTAACAAGCTTTGGTCGTTCCTCATCTACTTCGACTATCAAGGGCGGCGAGTCAAATGGCGGTGGTGACGAGACACCGGTGGCCTCCCAGGCCCCGAGTATTGCTCCCACACCCTCGTCAAATGGCATTGGTAAGGCAGAACTTTGGAGTCATATGAGAAATTCCGGACAATCAAGAATTCCATGCTAATACTCATCATAATTGCAGTGGCTTCAGAATCCTTGGTGTCGCCTCCCGTGACGCAAGTCAACCCCGGCATTCTTATTGTCACACTCCACGAAGGCCAAGGACTGGCCCTCTCCCCTCAACTTCAGCAGATCTTCAACTCCCATTTCCAAAACAACTCCTACGCCCCCTCCTCATTGCGTCCGAGCACATCCTCTTCGTCTCATTCATCTCATGGCCAACCCGGTTCTTACATGCAGTCTTCCCGCCCGCAGTCCACCAGTGGCGGTATCAACGCAGCACCGACTATCCACGGCCGTTACTCCACTAAACACCTCCCCTACGCCCTCCTCGATTTCGATAAGAACCAAGTCTTTGTCGATGCTGTGTCGGGTAATCCTGAAACCCCGCTGTGGGCAGGCGACAGTACTGCCTTCAAATTCGATGTCTCACGGAAGACTGAGCTGAATGTTCAGTTGTATCTGCGCAACCCCGCGGCCCGCCCCGGTGTTGGTCGAAGTGAAGATATCTTCCTTGGAGCCGTCAAGGTCCACCCTCGTTTTGAGGAGCCAGGCACTCCCTTCGTGGAAGACCCCAAGCTGAGCAAGAAGGATAACCAGAAGGCAGCTGCTGCCCATGCCGAACATGAACGCGCACGGGGTCAGCTCGGTGCTGAGTGGCTGGATCTTCAGTTCGGAGGTGGCTCAATTAAGATCGGCGTATCATTTGTTGAGAACCGACAACATAGCTTGAAGATGGAGGATTTCGACTTGTTGAAGGTCGTTGGTAAGGGAAGTTTCGGCAAAGTCATGCAGGTCATGTAAGATCTTAGCCCTCCCCCCGCTCTCTACTTTACCCCCGTTTTTGAATCTCATACTGATCGCTATTTGGTGAAACAGGAAGAAAGATACCGGCCGAATCTATGCCCTCAAGACCATTCGCAAAGCTCACATTATCTCCCGGTCTGAAGTTACACATACACTTGCAGAACGTTCAGTACTTGCGCAAATCAACAATCCCTTCATCGTCCCCTTGAAGTTCTCCTTCCAGTCACCAGAGAAGCTGTATTTCGTACTGGCATTTGTGAATGGTGGAGAATTGTTCCACCATCTGCAAAAAGAACAGCGATTCGACATTAACCGGGCTCGTTTCTACACCGCGGAACTCTTGTGTGCTCTTGAGTGTCTCCATGGGTTCAAGGTTATCTACCGTGATCTCAAGCCCGAAAACATTCTACTTGATTACACTGGCCATATCGCTCTATGTGATTTCGGTCTGTGCAAGCTGGATATGAAGGATGAGGACCGTACCAACAGTAAGCATTCTTCCCTCCATCGTTATTGAAGATATTTATTAACCCGATTTATCAGCATTCTGTGGAACACCCGAATACCTTGCACCTGAGCTTCTACTTGGCAATGGCTACACCAAGAGTGTGGATTGGTGGACCCTGGGTGTCTTACTTTATGAGATGCTTACAGGCTTGCCACCCTTCTACGATGAGAACACCAACGAAATGTACCGCAAGATCTTGCAAGAGCCTCTCACATTCCCAAGCAGCGACATTGTACCACCTGCTGCTCGTGATCTTCTGCAACGTTTGTTGGACCGTGATCCCATTCGCCGTCTAGGTGCCAATGGTGCAGCTGAGATTAAGTCTCACCACTTCTTCGCCAACATTGACTGGCGCAAGCTGCTGCAGCGCAAATATGAGCCTAGTTTCCGCCCCAATGTGGTATGTCATGATTCCCTCTCAAAATAATTATAAATCACAACAGATGTTCTAACCTCTTATCCCAGGTTGACGCCCGTGACACCGAAAACTTCGATGAAGAATTCACCTCGGAGAAGCCACAAGACTCATACGTCGACGGTCCCGCCCTGTCCTCAACCGTACAGGAGCAGTTCGTAGGATGGTCATATAACCGTCCTGTGGCTGGCCTCGGCGATGCTGGTGGCAGTGTCAAGGACCCGTCTTTCGCTAGCATCCCCGAGTAAACCGCCCACAGGGAGCGGAAAGGAAAAAAAATGGAAAGAAAATTAAAGCTGGATTTGCTTTGGCCTGCTTGATACATCGACTAGATCGAGCGTGATCATGATCATTCTGCGATTCGGGCCTCATAGACACGATTCTCCTTTGTACTGTGTTTTTGTCTTGACTCCTACATATCACCAACAATCTTGATCATCGCTTTTCGTCGTTCTTCCTTTCTCGATTCTTTCTCTGCTTGGTTTTCTTGTTTCTGTTTCTGTTACTTTCCATCCCAAGGAGTCCGTGGCATCCTGGTCTCGGCGTCTCTGCCAATATCCGAGACTTGGTTTTGTTTTTTTTAACATTTTCCATTTATCTTTCTTGTTCTCTCATATTGTGTCCCTCTTTCCCATTGAGCGCTTTGATTCTTTTTGTCTCCTGGTGATTCCATCTCAGCGTCATCGAAACCCTTTTAGGCAGGCTCCTTCCAACCCTTGTTTTTTCGTTCGACATTCTCAAGCGGTCGTTACCTGTTGTGTCTTGTCTTTCTGTTGGTTCGGGTGTGAGATTCCTCTTTTTTCATGTATACTTGAAAATTTGCAATGGACAATGCCAAGTACATTTTCTGATCTGAATTCCGTGACATACTATGGTCAACCCAAGTAGTTAACTCTTGTAAGAAACATGGCAGAATTGAAAATGTTAAGGTGTAGAGAACGTATTTACCCATCACTACTATGGTATGGATGGAATGAATATACGTATTAAGTATTGCAAAATTAAGTATTGAAGCGCGATCAAGATTACTGTCTCTATCATGATGTATGAAGCGCTGGAGCTTTTTAAAGCGCAGGACTCATATATGGTGGTCATACTTTCATAAGGTACGAAGAGTATACCTCCAGGAAGGGTTGTTGAAGGTCTAAGGTTGATATTGTTGATTCACTGATACCTATCACATCTTCCAATTAGGATCAAATGTGGAGGACGTTGCAGCAATTAATAAAGGAAGAGCATATAGAGAAAAAAAGGATCAAATAATAAAAAATAAGTTAGACACACGTTAGGACGCCGCTCGCATCAATCAAAAACGATAAATGATGTCTTCTATCAACACTTCTTCACCCGAGAACGTACGAATACAAGCCGAGTCTCTTTTTACTCTTCATCATCGTCAACTTCGGCTTCAGCCTCCTCCGCCTCAGCGGTATCAGCCTCTACCTCAGGTTCACCATTCGCTGCGCTCTCAGGCTCCTTGTCATCATCCGCATTGATATCAATCAAAGACTCGGATGACGGGGGCTCAGGAACAACACCCTCTTTCTCCATGCGGATGTACTCATCCCACTCTGGGAACAGGTCATCATCAGTTGAGATGATATCGGGAGCACCGGGTGGAACACCAATCAAACGAGCAACCTTGGACTTTCCTGTGCTCTCGAGAGACTCCTTCCACTTAACAACGAGTGCCGGGGCACTGCTGGGCTTGTACGTTTGGGCGAAGAGAACAGCCTCGGCGACTCGGTTGGTCTGAACAAGTAAATCGATACAGCTATCGATGTCACCGAGAGACCAGAGCGTGGAGAAAGCAACGTTGTGCAGGCCAGATTCCGAAGCCTGGGTAACCAGGGCGCGGAGACCGGGGCGGTTGTTACTGGCGGTGTGCAGGAGGAGAAGAGAGCCTACGTCCTTAGCTTGCGTGAAGCATTCTTCGGCGAGAGAAAGGTTCCAGGCGGCCAGGGCGGCGTCACCTAAGCTCTTGTACTTGTGGGTGTTCTCTACCTTGGCCTCGCGGATGATCTCAAGAGCTGTTGTGAGATCGTTCAGGGATAGAGCCAAGTCGAAGCGGTGCTCTGGATCTGTGGCAACTTCAAGGGCCATCTCCTTGTATCCTTGGCCCTCGAGGAAGCGAGCGACCTTGTTCATTTGGTCTTGGGGAACATCTTGGAGAAGGTCCGCGGCGGCTTCCATGTCTCCGCGCAGAACGACGGTTTGGTACTCAACCATGCTGAGAGAGAGACCGAAAGAAGTAACGCTGAGGGATTTGTCGACGAGATAGATTCTACCATCGCGGGGCAGGTAGCCCAGGATGTATGCTGGCTGGTCGAAGTGGGAGATTGAGTAGGTTTGGTCACCCACCAGGTAGTTCATGCGGTTGGCGGAGTTGACGTAGTTGAAGATATCTCCAACCCAGGTGGCGCTGACAACGGTTTCGTTGATAGAAGCGACGAGTTCAACGGCTGCTTCGACTCCATCTTCATCGGCTTCTCCGTTGTCCATGCCCTCGCGGAAGGCGTCCTTCGAGTATCTCAAGACGTAGAAAGCATCCTCGCAGGCCAATGTAACAAGCTCACCAGATTCAGACCAGTGGACCTATATACAAAATTAGTCTATCGTGTTTATAAATGATAATTGGCTGTGAACTTACGCTCTTTGGGTCAACCTCAATTCGGCGAACCAAGCTACCAGACTCCCAATCGAAGAAACCAATACCGCCTTGACCCTTAACACCGAGAAGAACACCGGAGCTCAGGCCCTCTGCTTGGAACCCGACATCTAGACCACCACTTTGTTCCTTGAAGTTCTTGTAAATCTTGACACTGGTTGCAGATTCGCGGATAGCGAAGTCATTGCTGTTGTCTTTGGAACCCCAGGCGAAGTCCAGACCTTGACCGAACAGGCGGTTTCGGAACGCTAACGATGTGTATACAATCCACTCCCCGTCACCGCAGATGGAGACAAAACGTCCATTGGGAGAGTGAGTCAGAGTCTGGGGGTATACCTCACATGTTCCCAAGTCCTTTGTCGCCAAAATGAGGGGTTCGCCGTCCTTGACTGTCTCATCGCCACCTTTGATGAGTGACGACACAACCTCGCTGTTCTTTGCCCAGATAAGCTTTCCAGATCCGTCCATTGAAATAGCAGGCTCCTCGCGACCCATTTTGACGACGACCGCACCATCGTCGAAACCCATGGCAACGCCCTGTTGGCCCCTTTGGTAGGCTACACACCATGCTCGCTCCAAACCATAGCTTAGTGATTGTTCGAGGCGGTAGGTGTTTGCGTGCCAGATCTTAATTGTTCCATCCTCAGAACCTGAAATAATCACAGGCAATTCAGGGTGGTAACAAGCAAAAGAAACATTGCTTGTGTGGCCCTCCAATGTAGCGACAAGAGCTTTGGTTGTGTAATCCCAGACCTTGATGGTCTTGTCGTCACTAGTAGTCAGGAGGTATGGCTTATCCGCGCCAGGATAGTAGTCGACATGGTTGACACCCTTAGTTTCGTGGGCCTCCAGAGTCGAATTGGGGTGTGGGGAGCCGAGATTCCAGATCTTGACTGTTCTATCCAAACAAGCGGAAGCAAAAGTATTGGTGTCCTTGGGGTTAATCGACATTCCCATCACGTAGTGGCTGTGACCCTCGAAGACCTGGACACATTTCCAGCTCTTGTCCCAATCCCACAACTTAATGGTCATGTCATCACTGGCGGTAAGAATATAAGGAAGGGTTGGGTGGACGACAATAGAACGAATATAATCGGGGTGCGCTTCGAAGGAGGTGATTTTCTCGGAGGTGTTGTAGTTGTAGACACGAAGCTGGAAATCATCCGAGCCGCAGACAATCCAGTTCTTGCGCGCAATGAATCGACCAGCACGAACGGGGACATCGGTGATCTCGAAGGTTTTGATAATGGACTTAAATTATCATGTCAGCTCGGTGCAGCGCAGTCTGCTGCTTTAGAACATACCTGTGTCTCGTATGACCAAATGTAGACGTGACCTGTTGCCATTGGGCATTAGCATAAGGGAGATTTGCGGCGATGACATCCCTTCGAAAACATACCGCTGTACAGTGTAGTCAAAATCTAATAAAGTATTAGCAGTGAACTGGACCTCCGAGAAGTATCATTCAAGCTTACCCAGGGCTCTGTGGGGTGGAAATCAATACCCTTCACCCGCTCGGAGCGGGCAAAGAGTTGTCTCTGTATCCAACCATTGCTGTCAGCAACCTCGCCAATTCCAGTAGTGAACATTCCACCAAGTCATCTCCTGTGCCGCTAAATGCAGCTGCCACCTCATTGACTGGATCTGCGTACCTTGATGTCAAGCCGCATGTTGTGTTGTGTGGGGGGTAGGTGTGTTTGTGTGATGCGACGGTTGGGCGTGCACGAGCGAGGAGGTATCCGCGAGCCGCTCAGACAGCCCGAGGAGTAATAAACAGATTAAATCTCAAAGTAACCAAGGAATCCTGCGAGAGAAATACAAAGCTTTTCCAGGCCGGAGAGAGCACTTGAGCTGGATGGCACTCAGGGACAATGTATGTGTCCACAAGGGATTCCCGCTCTCACCGCCTTCCGCATGATTCGAGATCTGACCCACGTACAAATAGGCCACTAGTAAGTGTAGGTGCAGATATCTAGTATACAGAGTATATTCATCTCTGATCTTTTGATATTCCTAAATGTTTTCCTAGTGTGCGGTGCACTTCGGGGGTCACCTCCAAGCCGAAACACCTGGGAACCTGCATCAAATTAAACTACACCATCTGTTAACTAGTGCCGAGCTACTATATATCCTAATCTTGCTCTATACCTAGCCAGTTACCCATTTATTTACTTTGAATCAATGCGTTATATACTACCAACCAAAACATTGATGCGATACTAACCTCTAGGGCTCAAGTAAATCAAATGTCTACACATTAGCTAGGTAAATACATAAATGCCTGTAAGAACTGGGGCTTGAGCTACAGGGGCAATAATTAATGCTGCAACCACTGGCAGGTTGTAAGATTAATAATCTTTCACGTCATCAATTGCATTCAGCAGTCAAAAGTTCAAATTAAAAGTGAGAAAAGATATTTATTCGAACATTCAATCCTTTAATAGTTACAGAAACTGGCATTCGCGGCCTTTTTCTAGGTATCTCTTAGTTACCACGCTCAAAGTAGGTCCACTGACCAGGAGCGGGCTTCTCCTCCAGCTCTTCCCAACTATAAATCATATGTCAGTTCGTAATTTTTGAGCCAAAAGAAAAAGACCATTCAGCCACGACTTACACCTTGGCCTTGTAGAGTTCATCGACAAGCTGGGACTCGGCTTCGGCGACCTGGACAACCTCCTCGATAAGACCAGCGCCGATCTGTTGCTCGATTTCAGAGATCCTATTTTCACTGTTAGTTCTTGAACTTGTTGGAACAAAATTGATGAATAGAGTGTCGCGTACTGAGAGGCCTCCAGGGCAGGCTCGTTCTCCCACTTCATGGCAACTTCGAGGAAATCACTGTGGTCGTTGGCCGATTCGCTACCCTCCTCAATGATTTTCTTCCACTCAGCCTCTTCCTCCGGAGTGCGAGTAGGACCCTCGGTAGTAGCGGAGAGCTTCTCGCCATCCCACTCCTGACCGCGCGCATTATCTGTAAAATCCCGCTCTTGCGAAGCGGCGTAGGCGAAAGTGCCATTCTTAAGCTGGAGTTGAGCGAATCGCTCGGGCTCGGCGCCCACGGTCTTCTTCACGCGCTCCAACCATTCCTCAAATCCTGGAGGCTTCTGCGATTCAACGATTTGGAGACGGTGGCGGGTCAATGCCTCGACGGACTGGCGGTAGGCGGAAGATTCGGGGAAAGACTGCAGCTTCTGCAGGGTGTTGGTGTAGAGGAAGATCAAAGTCGGGCGGGGACTTGGGTGAGTGATAAGACCAGTCAATCCGGTAGGAGCAAAAGGCTCCAGGTACCGGGGCTTGACATTGGCCAACAGTCGAAATGTAGACCTCATTGTGATTGTGGTGTAATTGGGGATGGAGGGTTTGCTGATTGCGGAGCGCCCAATTGGCCAGGGAGCAAGTTCGACGGTCGGGACCCGGATTAACTCAATTTCCTCCCCGTACACTCAGACGCAGGGGCAGGCCACCTTTTTATTAACCACTTTATCTTCTTCACGCGCGCTTAAGCCGAAACTTCGGTGTGTTGTCTTATTTTGTTCTTTTAACGGCTCAGGGCCTGGTACATCCTCCCTGCTGCTTTCAAGCGTCCCCCCCCTCCTATCCCGCGAACCATCCCGCGCTACGATTCGCCTCCCTTTGTCCAATGTGCCACCTGTGATACTTCGCAATTCCTACTCTTTCGCCCCGGTCCTTCGTTTGAACAGCCTCGAAAATCATAAGGGGCTGACCTTGTACTTTCCTTCCGATTTCTCCCTTTTCGGATCAATATACCATCTCCCGCCACAATGAGAACCTCCTGGTTGGGGCTGTCCCTTATCTCTCTATTAGCCGGTCCGTCTTTAGCTGCTCCTTCGGACGTTGAATCGAGCGATGGAAACCGACTTCAGAAGAGAGCTACCAAAGGGGTTGACCCTGACGAGCCCTCTGTATTCAATGGTCTCGACGTACCCCCGCTTGTCCACCTGACTGCGGACAATTTCGACGAGCTCACAAAAGATGGCACTTGGTTAGTACTCTATACATTCAACCTGTCTCAATGGTAGGGGAATTCGCGGCTGATTATCACAGGATGGTGAAACACTATTCTCCCAATTGTGGTCACTGCAAGAAGGCTGCTCCTTACTACCAAACCGCCTACGAATACTATTACGTGAGTGATGGACATTTCCACAGAACTGATATCAATACCATATACTCATATACAGCCTAGACCTCGAATCCCGTTTCACCAGCTTCGGCGAAATCCCCGGATCCCAAATCCCTCAACTCATTCACGAATTACTATAACTTCCACTTTGCGTCTGTGAACTGTCTCGCCTACGCCGATCTTTGCGAGAAGCTTGGGATCACAAACTATCCAACATTCGGCTTCTACGAAAATGGTGTTCAAAAGGAGGTTTCTATTGGCGCAAAGAAGATTTCAGCCCTCAGCAAGCTCATTGAAGAGAAGCTTGAGACCATCAAGCCTGGATCTCGCCCTGCGTCAGGTATTAAGTTGCCAGAGGTTGGCGCCACTCGCGTAGATTCCACTGCAGAGCCAGACTCTCAGGTTGTCGAGGACGAAGACCAAGAGACGGTTGCAAAGACCGGGGAACAACAGGAGCTGATCTCAGAGAAGGGTTCTGGTTCTCCTGTCGATACCAAGGCCACCGATTACACTGTCTCCAAAAACAAACCTGGGAGCGCCCCTCCTAATCCGCAGGGAATATCTGTTGACTTGACCGCTGAAAGCTTCCAGAAGCTTGTTACCACCACTCAAGACTCCTGGTTCATTAAGTTTTACGCTCCTTGGTGTCCTCACTGCCAGGCCATGGCTCCAAACTGGCAGCAGATGGGTAAAGAAATGAAAGATACTCTGAATGTCGGTGAAGTAAACTGTGACAGGGAGCCCCGCCTCTGCTCAGACGCTCGCGTTGAGGCTTTCCCCACTATCTACTTCTTCCGAGGCGGCCAAAGAGTCGAATATACTGGTTTGCGCGGTCTGGGCGATCTGCTCTCTTTCACCAAGAAAGCCATCGGTCCCTATGCGAGAATCGAAGATGTGGATGCCGCAACGTTCAAAGAACTCGAGGAGACTGAGGAAGTTCTGTTCCTGTACTTCTATGATCACGCGACAACTTCAGAGGATCTCAGGGCCATGGAACGTCTCACTCTCAGCCTCGTGGGCCATGCTCGCATCGTTAAAACTAGCAGTGCTGCTTTGGCGGAGCGATTCAAAATCTCCACTTGGCCACGCCTCTTGGTGGTCCGTGATGGTCGCCCCAACTATTACAACGCTCTTGCTCCCAAAGATATGAGAGATTTCCGACAGGTTCTTACCTGGATGCAAGCCGTGTGGCTGCCAATTGTTCCGGAACTCACAGCTGCAAACGCCGAGGAGATCATGAATGGAAAATTCGTGGTTCTTGGTATCCTCAGCCGTCGCCGTTCCGATGACTTCAAGCAGTCCAAGCGTGAACTAAAGGAAGCAGCGTCCGAGTGGATGGATAAGCAAATTCAATTGTTCAAATTGGAACGTTCCGAACTGCGCGACTCTAAACAGCTGCGTATCGAGGAGGCCGATGATCGAGACGACCAACGCGCTTTGCGAGCGGCCAAGAACATGCGTATCACTATCCGTGAAGATGACAAAAAGCCCGTTCACTTTGCCTGGATCGACGGTGATTTCTGGGAGCGATGGCTGCGTACCACCTACGGTATCGACGTAAGCAACGGTGACCGCGTCATCATCAACGACGAAGATGTAAGCTCTCTCCATTGACCCTCTTGACCCTCTCTGAAACGATCCTTTAATACTAACTTCTCTCAGAACCGCCGCTACTGGGACCTTGCCTCTAGCGGAGCACCCATCATGGCCTCGCGCACATCGATCTTGGAAACAATCCCTCTTGTCATTTCTTCTCCACCCAAACTGTCCCCCAAGTCCACCATCGGTACTATAGAATCCTTCTTCTTCTATACACGATCCTTCCTTAGCAGCCACCCCATCCTATTCTTCATTCTCTTGGGTCTGACAGTGGCGGTGGCAACCATCTTTGGCCGTGGACGTTTCTTGCGCCGCACTGGCCTTGGCCGTGGTGGAATCCTGGGCAACTCTCCCAGCGCCGGCAGTGGTGGCTTTTTCCACCTTGATGGGAAAGAAGGATTGTTAAACGGAGGCTCGACCGGAAAAGTCGATTAATGAGAGCATGCACAGTTCCGGTGTTTGGCTGCACGGATTCTTATATTTTCTTGTTTTCCCTCTTCTCAATTGTATTTGATTCATCCCAGGCTGTTTTCATATTGTGCAGTCTCCTGGTGTTTGCATGTTCGAATCTGGGGGTGTTGTAGCACATACTTTTTTTATTACTGTTTCATTCTGTCTTCATCCCAATGACCAATAAAGAACACAATTTCTCAATTCCCTCTGTTCCAGACTCATTACAGTAAGATCATTGCGTATTGAAGGTATAGACAAATGGCACTTTAGTATTGTGGCAGCTCACCTGGGCGGTTGGCTATATACATATATGGCGGCCTCCGGCTATTTCAATCAATTAAGCGATCTCTGATTGGATGAGCGTCTCTTGGTCACGTGAACTCATGAATACTGAGCAGTGATTGGCTGGAGAGTCGGGCGCTCCCGGTTTTCGTCGACCACCAAAGTGCCAGCTCCTGCTCTCCAGTAATTGTCCCACGACCTGCCCTCGCTGACAACAATGGTATGTTGCTATCAATTGCGTTTATTCATGCGAATATTTTTCCCTCTCCTGAATCGATTCCCGGGACTCTCACGGAATCCGCTCAATCTGAGCGCTTCGTGTCATTGAATGCGACCTCCCGGGATAGACACGGAACGTACGACCGCTACTTAGAATCAACTACTGACGCGGACTTTCTCAATTGATAGGTTTTCACTCCTACTCTCCGCCGCGCTGCGGCCCAGGCCACCAGCTCTGCCTTTGCTCCCAAGTGAGATTCCCGGACCCCAAGCCCTGATTACCGACCCTCCGATTCTACGCCAGACCAGTCTTCCGAGATGGACGATAGTCGAGAACAAGCAATCACCGTGTCGAATAAGGAGTTACAATCCATGATTCATAGAACGCCTACTTGTGCCATATATGCTCTCCCACTCAGTGGGGCTAGACCATGGATGGCTTCAAGGTTCTGGCGGACTGTGCAGTCATCGCAAAATCGGCCATCTCGGGAGATACTGTTCTTGGAGCGCCACGAGTTTCGGATGAAAGAAAAAAAAACAGACGACTAATATCTCTTGTGCAGGATTGCCATCCCCCGCCGTGTTGCTGGCTTCGACCTGACCAGCGCCATCAAGGCGTAAGTCTACCCCATATAACCCGAAGTTTCTTGGCATTATCATATCGAAACATATCCTTACATCTCACAGTGGTACTCTTGCCGGTTCTTTCGGTGTCTTCGCCGGTACCGCTGCCCTCTTCATGCTCGGCGAGGTTCCCCGTGTTCGCCGTGATATCCTCCAGCAGTTCCCCTTCCTGGACACCTACTTCGACCGCACCATTGCCCCTGAGGACAACGTGAGTCTATCCGCACGAACCTTTTTCAAATCTTTGCCGAATACTAATCTCTGTGATAGCCCTTCTAAATTATACCACTGGGGTACATAAATTGGTGGCGACAGGTGATCAGCCCCTTATTGATGAAGAGGCTGTGTGTAGAATAGCGATGAAAGTCCCTTATGTTTTGAATAGCACATAGAGGCAGCAGTTTCCAACCAAATCCATGGTTAATCTTTTTTGTGGATATTATTTATGCCGATCTAGACCTCTAGAAGATCCGGGTAGGCCGTATAATCCTTTTAATAACCATGTGGTGCCCAGATAGGATAAGGCCCACAAGTATACCGACCTTCATCATCTGATATCATCTACCTCGCACCAATTTAGATAGATACTTAGAAAAGCCATTAAGCCATCAAATCTGAAGTCAGTTGATATCAAGTAGCCCAGATTCCTATCCAGGCAAGTCCATCCAGATAGACAAAGTATACCAATGTCGTTGATACATGCACAGGCCGGAACGCGCGAGGCTTATCTCTGGCCCCTGATATCATGGACTGATAACGTACTTCTCGCCTCCTGCGACGCTTCGAGCTTCCCTGATAGGTTTGGGCACTTTCCTGCCAAGCTAATCAGGGTAGCACGGATCTCATCTTTCGATCGAATGACAAGAAGTTTAAGTTTTGAGACTACGAATCACAGCACCGGCCGTGCGGAGAAGCCCATGCGCCCTGCCCAAATCATGAATCAACTTGGACTTTTACGAGACAGCGGCTCGCTTAAAGATTAATCTATCGCAATAACTATGTGTTTAATCGGCTGCAATTATTATGCAATCGAATGTTTTTCGCGTGCTTTTCTACACCATGTGGAGAAAGATTGCGATTATGTCCACTTTCCTCGAGGCTTGTTGTCCCTGTTCGTCCCACCCCTCTTTTTTTTCGGAATTCCTACTGGTCTTCCATGGTCCCACTAGATCGGGTTGGATGGGGTGTGGTTGGTCCCAGTCTTGAAACAAAGTAATCCTACTGCTGCCGTGACAATCGCTGAAGCGCGGGGAAGCCGTCCAAGCTACCGTCATAGATAACAGCCGAGATGCTCCTAGCTTCCTGGCGTGCGATAATGTGGCTGCGGATCATTTAAATCACGCCCAAGCCCTCTCGTGGCCATGGTTTCCCACTCTATATCAGTGATACATTAAAGGCGCATTGCTATTTTTGGTTCATAATCGAGTCTTCGCATACTCTGTTTCTCTTTCGAGCCTCACTGTCCTCGGGGTTATTCTTCATGAACATATTTCAATACAAAGATGAGTTCTGATTTATCTCCATCTGGCACGAAGCAAACATCCGATGTGTATAATGATGTTCATCATGCCCCTGTCACGTCCGTGCTTGCGGATGGCGATGTTATATATGCGGACCATGAAATGGACGCTGATGAGCGCGTGATTAGAGCTCTGGGGTATAAACAGGAGTTCAAACGCGAGCTTTCTTTATGGACTACTTTTTGTATTAGTTTTTCTGTTCTTGGGTTACTTCCATCGTTCGCGAGTACAGTCTATTATGGTACGTTCTTCCGAATTCTCATGCGGATGATTGATTGATCTAGCTAACATTCTCTCGTTTTAAAAGGTATGGGATACGCAGGGACAGCTGGCATGGTTTGGGGGTGGCTCATCGCTATGATATTTATTCAATGCATTGCCTTCTCAATGGCGGAGCTATGCTCTGCTATGCCTACAAGGTATGCAAGCCCCGGGCTTTCATCGCTTCTCAATCATGAAAGATAGTAGAGCTAACGCTTCTTGTGTCTTTCCAGTGGCGGGTTATACTACGCAGCAGCAGTCCTTGCACCTCCAGGCTGGGGTCCCTTCGCCGCATGGCTTACAGGATGGTCAAACTGGATCGGACAAATTACCGCAGCTCCCTCGGTTGACTATGCCCTGTCTGCAATGATTCTAGCAGCCGGATCAATCACCAATCCAGGCTATGTCCCAACAAATTGGCAGATATACCTTCTAACAGTCTTGATACTTATCATCCACACCGTGATCAGCAGTCTCCCCACAAAGCGCGTTGCCCAATTCAACTCCTGGGGCTCAACATTCAACGTAGTCGCACTCATAGCAACAATCATCATCATCCTAGCAATGGTGAAAACCAAGCCAAAATTCACAAACGCCCACGAAGTCTGGAGCGATATCAAAAATCAAACGGATTTCCCGGATGGCGTCGCTGTACTCATGACTTTCGTCGGGGTAATCTGGACCATGTCCGGATACGACTCGCCCTTCCATTTGAGTGAGGAGTGCTCCAATGCAAACGTTGCTTCACCCCGTGCGATTGTTTTAACCTCCGGTGTTGGCGGTGTGATGGGTTGGTTCTTACAGCTTGTCGTTGCATACACGGTTGTTGATATTGATGCCGTTATCGATTCGGAGCTTGGACAGCCATGGGCTTCATACTTGTTGCAGATCCTGCCACAGAACGCTGCGCTGGCCATTTTGGGATTAACCATTGTTTGTGGCTTTTCTATGGGTCAGGGATGTATGGTTGCCGCTTCGCGTGTGACATATGCCTATGCTCGCGATGACTGCTTCCCTTTCTCGAAGTACTGGAAGAGCGTAAACGCAACTACACAAACACCCGTTAATGCCGTTATCCTGAATACTGTTCTGGGAATATTAATGTGTCTCCTCGTTCTAGCTGGAACTGTCGCTATCGGTGCTCTATTCTCCATCGGTGCCATCGCACAATTCGTCGCTTTTATCATCCCCATCTTCATTCGAGTTTTCTTTGTTGGAACACGCTTTCGCAAGGGTCCGTGGCATTTGGGTCGCTGGGGTCCTCTTATTGGTGGCTTGGGTGTAGCATTTGTGGCGCTCATGGTGCCCATTCTGTGTTTGCCTAGTGTTACGAAGGGTGACTTGTCGCCGGATCTGATGAATTGGACTTGTCTGGTTTATGGTGCACCTATGTTGGTTATTATCATATGGTGGTTTGTTGATGCGCACAAATGGTTTAAGGGGCCGAAGGTCAATTTGGAGCATGCTATTCATCCTGTGCATGATGAGCCTGAAGTTAGTGAGGGCGTGGAGCCGGGAAATGTTCAGGTAGCGGCGGATGCGAAGGGGTCCGAGAAGTCGGATGAGCCTCTTCCAAAGTAGTACATATTGTTGTCAGAATATTTAGTTCAATTTCCTGTTTTGTATATATTCTTTCATTGGACTACGATGCGAGTGCGTCGTGTGTATAGCTAATATCTCTTCTGTGGTAGCCGGTGGTCGAGATTTTCACACCCCATATTCGCCTGTCCTGAAGCAAGTGCAAACTAATTCTCTAATGTTCATATTTTCAAGGCTTATTTTGCTGAACATTATTATAATATCTTATTCTTTATATTGATCATAAATAATCTCTTAACTCATGAATTTCAGGTTCTTATTTCTGCGATGATAGAATTTGGCCTTTGAATCCACACCACTTCCAAGTACCTCCATGACAGTCACTTGCTTTATTTGCCAACCATCTCTGAGGTTTGTATTTAGAAATCAAGTTGGTACAGCTTTTAATGTTCATAGAGCTCGTCAGGTGCGTTATTCAATATTTAATTCAATAATGTACGTGAATATGCTTTAACCTGAGGGACTAGTAGTAGTCGACATATATTTCTGATGAGCCCTTTGACGATTCCCACATTTTATGAGACAATTATTATCTTATTTTTTCGACCTTGAAAACTTGAACTATTTAGAGACCAAAATTGTCTAGACCCACGTGTATCTTTGACACCTTTCAAGTTCTCCATTTAATTAAACTCCAAAGTGGATTTGTGTATATCGCTCCACAAGGCTGTCAAGAAGTCTCTCCACAATGTACCGCTGGGTCTGAAACAGAAACATAAGTCAATGAGAACATGCCATGAGGCCAATGATTTCAAGTTTTAGAAAGCCTTTATAGATTCAGTTGGTACGTCCTCCTAAACATACTATTTTCGCTTTGTTTGACTGTTGCAGTGATTGCTTATATAGCTAACCTCGGATCATGTACAGCTATGGGTGACTTTGATAAACCCCAAAGGCTTCATTCTGTTTATTGTATCAAAATAAAACCTCTTTTTATCCGAATGTATATTCTTTCATATAAGAATCAACGGCTAGACATGCATATGCAAATAGCCGATTAATTCTGCCTACATACCCACCTGCCAGCATCGTACATCGTACATAGTACAATAGTACCATGACGCAAAGAGATATGCAGCACTAGTAATGAGATCTGATCCCACCCACATAACCAACGAAAACTGACAGGCATGCTCGAGCCCACTCAATGCAAGTACTAAAGTGGGCGATCACCGAAACCTAGCCCAAACACCATGCAGTATAAATGTACAAAGTATATACGCAATCTTAAAGTATTAGGTACCCCAAACCTCGCAACGAGGAACCCAAAAAACCACACCCAAAGCCACCTAGAAACCAACCAAAGCCCTAAACACAAAACAGAGTAAGCCAGAACAACCCTGCTACAAAAACTGACCCGCGTCTTGTAAAAAGTTCCAAGCCGAACTCCATCTCTTCATCTCGATAGGGTACCCTATACATCTAACCCTCAGTATCCATCCATGTACGCTGGGATCCCCGGGGAGAATCCTGCGAATAGATCCACCGGCTCCCCTCCCCCCAGGGCCCCCTGAACAGGTCCCACAGCTGGCGGTGGGCACTGGACATGGATGCAACGGAGAAATACTCTAAGCCGATGGGACACACAGATATGCTTAATCTGACTCCAGATGGGGGGCATCCACATTCCCCCCTCTTTCTTTTCTTTTTTTTTTCTTTCTTCGGCGTTTCCCACCCCCCTGACACGAGGGTGTTGGATCCACATCATCTACTCGATGGTGAACTCTATCTCCAAACGCTCTCCAATTAATCTAATACAAATACGGTGTGGAATTACAGCTATTAAGTTTTTATTTGGGGTTGGGGCTATCAGGAATCAAATCAACCCGACAGTATGTAGTAATGTACGTACGTACTCACCGTCCACGTCCACGGCGTGTAAGTACTTTGCCCTGAGCCGCGGAAAAACCAAAAAACCCAAAAATAAAGAAAAGAAAAGGAAAGAATTAAAAAAACTTTTGGTTTCGGATAATTTGAATTTCTGATTTCTCATTTCTCTGACTGTATCGTGTTCACCCCTATTTTTAGTAGTATATAGTACGTACCAAGTAGCCCTGTAAGGATTACATATTATTTTTATTCGCGTGAAGCGAATCGAAACAAAACAAAACAAAACCCCGGTGAGATAATATCACTCAACATGGTTAATCCTGCTCGTTCGATTCGTTTCGGTTCGGTTCGGATGCACCACCTATTTAGGAATTGAGCGCGTTTTCCCTTGATTTCTGGGTGCCAGGCGGCCGATTGATGCGTGAAAGGCACAGTACACCGATCGACAGTGTCAGGAGGGTCTGCGACTGGTCTACCTTGCCGAGGGATGATGTATGCGGTTCCTGGGATGCAATATTTGGGTTCCTCGCCACAGTTCCTTGCTGGTGGATCATTTCGTGGCTGTTCCTGAATCGGGGACCCATTTCCCGAGGGACCGAGGGACTGTCACTGGATACGAATCTACCCAGGTGACCAGTGACAGTCGTTAATTAGTCTATATTGGGTCACTTTGGCTTGGTTGGGAGTAAAATTGTCGCGGTAAGCGAGTGGGTGGTGGAGGCGAAATATCAGAAATGGATTGAATTGATTGATTACATTGATTTGCCATGGGGTTTTTGTTGGCGGATGAAGATATTCCTGAATCGAGGAGAAAAGTTGGTACGGAGATGGTAATTTTGGTAATTCGGGGGGCTGTGGAACCGTTTTGCCATTTTACGGGCCCGCCACTTTGAGAGGGAAATCACAGAGAATTACGGGCAGCTGGGCACCTGGGCAGCACACTATGAAAATTACATCTGGTTAACTCTGTTCAAGGTTCATTCTTGCCATAATGATTGATGTCTACTCTCTTTCTCATGTACTGCGTACATAGGGGCGAATTAATGCATATCGTCGGACTCTAATACCCAATCATCAAAGACTCGATCTGGTAGCATGCATGGTTCAGGCAGCCATGGTCGTGGACGAATTTCGATTTTTTTTCTCCAGATTTTCACTTTCTCCTTTGGTGCATTCCATTACACATAACCTGATGAATGTTTTTTTTTTGCAAACAGTAATATGTCCCCGTATGTGAATTACATACCCGTCCACGGTTTAACTCATCCTGTGCCGCAACTCGTACCATTGCCGCTGCGACCATAAAACACGGTAGAAGAAATCATAGCAAATTATCTCAACCTGCTTTTCTGAAGGATGAAATTTAAACTTATTTTGCCTTCTGCTGTTTTACTCCATTGAAGTCTATACCACATGACGTGGCTAGTACCAGAGCAAAGAGGAAAATAGACTTGCTATTGTCAATTGATGGTCTTTCCACGACACCGAATACAATATTCGCCCCAATACAGTAATTTTTCAATTTACCTTTATGGAATTCCAAGTCCACGGTTACAACTACCGTATAGCGGCTAATAATGTTAAAGTGACTTTTTTGCGGCGCTCCCTAACCCCCCGATCCACCTTTCAAGCACATGGCGGAAGATTTTTTTTCTGTTTTGGCTTCATTTTATTGAATTTTGATAAATGGTGAAAAACACTAATTCTCGGAGCGACGGCGCTAATTTACATACCGAGCCTGCAGTATAGTTCTTTGTAGTAGTACCTATGGAGAAGGGAGTAGGTGATCTGTTAAATTTTATATTGTATGTGAGCGTATCAAGACCATCCGATTTTAGCGGGATGCATCCGAGGACCTTTGGGATGAGAGTAAAATGAAAAATAAAAAATACTGAACAACTTCTCTGAGCCTATGAGGTGGGTGGCGTCCGTGATCCTCTTGTCCGCTAGGGTCCGTGGGGGGATTTTATTGGTTGTTGGGGTTCTGAAACTCGGCGATCCGGACTTGGCTTTGTGCTGTTTTCCGGCCTATGCCGGCACAAGGCTCCTAATGTCGGATGAGTTGCTTGGTGTGGTTGGGTGGTTTTATCGGAAGAGGACTTTATTTTGAATTTCAATTTGCTTTTCTGTTGGGCTTTGGCTTTGGCTTTGGCTTTGAATTTGAGAATGGGGCCAAATACTACGTCTACATATTTCATGTTGTTCCTTTTTATTCTTTTTTCTTTTCTTTTCGGTACTGTAGATATTCATACGTACCGGCAAGTATTTTCATACTAGCTGAAGGCTAATATTGAATGTCTTACCATGGCAGTTCTTATTAGTAGAATATTCATGTCACCGAGTCAAACGGGCCGACTGGACTGGACTCGACCGACTCACCGTTTTCTCATGTCCTCGTGAGATGCTACCACGACCAGTTCGGCCGAGGTATTCCCTTTCCGAAGAGACTAGGATTGGCGGAGACAATTAGCGGAAATCGACATGATCTCAATACCGCCGCGCGCTATTTTGTAATGAATGCCACTATGATGCATGGTGAGCCTGACTACTGTTCTTCCGGGTCGGGATATAGCCCTACTGGCGGGGACTGAACAGATTTACGGAGTATGCTGTCGGCAGCTGGGGGGCAGCCGAAGGGATTGCCGCGGGTCCAAAAAATTGAACCAAGCTTTACATTAGCACGCAGTACAGTAACTAGCATATTATGCTATCTGTCCATAACCTGTATGGTAGCAACTAACCGGCCCCACAATTTTTCTTTCACAAAAATAATGAACCCTCGCTTACGAGGGTCCGCCACCCATATGGAACAGATCACCCAAATGGAACATTTTTGCTAAATCGTACTACAACTACTATTTACCACACCACCATATAGTTAATTAATTAACTAAAAATAATAAACAAATCAATCAGCCATTTTAATATTAGAATACAAAATCAAGTTAATTTCCCCGGCGTTTTTTGGCTCTTCCATGCTTCCTAATTTCAACCAATATCTTCTTCCACTTCCGCTTCGTCTTTTCTTGATCGGCTTTTTCAGTCAATTTATATTCTTTTAGCTTCATTTCTTTGATCTGGCTTGAATTGATAATACCAGTGATTTGCGTATAACGGCGAGAAGCATCATACCTAGCGTGACGTGCTCCCAT